ACACAGGTATAGCCTTATCTATATTATAAATACTTGCAAAGCTCCTCTATTACTAGTAAACTTTTCGGGTTTATTTATTTTATAGCCTTAGTAGCTAACCGTTCTGCTAGTTATAAGCTTTCTTTAAATAATCTAGATATTCCCCTATAGGGCTGCAATTTTATTATCCTTAGTACTATTAGCTTTTTCTAGTTATTATAGACGTAAAAGTAAGGCTTGTATATATATTGCTACCTTAGTTATTATTAAAGTTAGTCTAGCAGTTATACTGCCTAAAAGGGTTAGTAAGGCTATTTTAATTAATTATTTATATATAACTCCTTTAATATAGCAGTATTTAAAGTATAATAGGTTGTCTCTGCTATACTATATATATATCTTATATAGTATATAGGATAGCTTAATTTATTATTAGGATATAATAGTTTTTAAAGGTAAGGCAAGATTAATTTTAGGTATAAAATAGGGTTATTACTTTTAATAGGTAGTATTAAAGTTTTAAGTTAAATATACTATTTCTATATATATAAAAAAGCATTCTTATATATAGAAGCTCTATTCTAGGAAATCTATATTCTTTTCTAGATTACTATAACGTCTTGGCCACCCGTTCGAGCCAGCCCCCTAGTTAAGCCACCCGGTTAGCCCGGTTAGTATATTAGGTGGCGTATAAGGCTTGCAAGGGCAGAAGAGTAAATTGCTATCTAAATATATTAAAACTTATTGCTAGTTCCTTCTAGGCTAGCTTTATAAAGACTTTTTTACCTTATAGAGCTGCAGCTCTCTCCTTAGCTATTAATTCCTTCTATTTCTTTACCTTACACTTTTTTATCTTTTAAAGCGCTTCCTCTATAGTAAGCTACTAAGCCTTCCTAAAGTACTTCTTTATACAGCTTTTTCTACTTTTTTTCTACTTTTCTATAAGATTATTATTAAGAATTTAAAGTGCAGATCTATTAGTAATAGTAGTTAGAGAAAGATCTTTTAGAACTAAAACAGTAGAATAAAGCTAGAAAGGAACCTGTTTAAGAAGCGCCGCAATAAGCGTATTAATCTTATTTAATTAATCCTTGGTCGCTTATATATTAACTTATATACTATTCTAATTAGTTATACTAATAAAAGGAGGCGTTTTTGGCCTGAATTTATATAGTACTAATGCGGGATTAAAAGGTAATAGGCCTGCCTTTCTCTATACGCTAGCAATATTGATTTTTATTATTGCTTATTATATTGCGCGTTAATAAAAGAGAAGAAATTGCTTATTTAAAATGCGCTCTGCCCTAAAAATACTATACTTATAAATCTGCTTTTTATATACCTTTGCAACCGGTGAAAAGATGCTAATATTAAATAGCTGGAGAATATAAGTAGAGTAGGGTAGTAAGCAGAAAGTAATAATCTTTATATTCTTATAATACTGTATAAATTTAAGAGATATATATAAGTTATAGCTATCTAGAATTAAGAGCCGGTACTTGCTAATAGGCTTTATATAGCTATTAAAATGCTTAAGCTAATATATAGCAATTTCGCGATCTGTCCAGCCGGCTAGGCTAACTTAAATAACGGTGCGGGAATTAATTAATGCGTTAATCCAGGATTGCTATATTTACTTACCTTAGAAGATAATATATAGTAGAACTATATAGCCGCTTATACTAATAGCTATAATAGTTAATACCTAATCGCGATCTCTAGGTTAAATTAACTAAGCTTTTTCTTTTTAAATAGGAAAAAGAACTTTACAGCTATCTTCTACGCCTTTTATAAAGCCTTTTTTATCTATATTATATTAATCCTTTATAAGAATCCTATATTTCTTAACAGTTTTATTATAGAAAGAAAACCACTTTTCTAGCTCTTAATAATCTGCAGTATTCTATTTTAATTAATTAAGGCAGTAAGTAAGCTTAGGCTTAATATTTAGATATTATTGGAGGAAGTTCTTATACTAGTTATAGCTAAGTATATTAAAATCGCCTTTTTTTTTAAAGTATATTAGTAGCCTGGCCCTCTAAGTATATAATTAAGATTAGCCAGCCCTAGGCTGCTATTTAAAGTATATATTTAATAAACGCATCTTCTTCCTATATAGATAGATATTATTATAATTGCTAAAAGGCTTAAGCTAATTATCTGCCGGTGTTGCGCGCTTTTAAGGTTAAATATAGCACGTTAAAGAGCTTATAGGCTTAGAATAGCAATAGGACTATCCCCTGGCGAAATATATTAAGGGTAAGCTGTAGCCGCTTTTCTGCAGAAAGCTGCGCATTGTTTAATATAGGTGGGGCTATATTTAGTATACAACTTATTAAGCTATTAAGGTAGATATTCGGAGTTAGTAGAGCGAAGAGTAATTAAAAAGGGGGTGGCTCGACCGAGGGGCTAGCCCGACCGGGTGGCTAAGGCGTTAATTTAGTAATAATCCTATACTTATTCCTCGATTGCTATAATTTAGTAATAATCCTGTATATAACCTTTTATTATATACTATCTCTAAACTGTTCCTATTTACTAGCAGTCTATAGGGGAATCTAGAATCCCTATTTAACTAACCCTTATTTCCTAAGGTTCTGTAGTCTATTCCTATATTATTAGTCTAATCTACTTACTTATCTCCCTAAGTGCCTTAGCGCTTAGGTGGTTCGTGTTAGGGGTTATAATATTAGGGAGAAATCTATTAGTTTAATACTTACTAATAAAGGGAAGGTATTCCTTTAGTAGGTGTATAGTGTAAGTTTTCTAGGGGTAATAGGCTTATATTATTACTAAAGATTTAGTATTACTATACTTATAGAAATAAAGAGATAGAATATATATACTATAGCAACTTAGGGAGATTTTATTTAAAAGCCTTTATAAGAATAGTATAGTATACCTTTAATTATTTAGCAATAATATAGCCTCTGGACCCCCTAGACGACGTTAGAACCTATTAGCTATTTATGGCTCTGCCCTTGCACGGACGATAAAGTGGCGCAGATTAGCCTTGGGCTGTTTTCCATCGGAGAGTAAGTGTACTCGAGAATTGGGGCCCTGAAACTGGAACCTGGCATGCCTACGGGCCCGGAAATGGGCCTTCCGAAGCAAGGTAAGGACCCCAGTCTCAATGCTCCCTGTCGAATACAGGGCCCAAAACTGGGTTCCAACAAGCTGCTCAGTCTCGGCTCAGGATGTGCTCACCCAGCACAGCCACAGCTCAGGCTGGAGCGTGAGCAGCTCAGTTTCCTGAACGGGAAAGGAAATTGCTTGGGTGCACATTGGGATATCGAACCTCCTGTTTTCCCGCCTCCGCCAGCGGAACCTCGGGGCGGCAGAATGCCATGATTCTATTGGCTCGTTAAGACACGGTGAGGGCCTTAGCGCACAGATCTCTTAGCGCGATCGTATTCACTCATTTGTCAATCTGGATCAAACCGTTCAAACCAAAATTCTAATTAATCCAATCAATCAAGCTTCATTCTATATATAACAGCCCAATCAATCTGTTCTCTAGTTGAGCCGGCCGCCGGTTTAGTAACCACGCTGCACGAAGTCCTGAATCTCAAGTGTTTCCGTATTCGAGAGCCTCATAGTGGCTTTTTTCGTTCGCGGATTACAGGTGTGTTGGCGAGCAGGCTGAGATCGAAGTTCATAGAATATCAGCTGGAATGTGTGCCGTGCAGCAAGGCTGAAACGCCATGGACTCTTCATTGGATAGGACATGCAGCGAGTCTGCCTATCACCCCGCCCTAAATAAATCATGAGCTGGCAGAATTCGTTCCGTCTTCTTCATCTTTCTTCTTCACTCAAGACTGCCGGATGTTAATCAGTACTAAATATCTCTCCCGTCTGACGATGTTCATCTTCGTAGCAACGTAGTCGCAATAGAAGACCTGTTCTCCATCACTAGAAGCACCGTCGGCGTCATATCTCCCGGTCTCCAAGTCTGCCAGGGCTTGACAACGTATTACTCGAACTTCAAGGCCTTCGATGATGATATTGCAACAATTCTCGGCCAAGTAGGGAGCCTAAAAGGCATTCTAAAAGTCCTAGAAGCGCCGTTGAAGAAGGTCGAGTCCGATGATCACCATATTTCCGCGCAGGTAAGGCTGTCGATCATGGCATGCGAGGCTGGCGTGACTAAGTTGGATCAAGCTTTGAAGAAATATGCCACCGATGCGCCAGCCACAACTGTTAAAGGTAAGGCCCGCCTTCTAAGCGAAAGGACGCTGTGTCCGTTCAAACGGGCGACATTGAAGGAGTTAAGTGCTACTCTCGATGGTTTGCATCATCATCTAGACTCTACGGTGCAACATCTGAGCTTGTAAGTATTATATCCCCACTGGGACGTCGTCTAGCTGCCCAGCTAAAATGCACGATAGAGATTCCATAAATCAACAATCAGAGCTCATCCTCTCCGTATCGACATCATTGGCCTCAGAGAGCTGTGCTCTACAAGAACTGCGAGGGCACATGACTCTCGAAGTTCAATCGATGATGGGACGTTTGGAGCAGCAGATGACTATCAATGCTCAATCGTTTATGGAACGCTTCGAGCAGCTAGTAAGCATGGCAGCACCCAGCTACATATTTTCAAACTAACTTTTCCCAGGAGTCCAAAGTTATATCGAACCCTGCGAGTCACCTTCTTAGACCATCGTCTCTCAGAGAGGCTTGCGAAGACCAATACAGCTTTCGGAATGAAGCTGGCCAGTTCAGCGATCTGCGCTTAGCCTCACGTAGATTTCTTCCCCGTCCGAAATCGCGTTGCTTTTGTGGACGGCGTCAATACCGCGCGGAGCGTTCACAATCGCTATCATATGTCTCCGTATTCCAACGTCAAGTATCAGCTCACCATCCTTCTTGCGCACTCTTTGGTCTCAACCTCCGCGAGAGATCTATCGAATCACGCATCACGTACTGTGGACGAACGCTCGGGGGGATCTTGGAAGCTTCTCTGACTCTCTCAGTGGGCGCTGGCGCGTTTTCGGTTGGGCCTCAGCTAAGTCTCCGTGCTATCGTGTCCGAAGATCATTCGCCCGCTTTCAAAATGATAAACACCGTCAGACATAACTTGGAATCGAGCAGAGAAGGTATTTTGCGAAGCTTAAGATTGTTACCAAAACAACTCGTGCAATCATTTCACGAGGGACGTGCTTCACCAAGAGACGTCACCAAAAGTGGGAACAGTCTACTCCATGTAATGCAATAAAACCTAAACTTGCCCCCAACGAGAACAACTGACACTAATATAAGGCTAACAGGTCACTGCTTTCTTGATATATTCTCTACTAAGAAATGGCGGTCTCATGAGTACGCCTAGTACCCTCGATATGTGCAGAGAGCTCTTCACTACCCTTGTTGCGGCCGGAGTACCCATAAATCAAACTGATCGGTTCGGAAGGTTGGATTCCCTTGATATCCTAAGCACTGCTTCACATTCTGAATCTATTGCAAGTCTGACTCTGTGACACACAAACAGTACCGCGTTGGACAGCCTCCTTATGTGGCTACAACTTTCTGGAGAGCCCCAACTGGATATATGGACAAGCCTCATATGGATGCTGATGGATTGTGATTTGGAGATTACGACCTTTACACTAAATTCCTTGGCGCCTAATACTTCGCTGAAGACCTTCTATTTGGCCCATCAGCGACTACTCGTCTCGGAGAACGGGAGTCAAGGTATTTTTAAGTTAGTTCAACAGCAGGCTCTAGAAGTAGACGCTAAAGTTCATAGCATTTGACCTTCCAGATCTCACTCGAGCCATATTGTCACGATCGGAGACAGAGCTCGACAAAATACTAGACCATACGCCGGCTACTACCTTAACAGTTTCTTGGGGTAAGAATGAAGGTTATATACTTGAGACTGCGGCAAACTGGCCTGTCGGAATCATGAAACTCCTGAACCATGGTGTCAGTGTTCATGAGGACGACGATGGCACGTTGTGGACACCTTTAGAGTACGCTTGCGCTTGCAATTTGGAATCTTGCAAGATTCTCATAGCCGCTGGTAGTTGTGTGACTTCTTCTACGCTGCAGGTGTCTCTTAGTCGCGGGGATTCCGATATCCAGTCCGTAATCATCTCTGCCTTAGTAGATCGACGAAGTCAACTCAAGCATTCTGCGAAGAAAGTTTTGCCATTGGAGCTCCAAGAAAGATATAACTTGGAAGATGACCGGATCCTGGATGCTCACGCATTCGACGTCTACAAAGCTATCTGTCGAATTGACGGATCAGAACACAGACCTCTGGATCCTGGAAATTATCCCTATACCGTCTACCACTGTAGAAACTTGACCAGGCCTATCGCCGAAAAACTGTACCAGGCTGGCTTCCGAGACATAGATCACCGACACGACAATGGTGCGTTACCTGTCATGGTAGCAATAGGGTTGTCTGGGTATTTCACAAGCTTGAGCGAGTCTCTGGAATATGTCCAATGGCTATGGTCCAAGGGAGTGAACGTACACCAAGTCGATGAATTCACAAAGACAACGCCAGCTCTTGCTCTTGGAGACAACCTCGACTTCTTCTCTGAGCCAAGGCGCGTACTCGAACTGATAAGGGTTGACCAGGCGTTTTTGGCTGAAGCTTTCTTGGCTGAGATAACTGACGACTGTGCATGCTACTGTTCTCCTCACGGATGCTGTACAGTATCGCGACTTTTCAAACTTCCCAAATGGTATAGAACTATCGAGCGCTCATATACTATGTCCGGCTTATTGGAACCGATGCGGAAGCTCGCTCCTTGGCTAGATCCCGCGATCATTCGAGCTCTAACCTTTGACAAACTGGAACTCAGTCACACATGCCACTTAGAGTATAAATATTAGAAGGCATGTCATACCCCATCAGAAGATGAGATCCACGAAATCCACGACGAGCAGCACGAAACTATCCAGCAGCTAGAGGATCTAGCCATCGAATTCGAAACCGAACTCAAACACCACAAAGGCACACTCTCTGAGTTCCTGAAAGGCTACTGGGCCGAGAGAATGCACGAAGTACTGTATCCCGCGACAGAGCTTGATGAGCAAGAGCTGCGACGGATCGAGGAGATTGGCGTTGTCCTTCATCGACCGGAGGATTAGAATCGGGTGACTGATCTTCACGATACCTCCTTCTCATAGAGACGTATGTGGAGGACTCATAGCGGTGGCAAGCAGGTGGTAAAAGGACGTGGAAAGGGCTGATCTAATCTGGTGCGTTCGGAAATGACATGCAAGCGGCGATTTTCATTGAACATCTAGAGGGTCTTCATGTGATTCTATGCGTGTGTAGCCTTACAACCTAGCTGACTTAGTGTAAAGTCTTTTCGTCTTGACATTACGTTCTGCCCATAACGACGTCTGTGGAGGGCTCCTAACGGTGGCAAGGCCATAGAACAGGGATGTGGAAAAGGCCTATCCAGTTTGTAGCGTCTGGAATATAACGTTTGAATGACGATTTTCATAGAACACGCGAACGGCCTTCACGAGACTTTCAACGTGCGCAGCTTCGCAATCCTGAGAGCCCAATACAAAGTCATATCGTCCTTACATTGCACCCTGCTCAGAAGGGCGTCTACGGAGGGCTTCTGGCATTGCTAGGCATATGAGAAAGGGGCGTAGAAAATACACGTTCAAATTGAAGAGTCCGGAATATGACATCCAAGTGGCAATTATTGTGGTACGCGCAGGCGGCCTTCACGAGATTCTGTACGTGCGCAGCTGCACAGTCCGGGGGGCCTGAAATGAACTATCCTTACTCTTACACGACCTTCTCGCTCAGAGGGGCGACTGCCGGAAACTCCCGTCGTTTACATGCATATGGAAAATACCTGTAGAAAGCGTGTATACAATCTAGAGCGTGCAAAGCATGACATTCGAGTGTTTATTATTATAGTACGCGCGGACGGCCTTCACGTAATATTGTACATGCGCAGCTTCAGTATCCGGAGGGTCTAAAATGAAGAGTTACAACTCTTACATGACCTCCTATTTACAGATACGCATTTAGAGAGCCCTTGACGCAGGCTTGCATACAAAAAAGGGATATAGAAAGCACACGTCTAATCTAAGCTATCCAGAACATGACATCCTCGGAGTTGCAATCTTGAAACGTTCAGAAGACCTTCACGTATTTTTGCAGATACGCATTTTCACGACAGAGGGTATCTAGATTGAAGTGTCTCTGTTGTTATGTTGCTCCCTCTCTAGAAGACGCCTACGGAGGACTCCCGGCGCACGCAGGTATATAGGAAAAGGACGTTGGAAGCACGCGTCTGATTCTAGGTCTCCAGAACATGACATCGACAGAGTCGCCACCCTGAGACGTTCAGACGGTCTTGACTTGATTATACATACGCGCAATATCGTAATCATGAAGACCAAATTCAGTGCATCCAAAATGTGACATCCGCGTAGCGACAATCATGAAACATCTTTTATGGCCTCAGGTTATTTTCTATATACACAACGTCACAATCAAGAGAGTTAAATTTGAAGTGGAGATCTGCATTCATTGAAGAGAAACCCGAATCCCGAACTATTTTATATGACCGTTGCCAGCGTGTCAACCCTTTAGGAGCCTTTCAAGGCATCCAAGCAGTATGCAGAACCACTATCTACAGGTCTTGAATCCCACACTCAGTTCGCCCACTTGCTCTGCATGAGCCCGCCGAGGGCCTTCTTGGCAGGAGCCTTCGGTTCGGCAGGCTTCTCCTTCGGCTTTGCCGGCGCCGAAACGACCACGGGGCGACTGACAGGGGACGGAACAGGGGCAGCAACAGTGATCGGAGCAGCGACAGGAATGGGGGCAGGAGCAGCACGACGCGCCGACACGCCCGAAACAGCCAGCATTCTGGCATCCCAATCACGCCGAGCAGATTTAGCGGCTCCGAGAAACGCGGCGGCAGGGCGCTTTGACGGGGCCTTGGAGGCAACCGCAACGATGCGGCCACCGCCAGGACCCTCCCCACGCACAGCCCGATTCAGCCGGTGCAGCTGTCCGGCGTGCAGATCGCCCAGACCTTCGGCGTGTTCGTTGTGGTTCTCGGTTGCGAGGTAGAAGTCTGGCCAGAGTTAGCATCGTGTGGTCAAGAGGCTGCAAATCAGAAGGATTGGGACTCACTCTGCCAGCCTGCGGCCACACTCTCGAAGCCGGCCCGGGCACGTCCTGGGAGCATCGTGGCACCTTCAAGACCGTAGCGCATGGCGGGGTCCCGGTCACCGGCGGCAGCGACGGCGTCATTGTAGCGAGAGATATTCAGGTCGCCCTCCGTGAAGTGACGGGCTTCCTGGCTGTTGGGTCCGTCGTGGGTCATGGTGATGGTAGAGTCGGTGTTTTTGATCGAGTCGATAGACGGTTTTTTCGTAGAAGGCTCGTTGGTGAGGGGTGCCGTCTTGAGAAGTGAGGTAGACGTCGTCGGTGGTAAAGGGAGCAGATTAGGTGAGTGAAGCAGATGATACAGGCTCTGAAGGAAGTAGGATGGGTTTCGATGAAGGATGTTTGCGGTCGGGTTGCTCCAGATGGCGGAGGGCAGGTGTTGGGCAAGACAGGTGCGGGCTTAGACAACGGAGTCCTGGGAGTCCCCGTACCAGCCGTAGCGGAATCTGAGGTAGAGGCAATAGCAGGAGAGGCCGAGGGCGATGAGGAAAAGCGCGAGGTAGATGAAGAGGATAATGAAGAAGCCGTTAAGCATTTTCTCTACGCTGGGCTGTGGATGTGGTTGTGTTGTTGGAGGTGTGAGAGAGAAGTAGAGAAGTTATTTGACTGACCGCCCATCCGCACGCGACACCACGGCACGGACCATAACCCCCTTCTTGCGCTGTCGGTACAGTTCCTTGCTACTGCTTGTGGTGTCTCAAGGTAGTTCTGGAATTCTGAACCAGATAGAAGCTCAGCAAATTGAACAGCCGGCAAACCCGGAAGGCCACCCCAGACACCGGCAGAGGACTGTACACAGAATGGAAGTACGATCCACCGCCTAGGTCTCTCCGCCTGGGTCTCTATCAGTGCTTCTCGCACTGGTGGCAGAGTGTACGGATCTATGGGACATGACACTGTAGACTGCTAGTGCACGGTAGAACATGCCGTCACCAGGGGCTCATCCCTCAATCCCGTAGACACCACACTGCTGACAGTTTTACTAGGATTCCCGTGCATCGCGAGTTGCAATGGCGTCCTCGGCTTCTTCTCCAGACTGGCGAGACCGTTACAAATCTCCTCGAATGGAGGGTACAGCTTCAAACCCTCCTCAGCCTCCGACCAATGCTCCCCGCGCCACGGCGCCCGCTGACAACACAGTCGGGCGGACAAAGGACGACCAGCAGCGGGGACGGGATGTACCAGCATGATTCAGCTTGCGCAAGCGATGGCGGAGTGTGACAACAGACAAAGGGATTCGTCTCGCTGCGCTGGAGAATGGTACTGACTGCGCATTCCGGCGACAAGGCCATGGTAGATGACCGCTGCGGCGAAGTGTAAGACACAGCGGCCGCCTTTGGAGACGGCCATCTAGTAGGGAGCTGGCGGTATACCACTGTGTTTGGAATGTCCATAGGGAGTCCAGATGTTTTATGGGCATGAGGCTGGATTCTCAACGACAGGTCGCTCGAATCCACTCTCTTGAAGACTGAGCTGACGAATGCTTAGGACGCATCAGAGTAGCCATCATAGACCAAACCAAACCACCCCCTTCCACACAATAGTCATGCGCTCTATCGACTTATAAACTTGTCGGAGAGGACCACTCGGAGAATATTGGTATCCGAGGTCGGGCGCTCCCAATGGATAGGCCTCAAGAGAAACCAAGAGTGTGAGAGTTTGTTCGAGAAACACAAATAACGAGAGCGGGATCAAAAGAAAAGACATCAACGAATAAACAAACGGATGAAGCAGGCAAACACCAGGGCATGATATTGAAATAAAAAAGGAAACATGAAAGACGAAAGGCGATACAGCTACGGTATGTGTGCCCTCTCATACCTCACTGGCATCGGCTTTTGGCTCTCCAACGTCTCTCGGTGACATATGAAAGATCAATACCAGATAAAACGCCCACGCTACGAAGGGCCCAGCGTCTCAGTCCTTGAGTTCCTCAGTCCTCAAACGGCCAGGCTATCCTCTGATCGCGCAGGACGACTCTCAACCTCATGGGGATGACAAGATGGCGAGAGAAGGACAGAAACCACCTGATACCTAGGCTAACGAAGTGAGATCAGTGCTTAGTGCAGCCTTGCTATAGCAGGGTCGTTACGGGCGATAGCCCCTGATGCTTTTGGGGTGGGTAGTCACGTGACTCTCATCTGAAGCCTCATGCCTCGGATGAGACATCTAGAAGGCCTACGTGCCCAAAGAGTCCCCGAAAGAACTTGGAAGCTCAGAGAATCGAGTCTTTCAGTGATGCTTTAGGGTAGAGGCATACGCGCACTCCGCAGAGTCAGCCTCTATGTGTAAGCACAGACGACCTTTCAACCGCCCGAGTGCTGCAACAATCCTACGAGATTGGTTTCCCAGGACATGGAGGGACGTAACCGTTAATGCTTTCGTTAGCCGCAGTCCTCGTTCATGTTGAGGAAGGAAGAAAAGCGATGGCAGTGTTGAGGTAAAGTTCCCCGCCAGTCTCGCTTGTTTGCCCCTGACTTGTGCCAGTGCACCGTCCGCATGTGGAATCGTGGCACGCTTCGGTAATTGCCATGCAATACATGTGTATTAGGTCTGCTTTTGTGTCGCCGTCGATCTTTTCTCCCGTCAACTTTTCATCTACATTCTGCAAAGCAATCGGTCGGACTGGTTCGAACCTAGAAGCAAAACCATTCAGACCCCAAGATGAAGATTGCCGAATTTATGGACATTCCACCTGGACCCAGAAACGGAGATATGATTTATGAACACCGAGACTACACTGAGAGCGGCGGGAAGTATCTCGAGAGAATTTGAAAAGGCGGGACCAGCTCGGTGTACGTCCATTCGCAGTCCATGGAAGTTCCAATTCTTGAGGCCTTCGAGATGCTGTCGGCAGCGACGCGCAGGAAGCCTTTCGATGGGCGATCTTCCAATTTCTTTAGTGGCTTTGGCTCTAAGTCTAGCTTAGAGGTTTCTAGAGTCATGGCCTTCCTACAAAATGGCTAAGGAGCGACACCACTTGGCCAAATATTCAAATCATTCGCATTCCGTTGGCTGGCCTGTAAATACGTCCTGCTTATTTTCATTCCAGAATGAGATTGGGGAGCCGGGGCCTATCCGACATACGACCTTTCTACTTCCTTGCTCTTTTCTATACTCCACTCAGCGAGTAATTCAGTTTGGGTGTATCTCTTTTGGACATAATTCTGGTGTTCCCTGGGATGGTCTTACTGCGGATCCACGGGAGTCGTCTACGCTTGGCCCAAACCCAGCACCGTGAAGGAAGACCCCGAACTCGTTGGCTGCACCCCAATGCCATTGGCTGGAACGAGTACAATGTAAATCTTTTAACGAGGAATAATTGGAGGGCATGTCTGGTGCGCTCTCCTCGTAGGTTAACGAGGACAATCTTGTCATGGCGACCTTCAAAGCCCACGGTAAACACCATGATTCTCCTGGGCTTGAAGGAACCCTCGAACTCGTTGACGGCGTCTTATCGATAGTAGGCTGTCCGATCAGGTGTTCAGAATTAACGCAGCTTGGATGCGCCATCACAAAGCAGACTCTGATCGGGAGAGTTAGAGTTATACCCCAGCGAGTAGGCAGGCGTGGACGCCCGTGACGAATCCTCGAAGATGAGACTACGACCACGTCCCATAGACTTGCTGCCCTATTCATAACAGGGATTCAGGCTCATGATAAAATTTCCCAGGCATCGTACAAAGCATATTGACGTTCCCTCTAACATCGGTGGCCAAAGTTTTCACCATTGTTCCCTTGCACGGGACCGATTGTACAACCCTTCATGGCGTGCCCGTAGTACCCCAATAGCCATACCCCTCGCTGGTGTCACAATCTTCCTCAACATATTGAGGTGGGATCCGCCTGGGATTTACGCAGGCGTAGATGATGAGTCTTTCTACGGTTCCCATTAAGGTGAGATTGGTATGGCACTTGTTTTCAACGAAGGGTGGCGTTTCTCTAATGCGCCGTCTTCCTACGTCGCCGATATACGACTCATTGCTTGGTCCTCTTAGTTGCAGCATCAATGACCGTATGTTCTATTATTCGATCCTTCCCTCATCGCGAGTTTGTCCTAATGGATAGCGACCATAAAGCCCTGATGCAGCGGGCTCTCCTTTGCTTCCTCGGCCAGGCTGACGTTCCGATATCCATTGGTGCCGGAAGTATGGACAATTGTATACCCAGCAATCCGACTCGCCTCGGCTAATTTGGTTTCCTAGGATGCTTGACCTTAGCGTTGGCTCTCGACTCTGGGGATTCCGTGGTTTGATTCTGGACTTGGTCACTACCGCGGTTGACAGCAGAACGTTTGACTGCTTGTCAAGTAACCTGTTACGTCTATCTAGTCAGATTTTACAACACGTCCGCCAAAGCCACTAGATTGAGCGTAAGAAGTTTGAGCCCTGACACTTTCGCCAGCACCATAGGTGCAAAGCAGTGCTGACGCCGTGGTATCTCTGGGTGTCAGTCATCGCCATTTGCCGCCTCGGTTCTGCTTAACCGCAAGCCCCAAACGACCCGTTAAAAGAGGGCGCTTGCATGAGATCTTACACCCCAAATCTTCCCATGTTCGGACCCACGCTCGATGACTTTGTTTGATCTTGGCTCCGCGGTCTGTGGCCAAGGCTAAGGGGAAGCGGAGCCCGGCCAACGGCGGAGCCTGGAGTAGTTCCAGGGATATGGGGGATGGAATGAGGCGTACTGTAGGGCGGTCTTGGCTGGATGATGCTTACTCGCTGGAGATGATCGAAGGTGGTGCGGGCATGGGCCGTCTCGTCACCTCGTGGCATCCAAGACAACGCCAACCACAGGAACGAGAAGGAGCCTGGTTGAATCAGATCTGCCGAACCCCGTATGTTGTTGTGCAGTGGTTGCTAGCAAGGTCTCCGAAGAGATGGGTCGAAGGGATTGTTGAACGAATTGATGGTGGAGGAGGAAGCGAGGGGCCGTCAGTTGATGGGAAAGCGGAAAACACCAAAGTACCGATCTGCATCACCACCACACGACAGACTCATTGTAGGCAATTCACATGTTCTATGGGGTTCAATTGGTGTTCACCGTGTACGAATCCGCAGCCCCCATTAGGACACCCCAGACGAGATCCCTCCGAGCGTCGTCAGACAGCGGCACAAGAGCAGCAACAAGATTGGGCATGCACGCAAGGCTGCCCACTTGGCCCAGGTTCACTCCGTATCGTTTTGTCTGACGGTTCTCTATTGTCCTACCCAATGCAGCCCATAAAGTACTCACGAACTCCCTGCGCTCTTTGCTTTCATTGCAGTTATCTGTACAAGCCAACACGAGTTAACACGACTCAAAAAGGCACAGGCCCCTTCAGCATCCGATCGGCGTCTTATTTAAGCCTATTTCAATATACTTTGAAGACTCGACCTCCGAATCTCCAGCTTCTCCTCCAGCTCAGGATGCTCGGCCAAAAATGCCTTCGGCCAAGGCCCAACATCTCTACCGAGTCCATTTCTTCCTTCAACACCACTTTCGGCGTTAATAACTACAAAGCCTTAACGAGTCTCCCTAGGCTTGTCAACTCCGCTTTTCAACTTGCCACTACCAGTGTGGCCTCTGAGCATGCAAATCAGTATTCGTCAACCAACGTCTCATGACAATTGCGATAGGAGAAGAGCGGAGTCGAATTATGGATGGAAAGGCCTCTATGATACCACAGTGATGAAGCTGTCGGGGATGATGAGGAGATTTCTAACGCATGCTGAGATTACCAAGTGATGGATTACGATGCGAAAGAGCTGGAACAGAATGGCGAGCCAGTTGATATTCTCTAAGTTGAGTAAGCAGATGGGAATGTACAGACTGGGGCAGTGAGTACGACTGTTTCCTTGCTTGTGAAGCTCTTCGAGAGAGCTTGGGAAGTCCATAGGTTAGTGCCGAGTACTGTCGCACTGCTTAGATATCGATGCAGGGGTGAGGAATGCGTGCCAAGGCGCCATTGTCCCAAAGAGGGAATACTTCAGGCTAGTCTAGAGTTCCTCATCCAGTATACGGCACCTTTTTGTCGAAAGATTGGCAATCAGTCTGTCACGTTGACGATGCGATAACTATTTGCAGAAAAGTATAAAGGCACTGGCAGTCGTCGTTTGAGATGATCATCCAAGAAACACTCACAGCAATCAGCCAAATCCTACAATTACCTCCTTGTTCTCGTCCCAATAGAATTACTACCTCACCTCCTTGACTCCTTACAAACTCAAACTAACACAATATGTCCGACCTCACCTACCTCATCACCGGTGCCAATCGAGGTACGTACCCTCACCCGTTCCTCGCCCTACTCTTGCTTTATCACTAACTGCCCAATGATAGGCATCGGTCTTGGCCTCGTAGCCCACTATTTATCGCTCTCAAACACCACCGTCATTGCTACAGCTCGAAACGTTGACTCGGCTTCCAAACTTACCAGCCTGAAGCACCATGCCAGCAGCCGTCTCATTACCATCCAGCTGGACAATCTCGACCCCTCTTCCATCGTCTCAGCTATCTCCAAACTGGGCCCGAAGTACGGTATCACCGCCATTGACGTCGTGATCGCGAACGCCGGGCTGGGTTCCTTCTGGGGTACCGCACTCAACACGCCGCTCGAAGAATTCAGCAAGCATTTGGCCGTCAACGCAACCGGCACACTCGCGCTCTTCCAAGCCGTCTATCCGCTACTCGAGAAGAGTACCGCCAAAGAGCCAAAGTTCATCCCGATTGGAACTCCAGTGGGCGGCATCTCCGAAATTGAGAACTACCCGCTCGGAAGCACAGCGTACGGTTCGAGCAAGGCTGCGCTGAACTTTTTGACTCGCAAGATCCATTTCGAGCACGAGAAGCTCTGTGTATTCCCGTTGGCTCCTGGGTGAGTTGTGCACATTCGTTGGTTCGGCGGCTCATGCCGGGTGATAGTAATCAGGATCTCTGCTAACGATAGGCATAGATGGGTCCAGACGGATATGGGCCAAGGCGCGGCCGAGTCCGTGGGTATGGAGGCTGCGCCTACGACTATAGACGAATCTGTTGCAGGGTTATCCAAGACGGTAGGTTGGCTCTTTGTGCCTAATAGAGCGATGACTAACTCGAGTGCAGATTGACAACGCGACGAGAGCGACTTTGGGCGGCGTGTTTGCGTCGTACGATGGAAAGGTCTATGGCTGGTAAGAAAAACGGGCTTCGGAGGTGGTTCGATGGGCAAGTCGCAATACCTTGCTGTAATGTCGTATGTTTTCACATTACGTGCTTAGCACGTGATGTAATATGTCTCTGTAAGAGATAATAGATCTTTCACAATTCTCTTTTACCTTGCGTGATACTTTCGTGATGTATCAGAAGAGCCCTGTTAACGATACACGTCCAATGCTATTGGGTATCTCCCTGTCCACCAACTGATGAGTAATCTTGTTCACACTACCCTACTGCAAGCCACAGATACAGCCGTAATAGGGGGGTAATGATTGAATATAACAGCTGGGGTACCGTGCTTTTAGCAAATCAAACTTACCTTTGTAAGAAGGGTGCACCAAATCTACGAGTTGGCTGCGTAGAGCCACCACATGGGCACAATAATCTCTCTAGCCTTCCAGCAACCATCAAAGACGTTCCCCCGAGTACGCCTAGCTTTGCGAAGTCTCGTTATCTTATTGTGTTGTGGAGATGCGGCCATCAAAAGGTGTCGATATCGAGCAGTTTTGATGTTCCTCACCTCGCTTAGCCGCTCGAGACTTGCCCTTTGTAGTCCCGGTATTCTAATACTTGGTCCAGACATGGCCTCCTCGTTCTAATTCCTTCTATCCGCTTGTGGCGTCGATTTCGCGCGTATACATGTCATTTAGATTAGGATGTCACTAATGTACCTTAAATTCAGCTTGGTAATCTACCACATCGACGACTGCGCGCTTTCGGCAATTTCTGCAAGGGTCTAGCGATTACTCATCAGATGCATAAGCACCTTTGCCTTCAGCCTCAACTTTTAATAGAATGCTGGACAAGATATAGCTACGAGGAAAGGCATGATCTAATCATCTATTATTTATTCGTTAAAGCATCGAGACATACGGGAGAATGGGGACACAGACTAAACTTAGCTCACCCAGGGGCGCAAACCGCGGTCAAGATCGCGTTGAAATCACAGAAAAAGTTCAACTTCGTTCACCTCGAACAACGGGAAGGCCACTGAAATTCGTTACCTCGATTGGGACGCCAAATTCTAATCATGATCCGCAATCTCGAAAGCTTGTGCGAGTCCAGGCCATGCGGTCGTTCTTATGGCAGAAAGGGGCCGCTATACCGGACCCAGCAGCGGACAGTCATAAACACGTGACGCCAGTTGCGTCTTTGAAAGAGAATACCGGTCGGTTCAAGCTGGCTAGCTGGTCCCGGAAGAGCAGGAAAAGAAAAATAGCGTCGCCGCGAATCAGGGCCGATGAACGTGGCGTACATAATGTAAAGAGCATCAAAGAACTAGGGGTCATCAATGTATTACCTATTCCACTATCGTCGAAAACTCAGGAGCTGCTCTATCATTGTACGTTCGTCCGTGTGAAGTCTAACATGCTGTCATTGGCTTATATATCTTATACATTTATCAGATCATAACAATTTCACCCAAAACTCATTCGCCGTTAATCCAGAAGGAAGCTTCTTCGCATTCGCCATATCGGATGCTACTATCCTTAACGCCATCTTGACGATGGTAGCACAGCATTTCCACCTCAGCCACGGGATGGATGAGACTGCAGAGGTTTCATACTATCGGAATGAAGCTATCCGTATGATAAATCAGCGGTTAGTCGCAGGAGATGCTCCGCCAGACGATGCGCTTATCGGCGCCGTTGCATTGCTTGCGAACTGTGAGGTTCGTGTCATATTCTAGTTCTCTTGTTTTATTTAATTGCTAAAACTCATGCTTGCTAGACTTCGAACGGGTCTGCAGAAGGCTCGTCTATTCACATAAACGGGTTGAATCAGATGGTGCAACTCCGCGGTGGAATCTTGGCTTTTGAGGAGAATGCCGTTCTTCAGAGAGTACTCACGTGGTAGGTGATACTGATAAACCTTTTTACACCCTAATTACATCCGGCTAATACTCATCTAGGACCGATTTCAGCTTCGCAGCAACTTACAACCATAGTCCCCGCTTCGGCATCTTACCTAAACTCTCAAGCAACCTCGAACCATCCACTCACTTCATATCCGCCTCGATCGCCGATCTCGCAAGCCCAGAGCTCTCAACCATTGCCGTAACCAGCTGGGAAGTCCTCGAAATCATGGACTCTCTCGATAGAATATCAGCAGCGATCACCTCTTTCCAAGGCACCCTTCCCGAGCGAATCTCCATCAGCAACGCAATCTACCTCGTCGAGCGGCGGCTGATCTCCGTCAAGTCCGAGGCGTGGTCAACCTTCTTCGAGCCCTCGGCGGAGTTCGACCTCTCCGAACCGCTGCGGTACGCGGCTCATCTCTTTTTGCATATGGCGGTACGGGAGTTGCCTGGGAAGGCGAAGATGCACGATGGGCTTCTAAGAAGGCTACGTAATGCGCTACCCGAGTATTTGAATGTTGCAGAGATGGTGGCTTCTGAATTTAGTCTGGGGCTGTTGCTCTGGATTTACTTCATGGGAGCCGCCGCTTCGCGGAAAAGGGCAGATCGAGCGTATTTCGTAGCGGGTCTGATTCAAGTAAGCGAAGCCGTCGCAGTTGAGAGCGCTGGGGCTTTTGAAGGAGCATTGAAGAGTGTTTTGTGGTTGGATGGCTTCTGTAAATCACGATCTAGTGCCTTGTGGGAGGAGATGACCGAGATCCAGGATAGTTGGGGTTGATCAATTCCGCGAAATAAACGTAAAAGAGTTCCCTCAAAGCAATGGTATCAAATCAGGGGTGATAGCATGTGAGCCACTCGTTTCGGAAATCTCCGAGTGTGTGTCCCCGTCTCCGGCTCAAGCTGATCAAGCGCTATCTCAAAGGAATCAAAACTCCACTGTGATACCACGCATGTACGAAATCACGTGAAGGCCTTCGGCCCATGAGAGTCGGCTATTCCAAGATCCAATGCGGCGATATCAACACTTTTGAAAGTACATCCAAGTTTCTTATTCTTTTTCGAAGTACCTGACACCGTCAGGGGTCCCCTCTAGACCCAACTTCAAACAGAAACTTATGTAACGCCCCGAACACCTCAAAATCTCACGTCCACTTTCCCCACCCTTTTTTCAAGTCTTCGCCATAACAAACCTACTCCCACCTCTCATAATCCGGGAAAAACTTCTCGTGGATCCTCTTCGCATACTCCACCAGCATCGGAAACCCCCTCACGACTGCCCTCGACTCCGGAGACCTGTAGTCAATTAGCATCCCGTCTCTCTCCGTCCAAGCGTACGGTAGGAGAGGACTCACGCAGTGCAAACAAGCACTGAAACTACAAATCCGAAGACCACTGCGTCGGCCTCTGACGGACTCTCACCCCCAAGGATCCAGAACGGCGAATGATTGTCCACGGTGGAGGCAGCCTTTGAGGCGGCGAGTAGAACATTGATATTCTCCCAGATCTCGAGCCTGAACGCGCGTATCTCATCCGCAGAGTAGCGTCCTGTGCCTTGCCCGTACAGGGTCTGGACCGTTTTGCGGTAGGCAAGGAGGCCGACAAGAACGCGAATGGGATAGGGGAGGGCGGAGAGGACGTGGTCGCGCATGCGGTAGTAGTTTTGGGTCCAGCGCTCCCATGTCTGCGGTCGAGACGTTAGAACAAAGGAAGAGAGGTTTGAGAAAAGCGAGAAAATAAAGTGCCTACGTGGTAGAAATATAGCTTATCTTCCAGCAGCGCACGGAGCGCGAGATCTATTGCCTTCTTTCCTGGAGAGAGCGTGGCGTTGAGGTCTGGGAGAGTGCCAGAGTCGGTAAGGTGATTGATGATGAGGGTTGAGTCTCCTAGCGTAATTGTACGGTTTGTTTCGTCTGTATATTCGATGTAGGGGATCTTCCCTTTCGGGGCTTTCAGGGGAGAGCCTGAGTCGGTGGTGTAGGGAGTGCCGGAGAAGCGTAGGCGCGCCTCAAGCTTGATGACGAAGGGGGACCAGACGTATGCGCCTACGGTGGGCCAGCCGCGGTATACTGTCAGGCTGGAACTTGGCTTTTCGAATTGTGCTTCTGACATGATGATTTGCTTTGAAGTTTGCTTTGAAGTTTTGGGAATTTGGAGATGGAATATAAATCAGGAAATGGAGAGAACAAAGCCGGAGATTCTTCAATTTGAGAAATTATATAGATCAGACCGATACAAAGAGTTTTGAGAGATGATTGATATGTACAGTCATGATAGTTCGCCCTCAAGTGGTGTACCTTTTTATGTTCGACGCCTCGTACAATTTTCGTACGAAGGTCACGTGTTTCGTACACCGATCGCTTCACAACGTCGTCATTCAACCTTATTCCAACATCTAACATAATTCTGTCTTGGATCCGACATGATGCGTCGACGTCAAGATAGATCCTCTAGGAGTCTCGCGAAGCCATAAAGGGCTACGATACTTCTGCCATTTTCGTCTCTAGATCACTTTCGCGTATTCTCAAAAAAACGAGTTTCAAAAGAACTCACTTGTACCTATAAGCTAACCAAAATGACAAAGCCCAACTACCCAAGACACACACGCCAGCATACCTGAAAACCAAATCCATCAACTCCATATCACAAGTTCCACTCTTTTCTAAATTTGTCGCTCCTCAACCTCGCAGGACATTCCACTCAATTCATCTCGAGGCGTGCTTATTTCCTCCAAAGCTCCGTTTGTTGTCACCATTCCCATTGAACCTAAGGTAGTTCTTGTCCTTGTTGTTAGTTTGCTGTTTGATCTGACGGTCTTTAATCTGTCTCGAGGCACGGCCATCGTCGCGTTTTCCCGGCATTATCAGACGATCTCTCCGGTGCTGAGCGCGTGCCATGGTGATGCGGGAGCCTTCCCCGCGATTGTCTGGAGTTGCTTCAGGATATGGACGCTGTGTGGTAGCATTGGCATCATGATCGGTGGCTGACTGCTCGCTCGGTCTAGGCTGGCTCTCAGATGGTCTCGCTTCGGCAGAAGAGGGTCGTTCAGTAGCGGGAAGAGGAGAGCACGGCTCGTCGGTGAGTGAAGTTCCCTGAAATATAGCAGTTGCAGCGGCTGCAAACCTATCCACGTGAGCATCTTCCGCTACGCTTTCAGCGTCATTCCGATCGCTCTCTGAGTAGCTGCTAGAGGTCGAGCCACTTCGGACTTCCTTAGGGTCTTCCAACTCTTCGCTTTCGAACGCATCGGCATCCCCATGCAGCGCTGTCCTCTTGGCTGCCAAGTCCCGCTCAACAATCTCCCGGATTTCGATCTCCCTATCTTCAGCCGCCTGCCGACTATCTATGACATGCTGATGTCGGAGATGCTCTCGGTGGAGATGGTACTCCTCCAAATCCCGGTCCTGGAGATCCTGGCGGTGCCGATACCTTTCATTTCGCCGGGACGTCTCGGACCCTGCCTCCGAATCGTCATCATCCCATCGGCGGCATAAAGCTCGTGGCTCGTCTTCCTCTGCCTCGTAGCGTCCGAAGTAATCTTCCGGCTCATGTCGCTCAACCAGTTTAGCGCGACGCTTCCTCTCCATCCGCCTCCGCCTCAGGAGACTCCCCACTTTCGCATAGCGGTCGCTTGTATAACAGTCTCGCACAGATCTAGCAGCTCGCACTGCTCGCGGATAGTGATACTTCACGCAGGACTCTTTGTACCACTTGGGCGCACTATGTAGTCGGAACCCCTGTCGCTCTTGCAGCGGATGGTGATGGTACTCGTCGGACTCCTCGTCGACGCCCCGAAGCAGCGTCTGCGGTTCGTCGTCCCCATCGCTCGGCGAGATATTCCGTGTCACTCTGGGCCTCTTCACGTACCGCTCCGGAATCTCTCCTTCCTCATCAGTAGAGGAAAACCTACGCGGCTGCTTGAGCGGCCGCCTTGGTCCACTTGTCGTAGATTCTGGAGGTGTCGTCGGCAGCGCAACACCAACCCACTGAGACTTGAACGGCTCACGCGGTCGGCCTCTATTTACGGCTCGCCGCGAGATGTATGGGCCCTCTTTGCTGATGCTGTCTTGTACGAACTTGTCGTGCTTCTTGAAGAAGCCGGCTGTTGATTTGGGTTCTTGGCCAGGCGGATGGATCTGGAACGCTTCTCTTAGGCGCTCGCGCTCTACAGGCGTTTCGTGGTTCGTGAACGGATTGTAGAAGACACAAGGGTCGCGAAGGGTGCCGGAGGCGACGAGCTCGTGGGATGAGAGGGGCGCTGAGGTCTTCGGGCTTGATGAGTCGAGGTGGCATGAGCATGGGCATGGGCATGGCGGGATGTAGTGACTGGGCGTTGTTGAATTCGACGTCCTCTCTGCAGGGTCATGAATCCATTCATTTTCGCGATCAGTTTGTTCCTCCTCTTCTGGTGTGACGTCGGTCTTGATGTTGAGTACCTCGCGGATTTCCTCTGGCGACTTGCAATTTGTTATGTCGGCGGCCAACTTGACCCAACATGGGCAGCAGCGGGTTCTCGGGCTGATTGAGAGAGCCATCGGCTTAGTAGATCGTGATCGTTCCGGTAGAATCGTGGCTTATGAAACTGTGATCTCAACTTGGTTGGAAATATCGAGAGTCGCGGGTACCAGAAAACTACCCTTGCGGATGATATATTGTCTACGCGGGAAACCCAATTCTTAAGTACTGCTGGCCTTTGTCCGCATTCTCGAAAGAACCAGCTGGCGTGTTGTATTTCGACAAGAAGCGCGTATCGTCTTTGCCTCGAGGATAAAGATGTCTCACTCTCCAACCCTTTATGGCTTAGAGATGAAAAAAGCAACGTTGCGCAAAGCCGATTCCCAGCCATTGGCGTGAAAGCCCCGTCGAATTGATATGAGACTACCGTTGTGCTGCTCGGTTGCGCACCGAGCTCCAAGACAAAACCCTCGGCTTTTCGCGCGCATTCTCACAACAATCACATGTTCACGCTGGCTTCGACCTCCTCAGAGCCCCTTAGCTGTCATTGTCTAAAGCGGCTCGATACGATTTCAAAAATTCAAACAGCATGATGTAATCTTAACGTAAGTGCGGAGTTACATAAGAGAATATTGGAAGTGAGGCGAATAACAAAGCAAGAGGAGCGTTAAGAATGCCCAAAAAGAACACCCAAAGAGCAAAAGACCACTCTCCTCGAGGGATAGTGTAGAAACCCCGGGCAGTTTACTCCGTGAGGATGGACTTACTGCTTCCGCGCGACTTTTCAGTCGAATCTCTAGGACATAGCCATGTCAATTCCTGACAAGGGCGGGATTCGAACCCAGCGCCCTTGCAAAGGGGGGCTCGTTGGTGGCGCTGAACCAACTGAGCCGACCGACCTGCTGTTCGAATTAGTTAGCAGATTGGCAGAATTAAACCAAATATATGGACTCACTCAGGCTGTCAAGCCACAAACACCTTGTGGCGTTCGCAGCTGCCCAGGTGGCTTGTCGCAGTGGTGCTGCCACAACATCGCCCTCGAGATAAATATCCCACTCAAAGACGTTCCTCCCTCCCACCGCTCGGGCCCCAACAGAAATCTTTTACTGGACGAGACCTCACCCAACCCAATCCAAACATACCGAATCCAAGCATACCCAAAAACACCACCGACCGCTCAACTAGCTCGACCACCTGACACGCTTGCCTAATGGCACGAAATTTGGCATCCCTCAACACCGTTAGGGACCCCGCCATCCCGTCGCCAATCTCGCGTGGCTCAAGAGTTCGAATCTGGCTCGAGCCTATAGTTTCTTACTAGTCGCGGATAGAAACCTCATAGTCGGCTCGTTGTGTAGGCTGTGAGAGGTGGCTACGCTCTCCCGCTGAGAGGGCGGTGTTTATGGGATTTCTTTGAGCTTTGAGTGGGAGGTTGGCGTAGAACTCGTCTTGATGCCTTCTCTTCATAACAAATTGTTTCTCCTCTGAGGAAAGAGCGCGGGGGATGATTGCATATGAAATGGCGAAATGGCGAAACGGCGAGAGCGCCCGGTCTTGGGAAGGAAGAAAATCAATTTCGCATTAAAGGTCTTAACAGAATTCCTTCGCTCACGATTTGTGAGAGACGGGAGACGAAATAGGATAGAGGTATATAAGGAGATAGACTAGAAAATCACCTTGAAGAACAGCATGGCGCTATCACCTGTTCCAGCTCTTTGATAAATTTCTTCCACATCTCTACCTTGATTTTGTTACACTGCATATATACAAGTATGTGGTACGCAGGACGCTTCCATCCCAATGCAATGAACCCTCTAGACGCCATCTGGCTTCATCCGTATAGTACAGTATGTTTCCACCGCGCACTCAACCACGCCTTTGTGTTCACGCAGCTTCCACCTCCGCCTCGAGCACCGGTGCTCCCGATATCTTCCCAGTAAACGGAGGCATCGTGAATTCCGGCCAAGGCTTCTTGATCGCATCCTGAATCTTGACGATACATCCTTTGGGGCCGCCAACACAACCTGCAGCAATGTCAGCGTCCGCTCCAGTCGCATCAGCATTCGTAAGAAAAAAACAGCATACCAGTAACCACCACAATCCCATTCTCCTCATCCACCTTCAACACCTTCAAATTCTGCACCGTGACACTCTCATTCCCCATCCGCCCCGCCATCTTCTTCCCCGGCAGCACCCTCGACCCACTCCCCTGACTCCCACCCGCCGACCCCATCGCCCGATGCGTGAGCGAATTCCCATGCGACGCCGGCTGTCCGCTAAACCCCCACTTCTTCATTCCCTATTGCCAGAATTAGCCTCATCCTCCCACCCCCCAATAATTACAACGCAGAAAACTTACCCCCGCAAACCCCATCCCCCTCCCCGTACTCCTCACATCGACCCACCCGCCCTCCCTCCACCACCCGGCCCCAATCCTCCCCCCCACATCCACCATCCCCCCCTCATCCCGCACCCGGAACTCCGCCACCCACCGCTTCGGGCTCACGCCCGCCTGCGCAAAATGCCCCAGCATCGGCCGCGTCACATTGCTCGGGTGCTTCCAGCCCGCGCCCACCTGCACGGCCCAATATCCATGCCGCTCGCGCGTCTTCAGCGCGACGACCTCGTTGCGCTCGAGCTGCAGCACCGTGCAGGGCGTGCGCTTCCCGGACTCGGCGTCGTACATGGCCGTCATGCCCTTCTTGATGGCCAGCGCGCCGGGCCGCAGGGGCAGGGTGTTGGATGCGGCTTTGCGGGCGAGCGCGGCGGTGGAGGAGGCGGAGAGGGTGGGCAGGCCGGTGGTGGGCGGGGCGAAGCGCGAGGGGCGCGGCGTGAAGGTTGATTTAATGGTGCGGGTGGTTGATTGGGGGAGGAATTGAGCGCGGAAGGTGGAGCGGGGGAGGAGGAAGGGCGGAGGGTGGAGCGCGGTGCAATTGAGCCCTTGGGGCGGTTTGGGCGCCATGATGGCGGTTTTGGGCGGTTGGTGGTGGTGATGGGATGGGCGGGAGGTGAGGTTGAAGTTTTTGGGACGCGGTTGGGTTTTGCCAAGACGGTCACGTGATGGGCCTTTTTGGGATGGGAGTGGGTGCGCGAAAGCGACATGATGAGATGTAATGTAAAACAGCTATACAAAATGTTGGAGCTATGCGGTTAGTTAGATCATTGTAGCGATCATCTGTAATTTCATCGGAGGACTTCGCCGTGATATGGCAACTCATCTTTGTGCATGATCTTCACATAGCAGTAGCGGCTAGAATCGTAGGTGAAAGGCCGTGTATGCACCTGTCGTGATCTCATATATACATAAGGAGACGGATAGCCAGAAGAGAAAAGAAGGACAATAAAGGCAGTACTTCAAAACGCAGGATATCCGCCCGTGGCCGTTAACCTCCATCACAGTCCAGGTGACGCATGCAGTATGCTGGACTTCCGTAAAGCTCAAAACAAGCATCTGGAAAACAAATCAAACACGTATGGCCTATCATGTACTTGGCTTCCGGTTTAGTTCGATTGCTCGACCCAGATGCCTCGCTGCACTCTGGCGGGATTGCCGACGGCGACGACGAACTTGGGAACGCTCTAGAGATGTTGTCAGTTCATGTCCGATAGAAGTTGGACCGGATGGAATTGAACTTACATGTGTTACAACTGAGCCAGCACCGACTGTGGCGCCCTTCCCAATCGTTACACCAGGTAGAATAGTGACATTACCACCGATGTAGACATCTTCCTCGATAATGATCTCTTTCCCGGTTGCAGTTCCCTTGCTCCCCTTCCGAGCCCTTGGATCAGTCGAGACCGTGTTACCGAAGATGTTAACATTCGGGCCAATGATCGTTCTTGCCATAATGATAATCCGGCAAGGATCGAGAATCGTGCAATTGGAGCCGAGAACTACTTCATCTCCAATGTTGATGTTATAGCCGTATTCACAAGTGAACGGTGCATCGACGCAAACGTCCTTTCCAAGGCTTCCAATCGGGCTATTATGAGGAGATCGGAGATTCTTGACCCATTTTGGTTCGAGGACCTCTCGGAAGAGCCGGGCGCGCTCCTCACGAGAGATTCCGCCGCCAGGATTGCTGCCGTTGTTAAAGCGGAATAGAGAGGCCTTGCACTGCTCGCGTTCGTCGACCAGTTGAGGATTGAACAGCATATAATGCTCCCCACTTAACATCTTCTCCTTCTCAGACTTGGGCTGCTTGACTTCTGGCGGCGGCGCGACATGCTGCTTGGCCGGGCGCGGATGCACACCCTGAGTGTGATGTTGGAGAGCAAGTTGTGCGGTCATCGCGGACTGGGAAGTGCTGATGTTTTGCACATTTTGGCCGTAGCCTTGCGGAGCAGGGGGAGGCCGCTGGGCAATTGCTGCAGGTTGCATGCTGTGCTCGTACTCATGTGTGTACTGTCGCGGGCGTGGTGCCATTGGAGGCGGCTGTTGGTAATCATGAAGTGGCGGAGGCTCTTGGGCGTATGGCCTGGGTTGCTCTGGCCACCCGTTATTCCATGCGGGTCTTGGAGTCGGACGCTCAATCTCATCAACTACTATAGGTCTCGTTCGAGCTCCGTCGACATGTGATGATGCATGTGGCTCGGTATAGCTTTCTCGGGGATGACCATGACTACTTATATATTAACACAAAATTGAATGAGAATAGAACGAAGTTCTTACGTGTGATAGAGTCCAGACTGTTCAGAAAACCGGTCTTTCGCTTGCAACGGGACGTGTGTCTTGGAAAGACTGGGTTTCGTCCAGGTAGCTTTATGCGCATAACCTTCGCAGATGAAGCCACCGCGAATGCAATTACTGCCTGTGGAAGATTAGTATTTTGCCACGCAAGGACAAGCACGAATACGCACATTCAGGTTTTGCTTCGTCGCATTTCTTCTTCCTCCTCCTACAAGTCTGACAGCCAGTCTTTGTTCGGTTCGCAAATTGCTAAAACATGTTAATTATGACTACTGAAAGTCTGGCGTTCTTGGTCTTACCCTCTTCCTCTTCTTGGGATCAACCTGGACACCAGCGCGAGTGAGTTCGGTAGTGCTGCTCCGGTCTCCTTGATTTCGGGTGTCGCCATCAGCCGTCATAGATCCACCATCAGGGCTACCATTCCTGTCCTCCGATTCCATGCTTCGTGAATCGCGCTGTCGTGAATCGCGCTGTAACGCCTCTGCAAATTGACTATCGTTCATGCTTTCTGCCCGTTGGCGAGGCTGCCAAGTACTCCCGCTTCGCTCGGTCGTGTGCTCAATTGAAACAGGCACGCTATGAGAAACGGTGTTGGGCGAGTCGTCCTCCTGAACCGAGTCGTAAGATGCAACGCGTCTCCGTGCCTGAGATGTGGAACTCTCGTAGGTGTGATAGCCGTTGGCCTCCTCCTCAGAATCCGATAGTTTCCTCTTCCCTGGGCTACCCGTGGAGGGTCTCTCAGCTCCGTTGGGAGGGGTCACGATTCTGTGGCCGTGTCCGTTGGTCGTGCTATACTGCCAGTCCTCTCTCTGGGGCACTGGGATCTTGCGATCCTGCTCCTCGGAGCTGTTTCGCGAGATCGGGGTTACGTTGATGGTGTCACTGGCGGGCATGCCGTTGGTCCCGTTCACGCCGTTGGTTTTGTGTTGCGGAGGGGAGCCTCGTCCATTCACAGCGGTAAATCCAGTCCGCACAGGCTCTCCGAGCTTGTCCTTGTGGCCGAATTCGACTCCGTTAATAAATGGCTGGGCAACAGACGGCATGGTAGAGCTCCCAGAGAGGGAAGGGAGACCCGCCAGCCTAGTAGGGTCGGCAGAGAGCGTGGAAAGAGTGAATATATGCCTGTTATGTGGGGCTCACGCGTCTGATCTTAGCTCGGGCGCGGTATTTTGAGCCACTATCGGAAGTTGAGTCCAGGCTATACACAGGTGGCAATCTATTCTCGCTGGCGATTGTCCGGTAGGACAGAGTCCAACGCGCAAGCCGCACAAGAGGGCGGCTTCGGCGCTTAGGGCGAGCGATGAAGCTGGGTCTCTCCGCAAAACAGCCAACGCACGCTTTGCACAAGTCGCCTCGAATGTCTCGAGCTGGGTCCAGTACTCTCACGCGGCGACAAAGCGGTGGTGGTGGTGAGGGCGGGGTTGTTGCGGATGGCTCGACTCGTTTAACGTTGATGGTGGGGGAGAGAGAACGTGGTAGCCGCGCTGGACAACGGAGGAGGCGGAATGAGGGCGACGGCGGCGGTGGAGAGGGCTGCGCAGAGGGCGGGGGCAGACAGCGCAGTGTATAAAGCGCGGCGAGCGCGGGCAGTCCTGCAGAGGCTCGGGGAGGGGCGCAGCGTGGGCAGGTCGCACGTCGCGGTGGACGGCGGCGGCTGTTCTTGTCCTCAGCACGGGCGGGCGCCAGCTTGATCCCCGTCGCGGACGCTCATTGGGCGGGGGCCTGGCGAGTGCAGGCGGCTAGGGGCAAGAGCAGCGCGATCGCTAGTGGGCTTGCGCTGTCCCGCCGCGCATCGATGGATGGTGGTTGAACGTGGTCGAGGGAGGCCGTGGAAAACGGGCACCACGAGCCAGACCCCACCCCATGGCTTGCAACCCACATCTACACAAACACCGCAGCAGGCACCTCACAGCACCGCCGCACGAGATGGGTGGCCGAAGAGGGCCCTCGACGACGGGGGCCTGTGAGACAGATGCAGCGCAGCGCCGCGCGCACCGGCAGCGGCAGCACGTCCCCGGCGGAGACTCCCTGCGCGAGGCGGTTCGGGTGCGGGCGACGACGCCACCCACGCCGCTGGTTGGCCGTCGCGGACAGCATCCCGGGCCGCCTTGCATCGAGGGCCACCGGCGAGCCGACTGCTTTTGCGACAGCCGCGCCAGGCTCGCCAGCCGCCCTCCATCTCGAAGCCCGTCGGTCCGCGCACTCTCGCCTACAACTCGATCCTTTAGCAGCAGACGGGGAGCCATCCGGGAACCGCACGTCTCGCGCCTCAGCCATCGATTTGGCCTCCCGGGCTCTCCTGAACGTTTAGCGCCCACCTCGCGCCCTCTCGCGCGCTGGCGCTTACGCCTGTGATCTGCTTGTAGCACGACGAAGCCGCGAGGCAGTGCAGCGACGCGCCCAACTCTCTCCAGCGGGTGGAAATTGCCTGAGGGCCCTCAGAGGCGTTTCACGGCCTGCTCAGGTGCCTCTCTTCTAGGGCTGCCACGCCGTCGCCCACTTTTCATCGCCTCCCACGCCGCCCAGAACTTGGCCTATCCGACGGCCCGCTCTCTCCACACGCCAGCGACCCTTTAAGCTTCCTCCAGATCCCGCCTCTGTTCGCTCCCAAGGCGCCCCTCGCCTCGAGCCGTCCTCTGCGACCCTTTACGCGCCCTCAACCGCCCATCTTGCTTGCTCGTCACACCAGGGAACGTGGTGGGAGGCTGCTGTGAAACATTGCCCAGCAACAGCCAGCCGCTGCCTGCCCAGGCTGCTAGTGTCGTTTCCCGAACATGCGCTCCCTCGCGCCGCTGAATGAAGCGCCAGTTGGCCCCGGCCAAGAAACGTCGGGATTGGGCATCACAGCCAGCTGCTTGAGGAGCCTCGAGAACGCATCCTGCATCCGGTGGCAAAGGCAACCGACATGGCCCCTGGCAGCTTACCCGGCAGGGTGCAGCCGCGGGCAGTGAGCCGCCAGGAACCACATGACCGCCGACACGCCCGTTGTATGCAAGGTGACTAGCGGACTTCCTCGTTTATTGATTGACCCTCTATCCACCGCGACTCTGCGCCGCAACTCTCACGCTTCTGCTCTCCTTGCTTCAGTTCCAAAAGTGCGTCTTAGGTTCGCGCCGCTCCCGAGCCGTCCGGCAAAACGAGAGCATCAACAGCCATTAGGTCTCCAGCCGCGCTGGAATTACCCAAGATTAGCGGGAGAGTGTCCCGAGCACACGGATGAGCTGTTTCCTGGGTCTCGTGGCGCTTCCAGGAACCTCTCGTTCTACATACAACATTCTTCGCAAAAACATCGTCATATACGTCAAAATCTTGATGCTCTCACTCAACCTGATCATCGCTTGCATTTGATTGGAATGGGCTGAAGAATGCCGCTTCTTCCCGCCAATAGGCTCCCTCGAAAATGCTCGCTAGAACTAAGCGGCGTCCGCAGTCTCGCTATTCATCACAGTATGCCTCGTTGGCATTGAGTATCTGCGGCATTTGTGCCATTATCACCAGGGCGTTCGCATCAGACTCCGTGCGTATCTTGTTCCTTCTTCTCGTTCTTCTACTGGCGCGTTCGGTAGGACGTATCGCAAGAGGAAGCGAGCGAGGGGCGGAGCGCCCACACAGTGAGTAGAGAGGGTGGACGCGAACGATACAGAGCATAGGACGGGGGCGCAGATAACTACTCTTTGGTGCACACAATCGCCCCCTCCAATAGAATCCTTCGGTGACGAAACACTAAGTCACCCTGCCATCAATGCGTATGTGAGCTGCTGCAGGAAATCTTGACGGATTGGTTGTTGGTGGGTTGCTGTGCCGCGCTGCGCGGTCTGCCCCGCTGCCCTCGCCGCCCTCGCCGCAATCTAAGAGGAGTCACAAGGGATGCAATCCCTGCACCCTTCAAAACCTTGAAGGATCACTGGTCTTCGAATCAGATTCATTGATGGTTGCCATATCGAGATTTGGACTACCGAAACTCGGCTCCCCCTCCTAGCCACTACCTAATACACTGTCGTCGGGACTTGTCATTCAATGTCGGAGCTTCACAGCGGAAGAAGTCGGGTTAGAACTGGAGCTGTCGTGCTACATGCAGTTGTGCCACTGCAAACCAGCGTTCTCTAGCACCTTTTAACGCTCACCATGGGCACGGCAAACTCTTCATGGTAAGTGCATCGACATAACCTGGCGATGCTCGAGGTTGATACCTAGAGCCTTGTAACCATAGAGTTCTATTAGGGCTAACTACAGAGTAAATCCATCCACCTGAATATAATAATACTGTCCTCGCATCATCCTGCGTTCTCACAGGTTAAGATCATAAGGGAGGCAATGCATTTACCGATTGCTGTAACCTTCTAAGATCTAGTCACGGGCCAATCAATATCAATACAGCAATATTTCCTAAATCAGTTTCCATGAAAGCCAGTACCTCACGATCTCGACTTCAATGTGAGGGTTGCTGAAATGTCACGTGAAGCGCTAACCGCTTTCGTGAAGCCGACGACACATCTTCCCACCCACCCTGCCACCAACTTTTCGTTTTCATCCCATCATCCCCCAGACCCCTGATGGGCCAAACAATCATTCTTCAAACGCAAACCCTCTCAGCCTCTAAGCGATAGTCCATGTATTCGTACTAACTACACCACTAACTTGAAAGACCAACTACAAAATCAAAGGTCATTTCCGCAGACGAGTCGCCACTCCAGTCAACCTCGGGGTGCCTGCATTGAAGTCAATATCCGAAAGGGCGTTCCTACACCATGATTGATGTGTTTCCCTCTCAGCCTGATGCCCATGCAGGTGGACGCACATGCGTTGGCGTGGCTGTGGCTGTGTAAGGCTGCCAAGCTGAGGTCGTGTAGGTGGAACGGTGAGCGGGGAGTGTTCAGCCTTCATCGTAAGAGGCCTTTTTCTCTTTCCTTCTCTTTCCATGTGTCCTCTCTCATATCGCTCTATATAGTAGTAGTCTTGCACCAAGTCATCCATCTACGAATATAGGTTCTGAGCGTCTATATCTTTTACGGTAATGCTGCGAAGGGCTTGGGAGATTGCCGCTAGCGAGCGGTAGAATATGTCCTTGAGTCGGGACACTAGTTATCGAAGTTGAATCTCGCCAGGTTTTCGCCGCCACCGCCATTATGTCGTTCTGCACCTACTGTAGTCAGTCATTTGCAAAGCTCGAGCACCTCGAGAGGCATATACTCACGCGTACGTCTTCATCCACCCTCTGCTTGAGATCCTTCGGCCTAGGAAGGCTAACAATATTTGCTTGGACCAGACACTAATGTGAAGCCGTTCAAATGTACCACTTGCCAGATGTCCTTTGCCCGCCGGTATATCATTACCCATTTTGAATGCAAGTCAGCTTATTATGCTTACTTGCCGTCAGCGATTTGCTTCAAAAACACTCCACTATCCATGGCAGGGACTATAACAATCAACACGATGTTCCTGACCAAGGCTTAACGCCGAATAATACACCGACTACTTGCACTAATTGTGCAAAGGACAAAGCCGAGTGCGACAAAAAATTCCCTTGCACCCGTTGCGCAAGTAGAAAACTATGCTGCATTCGGCGGATTACTCTCCCTCCAACGACGAATGCCAGTTCTCTAGCATCGCAGTCAGAAAGCTCTAGCACGCTTGCTATACCAAAAGATGTAAGCCCATATTCTGTCTACCAATTACCGGGACTACGAGAATTCATATTTTCCAACCAGACCACCGCGGATTTTACATCTGATTGCGATGCTAGAGAGTCTGCAATTGAATCGGGCCTTCCTCGGCCTAGCTTCCTTGATACGGACATCAGGTCATCTACGTATGAACTAGCGCCACATTATGGCACAACCGATAAGGACAGAGATGAAGCCCACCGAGAAATCGCAGTACCAAACTCCTCTAAACCCATCCAGCAGAGAATTGATCGTCGTAGTAGTCTCGCGTATGAGTCGCAGGCAGCGATTTCCGTCAACTTATCGAACCCGAGCAACGAAAACCCATCCTCGTACCCACCAAGAGATGAGTTTGGGTTAATACTGGACCTCGAACACAATGTCGCTGGTTTTCCTTCCCCTGATCATCTGCCTCGTCCCTTGAAGAATCGTTTCATGCGCCTCAGTCAAGAGCACATTTCCCGTGGCTCCCGCCCAATTGCTCCAAAGGTCGATTCACGATGGGAACTACCTCCAAGTGTACTACTACATCGCAATTCCCCAAGGCGCGCTACGACCGTCTGTGCCAACGGAGCGATTGTCTGCTTTGCCCCAGATTCAGGCGCACGCGAACACGTCCTCCAACTCGTCTCCGCTTTGGGGCGACCCCTTGGGCACGTTCTCCGTGATTGGCAGTAGTTGGATCTGGAAGCCCCCTCAATTCTCCTTGGGTAATGGCTACGCAGGTGGTCTCAGGACGCCTTCGCCCGAGCAGGATGGCTACGCAGGCGGTCTCAGGACGCCTTCGCCCGACCAGGCTCCCAAGAGTGACCGTCATGATACTAGTCTTGAGACTAATAACCATGATCTGTCCACCAAGCGCAAATATACAAAGCACCCGAAGGTAAGGCTGTTGAACCCTTACCCCCTCGAGAGCAAGTATATGAAGTAATTGGGAATGCTGCTGATCGTCATCTTAGCCCGATGAACACGCTCCCGAAAGACCGCCATCCGCTTACGTGATCCTCTCCAATCGTCAGTGTACCTTTCCTACTGCACATTCTACCAGAGCATACTAATAGAACATAGAATTTCGTGAGTTGTTCAAGGGACAGGAACTTTCGTTCACAGATATTGCGAAAAGGGTCGGAGACCGCTGGCAAGCCCTTTCCTCAGAAGAACGCCTGCCTTATGAGCGTCAGGCCATCACAGCCCTAGAGGCATACACTGCTCAAATGGCTGAGTACAAGACTACACCCGAATATGGAGAATATCAGAAATATTTAATGGAGTTCAAAGCCAAGAGGCAACAGGACCATGATTATGACAATCATGGAAAGAAACACCGGGAGGAACTAGCACGGCAACATGAGCCAGCCCTTTCAGGCACGGATGAAAATATTGATTACTTGAATCAGCTAGCGGAATTCCATAAACAGCATGGTGGCAGCCTCGATCGATTCCCGAGCGTGGATAAACGACCTTTGGATCTGTTCAAGCTCAAAAGGGCCGTCGAAATGCGCGGTGGATTTTTCGAAATAAGCAAGCAGAAGACGTGGGCCGAGATTGGAAGAGATCTGGGCTACAGCGGCAAGATCATATCCTCGCTTTCCACATCACTTAAGAACTCATATCAAAAATGGCTCCATCCTTACGAGGAATATCTCCAAACTTTGAAAATACGCCAAGCCGTCATCAACGAGGAAGATGGAGGCACCATCAAGTGCATCTGCGGCTTCTTGGACGATGTCGGGTCTGTTATTTTGTGCGAAATGTGCGACAGATCGCAGCACATAGTCTGCTACTATGAGAACCGTGACGTGCCCGACATCCACGAGTGCGTAGACTGCTCACCCAGGCAGGTCGACTCAGAGAAGGCCACTGCACTCCAACGTCAGCTTCGGAATTTGCCTAAGGTCGGAGAACGCACATCTTTCCTAGCAAATGAGCATTTGGATCCTAGCCACGCACAATCAGCCGCTCAGCACTCAGACCAAACGGTTGACGCTCCTAGGCTCTCTCTTCCTTCGGATTCCGGATACCAAAGCGGTCTAGGGACAGACACCGAGTCTGCCTGTTCGATGGGGTCCGTCGGAAGCTCTCTCGGCCTTTCTCAAGACTTTCTCCAAGAGTTTGTTGCTTTCTTCGGAGATGTGCTCATCGAGAGAGCAGGCGCACGAAATTGAGCGGAACACGCCCTTGCGCAACAATCTCCAGAGGTCATTGAGAAGAGACTCAGTTTGCTACTCAAAGACTACGCCATAGAATTATTACAGACAAAGGATATCCTCGTAGAAGATTACTTGAAGAACAGGACCCCCGCTCGAGCCATAGGAACAGATGTACGAATCGCAACTGGTGCAACAAAATTGATTCGCAGGTACCGCCCAAAAATCACACGTTACTTTCGAGACAACGTTACTACGCCCACGATCTCACCCGAGTCAATTTCTTCACGTTTACAGGAGATGAGCAAACAATTCACTCCTGATCCGAGTGAAGGCATTGATGACGGACCAGTAGAAGACGACGAAGATGACGCTGATGATGGCGAGTATGCAGCTGACCTGGCGCCCATTCGGGACTTATTAATCTCTGGGGAACCGTTTCAACATCTGTTGACGGCGGTGCGCCGAAATCTATATTACAACGATCTTTCCGGAATAGAACAAGCCAGACAAAATGTCTTTGCGGCGTTGGCGATTAAATGCTCAGGCGCTTGTTCCCGCGCAGGGCTACCTCTTAGCAATGGCCCCGATGTGCTCCAGGAATGTGCGCTTTGTAACACCACTGAGGTTCCGTTAGAATTTCTCGTTGACTGGAGTTTACCCGAATTTTTAAAATCACAATTTGGCCGACGAATACCTCCACTGGGATCCTTGATTACACTGACTGGCTCAGCTCTATACACTCAGGCAGCCACTTGCTCGGAATACCTTCAATCAACATGGCCCAATAGCGGCCAGTTCTTCCTGGACTCTCTGCAAGATGTATTAGCTAGAAGGTTTGCCGCAAAACCCGAGGAACGCGTCTTTTCTGACTGTAAGTTCGGACTCGGCTCCTTAGTAGCTGCACGTTTCACGAACTCGAGTTATCTTTACTTGGCTTAAATGTCGGAGCCACGAGCCTTTGTACACCCCTTCATCACCACTTTTTCCACTTGCCATTCATGTCTTTTACTAACGATATTGCCCTAGACACCTCCGCAGGACTCCGCATTGGTATCACTCTGCCTCCAACGTCCCCTGAAGAGGGCGGTATTAGCAGAATGGAGATCCGGGCAAAGGGAATTCCACAAAGGCTCCTTGAATTCACTCAGCAAATATCGTGGATTGGATCTGCATTGAATTCTTCAAGTGTAGATGAGCAAATAGCCTACTCAGAAGCTGTCATCACCCAGGGGCCATCCAGCCTGAATCTATCCTTTCGCAGTACGGCTTTACATCCTACCGAGAATCCATGCTGGCTTCCACTCTTCTCTGGTGCAACTATTGCACGAAACTTCCCCATACCTGAACGTCAAGACCAGACAGGACTAGAGATACCTATAGATATCATGGCAGGTATTGCTGGAGTTCGACACGCAGTAGAGTATGCCGGCGGAGTCGTCATGAAAGGGTTCTCATCCATGTTTGTGCCCATCAAAAATCTAGGAAATCTTGTACAATGGCATCTAATATCCAGTCCGGACTGCGAGACTCGGCTGAGCTATAAGGACGTCCTCGAAAGATGCAAAAACCGAGCCACCTTGGAAGATGTGAGCTTAGAATCTCTTCGCACAACTCGAGCTATTGTGGGCTGGTGTAGCGAGGCAACTACTGCGCTGGGGTCTGGCTCGGCGAACTACGAGAACATCGATTACTCTGGAGCAAAGGATGCGGAAAGCTCCCTGAAACTTGCGGGAGGTACACTCGGCTTTCAGCAGTTCGGCGTAGCTCAGGCCAACTTCAATCTCGGGCCCAAAGACGGCAAATGCCATTTCAAAAGAGATGGACCTTACAAGCGCATCGTGTCAGCCGCAGAGAAGGCACCAGTTGCTCTATATGACACAGCAGAAAATCGAGCATGGCTTGTGCCAGCTTCAAGTGTTATTCTTCATATAGCACAACACCGGAATTGGCTGGAGCCTTTTGAAATCGATGGTCACCCTATCAAGCTCTTTTCGACCCCATCGACAGGCTTGACCGCCAAAGAGAAGCTACTTCAAAGCGCATCGACAGAATTAGACGATGACAACTACACATTCCGAGATTTGGTCGTCAGTATCTGGTCTCTCCTTGAGTTCCTCATAGATCAGGATGTAAAAGCCGATGAAATACCTGGGGCAACCATCGAGGTACCTTGCCAAGAGATCCTGAAAGGGTTCGAGTTCAAAGCCATTGTCGAAGAGCGTTCGCCCCTTCGGCAGAAGCAGACCAGTATTATGAAGACTTGCGGGGGATGGCCAAGACTTGTTCGCGACATTGACGCCTTGGTACTGTTGGCAAATGGTTTTGAAGATCTCATTCATCCACTCAAAAAACGCGATCGGGCCCTTTGCAATACCTGGAGAAGAGTGCCGAAAGGGAAAGACTATCTGGCTGCCAGCATCAAGATCTTGAACGACCTCTATGATGTTGCAGAGTGCAGGCTCAACCGGAAATACCTCACTTCTACTCGGATACAATGGCATCGAGGCTCATCTCTCTTCGAATCATGTACCGAGCCGGGCGCATACAGGTGCAAGTGCGTCAGATTACAGCAGCTAGTCCCTAAACCTGCCATTGGCACTATCGTACCCCCGGGTCCCCTAAAAGAGGTCATGGACGGTGCTGTTATCTTCGGGCACCATAGTTCTGTGTTACAAAGGCTCACGCCTGCTTCCAAAGCTCAGTCGACTAAAGGACTCTTCAGTCAACCGAACGTTTCCCTCACTCCCATTATCATACGCCAGGATCCGGACGAAAGCCTATCGGACAGCGAAACAGTGGGACAAACGGACTCGGATGGCACTGGCATCACACCGTCGTCAAGTATCACATCGTACACCAACGAGGATGACTTCGGCAACCAAGATGTGAGTATGACTGGCCTGGAGCTTGAACCTAGTGGGTCGCGAAAACGATCGTGGCCTCCAGATGAGTCTTGCGATAGCCTGGTGGCACCAAATCGACACTCTCTCTTTCCCGAACCAAACAAGAGATCGAAGAACGCGACGCTCAGCAGCGAGATACACACCGGTTGCCGTGCATTTGGCGGGAGTCGAAAGTCTCCTGAGACTTCGACACCGACACCGGGTCTTGGCAATGGGATGCATCCATTTTATGAGTTCGAGGATGCAACCCACCCGAGTTCTTCACCCCAACATCGTGTCCTAAAGAGACAGGCGGCTCAGACCTTTGATCGAGAATTCATTCAAAGAAAGCCATAATTGATTTGGCGAAGTTTTAGGACTTCGGCATTCTCTTGAGTCTAGCGAACCTACGTTACTATGGTCTTCACTATCTACCGGATAGCGAGAGGCTTTCTAGCCGACGAAACCAGGTTCTCATCGACCTGCGTCCGCTAGACGGGCCTCAACTGAACAGCATTCGTCAGAGCCCATCAATCTCCCCGAAAATCGGTTTGCCCGAGCCGTATGTAGTGCCTACAAGCCGCCTTTTCGTCGTCAGTATTCTCGATGGTAGAGGTTTTGCGCGAAAAACCCGAGACTGCCTCCTGGAAGGGTGGTTCGGCTCTCGTCAGGCCTCATTGCTAAAACTCCCGATCCGAGACCCAATGGTGGCGTTTTTTTAGGGGTTACGCCGCGACCTCTAATCACAAGCAGCATACTGGATGATAGAAAGCCGGATAGAAGGCCGGATAGAACGGGAAACTGAGCCTTGAAGAAAGGGATCGGGGGATTATCTTGGTCTATATGATTTCATTTCCTGGGACTTCAACGAGCGGAAGATCGATTCAGATGGATGAGTTTTCTATGGTGAGAGGTCTAAAAGGGATGAATGTGTTGGTGATCTTCTTGGCGCGTAACGAAAGATGTTTAACGACTGAGAACTTGTGAAAAATAGTACAGGAATATGCATTTGACGAACTGGAGAAAGTGTGACGAGCCTGAACCCTGTGAAAGGGTCTTGTGCACCTTTGAAGATGTCGAATTGGAAATAGTCTTACGGTTGTCTCCTCAGCCATCCATGGTACTGGAAGAAATAGACCCAGCGAGCTCGTTCCACTATGAAGAGCAAAACAACTGACACTCACCCTACTTTACCCCATCAGCAATACCCGTATATGCAGCAGCCGCGACAACATGCCGCTCTCCACGTCTCCCACCCTGTCCAACCCACGCGGTATTTACGGGGGCGGGATCGCCCGTTCGGCCGGTGGTACAGAAACTCGATTCTATTATTCCACCCCATCTCGAGAGCGGGAGAGGCTCAAAGGCTGACACACATCGTCCACGCATCCATCCCACCCCGTTCCCGCCGCTTGGTCGCGCGGAAAAGCATAGTCGCGTTTGCGGGGAGAAGTCCAGCCTTTGCGCGTGCAGCGAACCCGGCCAGCCGAGGAAGCTTACCGGTGACATAGCTCCATCCGCAACCTCACCTCCATTTGCTCCCCACCATCACCCTGAGAACACCCCCGCCGATCCTCCACCACGCCTCGACTGATGCCCGCGAAGCTGTCGGAGGCATTGCCACAATGCTGAACAACGGATTGCGCGCAGCTGCGCCCGTGGCCAGCCAGCCGCGGGCCAGCGCGATCCGGCCGTGTCGGCGACGGCGATGGATGAGCACAGCAACGAAGAAACCTCGAACAGCCCTATTCTTCCCAGGTATCTCTCCCCCTACACTCTTTATACAGCACCTCCCCTTCTAACACCCCAACCCCAGGCCAAGGCGTCCAACGCATCGGCATGGTCACGCCCTGGCTCGCCGCCTTCCCGCGCACCGTCGCGCCTATCCTCGACGAAATCGACAGCACCCTCGGCGTGCCCCTCTCGCGCATCATCGCAGACGGGCCCAACGCAGCCCTCACCGCGACCGAGAACGCGCAGCCCGCCATCATGGCCACATCCATCCTGATCCTGCGCGTGCTGGAGCGCGAGTTCGGCTTCCACACCCCGGCCCGCGTCGACGTCACGCTGGGCCACTCGCTCGGCGAGTTCGCGGCGCTAGTTGCCGGCGGCTACCTCACCTTCCACGACGCGCTGAAGATGGTGCGGCGGCGCGCCGAGGTCATGGCGCGGTGCAGCGCGGACGCGAGCGCGAGCGAGGGCGGCGAGTTCGGCATGGTGGCGCTGGTGTGCGAGAGCGAGGCGCACATGCGGGACCTCATCAAGGGGATCTACGAGTTCTTGGGGCTGTCGAGCGCGGGGTCGAAGTCGGATTCGGCGAATGACTTGCCGGCGGTCGAGCAGGTGTCGATTGCGAATATCAATTCGAAGAATCAGATTGTGCTAAGTGGGAGTATTGAGCGGATTAATACGCTCATGACGAATTTGAGGCAGTTTGGGGGTCACGATCCGAGGCATGTGAGGTTGAAGAGTGATAGCCCGTTTCATAGCCCGCTGATGAAGCCGGCCGAGGAGATGATGAAGAAGTTGCTGTATGAGCCGACGGAGGAGGGGAAGGATATCATCACGTGGCCGGGGACTGTGCCGTGCATTTCGAATGTTTCGGCCAGGCCGTTCAAGTCGGAGGATCAGCTCAAGGATTTGCTGGCAAGAGGATGCGTGGACACTGTCAGATGGTGGAATTCTGTCAGGTATCTAGATCAAGAAGAGAAGGTCAGGAGATGGGTGGGGATCGGCCCAGGCAAAGTTGGCAGGAACTTGGTGGGCAAAGAGGTGGGAATGAAGGGTGCTGTCAAAGGCGGAGGAGTCTGGGGCATCACATCGCCAAAGGAAGCGGAAGAGGTCATGCGAGCACTGGACGACACAGAGCACATAGACGAGGAGGAAGAGGAATGATTCCAAACTGCCAACAGACGGTCAATTTTTTACAGCTAGGAACGCGCCGAGAATGGGCTCAATCGCCATATCTCGGGACCTCTATAGAGACGAGATGACCAATCCGGCATCTACAAAAATCAGCAACCACACGAAGAGAAAAGAGAGACCAGAGCACCCACCAACTTGGATCTTCTGGCCTGTCATGGACGAATTCTTGGCCAGCATTACAAACGCATTCGCGCAGTCTACCAGATCCGTAGCCATTTTCAACGCCGCCCGGTCCTCGATCGCTTTGATCATTTCGGGCGAGTATTGGAGACCCTGGGGCTGTGAGCGATTACCCCAGTTTTGGAACGAATAAGAGGAAGGACGCACCCATTCCGTCAGCAATAACCCAGGCAGCACAGCATTCACCCGCACTTTCGGTCCCTGCGTGCTCGCTAGGCATTTCATAAGATGCAGCTGCGCGGCTTTGGTCACAGCATATGCCATTGAGGAACCGCCTTGGGAGACGCCCTATATCATCGCTACATTAGCCTCATCATCCACGCTCGACACATGAAAATACAGCTAGAAGGGATCTTAGGGTACGCACGGCGACTGAAGCAGTGAGTATGAATGCGCCACCATCGGGGTTTGCGTTGAACGTCGGCAATGCGGCTTTCAGGAGGGCGTGCTGCCCCTTCACGTTTACGGCCCAGCACTGCGTTGATCAGCGGGCTTCCTGGTGGATGCAAGGAGCGGAGAGAGCTACTTTATCCCACTCCTCCTCCGTGAGCGCGTCCAGGTCGCCGAAGGTGCCGAACTTGGTCCAGCCCTGTAGAATAGCAGTAGTGATTAGCATTACTCCTTCACGTATTCGAAGAAGACCAAAAAACGGGGAGTAGCGAACTAGCGCGAGGCTTTGTACAAAATAGACCACACAAAAGCAAATGAAATAAATCCCCCCCCCCAAACACAATCCAAAAAAAAAACCCGCACTCACCGCATTCCCAATCAACACATCCAACCCGCCCAACCCCTCAATCGCCTCGCGCACACACCGCGCGCAGTCCGCCATGTTCCCGCAATCCTAGGGGCACGTTGATCAGCCTTACCATCAAACCCCCCCCCCCCTTTTCTTCACATCTCGACTCGCTAGGTGAGGGCGTGAGGGGGCTGACGAACCGCTTGCACCACCACAGCCTTCACACCATACTCTTTCTCAATCTGCTCTTTCAAAGACTCGGCAGGCTCCCGCGCGCACACGTAGTTGATGGCGATGTTGGCGCCCTCGGCGGCGAAGAGGCGCGTTAGGACGGCGCCGAGACCGCTGGAATTACCGAAATTCGATTATTAGCGCGGCTGGGGTTTTGGGAGGGGGGGGGGGGAAGGAGTGCAGATTTTAGTTTCTAGTAGAGGAGAGCATAATGGGGAATGGTTGAGGAGGATAACGGAAGCGGAACCTTCGTAGAACGGGTAAGATGTGGCTTTTGGAGAGGATTTGATGGGGGAACGAACATGGGGGAGATGGGGCTGGGGTAGACGAGAGAGAGAGAGAGAGAGAGAGAGCACTGCGTACCGTGAGCCGCCCGTGATTAGCACGTTGCGATTTTTGAGGTCGTAGGGCATTTTTGGGCGGTTTTGGTGTTTGGGGGCGGAGGGTATTGAGGGTGTCGAAGTTCGGGGCAATTGGATGGAAGGATTGAGAAGAAATTGGTAGTTGGTTGTGGCAGCGTGCTTACGCAGGATGTCGTACATATGCTTTCCCCCCCCCTTCCCCGTCTGAAGGCCGTAACTCGAGTCGAGTTGCCTTGCCTCCCTACGTACGAAGAAGCTCGTTTTTAGTTGTTGCATAACCGAAACCACATAACCATTTCACCAACCTCCAGTGCCCACCACGCGGCCAAATAAATTGTGGAAAAAGGCTCTACGCTTCTAAGGCATACCTTTCTCTATTATTCTAGTCATATGTTCTTTTATTTTAGAGTGTGGGTGCAGTGCACGGAAGTTCAGAGCAGCTTGGCATTACTTCGGTTATGCCACACTAAAAACGAGCTCCTTCGTACCTAAGGCGGGGTGGAAGGTGGGATGGAAGGTGGCTGGTGGTTCTTCACTGTGGCTAGTGCATCCTAACCCCATCCAGCGTAGACAGATTGATCTGCCAAAAAAACATTCAAGACACGCACATGAAGATCAGTGGCGCAAACCCAGGCTTCCTGTATCAATATTTGTGCAACATTTGGATATATTGCTTTGGTACATCCAACCCAACATCACACCAATCAGCCTTCTTCTCCACATTCCCTCCCTCCTCACCTGACCTACATATTATCAAAATCCAACCCCCATGCATCATCATCATCACCCAACCCCATCCCCATTCCCATATCCCCCCCAAGATCCAACCCCAAATCCATTGCCCCGCCTCCCAGATCCAGCCCACCTCCTGCCCCTCCAACGCTGAGATCTAAATGCCTTTCCAACCCCCTCTCTAGCCCCTGCTGATCCATCGCCATATTAGATCCCACCGCCGCAGCCGCCGCGTCGTTGACAGCGCTCATGCTCATGTCGATATCCGGCATCGCGTGCTGCACGTCGACGTTGAGCGCAGGCAGAGCGTGCGCGCCCACAGCTGCGAGCTGCGCTTCGACGCGACGGTGTAAGCGTACGATTGTCTCTGCGGTGGCGGTATTGGTGAGGTAGATGCTGGCCGCGTTGTCGTACTCGACTTTCAGCATTTCGCGGAGGTTGATGCGGGTGTGTGGGGGGGCGATGGCTGCAATCGGAGAACCCACCCACACAACTTCGAGAGGAGAATTCTGGGTGCTAGGGGCGCAGATGAGGGCAGTGGCGACGTCGAGAGCCACGGCGCCGTTGCCGGTGGAAGTCTGAGACTTGACTTCGTCGAGGATGGCGTGGAGGGTTTTGTGGGCACCGAGGAGGGCGGAGGTGGTGAAGAGTTGGCGGTGGGTGTAGCTGGGTGGGGAGAGGTGGATCGATGCATTCGAGGACCAGATGATGAGGTCCCGGATGGTGTTGCGAAGAGCCAGGCGAAGGGTGTTGCCGGGGGTGCTGGTCCAATGGTCGAGGTCAGTAATGGATGCATAGGAGGAGCGTTCGTAGTGGAGATAGCCTTTGATGGTCTCGAGGAGGGGTCCGATGTCTGGGCGAGCTGGATCTCGGCGGCGGAGAGTTCGTAGACATTTCTCTAGTCGGGTGGAGACCATGGAGAGAATAGTGCTGTGCATGGTCTGTGCATCACCGGATATCGAGTTTGGCCGAATGAGCTTGTGGAAGATCTGCATCAAGACATCGACATCTTGGTGGCTCTGTTCAAGCGCATGAGATGTCATCCAAGTCAATGCGCCGACTAGTGAGGGTAATAGAAATGTCTCAAGGAGATCTATCCAGGTTAGCGACCCATCGATCAAATTCTGCGTCGAACTTACATTCTAGAGCCCCTTTGACACTGTCCATGGACAGCACATCCGCTGAACAGGCATAAATGATTTGACTAAACAAGGTCGGCACTAGCAGATAGAATTCTTGCATCCGGCATGACTTCATAACATCATCTATCGCGGCCGAGTCCTCAGTGAGCAGACCTCGAAGCCAACCGCCTAGGTGTCTACTTTGCTCATCGGTAAGCTCGTCTGCAGGGATACTGAGATGTCCGCGCTCAAGCACTTGCGATACGAAAGATCCAGGCTGTATACCAAGATCATGGTATGTAAGTTCATGCCGATGCACGAAAGCGAGTATTAGGACCAGAATGGCCCCGAACTCGTCATATACAGGCTGATACTCGCCTATGATTGTCAACTTTGCTCACCCAAGTCCTAAGTCCAGAGTTATCTTACCTTGATCTCCATCATACTGCCAATTGTCTAGGAATCCGCACAGTGGCTGTAGTATACTCGCAGGAGACGTGAATAGAAGCATTACATCTAGAGCTTGCGGCTTTTTTGACAGTAGATTAGATATGGACTTGAGATAAGGGGTCATGTTGGTCCCGCAAAGATACGATATGAACTAGATGACTGTCAATAACAGAATATGCCGTCTTATGCATTGACATACCTCAGTAAGAGCCAATACGATCGCCCCAGCATTGCCGTCCATGTTCTCAATTTCATCGATAAACATGTTGACTTTCTCGAAGCTATCCTTGCATTGCTTCAATAGATCTTCTTTGACATACTTGACTTCCGGTGGTTCCTGCATTGGTCGTTCACCGAGAAGCCTCTCTATATTTGATATTGGGATAAGATTGTGGAGAGCGCAGGCGTTAAGGAAATCTTGACGAACGTCCGAGAGAACATTGTTGCCGCCGCCGTCATTGAACCCTTGAGATGGTGTTGGAAAAGCATTCAAATCCACGTGGCTCAATGCTCGTGTGATACAGAATTCCGTTGACAATCCGTACAATGGTCCTTGTAGTTGCGCTACAAGCGGTGGTATTCGGTTAATCAGGAAAGATTTCAAGCAGTTCATCCTCTCGTTGGATTCGCTACGATACATAGCGTTTGATAAGATATCGAAAGAGGCCGTAATGAGATCAATCGCAAGGTTTTGGGTATCAAGCTAACTCGGTTAGATATTTGCATTCAGCAAAGTTTCAAGAACATACTTTGTATCTGGCATGCAGGTAGTTAAGAATCGTGACATCGTCCGTCAACGGACGAGCAACAAGCTACCGTCATTAGTGGTATCCTGAAAAGATTGATAAGTAGGCGTACCAAAGAGTTAAGAAATATGTAGAGACCAGCTCTTGTGTTGATGGTAGGTAGATCCATGAGAGATTCGAGTTGGATAGTTGCAACCGCAATACCATTCTCACCGGTCCCGCCGTTGAGGTCGTTGCTAGGGTCGATAAGAAGTCCATGCTTGTTCTGAGATTCTTCGAGTCGACTGGCAATTGTTGGAGAGGTCTGCTCTAACAAGGGTATGAATGAAGACAGGGATTGAGAGAATGCTTTTCGAAGCTCTGAAGATTGTAAGTCTCGTGCAGCAATGATTGATGTCTTACAACAAAAAGAAGAAAAGTCTCAACACCCTTGCAATCAACAAGATTGGGAATATTTGGTAACAGGAAGTCCACTCATACCTTTGAGCGGCGGTCCGTTCAGCAGCTGGACCATCCTCATATTATCAATGATCCCCATGACCAGCATCCCCAGCGCCTCCCGGACATTGATCGACTGCTGTTGAAGCTGTTGCACCCCGGTCATGGCCTGAACGACCGCATCCCCCGCGTGCGCCGTCACCATGGCCGACATCCACTGGCCTACCACAGTCAGCACCTTGCGCGCCTCCATCCGCGTCTTCGGGCGGTCGCTCGGGGTCGCAAAGGCCTTGTGCAACCTGTGGAAGACGATCTCGTCCAGTTCAGGCGGGTTTTGCCAGCGCTCCATGGGGGAGAGGGCCTCGTCGCTACTTTTTGAGGGCCGATCTCGCGACCACCGAAAGGCCGCTAAGAGGACGTCAGCTGCATCGACGCGGTTCAATGCGAGTAAGCGCTCGAGATAGACGACGAGCAGCGGGTCGATGGTGCTAGTCGAGGCAGTCCGCGGGCGCAGCAGCAGGCCGGCGAGCTTCTGGCCCGCAATGGGAGTCCGCGCGTGTAGCTGGCCGGCGGCGGCTTCGAAGACGTCGGCGCGGATGCGCTGCGAGAGGCAGCGGGAGAAGAAGAGCGACCATTGTTGAGGCGGGGACTCCATCCCTACGACATCGACACGGTGATCGAGTGGTGATTTGGGATGATAGGTTTATTGAGGCGCGGGCATGAGATGAGGTGTGGTTTGTGTGTTGTCGATCGCTGAGGGCCAGTAGTTAGCAGCAAGGATGTCGACACAGACAGCAAGGCTGGCAGCTGGTGTTGAGGCGGATCCCGCCGCGTGGGACGAGCTTGGCGCTATTCTAGAACAATGCCCCTGGATGGTCTGTGCCCGGGTGTTCATCGGGCAGGGAAAGGGTCAAAATAGAGAAAAGAGTCAGAACAGAAATCAGGACAGCACAAGGTAGAGCGAATGCTGCACAACATAGGACAAACGGTGTGATGTATTAACCATTTCTATTAGGTTGTAGCAGTGTTGCCACGGTGTCGTCGCAAGTAGTGAGTGCTGATACATGACCTCCCTTTCCAACGCCTTCCCATATTCCCTGTTTGCTCGACCCTGCGAGTGAGCCCATATTGAGCACGATCCTGAATGTGCCCCTCTCTTGGTGACGTCGACAACATCAAGGCTGTACGTTGCGTCCAGCGCCCTCCTGCGCAGCCTCGTCGACCTCCGGCGCTCTTGGCCCGACCATCCAGTCCTCCATCGCCAGCCACTGACTCCACGTCTTCTCTGCGCCCTCAATCTCAGCCAGGTGCACGTTCTGCAGCGGCCGCAGGAAGGGCACCGACTCATGCGGGCTCATGTCGTACTGGTACTTGACCTTTGCCCAGCCCACGCTCTTGGCCGCAAAAAGGTAGTTCCGCCGCTCACACTCCTGCACGGGCCCAATGCCCTTCCGCCAGTCGTCGCCGAAGAAGCCGTGCAGCACGCCCTCGCGGTCGAAGCCCGTCACGATGAGGCGGCGGATGTACGGTACTAGCGACACCCACATGGGCACCGACGGGCGCTGCTGTGGATGAGACGGCACCGCGCCGTGCCGCGGCCAGGGCATATTGTAGGCGCCAGGCCCCGCAGCGTGCGGCGAGGGCCCTTGGGAGTTGGCGACGGGGTTCTCGCTCCATTGGAAGGGTAGGCAGATGTTGACGAGCGCGGCCACGGCCTGCACCGACGCATCGTGCTGCGCGTGGTCGAGGAAGTACCGCTGGCAGCTCTGGTACGCGGGGTGCCACTCGAAGATGTCAAATTGCGGGTCGCCCGTCATGCCCGCGGGCGAGGCTTCGGTCGACGATGAGGGTCCCGTGAAGGGGCCGCCTCGTGCGGGATAGGATGGGTAGCCGGGAAATCCTCCGAAAAAGGACATAGCATTGGCCTGCAGGAAGTGGTGACGTCGTGTTCCGCGATTTAGGAGAGTATCTAAGGCCGTCAGCGAGGACCCTGGCCGAGAGATGCGCAGTACGGGGCTTACAGGGCGAGTATATGGGAGGCTTTGGGGTTTGGAGTTATTCTGGACCACCATGGACGGACACGTGCAAATGTAATGGTCAATGACGGTTACAAGCTTGCAGGCTGTGGGGAGCATTAGAGGTGAGGGCCAGGCCGGATTTATCATAAGGTCGAGGCTCCTGGAGAGCTCCGGGTCGGCCTCGGGCGTTTCCAAGGACATAGGTTATATTGATGGTGGTGCACTTGGATGTATTCACCCTTGCGAAAATCACGCCTCGAGCTTCCTGCAGCGGGATCCAGGGCAACGGATAGCAGACGCCGCATCAGGGCACAATGCGGACGGGGATACCGCGGTGGAAGTGGCTTGGGCGGCTGCGTGGGAGATGTACATTTTTGCCCGGCTGAGGCTTGCGAAGCCTGCAGAAAAGGGACCAAGGGGAGCCCAATCACCCAATCCCATGAGTGTATGAGCGTGGGCAGTGCTCAGCTGGCGGCGGCCAACTTCTCCACCGAAAAGTTTTGCCTTCCAGGGTGCAAGAATCAAGATGGCGCGAGACACCGAAATCTACCCCAGAACGCAGGCGCCAGCTTCCGGCCGTTGCGCGGCTTCGCTTGTCTGCCAACCGCACCGGAGGTGCCGAGTCTGCAGTGCACAGCCAGGCCCAGGGCCGCCGGAGATCCACCCGTAGCTTTTCCATGGCCTGACGAGACGTGCAGGAACACAGAACACACCGGAGCGTCGAGCCGAGCCTGGGACAGAAGGCGCAAGTCCGTGCCAGCCGACGAATAGCAGCCCGCCATAAAGACAGATTCCAGCAAACATCGGCCAGCACGTTATTCAAGTGGCTGGTGGCTTCGTCGGGCAACGTTGCATCGGCAAGCCGCGGCGTCGCAGGGCCATCCAAGCTGGACCTTGGGAGGCATTGTGGCATCCACGCAGGACCGAAGCATCTCCAGCCGGCACATCCAACCGCATCCCGCCCGAACGAGCAGCGATTGCCCCGATGGAGCTGCAATCCACGGCGCCGCCCAATAGCAGGCCGCAAAGCCACACTGCCACACGTCGGCGAGGAGTACGTCACTGCAGCCACAGCTCGAACTGGCGTCTGCGAATCGGCGCGAGGCCTTGACGCGATGTGACTGTGGCGCTGGGTGCCTCAGCTGCAGCGGTCGACGCCGCGCTCAGCCCTACCCTTCAATGGGTTCGTCGTCCGTCTTGCTGCAAGTTGTGCGGTCCCTGTGGCCGTGCCGTCCCCTTTGCCTGTGCCGACCAGGAACCGTGCTGCCGGGATCTCCATCCGGGCGAAGCGAGCTCGCACACATGGCAACGTCATGGATACGTGTGGCTGTGTGCCCCGAGCATCTCCCTAGCACACCTTAGCAACATCTGTGCATCTCCTTTCCCACGACCCGTGCAACCCGCATCTCGCAACCCAATCTGGTTCCGCTGTTCGGCCTGCCCTGTGTCAGATTGCCGAATCCATCCTCGATCTTAGCCGATCCGGGCCGCACTGCTGCACCATGGCGTCGCAGACCTTCTCGCTAGCCTCCCGCATCAAGGCACGTCGGGCCACCGTTGCACCTGCCGCACGCGTACTGACTGCTTCAGCTGGCTAATGGCCTCTCCATGCCGCAGATCCACCTTGGCGTGTACCTGGCCAGCGGCAAGGAGGCTGCACAGTCCGTGAAGTGGGCGTTGGAGGTACGTCTGCAATCTCCAGTCCAGCGTGTGCATGCTCACATAGGCAGGCCGGATATCGGGGTGAGTTAGCGTAGCCACTCCCATCAGAGGTGCAGCCAATGGGTGCATGCTTCTGCCACTGTGCGACAATTGACGATGACCCCACACAGCCATAGACTCTGCTCAGATGTACCACAACGAAAAGGAGTCTGGCAGCGCCATCCTGGGCTTCCTGGCCAGTGATGCCAACCCAACTGGCCTAACGCGCGAAGACATCCACTACACGACCAAATTGGCCAGCAACTCGACGTATGACGCGGCCCGCAAGTCCATCTCCGCCAGTGTGAAGGCGTGCGGGCTGGGCTACGTCGACCTCTTCCTGCTGCACTCCCCCTATGGTGGCAAACGCGCACGCCTGGAAAGCTGGCGAGCCATTGAAGACGCAATCGACGAGGGGGAAATCAAGATAGGCGGGGTGAGCAACTACGGCGTGAAGCACGTAAGTTGAAATAACGTTGCATGTCGCCACCGATGGCTAGCTGACCCAGGGACGGCCCCTTCAGCTGGAAGAGCTAATTGCCTCCAAACCCCGCATTTTACCTGCCGTCAACCAGATCGAGGTACACCCGTTCAATACCAGAACAGACATCACTGAGTTCTGCGCCGCGAATGGTATCGTCGTCGAGGCCTATGCGCCACTCGTACGCGCGCTTCGTATGAAGCACCCGACAATTGCCTCCCTCGCTGGCAAGTATGGCTGCACTCCGGGCCAGCTGCTAGTGCGTTGTAAGTTATTTCAGCTCAATTGCCACGTATTAGACTCAGCTAATTCTATCAAGGGAGCCTCCAGCATGGCTATGTGCCACTGCCAAAGAGCGTCAAGCAGACGCGGATCGTTGAAAATGCAGATATTGGTGGCTTCGCAATTGGGGCGGAGGACATGGCTGCGATGGACGCTCTGGACGAGTACCTAGTAACCGGTAAGCTGCCCACCACCAGACTGTGCTACGCACACATCCGCAATCGGAGCACTCGACTCATGCGTATGTGCAGACTGGGATCCGACGGACTGCCCATGATGGACGTGGTGTGGTGTCGTGAGGTTGCGCGCGCCGTGGGGGGCAGAGTCAGATGCGTGGATAGGGCTTGGCAGGGCTGCGGGGCTCTGGACCCGACACAATGGATTCGATACGAGTGCGAGAGTGAAAATTTGCGCCGTGTGCATAGTGAAAAAAAGCCACAACTCCTCGGATGCTGATTCTGCAGTGCCCACGTCCCTTGTCCCGGCATCGCTCAACATTCCACATCCCGCACAGCCTTGCCGTGCGCTCCCTGGCTGTACGTAACGAGGGCGTGGAGGCGGCCGACATGACGCTGGGCAATTGCACATCAGCGCTGCCTGCGCGCTGCCCGCTGTCACGTGTCGGCAGCTGCTGTTCTCTGTGATTGGTGTGCTGCTTATCTCTATCGAGCTGTCTGTCGCGCGACGCAACTCTGTGAATTGGGTCCTCCGGCGACGCCCGTATAGAGCCAATAACGCGACGCGATGAGCAGACTTTCGTCTAATCCTGCAGCCGGGGAACCATCTGGCCCCTCGTCGGCCTGGAGATGGGCTGGTGACGTTAGGCATGGCTTGCCTATACCCGCGTGGAGCAGTTGCTTTTGACACGGAATAATAAATTCTTGAACCCCGCCATCTCGACGCGCTGGAGGTATTTATTCGCGTGGTCCTCTCTCTTTCAGACTCCAAAGCTCTTCTCCACGAATCCTCTGAACCAATTCTTATACCCCAAGACCCTCACACACACTCGCAATGGCTGAACCCGAGTTTGAGCAGGCGTACAAGGGTAAACTCCCCACCTCACCTCGACCGACACCGGCCGTTGTTGCCTCACTTGGTCTTTCCTGAGTGAAGCCGTGGCCGTGATGGTGTCAATGATGAAGAAGCAGACGCTGACTGGACATCTCAGAGCTCGTCTCCACTCTGGAGAACTCCTCCCTGTTCGAGAAGAACCCCGAATACAAGAAGGCCCTCGAGGTCGCCGCCATCCCCGAGCGAGTGATCCAGTTCCGCGTGAGGTGGGAGAACGACAAGGGCGAGTGCCAGGTGAACAAGGGCTACCGTGTGCAATTCAACTCTGCCCTCGGCCCCTACAAGGGCGGTCTCCGCTTCCATCCCACTGTCAATCTGTCCATCCTGAAGTTCTTGGGCTTCGAGCAGGTCTTCAAGAATGCTCTTACCGGCCGTGAGTAGCCTCTCCCACCCATACACCCACAATCGGTGCTAATGCTGCTTCAGTCAACATGGGCGGCGGGAAGGGCGGTGCCGACTTCGACCCAAAGGGCAAGTCTGACAACGAGATCCGGAAGTTCTGCGTGGCCTTCATGACGGAGCTCAGCAAGCACATTGGCGCCGACACTGATGTCCCGGCTGGTGATATAGGTGTCTCGCCCCGCGAGATCGGCTGGATGTTCGGTACATACCGCGCCATCAGGAACAGGTGGGAGGGTGTCCTCACCGGAAAGGGTGGTTCCTGGGGAGGTAGCTTGATCCGACCTGAGGCCACCGGATACGGTCTTGTCTACGTGAGTAAAAACATGCCTATGTTCATGGATTGGACCTAACGACATCAGTATGTCGATCACATGATCGCCTACGCCTCAGGCGGCAAGGAGTCCTTCAAGGGAAAGACTGTTGCCATCTCCGGCTCCGGCAACGTCGCCCAATACGCCGCCTTGAAGGTCATCGAGCTCGGCGGAACCGTCGTCTCCCTCTCCGACAGCAAGGGCGCCCTCATCGCCGAGGACGGCAAGAGCTTCAGCCCCGAGGACGTCAACGCCATTGCCGCCCTCAAGGTCCAGCGCAAGTCACTCACCGATCTCGAGAGGCACAGCTTCAAGTACCTCGCGGGCGCGCGCCCCTGGACCCACGTCAAGGTGGACATCGCCCTTCCCTGCGCGACCCAGAACGAGGTCTCGGGCGACGAGGCGAAGGCACTCATCGAGAGCGGCGCCAAGTTCATCGCCGAGGGCAGCAACATGGGCTGCACACAGGAGGCCATCGACGCGTTCGAGGCACACCGCAAGGAGAAGAAGGGCGAGAGCATCTGGTATGCGCCCGGCAAGGCCGCCAACGCCGGTGGCGTGGCCGTCTCGGGCCTCGAGATGGCGCAGAACAGCGCGCGTCTGTCATGGACGAGCGAGGAGGTCGACGAGAAGCTCAAGGGCATCATGAAGGCGTGCTTCGACAACTGCCTCGAGACCGCGAAGGAGTACATCACCCCGGCTGAGGGCGAGTTCCCGTCGCTGGTGGCTGGTGCTAACGTGGCTGGGTTCAAGAAGGTGGCGGCGGCCATGAAAGACCAAGGTATGCTATCTTCTATCTCGACAGATGTGTAGAGTGGATGCTAATTTGAGATAGGTGATTGGTGGTGATTGCTTTTGTAAATACCCGATGCAGGAACTGGACTTTTGACTTCAAATGGATTTGGATTGAGCGAGGGATTGGCGACACTGTAGATACTCTATACTCAGATTATGAATTTAACAGATATGAATGAAACACTTCGAGTTTGCTGTTGGTGATTGTCTGGTTGGGGAAACCGCGGTCTGCGCTGGGACGCGATGAACGCTAGTCCTTTCTCGCTCTAGGCCGCGGTCGTATCCTTGCTCTACTTTTCATCCAACGTCGTATCACCAACTGATCGATCTAATGACGACACTTCTCCCCCCTGAGGCCTGCCAAACCAGACGAAGCGGACTCTACCACGCGAACTGCACGTATCGGCGTTCTTCTTATCCCTAGCCAACCACCGTTCGATGTCTCTCGCTATGGCGACGCGCGAGACGCGTGCCGATACGCGCCTGGAAACCATGACGGAGTTGAGAACGATATACTAGAAAAGACGGCTGAGAGAATAATGCTATGTTGTGGATATGGGTAACAAGGCACTGGGGACGATCTGGACGAGAACATCGTCTTTCCGTATTATCGGAGGTAGTAGACCACGCAATGGAGGCGACGCGTGGTGCTTGGGGTGCCGTTCAGACCAAGTTGTTGCTTCTTGGAGGAGTCCCTACGATATGCTCGCAACTAATCGGCGAACAAGGAATGCAGCAGCTTGGTCGAAGAAAAGCCCAGGGGGCCTTTCATTGGAAATCTAAGTCAGCAATACCCCTTGCCCAGGAACAGACCTATACACTTGCACTACACGTTTGCATCAGAAGGTTTGGTAGCACCAGAGCTCAATTCGATTATCACATGCACAAATTTTGAGGGCGCCGCGTTTGACTCTGGGGCAAACGACCCAGAGAGCAGAAAGATAAAGAATCCTTTCGCATATGGATTGGTCTCCAAAATACATGAACACGAGGATGACTTCCGTAAGAGAGGGAAAAGATGAGCAGGTTTACCTTCATGACGACCTCTCTTGGAGGACGGTGGTCATCTTTCCGTGACTTACATACCGCTGTCTCCAGTCCTCCCTTTGAACAATCTCTACAACTTCTTTCCCGTTAGCGCGAGCTACGCACATACTCTGGATCATCTTCTCTTAGTCTGTATAGTTTTCTTTCTTTCCGATACTTCCTCCAGATATGGCAATAGTTCGACATTCAAGTTTCTCACGAATATTCGGTCGGTCGCGTTGTTGCATCGAGATTCCCGCGCCTGGATCCTTGACCTCATTTATTAGGGTGCTGGCAGACCCTGCGAAGTGAATTAAGGAGCCTAGAGCAAGATTATCTCCACGTGCTCTACTTTTTGGCATATGGCCAGGATCTGATCTCCTGAAGCGCAGACTCCGCCAACCGCACTGGTGTCTTGCTCCAGCGCAAAGTATTGTTTGCCTCAATGTGCAACAGCCGTTCCACGTTTACGTATGCTATTTGAGGCATTTGTAAGGAGCCGACGTGTAGCTTTAGCAGTGGCGTTCCGCCGTGGCTATGACTGCAATTGCCCTCGATGGCTAAGCGCCGAACATATTTCCATGGGTCTCTTTTGTAACGCTGATCGACACTGTCATCTCCAAAGAGACAAACTTCATATCCTTGGATGCACCCATTTCTCTCGCCCATGATAAGAATGGGTTTGTTTTTGAGTCTGTACAGAAAGGAGTCAGGCGGAAGATTTGGATGGATGCGTCCGATCTCTCCAGGAATCCAACGGTGCGCACTTGGTCCCGTCGCCTCGCGGCAGACTTTCGGTGAGCTCTCGACTCTTTTGTTTTCTTTTTGGATCAAAGCAAACGACTCCTTACTAACACGAATATCCACAGGATCATGGTTGAAGAGGTTATAGCGAAGGTACTTTTGTTCGATTCGAAAGGTAGTTTCGATCTTCAGCCAGCTTAATTGAGACAGCTCGTCGTATTTGGGGTCGTAATTTATCACCTGAAACCCCTCCTTTTTAACGTTCTTGCGGTGGAACATCATGAACCTTTCTTTAAGCACTCGAGTCTTTGCTCGTGGGTCGCGCCCTCGGCACGTTGTTATGGGGAGAAACGAGACGCTTCCATCCTCATGAACCTCTGTCACGAGGATGGGACGGCCGAAAAACTTATCTACGTCGACTTGTTTGCGAATCATGGAATCGATCGGGACCTCCGGTTCCTCAAACAACCTGGCAACTGTTCCCGGAGAAAGTTGTCCTGGTTGGAATCGTCCGTCCTTATATTTTCCTTGAGTCGCGCCAGCCATCCACGGCTCCTTCGACCGACCAGGTGCGAGCAATTCAGCCTCTGCTATGATGGCATCAAGAACATTTTTGCCGATATCTATACGCGACTTGTCTTCATAGTGGTATACTTCAACCGCGTTAAAGTCGACCCAAAATTTTCTCGTCAGGTCGACCCGGTAGCGTATTCTGCGGTTTTTGGACCTGTCAATCAGTAGCAGTGTCATCGCTTGCGGGCCGTCCGTCACGTTCTCTCCATAGTCGCGCCGGATGAGCAGACACCCCGTCTCCCGACCGTCAGAACACCCGACCGACAGGTCCAGTAGTGGGTAAAACGCCAGTTTTTTCTTAAAAAGTTCGCGTTCTACCACAATGATCTGACCGTTTGCCAGCGCTGCGAGAGTAGTTTTGTCTACCCTGTCTGTGCAGATCGAGTCCTTCAGTTCCTCGTCGTTGCGCAGCTGGCAGACGCGCCCTTCTTCCGGGACGACCACCCAGGACCCTGGGGGGATAATCGATTTGGTATTGCGGAGAGTGTTCGTAGGAGGACATGTTGGGACACGAATCGTAGGCGGTTGCAGCGCCATACTACGGCGGTTGCTTTCCGGTTTGGGGCTAGGTGGGGGCGTAGGGAGAGCAGACCATGGCATCGCTGCTAGGCTTTTGCTCTGGGAACATTGCGTTGTTTGTTTTGGTGTTCCTATGTTGGAACCAGTCGTCGTGGTGTGCGTGAAGGGTGATGGGGTTGCGCGCGGAGGGAATGTTGGATCAATTAGATGCTTGTTAGAGCTGGCCGTGGTGGCGCGCATGGAAGGCGATGGGGTTGCGCGCGAAGAGAACGGCGAATCAACCGGATGTGTGTTGCGGGGAGTGGACGGACGCTGAACGTCATTTAGTTGACGCCAGTCGGAGAGCATCGGAGAAAAAAGAGGAGCTACAAGACGCTTAGGTGGCGTTACCCAGCGAGGCGGTTGGGGCTCTTGCCCAGCCATGTTTACGAGGCTTCTTTACCAATGGTATAGGAGGCAAGTGTGGACGGGGGTGCTGATTGAGCGCGGATACAAGTGGCCGGTGGCGGGTATACTAGCAAGCTAGCAGACCCCGGAGGGCCAGAACCGTGTGTTGAGTGACAGCCTCAAGAGGTGGAAGTACTGGTGTGACGGAGATGTTTGGTGGTCGAGGTAGTTATCCGCAAGGACTAACGTTGTCAAGCGGCTACAGCATGCATATCGAGTCAGCGAAGCAGAAAAGATGTTGGGTGCTACAAGATGTCAAGGAGTTTTGGAGCACGATACAAGATACATCAAAGCTCTGCACGACTTACTCAAGATGCGTGTGCGCGAGGAGCTCAGTGGCCCAAGAGTCGGGGTTTGAATTGCTTCAGGTACGTACGCAAGAAAGAGGCTGTATATCTGGAGGTTGCGAACGCGCGCCTGCTAGAACGCTGGATTGGATGAAGCAGTCCTACGCATGAGCTCATTGATACATGCTATGAGCTAACATTCTGGTGAATTGGGGTGGTCGTAATGATGGGAGACCACGAGGCAGCTCGATAGTTCAGTAAGTGGTGGATAGCAGTCCAGTGTCGTCTTCAGTCGACGTTGATGGGCCTAGGACCAATGTATGGACCTATTGCCTGTATCGCCTGCGTCGCACACAGGCGTCACCGAACGGCCATTGTAGCTGCGTCCTTGTCCTCTTTAACTGTGAGGAGAGGGGGTATGGGTTAAGGTGGGGATTTCGAGCTCTACGTGTCTGTTAGTGAGTGGTGTCTAGAAACTTGAATCCATGGTTTGATATCTACCGTCACCATGGCTTGGCGATGCCAGTACCCTGGTACCCCTTTCTCTTTAAGCGACGCCGCAGCGTAACAGCTTCACGCATGCAGGGCGAACACCACTCGTGTCGTTATCATATGACTGACTGGTCTTTAAATGTTTCAAAGTTTGTCACGAGCGTGAGAATTTCTATTTAGAATAAAATATCGGCCTGTCGAGTCCTCGTATTCAGAAAACGTCCCCACAGCCTGGCCCCAAGAACGACTCTCACAAAAATAAAAATAATATGACATGAGTATGGGTCCACAGATATACCGCCGCGCGGTTTCCACTCTTGCCCGCTCAGCGCCACTGTGAGGAGGAGCCCAGCTGGCAAGCATTGAGCCAGTCAAAACGTAATCTGATTTCCACTGTATCGACCTTTACATTGTTTTTTGGGTCTCAAAAGCCCATTGGCGCCCACGAAGCAGTGGCAAAAAAGAGTGCCTAGACTTACGTCTAAGGACGATAGGACTGCAATACATCAAAAGTACAATTTGGCCAAACAGTCAAAAATCAAGAGCCCTTCGCAAAAACTCCCTCGTCAGCCTTTTCAACCGCAACTCTCGCATCGCTTTGAACATTCAACCAGCCCCTGCCTACCTCCCCTCCGGATCTCTACCTAAAATCCCCTCCAAAACGGACATCCGACCGTCGGTATATCTTCCGCGGAACACAAGGCCCCGCCTTGACCGGCCGACCCAGTACCATGCGACCATTGAGGGTCGCAATCGCGCGATTGGCTTCCTCTGGGGTCGGTAGCTCTACAAAGCAGAACGATGGGTTGCGGCCAGCGGCGTGATCCCAATCCATCAGTATGCGTTTGACGGTGAAGCCGTTCTTGGTGAAAAGAGCATGGACGTCTGATGCTTTTGCTTGGTAGATGAGGTTGCCGATATATATTCGGCGGCCGCCCGCGTTGTCGTCGTTGGTGCTATCGGTAAGGGTTGCGTCAATGCTGTTGGACAGCTCATGAGCATGTAAAGATGGCTTCGTCGGAGAGCCTGCGGGTGGCGCTGCAGACGTTAGTCGAGGCAAAGGAGCATACTGGGTGGACCCCGAGAGCATCGAAGGGGTCGGAGAGTGCGCTTGTAGACCATGCGGGCACGGTGGTTGAAGGCTACCTTGCTGGGCCGTTCGAGTCTGCATTGCCCATCCTGGATGCTCGACCGTCTCCGGGACGTTCCCTTCTTCCTCAAACGACATGGAAATTGCCAATCCAGGAATGTAGGGATGTTGTCCTCGGAGCGCATTCATCGTCTCCGGAAGCATGTCGGAACCGTACAACTGATTCTGGACTCGGTATTCTTGGAGGGTCTCGACCTCACCAGCGTCCAGATGGATAGGCTCCGTGCTCCAAGCTTTAAGGTTTGTGTACTCAACCCAGTATTCCTTGTCGACCTTCACGTAGCAAAGGCTACGGAATTGCGGAGACCCCGGCCTGAGCTTGAGTATGGGCGCATCATCGTGAGGTTGGGCTCCAAATCCATCAATGGCAAGGCTACATGCCGGGGCATACTCACCAAGACGATTGATCCGCGTGATGGGGTCCTGGCCGTTGTTCCAAATCACGTGGATCTTCACCATCCCATTGACCGTACCCGTTACTAGGCAAGGCAGGCCGAAGATGTTGATGCTGTCCTCTTTGGTCTGTGCGTGCACGACTGACGGTTCGCTCAAGACGGGCGGCAAGTAGCAGACGAATCCTTCTTCAAAGTCCTTCCACCGAAGTGGGCGCCCCTCGCCACTGATTATCACTCCGAGTGGGTGTTCTTGTGCTTTGGCGGCTTGGACTCTCAGAATTTCCAAAGACGCAGCATCAAGTACTATCTTCTTTGAACTATCACCGTCCGGGCGGAAGAGTTTGAGGTACTTCCCCTCTATGCAATACTTGGTGATCAACTTCACAAAGCTTTGCTTCGTTAATCGTCCCGAGTACATCCCTTTTCCTACTCCTGGAGTTATGACCTCAAACCCTAGGTCCTTGGATTTGATTTTGTCTTGAAGCAGGACATACTGTTGTCTTGACACGCGGTTGAAGAATCCATCAGTTTGCGTCTGTGAGTTCACCTCTTGGACAGTCTTGTTTCCCATGGTCGTAATGATGTAGAATGATGCCATTCCAGTCGACACTTCAAAATCCGCAATCAACACCGGGTGATAGAAGAAGTCCAGTTTCGTCTGTTGTCGGAAGATAACCGAGTCCGGCGCAATCGAAGTTTTCGTCGGAAGCCAAGCCAAGGTTCCAGGAACCAGCATGTAGTACAACTGAAGTAACTCCAGCGAACGGTTCTCGAGAGACAACGGCGCTGCAAGATCTGCCGCCGTCGATCCCCACTCCCACATCTTCCAGTCCGTATACGGTAGGAGAAACTCGGTCTCAACGCGATACTGCTTCCGCACATCCACCCATCGCACGGCCCACGGCTTGTTGGACGAGCAGCCGTACTTCAGCTCCTTGGTTTGAATCTCCGGAGTGTGGTCTGGGCTCTCCAGTGGAAGATACCACCGGCCGCTCTGTGCTACCTCGTCTATTCCTGGACCGCCGGCCACGATTGGTAGGAAGGAAACCATGTTGCCTTTCCCCCAAACTTCTACGACAACCACTTGGCTCCCATAATGCCTGTCCGGGAGTTCTTGGCTTGGTAGCAGGGGCTCGTGGATTGCTTCTTTCGCCGCAAGCGTGTGGACAGTGCCGCATTTGATGCGGTTTCCCATGCTGGAGAGTTGTCGCGCTATTGGAAGGCTTGAAGGCAATGTTTTATGCTGGGAAGATGTGTGGGGGTTTCGAAGTGGTTCTAGGGGTTTCGAGAGGGTGGTGAGTTGTTTGGGTGGTGTGCTGAAGGTGGTTGGCTTTGCGGAAGGAAGTAGAAAAGGACAGTCTATTTATGCAGGACACTAGTCCACATGTTAGTCAAGGTAGTGAATGGCTGAATAAGGGCCGTTTCACCATGGATTCTGATTAGCCACTAAAACGCACCGTGGTGAATATAACGCTGGAGCCGAGCCTGTTATGCGGTATTAGAGTGCTACACGGCGCGTTCAAGGCATGAGAATGAGCCATATACTAGCTTGAGTGGAGAAGTAGTATGCGTTTGATTCTTTTTGGCAGCTGAATAAACACTGAAGCAATCCAGGGAGTATCCTTTGATATGAGATCTAGCAACTTGAATGCGCTGTCGCAGATATTCGTGTTCGTGTTTTATGGTGTACGAAAGCACCTCTCACGACCTTACGGCGTCGTTTATGCGAATGTGACGGAGGGACGGCCTCGACTGAACGGAGAAACTAGACCATGTTTCAATAAGAAAGGCTCTCGAAGAAGGCTTTCCCGAGCAATTTTCTGAATTGAAAGGGGTACAGCAAGCGGTAAATTAGTTCCATTGGAAACATTGGGAACTGTGAACGTAGCAATCAGATTATAGAGATCATCTTCTAAGGCAAATGAGATTTCGGGTTAAGACATATGTGGAATCAAAGCTCAAGTCTGTAAAATCAGCCTACCATAAAGGTACGTAGTACGAAAATTAATAAACATGGGTTGGAAAACGTCAAATATCACTATTAGAGTAGCCGAGATACAAAAGTTCTTGTGTGAGACCGACACATTACACGAGTATAAACTCTATTTACATCCTACGTTACCTGAATACTACGCTAGAGGCTGAAGGAAACCATAGAAAAGATATTAGTGTATCAAACCTTGCTCAACTCAGTGCCTAATCTACCTCGTCGGAGAAAGAAAGAACAAAATAGTCCTTTGATCAGCTGCAGCACTAATAGTAGTAGCAGTTGCAGATTTACTCTAGAAATCGGGCTCTACAACGAGCGGTCCTTACCCCACGCCGTGCCTGGTTATCGCTTTTGGAAGAAATTTCGAGACCTCTCTTGGAAAAATGGATGCCCAGAATGCGCGCCTGCTTGGCTTGGCTGATTGCCCGAGAATGGCATCCTAGCGCCAGGATTCGTTGCGAGCGTGTTATGTGGAGGTAAAACAGTCGGATACGGAGGAGGTTGACCGCCTTGGTTGAACACTGGCATCCCGACTGGCCTGTAAGGGGCCCCGTGTGTGGCATAAGGATGGGCCGTAGGCGTATGCGTATATGGGTGATGAAAGTGTGTGGGCCTTGGAGCTATAGATCCCGGACCAAATGTCGCTTGCCCTGTGTGCTGTTGAGGCCACTGGTGGTGGATGCTGACGGGCGGCTGCGGCGGCCCCATGTAGGCATGGTGAAAGTGCTGATTGTAGTGAATGTTGTGGGGAGGAAGTGCGCCCCGAAAGTTAGGCGGGGTTTGCTCCACTCTAGTAGAGACATGGTGCTGCTCATTTTCTTGCCCGTATGGCATTGAGACTGCCAGTCCGTGGCAGAATGGATGGTTACCGGCCAGAGCCTCCTCCGTTGACTTGGGTATGTTCGTTTTGTCGAGATGATTTCTTCGTCGATATTCCAAAATAGTTTCCAACGCAGAGGCGTCCAAAAAGATTGGAATCGGACTCCACGCTCGTAGATTTGTGTACTCGACGTAGTAGTCTTTCTCGACTGTAACGAAGGTCGGCTTCAAAAACTGAGGCGATCCGTGTCTCAGGTTCAAGAGTGGGGTATTATCGTGAGATTTAGCACCATAACCTTCAACAGCAAGGTGCAAGCTACGTTCTCGCCGCTCTGTCACTTTGTCTCCAGAGAACACCGATGCAATTGGCACTTCACCGAACTCCCGCATCGGAAGCACTCGAACCATTCCGTTCTTTTTTCCAGTGACGAGGCATGCGCGTCCGTATATGTTGATCTTATCTTGCGCAGTTTGTTCATGCAGAACGGTCGGATTAGGGAGTTGTTCGGGTAGAAGATAGACCTTGCCGTCTTCGATTTCTTCCCATTTCGGTGGCACGTACGGTACGTCCTTAAGTGGCCACATCAAGGGATGTGCTTGGGCAGCGGCAACTTCTGTCCTGACCAGATCCAGGGACGCATCGTCGAGCATGACACGGTACTTGTTCTTCTTAGACAGACTGCAGTTGAGGTAAACGTATTCAATCTGAAACTTCTCCTTTACATTCATGAAGCTTTGTTTGATCAACGGAGCGGAATCCTCTCTCAGCGTGGCGACTTTGAAGCCGTAATCTACGCTGTCATCCTTTTTGTCCACCAGAACAAGATAGTCGTGCCGTAAAGCGCGGTTGAAGAACTTGTCGGATGCCCTTTCCGCGTTTATCTGCCTGAATGTCTTGTTGCCCATCGTCGTGGACAGGTGGAATGTAATAATACCATTTGATCGATCGAATTCAGTCACTACCACAGGTCGACCAAAGATTTTCGAGGAGGTGACTTGTTGGAAGATGATGGAGCTGGGATGAATAAGCTCTGGCTGGGGAAGCCAGACTATTACCCCGGGTATAAACGCTGCGTACGCCTTTAGTAGCTCTAGGAAGTAGCTAGACAAGATCGTAGGTGGAGTGGAAAAGGGACCGTCAGATTCAATATATTGGTGTAGGAACTTTTCTTCGACTTCATATCGTTTTCGGACGTCTATCCATCGCGGAGTCCAAAGTATCCTCGACGAAAAGGCGAATGTCATCTCCATGGTGGCAGTTTCAGTGCCATCATGGTGGGCCTGGAGGCTCCGAAGAGGAAAATACCAGCGACGGTCATTTGGTTTATTCTGAATGTCTTGTAGTCCATCTTGCTCGCGTAGGGTGGGATAGACCATCGGGTTGCCAGTACCAGGATGAGACCCTACTATCACTACCGGGTGTTTATAGTAATGCTTTGGTAGGTCTTGGGCGATAAGAATAGACTTATTCAAGTTTTCCTCCTCCTCGATGATATAGAATTGGCCGATTTGAGTGGCCATTTCGCGTGCTATGGTCGCTTTCTCTGAGGTAAGGCTGGGGTGGTGATGCTAGGATCGCAAAAGGTGGCAGACGAGGCGCGGATAGGTGGCAGACGAGGCGCAGATTGGTGGCTTGCCGTTGGGCGTATGGTGATGGAAGTGGATATTTTTCGAGCAGGAAGGGTAGCAGCCAATTGTTGTGCCGTATGTGGTCGCTGGAGTTATGGTTATGAATCTATAAAGAGACTGGGCAATGGCGGAGACACAGAGGGGGCATACAAGTACGAGGGGAGAGAATTCACGCCTAGGCATATTAGTGAAACCAGAGCGAGCTTCAAATTCACCAAGTACCAAGTTCACTGAAACGCATCGTGGTGCCTCCATGTGCTTTTGCTTTGCTTGCCTAGTTTGGCGGCCATCGTCGTTACTCATGAGGCAATGCTGGAGAGGCATATTCATTCCAACGCAGAACAGCAGAGGACACTGTGGAGGGTACACTTCGTTAAGATGGTGGCGATGAGTTCTTCGATATACAGCAGCTGTTTTGCATCGTCTGCGAGAATGGGCGTCCACTGACAGCCTAAGAAGGACAGCATGCCGGTGTTGCCTCTGTCCCGAGATAGCAGATAATTACTATTATTTCCCTTGATTAGCGAGATTTGATTGTCCATCCGAGTTGGGTTGGCGTCGAGTTGAATTGGTCGAGAGCAATTTGCTGTGGATGTTGAAAAACGGCTTTACAGCCTTAACACCAACCGTTTGACAGGCCATAAGCCCTGCCGCTTGATCACCACAGACCAAGTAGCACACAGGGAGGTTCATACTGTCTTGCAAGCCTGGAGGTACTGCTGTGGATCCCTTCACTACTCCTAGCGATACACACACGCGTAAGCACTTGAACCGGGCGCGCCTCTCCCGTCACCACAACACTGAGACTTCCATCATGCTAGCCTGTCACAAACTCGGTCAGTTTGAACACTGATACTCTAACAATTACCTAGCCCTGAATGCTCGCACTCATGCTCCCCTCTATTTTGATACTACTGGAAAGCGGCTCACTCTCCAAGAAACCACAGACAGCCGGGTAGAGGAGGGCGGGAATCTGGAAAGGCGCCCTGAAGGTATAGAAAGAGAACAATTGTGAGTAAAGGAACTTCCTCTCTTCTACCTATAACTTCTTTCGAGCACGTGCACTCTTGTTCTGACATGTTAGACGCTCGTTTAGCCCCCCAGACTAAAAACAGCTTCCACGGCTGTGCTTCCTTATCTCCTCACCTCTTCAATCTTCCAAATATCGTCCTCCTAGCAAGCTGAACACCCTCGACACCGCTTCTTACACTCACCTTTCCTAATCGTCTGGGGCAGAATACCCCCTCGTACTGAATACTTCGTTCATTCAGCTTTCATAGTAGCCAACAAAAGCTGATATTTCTCCAGGAGGGAAAATGGTCACTACAAACCATATTTACTATCTCCCGAGATTCGAAAGCGTTCCGCTAGATTCAGTCATACATCAGCAAGTCGTAGGAAACCGAGGCTTCTTCAATCATCCTGTTCTTGTCATCGAGTTTGCCGAAACCCCCAACGTCGTCCGCTTCCTACCTTTGACAACTTTTCGAGGGATATACGGAACAGGTCCAACGCCTTCAGACATACGACTCGAATACATCGCTATCCAGGACTTGAACAGCCCACCCGACGATGAGGTCAAAGTTCAAGTCACGCCCGAATCACCCCAGATGGACGGTAGGACATGGATAAAGATGGAGGTCTTCCGGATCGAGGCGTTCAACCTCCAACAGTACCGCTGGAAAACCATCGAGATTGACGCAAACGGCATGAATATAATCTGGACGCGTTTGAGACAGCTGGATATAGCACCGGGAGCGGTCATGCAAGTGCCAGACGAGACGAGCATCGGGACAGACTCTATACTCCATACACAAATCGGGGACGAAAGGGAGGGATATTCAATTCTGAACCATCTTGCGGTTGTAGTCGAAATCAGCGACGAGTTTGCTCGTATCTTGCCCACCACGACGAAAGATGTTAGTCAGACGGGCATACAAAAAGGTGCCCAGGCTAGGGCATTTCGACAACAATACCTGCTCATTTCGAATACAGCGGTCGTAGGCCATGACGGTACGCCCGTACTAAACCTCGACCGAATTTCCTCTCCTTTGAGCCAAAACGTCTACGTAAAGACAGGCAAGTCTTATTGGATCGAAATCGGCCGGCTGAAGTACTACCAATTCCCTTCTGTGAGGCTCGATCCCCTCTCCGCTCGCGTGCTTCTCAACTACCATTTTCCGCTTATTCATGACCGCACGCTGAGTCTGTATCTTGGGCGAGCACCATCGCCGCACCTGGAGCCATTGCCCGCAGATCTGCCGCGAGATCTATCTGGTACGGCGCCTATCTCGCAACATCGTGAAGGCCCTCAACAGCCTCAAACGCCTGCCAGCGCTGCTCCTCGCGAGCCTCAAAATCCATTCCTCCCGGTGTATCCCCCGGATCCGGCTTCGATTCAAAGGGTCGCACAGCAAGAAGAAGTCCAGAATCCGTATCGGCCTGTGTTTCCTGCTGGAGAAGTCGAGGCTCCAAATCCGTATAGACCAGTGTTTCCTGATTGACGAGGCGGTAGCGGTGCTGAGGGCGGTCGGAGGTATTACGTTGGCGGTCAAAGGCGGCCATCTTCTCTTTTTCCTGCCTTCTGATTCGTATGTATCTGGTGTACTTAAAACCCGCGAAGTCTCAAATCTGGTCAAGGGCTTCTGAATTTGGACGATATGGAGCCACCGTCAGGGGTGCTTCATATTTCTTAAAATAGTTGCTGTGCTGTTAACTATTTGACGTCGTAAATCGAATTAGTTAGAGATTATAGAGATGGTGATGAGAATGTGAATGAGACAGCACGAAGTCGAAGCGGATCACGTGCCGCACATAGGGCGTTAGCGCCGTTGACTCTGCCTTGTCTCCTGGACAACGCCGCCAAACAGATCCATGGCTCTGTCATTCGAATCCACCCCAACCTCGACTCCGCACCCGTTCCCCGAGGTCTGCTCTGCAATTTTCATCCAAACCGCCTTCAGCGCTCCCTGGCATACACTCAATATTTCATTACAACTCGTTGCCACCACAATTGCTCTACGCTATTGAGACAGAAGGATTCCTGTACCACTCCGCTCGAAATTCCCCCTTGCGCTCCCTCCTGAGACTCCACGCGAAGAATTCCCCGATACATGCGATAGCATTGCTGCGCCCTGTCTGGCATGGCCGCCTTAAGCTTCAGGCCCCTCCAGGTGGCCAAGCGGAAATTCCAGTCCTACTCGCGGGTGCCCGCCGAGACGGAAGACGACTCAGCCTACTACGACGACGTTGAGAAGCGCTACGCCGTTGACGATAACGATTTCGACACCGACTACCTCTCCTCTCCCTCCTCCGTTTTCTCCTCCCGCGCCTCGTCGGGGGTGCATGCGCCTCTGCGCCGCCGATCGCTATCGAAACCGACCATAAATGCCTACTCGTATCGAAATCCGAGAGCGTTCTCGCGCTACTTTACCGTAGCGCTGGCGTCGACAGTGTTGCTCTTTATACTGTTCTTGGCGAAGATGGGCGTGTCGAGCGCGAAAAATGTGCAGTTGGGATTGGCGAAGCCACCGCCACCACCTGCGGTTTGGGAAGCCTTCCCGTTCTTGAAGAGATACCACGGTGGCATACGGACATTGACATCGCGGAAAGAAAACGTCCCAGAGTATCCCAATGGAGAAGAAGTGCCCGAGGCGCCGGACACAAAGAAGAATGAGCGTAGAATGGAAGGCGGGAATGTACCAGCTGGGAACACTTTCAATCCTTATCCCAACTACGAGTCGGCTGATTACCTCACAAAATACGCCCCAGTTCAGACATGTTATCTGGACGAAGCAAAAACGATAATGATTCCGCCACTACGAGCCTTCCCCGGGGTCACGCAAGGATTCCCGGATAATGTTATTGGGTCATACGACGTTCTAGGGATCAACAACGATGTATGCTTCGAGCGTTATGGAAGACTGGGACCATATGGCTTGGGCTACAGCAGAAAGATGGGTGGCACTGGCGCTGGCATGGAAGGCGACCGAGAAATGGCAGAGAAGGTCTGGGAAGACATCCCCGAGGTCGATTACCGCAACATCAGCTGGAAGCAAGCGCAAGATCGATGCATGGAGAAGAATCATCTCCGATTCAAACCAAAACCGAAGGGCAGGAACCACTTTTTCGAGACCATGGCCATGAATGGCCCTGAGGATGAAACGGCTGACTCCATCGAAACGCGAGAAGCGAAAGTAAAGGCAACTCCATCTGCCAATTCTACGTCTACTGAAAACCTCACAAAACTTCCTCGTACCGTTGTTTTGATTCGTACCTGGTGGGACTATAATTACGACGAGGAAGACCTCCTCTACCTGCGTGCTCTCATCTCCGAACTCAGCATCCACTCCGGAGGCGAATATACCGTGCACTTCCTGATCCACGTCAAAGACGACAACAAGCAGATATGGGCCGACGAGTCTATTTACCAATCTGTCCTCTCCGCAGCTTTGCCTGCCGAGTTCGCCGGCATGGGGACCCTTTGGTCGGAGAGGCAAATGGGCCTCATCTATGGAGGTGTCTCAGAGTCCTTCTACCGCAGCCTTCCCGTTCACGGGGCATATCGGAGCACATACATGCCTGTGCAATACTTTGCACACCAGCACCCCGAGTTTGAATACATCTGGCAATGGGAGATGGACGTGCGTTATACCGGCCACTTTTATCATCTTTTCGACCGCATTGCCGCATTCGCTCGCGCACAACCGCGAAAGGGTCTGTGGGAACGCAATTCCCGCTTCTACATCCCCGAAGAGCATGGTAGCTGGGAGGACTTCATGCAGATGGTTCGCGTTCAAACCGAGCATGGCACAAATTCCCAGGCCAACAACTGGTCCAAGAAACTCCCCGCAAACCCCAATGTACCCGAATCGATCACCGAGCCTAGTAAGCCAGAAAAGCCAATCTGGGGTCCGGAACCTCCGTTGGACGATGAGCTGGACTTGTCCGACGCGCCACAGCCTCCAACCGCCTACAAGGACGACGACTATGTTTGGGGCGTCGGCGAGGATGCTGATTTCATCACATTCAATCCTCTCTTTGACCCTGCCGGTACAAACTGGATCCTCGCTGACGATGTCACCGGCTACAACACCACGCGCGAACCTCCGCCTCGTCGAACCGCCATCGTGACTGCAAGCAGGCTATCAAGAAAGCTGCTTGAGACGATGCACAGAGAGACTGCAATCTACCGCCACACTATGTTTTCTGAGATGTGGCCGGGCTCCTGCGCTCTACATCACGGCTACAAGGTTGTCTATGCTCCGCACCCGGTCTTCATTGATCGACGCTGGCCTACATCTTACCTCGCCGCTATCTTCAACGGTGGGCGTAATGGAGCTGCGGGTGGCGCCCGGTTGTCTGTCTTCAGCGATGAGCGACAGCACAATTTCCGAGGCACGACCTGGTACTACGATGCGGGCTTCGCGCCGAACTTGTGGAAGAGGTGGCTCGGCTATAAGGTCGATAACGACGGGGGCGAACAATACGAGACTTCTGGGGAGGGGCGGATGTGTGTGCCAGCTATGCTGCTACATCCCGTCAAGCAGGTCGATTTGGTGTTTGAGCATGAAGCTGGAGATGGAGACAAGAAGAAGGATGGGTAAATAGCTCAGAGTCGGGGCAGTGGCGTTTCTGGAGTTTCGTGGGATGGGTTGGTTTCACGGTTCGCGTCGTTAATGCATCATGGAAGACCCAGGATGTATATATGAGGGGTGCTGGACTACACCGAACAGGACTGCATTAGGCGCTGGTTAAACTTCGTCATGAGAGTGCACGGTCGGTCTTGTAGATGTTTGTTAGCGCGGCGTATACGATATTCTTGTTAGTGTATATAACGTTTTGTGATATGAATTATCGTGTCAGTAAGCTACTCAAGTTGGCGCCTAAAAAGAAGGGTTCATAATATAGTCACGTGAGTCTTAAGTTCCCACTGCATGAATCATTTGCCAGTTGCTTATGAGCGATACAGATTTTCCAGAAGCACGAAACCTCTTCTTAGTATTCAAGTAGGAAGAGATAGATATTCACAGCCAAGACTTTCTTCGGGCATCACGTGTACCTGACGCTAAAAAGCATCTGTACAGCTCCAACCTCCCTTCCCCGCACAAGCTCTCTTTCCACCTTCAGATTCTTCCGAAATTCGCTCCTTCCCCCCAAAGTTACTTCTGGGTGCCCTTGACCGTCTTTGGGAGTAATCCTCAGGAGCCATATGCCAGACCTGATCCCTCATTCCAGCATAGGGATCGTTGCCGCATGTACCCTGGACTATTGACTGGTATCGGACATCATGGACGTACGTGGACCTACTATCTCTACTCTGAACATTCCGGCTTACATGTTGCGATACAGCCACAAAAAGAAAGACCGGTCGTCCTTAAACAGCCAGAACAAACCGGCCTGCACCTTTCTGGTGTTTATCTCCCTGAAGAACTGCTGGAGCGTGTTGCTATGCATGCTGCATCCGACTTCGCCTCAGTCAAGCGGCTGCGAAAGACGTGCAAATCCTTTGCTCGGGTTTCTGCTCGTTACGTGTTCCATACCGTGCATATCGCACCGATAAAAGAGAATCTGGAGTGGCTCATCACGATTTCCTCTGATGAGAGGTTGGCCAAATATGTCAAGAAAGTGGTCTACTCTCATGGTTCCCTGCAGCAATTCAATAGTCGAAGGAATTCGCAGGACTGTATTAGGTGTTCAGCAGAAATGAAGTATCGAGACGACACCATGCTTACCATGGGAGAGGGATCATACGAACATACATATGGGGGTAGGGTTCAGCCCGTGACCTACTGCCCGATTTCACACCTGGAATCCACGCATGGGCCGGACAGTTCTGATCATCGATACGGCGGCAACGCTCAACTCAGTTGCCTTCCTCACAGCCTAGCTATGACGGGAAAACCGAACAATGCAGACTCTTCTGGACGCACGACCGTCAGCAGTCCTTCTTCGAACGAGAGTGCTCAGCTTGTCTTTCAAAGCATGAACCGTGAGGGTGATGACGTGCCAAACCTGCCCCGAATACACGGTCTTCTCGCGAGAAGTCCTGCTTTCAAAGTGTTATCAGAGCTCGAAGTCGACCTTGACAGACTTTATCCCGAGCGCGGCGCACGATCAGTATCTGCTCTTGACCAATTGGCTCCATTCTTGCTTGGTGTTTTCTCCTTGGAAACTCTGGCGATTAGATTGTCCCACGACAGTAGATACGATCTACTGCAGCATCTTCTCTCGGACAACTCACGAAGCCTTCACACCGGAACTTGGCCACGACTTAAGGAAGTGGCGCTGGCCAGTTTTGATACAACTGCGAAGCATTTGTCAATGTTCCTACAATCGATTGCACCAAGCCTACGGTCCTTGGATCTCGCGTCGATAAATGCCAGGTATACAGGTTCAGATCTATCAGTTCTTGTAGCGCTAAAAGACGTTCTCGTGGCGCTCCCAAAGAATCTGAACTTGGAACAAGTGCATCTGAGCCTTTTAACGGAACATGGTGGCATGGTTCTAGCGGGTAAACCTGCTGGTCGAAGTGGCACGCGCATGGTGGCAGCGTCTTGTATGTGTGAGGCTAGGCTCAGATATGAAATGGAGCTCAACCACCGAGCCAAGCGAGAGTGCCACTGGAAAGCTTTCGAGGATTACATACTGCGTAGAACTGCGGTGGTGCCACAGTTTGACCTGGATGCCTTCATGAAAACGCACCAAGACTGTGGCGTGCGACGCTGCCAGGCGGGACGAGATATCTCCGGGTCCGATGAAGACTCCGAGTCTAATGAAGACTCCGAGTCTGATGAAGACTCCGAGTTTGATGAAGACTCCGATTCTTTCTTTACGACTCTGGGTACTTGTTGCAATTCGATTATGTGCAGATTTTTATCACAGTAGTCGCTCCTTGGTCGCTATTTCGGAATGACTTTCCCTTTCGTTTCTAAGGCCTCCGGGCTATGCAGTACATGATATCGGTCTCAGAGGAATATCAATAGACAGCATTTCAGTACCTATTCGCACATCCTAGACCTATGCATTGCATGAAGCTCGAAGTATAACGTGACATCCTCTACCACAAGTGTCAAAGACAACCTCACATCAAGAGTTTACGGAGTCTCACGAGCTCCTTGTTCTGTTAAGCCTGGTTCACCTGATACCGTCTTAGCAGCCTCATACGCCTGTGTGTACGTGGCTAACTCTTTATCTGATGTAATCACCTCATGTGCATACGGGTCCATCAAGAGCACATACTCCAGCATCCTAGGATTACATCTGCATTATCCCTATATAACCTCCCATCTCGTCGTCCCTCAATTCTCCAGCCCATCACCTCCTAAGCCTCGCCAATTCCTAAGACCAACCAACCCAGGATTGCATTTGCATTAGCCCTGTATAACCCCATCTCGTCCCTCGACCCTCAAGGCCCCGTCGCCTCCGCCCGCCTCCGCCCCCCGCCGCGAGCTTGCGAAGAAGCAGCACCACCCTACCCGGCCCCGTCGCCGCGTAGCTGCCGCATACTACCACAGTACTCATCGCGCACATGGCCGCAGCCCACGCACCAGCCGCAGAGCTCATGGTGGTGCGTCTTGCACGCGCAGCACACCCAGCCGATAAGCGTGCCCGGCGGCGTGGGAGGCTGGGACCACATCTGGCCGAGGGGTGCGAGGTAGGAGCCGTTGGCGTAGGGAGGGCCGTAGGGGTGGTTTGGCCAGAGCATTTTGGTGGGGCTTTGAGGGGCGATGAGAGGAGGTCGCGGGGTGGAGAGTTGGGTTTGTTGAGGTGGTGGTGTTTTGGTTGTAGTTATTGGAGTTCTTGTGGCTCTTGTGGTTCTTGTGGCAAAATTAGAGCGCAAGTAGTGTGTAAGTTGTGTTCCTTGCAGTTTTGGCGGTAGAAAGTAGAGTGTAGAAGTCATGGGGGAGAGGCGGAGGCGAACTGGCTCCGATATACCCCATCTGCACCTCTCTGTGCCACAGTGAAAACGAAGCGTGCGCTGGTATAGACAGCGTAGTTCGCGGCCTTGATGAGCTGGAGCAGACTGGCGTCACGGATTCTCTCTTGGATTGGCTCGAGAGGGCCGGAAAGTGACGAGATCGGAGGTGTTCAAGGTGACGGGGGACGCTACGTCGAGGGAAATGGGACCTAGGCTTCGTCATATCGCTACGAGATGTGCTGGAGAAGACACGCCGAAGTGTCTTCTCTGTAGGATTGGCTAAAGGAGGTAGAAAAGTGAAGAGGTATGGTGGCGAAGAGACGCTACGTCGAGGAGAAGAGAGTAGATCGAGCACGTAGGGCCGAGATATCGTAGACGAGGACGAGTCGTGTAAGAGGTTCGAGTATATGGGGAGATACGTGGAGGCAGATGTGCGGCTAAGTGGTAAGGCGGAACTCAGGAGGATATGGTAATACGTGTGCGAGATTTGAGGGGAGGGATGCAAACATATCAAAAGGATGCCGAGTGGCGAAGGGCTGGGGAGAAGACTTGAAATGGGGGCTAAGCTGAACACCGTCTGCCGCCATATCTAGAAGATTGGAGGAGCTCCGGAATTTAGTTGACCTGGGAAGAGTTACTGTTCCTTGACGTGAATAGAAAGACGGTAACGTTTCTAGTTTGAAAGCTATTCTGATTCAGAGTCCTGTTACGAAGCTTTTAACCATACGATGCAAATGCAACCCACCAGCCATGCAATTTTCTTCTCTGCCAGGTCCATGCATACATCTCTCGCAGTGTCAAGCTCTCTGCAGATACCATGACCTTTCTCTTGGATATTGGCGGGGAGGCCTCTGGATTTAGCATAGGTAATATTCAAGAACTTTGTGTCTACTTAGTTCAGGATCCTCTTTCTTCCGTTCGGACCGTCTCTCCCAACGCTGACCGTATTGTCTGGCCCAATACTGATACTCAAAGCGCTGTCCTCATCATCGCTCCCACCACCTCTGCGACTGCGACTACGAGCGCCCTGGCTCTTACTACGCTCCGGTCGAATTACCAGCCACGTGGATCCGTCCCTCCCTTCTTCTTTGCTCGCCAGCTGCAACTGAGGACGGCCATTCCGGGATGGACGAGGAGGCGGTGGAGCAAGGAAGATGGACGGGAGGATGGTGGTTGGGTTGGGAAGGGCGAGAGGCTTGAAGGATGGATGGTCCAAGAGGGTGAGCGGCGTGGAAGAGAGGGATGCAAAGAAAGTTGCGGGGACGGAGCCGGGTGTGGTAGCTAGGATGAGGTGGCGACATTGGAGGTGGGAGGTTGAGAGGGTGAGATTTTCTGGTGTAAGTGTCAGTGATTTATGTGGAATAGGGTATGGAATTCCCATCAGATTTTGAGGAAGTGAGAGAACGAATAGAGAATGAGAGAAAAATAAAGAAAACTTGATGAATTTGGATGGTTGCTTGACATAGTAAAAAAACGGACGAAATGATGAAGATCTAAATTACACATGCCTCTTATCTTTCTCCCAGCACCACCTTCTTTTCCAACACCCACGTCTATCCAGTCAAACCCAGGCACTCTCGCACAAAAACCAGTCGCAAATGCTCTCAATTGACCAAGGTTTCGGACCTTCCCTTCACGCACCATCGCGTTTGCCATGCCTTCAAGATTTGCGTAAACACGGACGAGGAGGTCAAGCTTGTCGGCGTCATCATAAAGCGGTCGGAAGTATTCTTGGAGTCGGGCAGAAAGCTCGTCAGCTAGGGCCTCGCCGCCTTTTGTACCTTTCGTTGTGTATTTATCCAGGAACTAGGAGGAAGTTCGAATTAGTACGGCTGGTGGTATGACTCTATGCGGTAGGCGGGGTGCAAGGCCTAAAATTGGACAGATGCGTACCATGAATCCGTCCGGATCTGCCTCAATGAGAACCATAGCATATGGACGTCGAGACTAGAGAGTCGTTAGGCCATGTGGGATGTTCCGGAAGGCTGAGTCTGAAACATACGGTTCTCTCGACCAAAGCTGCCTCCCGTTCCGTGGACTCTACCACCTCCGACTGCAAGCGTCTGCGGACATTCTGTTCACTTTGAAGGTCGAGTTCGGTCTGCTGAAGCTTGGCTTCGGTCTTTTCGAGCTTGTCAAGAAGCTCCTGCAGGTTGCCAGTGTTAGTGAAGCACTCGGACAGATGGAGTAGATGTATTACTTCGATTAAAGCATGTCGAGACTCTTCGAGTATGCGATACTGGGCCAGACGGCCGCGGTATGAGTCTGGGACCTCGGCCATGGGAAGCTCGTATGTTTGTTTGAGACGAGAAGAGCCCTGGGTCCGAAGTTTTAGTGTTGCAGGGGGGCTGCACGTAGCGTGCGGGGATTGGATGGGATGGTTGTGCGGTGTGAGTGGTGCGACGGATGAGGCGGCCTATGGGGCCTGACAGCAACACGGTGAGGCAATAAAGCATGCAGTACCCGATTGGTAAATATGCAGCTTGCAACATCGGGATGGCCCGAACTCGACAGGAAGAGACTATATTTGAACAGCTTCTCGTATTTCACCACAACGCGTCCTTCATCTTATCAAGCGTTTGGAAGCTAAGCATTCGTTTATATCTAGTGTAGGTATTGGCTTCTTTAGATAGCTGTACGACGGCAATGGCGAGACGTGCGAGCCTGCGAAAGACCCGGGACAATCTAACCTATAGCTCATTCGCGATATTTGGACTTGGCGGGAGATGCATCGAGAAAATAGAAGCTCCCGGCGATTGACGTTTGTTGAGTTTTACACTTGCCATCCGGTTCTATGAGAACTTACATTCTCATGAGTCCCTAGAGAGATAGTCGGTATTGTTGTCCTTCCTCTACCAGTCTTCTCAGGGCTTTGCAGGCAAAGACAGCATATTCATAGGTAAGCGACGAATTGGGAACGAGAAAAGTCCTTAATGAGAAGGAACAATTGATGCTCTTCCATCGACGAGTTGTTCTAATGATGTTAGGATAAGGATTGATGAATTGTTCCTGGCAGGCTGGCTTCCTTGGGACCCTTGGACCGTCATTCGGCGATTCGGCGAAACTCTCGCTCCGTTCTTGAAGTCCGTGAAAATCCTCTCCGATAGCCTACCAAGCTCCCATCTACTTCGTCCATCTATAACGCAATTCCTTCACGAGGCTATCATTCGTATAGCTTTGTAGTTCCACCGATTTTTAGACGAAATAGATACTGCTCACGTCTAACTCGTAGCTCCCAAGAGCACAGTACTTCAATATTATACAACCGCAACTTGATCCAATGAGCCGTGCTTCTATGTCACCACAACTTACACCTAACCTGTAGTCGTCCGCTCAGCTTTAGGAAGTCTCCATCACTCTTTCACCAACGACTAACGCTCCTACAACGCTCTCTAGATGGACATCCCTGAGTTCAATCGCATCGTTAGCACTTTCATCGATGTCAACCCATGCAGGTCCATACCGACCCTGGCAATAGATGAGGTCGACGCTCGGAGTCTAGAACCTGACGACATCTTACGCACTGGAAGTACGGACGATGATATAGACGCGCCGGATACATCACTTTGGCACGCCCCAACTACCACGTTGGCGTACGCCCTTCTAGAACTCGATCGTATATTGGACAATACCCTCCGACGAACAAATCGCCGCCATAACCTTAGCAAAGAAGTTGGAGAAGCATATACCCAGATACAAAAATCTACGCATCGCAAACCTAGGCCTGGAAAGGTGGATTGCCGTCTTGGAGAGACATAAATTCTACCGCAACAATCGTGAACAAGCCAAGGCTGTTACTCATCTCGCCAGTTTCTCATCAACAGTCCCACTATTTTTGCCAGCACTACAGAGGATATACAGGTAAGCTGTCATGGGTCAACAATACATGAACTCGCCTCGGGGAGACAGTATCGAACACTTCGGGGTCGGGAACAAAGATGGAATCAATTGCTCTTGTGTCCTGGCAGCTTTGCCTGAGATAGACAGAATCTTGAAGACCCAGCATGCTCTGAGGATACAAAAGCGATTGCAATCTGGTACGACCGTCTAGCCCTTCTACTTATAACATTGCGCTGACATTACAATCTTTATAGTGAAACCTTTCCCCTTCTTATATCTTCCCAAGGACATTCGGCTCATGATATACGAGCACCTCCTTACATCCGACCGCGCCATTCCCATCCCAAACAAAACCAACGAACAGTTACGCGGCCTGAGGTTCTTCATGTCCCTCCTTACAGTGTCGCGATCTATTCACGACGAGGCAGCGGCAGTATTCTACGGATACAATACATTCATCGTTAGATCTCTATGCATTGGCAGGGATTTGGAGATTGAAAATGTTCCTGCGATTCGCGAGATCGGATTCCTGGCCAATCTAGATATTCGATACCGAAGCATGATCAAGAAAATGGAATGGATGATGAGGCCGAGCTCCGATTATCGTATTCTTACCCTGATTGGGGACCTCGTAGGCGAAGACATGTGGCTGACACTTCCGCAATTGATTCCTCGTTTGCGCAGTGGTGTGTTCTTCTTTGAGACAAACTGGTCTCGTGGTACGTGAGACCAGCTTTATGGTACGTCAGAACAGTATCAAGAACAAAAACGTCTTCTCAAATCCATTCTGGAGAAGCTGTTGGAATATTCTACCATGATCTCCATCACCAAAAAGGTGATGATTGATGCAGTGATTGTTTAGTTTCCTTTGTGTTTGATTCGCTTACGATTGTGTGGTCCTCATACATAACGAGCTCATGTATCTAGATTGAATGCTATCTTTTTCGTTTTCCGAATTCTACAGAAGCATACGAAAGAAATGCAGCATGTTGATCGAGTCGGATGGGATTTTGGACACTGCAACGAGTTTGTAGATGGGGTGGCTGCAGAAATGAGACAAGAGTCGGGCGGCTTCGAGGAGGCTGAAAGCGTGCACAGTTGCGTGAATGACAGTGTTGTTACCATGCTGCGGTTAGAATTTCCTGATTTTTTCTGATTAGGGAGCGCTCATGGGCTGATAAGACCACTCCCCTCTTTGGTAGGATTCCTGCGAGAGTCACCTGGGAAGCAGTAATGGGTACAGAACTCAATAGGTCCACATTGCGTGGGGTTGGGTGGGGGTCGGCATTGGGGGTCTCGCGATGCCACAGCACCCCCGCCGTCACAAGAGTTGTGTGTGCCGTGACCTCCTCCCTGCGCAGGGGCTGGAAAGGCGCGAGTATAGCATCACCAGATTTGCTTCTGACGTTGAAATAACCCCTGGCCCTTGAGATACGGGGCACCCTTTCCACACGTGTGGTGTGTCCATCCCCAACAAAAGATTGGTCGAATCAACCTGGCAACAGTAATCGCATCTGCGGGATGCAACTCGACAACGCCTGACCTGCCTGTTTGGACGGCTAAATATGGATCTGCGCCTCCTCTGCCGCACTCTGTCACCGGTCGGGCGGGCCTCACCAGGATGGACGCAAGCTCGCGCTCGACGGTGCAAGACATCACAGGCGCGCCGCCTCTTTCTCTCCAGCAGCCCTCCATGGCTGACGATGAGGTCTACAACAGCTCGGGCCAGTCGCTCGAGGCCGATGTGAGTTAGCCGTCCCGTCCATCCCGCCTGCCCGCTTCCCCGCGACCGTCCCCTGCATTCCTGCCTTGCGGCGCAGCACGTGCTGACGGCCCGACCCTGACAGAGCGACGACCGTGACTCGGCCCTCGGCGACGATAACAGTTCTATGTATGTATAACCCCTCCGCTGCCCAGCACGGCGGCGTGCATAACACTTGCGCTGGAAGAGACGAGTTGACGCTGTGTAGCTTCACCATGAGTGTCACCGACTCGGTTTACAATTACCGTTATGAAAATGGGCGACGCTACCATGCGTATGCTGACGGGAGTTAGTAGCGCAAAACACACTGCGGGGTACTCTGCTAACGAAATATAGAATATCCTGTCCCGAACGATGAGGTATTGCCTGTTCCTGACATTAGATGGTAATGGAACTGATCGGATTGTCATTGGCAGGTAGAGAAGGATCGCCTTGGTGAGTGACGAAGCCTGAAGTATGATCAATTGAACTGACTATGACTAGATCTTCAACACCACGCCTTTCGATTAACATTGGACGGAGCTTTATACCGTGCGCCCATTTCCGAGAATGTGCAGAATGTTCTCGATGTTGGGTGTGGCACTGGGATATGGTCCATCGAGTTTGCTGAAGAGCACCCTTCTGCGAAGGTGTTGGGAACGGATTTGAGGTATGCAAGCCCCATCTTGACTTCAATTCACCATCACTCGTCCCATTGCTGATGATGTACAGTCCTATACAGCCAACTGAGTAAGCCCCATAAGGATCCTGAGGTCGTCGAAAACAGATGGAGCTAATACCACCAGTGTGCCTCCAAACTGCAGCTTCCTCATCGACGACGCAGATAGCGAATGGCTCTTCCGCGAACCCTTCGACTTCATCCACTCTCGCGCAATGATCGCCGCATTCAAGGACTGGCCCAGATACATAGAGCAAGCCTACGCGTACGCCAACCTTCACTAAACCCAACCCCCCCATTTCGACTCCACTAACACACGACTACCCACAGTAACCTCAAACCCGGCGGCTACCTCGAGATCCAAGACTTCTACTTCCCCTGCTGCTCCACCGACCCCTCTCTAAACTCGACCAACAGCCCCATGATGCAATGGGCCGAGCTGCTCGTCTCCGCCGGCGCCAAAATCGGCATCGACATGCTGCTACCGGGCCATCTTGGCGAGCACCTCAAGGCAGCCGGCTTCACGGAGATACACAGTAAGCACTACAAGTGGCCTATGGGGCCGTGGGCCAAGGGTGACAAGAACAAGCTCCTCGGCCGCTTCGCGAAAGAGGATCTGATGGATTGGCTGCCCAGCTCGGCGTTGGGGATGTTTACGAGGGTGCATGGGTGAGTGCGATGGCTCTTGGATACATCTGGAAAGCGCTGACGTGCGTGTAGGTGGACGAGGGAGGAAGTCGAGGTCTTCCTCGCGGGTGTAAGGCGGGAGTTGAAGGAGCACAAGGAGCGGCATTTTTGGGCTAATATGTGAGTATTACCCCCTTTCTCGTCCCTTTCACTGCCGTGCTTGCGGTTCAATCGAAGATATTGATATCCCCCAGCGTCTTCTGGTACGCCCGCAAACCCCTCGACACCTCCCCCTCCCGCGACGAGAACCCCGTCCGTGACGAAGTCATGCTCGAGGAGGACGAGCCGTTCGATCCTGCCGCCGAGGGCGCAGGGGGTCAGGATAACTACAGCGAGCGCGAGTCTTTGGAGTTTAAGAAAACGTCGCTCGGGGACTCGTCCTCCACGGTTGAGAGTAGCGAGAGGGATGTTGAGATCGTGGTTAAGGAGGCGAATCTGCCGGCGGTGGATCCGAGCGCGAATGAGAGTCGGGAGACGTTTGAGACGGCGCCGGAGGGGAAACCCGATCTACCAGGGAAGACTATCTCGCCCACTGCCTCTAGCGTGGCAACGCCTGCGGCTCCAGACCCAGTCACTGGGGAGGTACCCAAGGAGAGCGCGGGTGCGGAACCGCAAGCGCATTGAGTGGACAGCCGGTGTGCAGACTTATGGCGTTATGATCGTGATGCGGAGTCTCGTTGGAGTAGTAGGCCGGATTCTTTCTATCTACGTGTATTCTACCGCTATCTCTCGCTCCGCCAATGATTTGCAGCATCAGCAACGCAGAACGGAGGAAGGCTGCGTCAGATTCGCACATTCACTGTACATCTTTCACTAGTTCTTCATAAGAGACTTTATGGGGGTATTCAAATGACGATATCCTTTTCCTGCCTAAAGCTAAATGTGCTATAGTAAGACTTGTGTGTATCTATCTCCTGAAGCCTAAACACCATTATCCGATTCCCAGCAATAGAACGCACGACGGGGACGCCAGTGCATAGTAAGTAGCCCGCGACGACAGAAAGCAGTTCACTTCAAAGCCCAATCCGCTCCCCATCAAGCCCATGATGCATCGTCTGATTCCTATACCTCTTCCGGCCCCTCACAAACCAATCCACCACGATAATCAGCAGGATAATCCCATAGCACGCCGAGACGTAGTTCATATCTACGGCATATCAATTAGCTAACCCGTCATCCCTACGCCAAGAACTCGAGAAATGGAAAAGGGAAAAGAAAAAAAAAAAAAAAGAACTCACAATCCGCCGTCACCGGCATAACCGTCGGAAACGAATACATCACCAGCGTAAACAGCGTCCAGGCCAGAGTGACGACATTGCACAGCAGCCCGAACCTCCCGAGCCAGAACGGGCCGGGCTTGATGTTCGCGCGGCCCCGGACAAGCAGACACGAGATGGGGATCGCGTAGGAGATGTACGGCAGCACGATGCACCCCGTCACAATGCTGTTGATGGCAGCATAGGACCCGAGATACAGCAGCCCCAGACACGCAACGAGGAAGCTGCTAAGCGCGTGCGCGTGCGCGTGCAGCGGCATGTCGAGCGCCGGGTGGATCTGCACCCAGAGGTGGTGGCCGGGGATGCCCCTGTCGCGCGAAAAGCTCCAGCAGAGGCGCGACGCCCACGTGTGGCACGAGATCATGCAGCCGAACCCGGTCGCGATGATGAAGGCTTCCAGCACGATGGCGCCGGCCTTGTTCTGCCCGAGGGCCTGGTAGAAGAGCTCGAGGATGGGCACGCCGGTGGCCGTGGCGGCGATGCCGGCGACGTCGGTCATGCTGAACAGCATGCTCATGATCCAGAACCAGCTGGTCGCGAAGCCGATGCCGATGGTGCCGAAGATGGCGATGGGGATGTTGCGCTCGGGGCGTGGCACTTCTTCGGCCATGTGCACGGCCGTGTCGAGGCAGGAGAAGCCCCAGTTTGTGTTGATGAGGCCGGTGATGAAGGCGATGCCGCCGCGGGACCAGCCCGTGTTGTTGATGAAGGTGGTAAAGACGAAGGAGGCGGGTTGGTGCGTGGGCGCTTTGGCGGGGACGACGATGAGGGTGATGAAGAAGGAGAGGAGCGAGGTGTACAGGGCGATGGTGGCGATGGTGGGCAGGGCGCGGCCGTAGCAGTTGAAGAAGAAGGCGAGGAAGTTGACGAGTTGGTAGGCTACGACGACCATCCAGGGTTTGGTGATGCTAGGGAGAGGTGTTAGAGGGTGTTTAGGGGGAGGGAAAGGGGGGCGTACAGGTCTGGGTGAGAGAGTTGGTAGCAGCCCACGAGAGCGAATCCGACGGTAAGGGCGACGCTCGCGCAGGCGAAGATGGAGCCCGCCCATGCGAACCAGCCTGCAGTATAGGAGGCTAGATTTGCGTATCTCTTTGGTGCTAGCTCGCGTGCCCAGAATGACTGTCCGGCAGCATTCGGCAGCGCACTGACGAGCTCTGAGAGGGAACCTGCTACGCCAATCGAGACGATGAATAGGAGTATGGTCCCGTAGATCAGGAGAACGGGTCCTCCCGAGCTGATACCCGTGATCAAGATGCCAGCTACGGCCCACCAGGAATTGGTAAGGGAGAAGCCGATACCGAGAACTGACCACACGGAGAACTTCCGTGTCATATCTTGGGTATAGCCCATTTCGGCCAATTTCTTCGCGTCGCCGTCGCTGTACTGGTCATACTTCTCCGAGTTTGAGTCAACGGTGGCTGTGTGGTCTTCCTTTTCCTTGTTGATCGGCATGATGGCAGATTGACACGGAGTTGGCCAGTCGAGACTCAAGTCAGGCTCGTGGTTCCAGCTACGTCCAATTACACTGGGTGTGCTCGTCAGTGGCGAAGCGAACAAGGTAGTATTGTGGAAAAATGGGAGTGGACTAAGTGTGATGAATAAGAATCGAAGGGCGTAAACATGAGTTTATTGGCTCTAAAACCATATCTCGCTCTCAGATTTGCATGAATTCGGGAATTTGAATTCACTGATACTCGCGGACTCACCTTGGCAATTGAAGCGAGTGCCCGGAAGACACATCAGGCGCTCGGACCATACTGGCAATGAAGGCTGAGATCAAAGAGACCGTTAAGAGAAAAAGCGACTAAAGGAATGGACATCGAAGTGTCATGTCATGTCATGTTCGTACAGTGTGATAGAATGGAGTCGAAGGTGGTGTAACGTGAGATTTGACGAATGGCAATGAAAGGGGCCGAAGATCGTACAAGAAGTCCAGTGATAAAGAATATAGGCTGCTTACATGGAGTTTATAGGATTGGAAACAGGCAATCAATCATGCAGGCCCTGGCCAATATAACCGAGTCCCGACAAGAGATGTGTCTTGCTCGTGATTGATGCAGAGGTGGTAGAATACAGGAGGCGAAGGAACATGAGTTTGGGATATAGGGAGTAATTACCACCCAGATCATGCTTACCGGTGCAGGGACGCCTATCTACTGTGCCACGCACTCAGATCGCTCCTGTGCTGTATCTCTACAAATCGGGGCGATTGCCCCAGCTCCATGAGTCGTGCATTGTAGGGATTGGCAGCCAGCCAAGTCGTTTGTGTCGCAAGATGTGCTAGTCCCGAAACAGACTACAAAAGCGAATGGCCTCGTATCGATAAGCTTGGTGACCTCTCAACACCACGCCTTTGTAACCACACCAATCATTGGGAACATTTACCAATTCGGAAACGCCTGCAGTGTAGGCAGGGGTTCTGGAAGCATGTGTCCAGCAGTGGCAACCACGTATCGGGAGTGGAGCTCCTCGATCCGTCTCCATTCCCCGCCTTCTCTAGGCCATCGATCCGACGCGAGACCACCTCCAACGGCGTATTCCAAAGCGTGGAGTTAACATCGAAAGAAAGACTTCATCTTCCTTCTTCCGCAATCACTGATTCGAGGGTTCTTCACGAAATACCCGACGAAATACCCGAGACTATGTTTCTATAAGTTCTTCCACTTAGCTCTGCGAGTCAACACGCCGCCTCCAGACTATACAGGGAGACCGCGATCAGCAATCATCATGCCTTCACCCAGCGTGTCCATTATAGCTGGTATCGCCCTTATTGCTGCTGCGGTCTACAAGTTCATCATCTATCCTGCTTTTCTTTCTCCTCTCTCTAAGATACCAGCGGCGAACTGGTCTGTCCACTTTTCCTCCTTATGGATCAACTACATCCGATACACAAACGTAGAAAACGCCACCGTTTTCGAACTGCACAAGAATAAAGGTCCTATCGTGCGTATGGGGCCTGCCGAACTCAGCGTAAACTGTTACGAAGGCGGCCTGAAGACCATCTACACGGGCGGATTTCCAAAGACTGAATTCTACATCAATCGCTTCATGAACTATGGGTATAGAACTCTATAAATTTAAACTGGAATACACTTTTAACTATCACAGCAACATTGGCAATATGTTTTGCTTCATCGACAGCAAGACCCACTCAACCCGCAAACGCATGCTCTCTAACATCTACTCCAAATCTGTGGTCCTGGCCTCACCCACCGCGCGCGCTACTTCCAAAGCCATCCTCTACGATCGCCTCCTCCCCATCTTTCAGAAATCATCAGACTCCAAAAATGCAATCGAAGTTCACTCTCTGGACTACGCCTACGCCATGGACGCCTTCATGGCGTATCAATTCGGCCTCGACATCGGCAGCAACTTCATCCAGGATGTCGAGAAGCGCAAATGGTACCTGCACCTCTTCTTTTCTAGGCGGCCGTACCTATTTTGGACGACTGAAGTACCGACGTTCACAGCGTGGATGCACAAGCTCGGCATTAGGCTCGTCCCGCAATGGGTCGACAACGCGACGGTCGCGCTTGAGAATTGGAACCTGGATATCTGCGATAAGGCCGAGGCGCTGCTTTCCTCCCCCGCGGCAGCTTCTACACCCGCCATCTCCTATCCCGCGATCTACGCCGTCGAGCGCGCCAAGTTCCAAAAGGCAGACATCAAGCCCCCGCCTCAAATGACCGCAAAAGACCCGCGCCAGACCTACCCTCGCAGGTTAGACATCGCATCAGACATGTACGACCACAACGCCGCAGCCCACGAGACGTCAGGTGATACCTTAACCTGGCTCTACTACGAGATGTCCCTACGCCCCGCGTTACAAAAACAGCTACGTGAAGAACTACTGACCCTCGACCCCCCAATCCTCTTCCCAGCGCCCTCGGCCCACTTCGAGCTCCCGGATCCGAAGAAAGTCGATGCCCTCCCGCTCCTCGATGCAATACTGCAGGAGACTCTCCGCCGCTGGGTCTCCGTCCCAGGCGGCCAGCCCCGCGTCACCCCCGGCGTGTGCAGTCTGGCCGGCTACGACGGTATCCCCGGCGGCGTGCGCGTGCAGAGTGCTGCTTATGTACTTCACCGCAACCCAGAGGTGTTTCCGGATCCCGAGGCGTGGAAGCCCGAGCGGTGGCTAGACGCTTCGGTCGACGAGCTGAACGAGATGAGGCGGTGGTTCTGGGCGTTTGGGAGTGGGGGCCGGATGTGTATTGGGAATAACATCGCTATACATTGTAAGTGTACTTGTGTAGTTTTGAGTGTGCGACAAGGGAAAGGGAGTGCTGACGAGAGTTAGCGATGAAACACGCGATAGCAGCCATCTACACCAACTTCACGACCACTATCGTTGACGCCGAGGGGATCGAGCAGGACGATGGCTTCACGGCGGGGCCGAAGGGGAATAAGCTGTGGCTGCAGTTCCATCATGTGTGAAGCTCCTCAAGCGCTTTATATCATTAATTTTCATAAGGAGAAGCCATTTAGTCATGAGGTAGCTTAAGTTCCGCTAAGTGCAATTTGACTTCGTGCCTACCTTTTAGAAACCGTCTTGCCCTATTAGGAGGCACGCCCAGCAATGACAAACGAGCATCCACACCCTCATAACCTATGAATGTAGCAGATACTGACAGATACCGACATGTACTGTGTGGCTTGGTATAAAGGACCGAGCGGACACTGAATACACCCCCTGCACTGATATAAGAAGAAGTAACAGATCGAACCGCATGAAAGCTATTTACCAGACTCCGCGCGACCGAGTCTACACCGTGTGCTCACATCGCGTGACCTCCTTCCTAGCATTAATGCAAGAAGAACCAACTTATCGAACTGCATGAGAGTTAATTTACTAGACTCCGTGCAGCTGAGTCTACACTGCGTGCTCACATCGCGTGGCTACGGAGCGTACCATCCTTCCTGGCAATAAAGTGAGAAGAAGCCACGAATCGAACCGCATGAGACTCGACTCACTAGACACCGGGTGGTTTGGACTATGGCGCGTGTATATAAGTCGTGCTAATTTCGATGCTCGATGCCCACAACATCGACGACGACGAAATGAAAGGTGACTAGAGAAAAACGAGAAGAAACGGTGCCAGAAGCTGGGGGAATCGCGCATTCAAGACCGTAACATCGTAAATATATCAAGCATAACATCGTATGTACATTCAAACTTCCGTTCTACTTACCTACTACTAAGCAAACCACCTCTCGCTTCCCTCCTATCCTGCCCGTCCAACCTTTGACGCCTAAGACCACGCCCTCTCCACACCCACAGGCACAATCCCATACTTCTCCATTCCCTCGACTGTCAGCGCCTCACTCACCACCCCCTCATCGCAAATCTCCTCCTGCCGCATGCACAACTCCACCGCGAGATCATAAAACGCGTCCACAAGCCCTGCTTTCTCGATAGCCTCCCACCGCTCATACCCCCTGTCTCTATCCTCCTCCGGCGTCCTAAGCTGCGAGTACGCCTCCACCACCTCCCCTTTCCCCTTCCCATCTCGATCCCCGTCCAACGCACCCCCAAACACCATAACCCTCCCTCCCTCCCCGAAACTCCCCCACGGCTCCTTCCCATTCGCAAACTCGACCCAGCACTTACTCATAAGCTCACTCACTCGCTGATGCTTCCCCGGCAACCTCTCCTTCAGCAGCCCCCACACATACACATTATCCAGACTATGATGCGCCAACCCACCCCACTCATTCTCAAACGGACTCGGCACGTCGAAATGATACCCCAGCATGCGCGGCTGCGCGCGCAGCGCCTTGAAGTTCACGAGCGAGTACAGCGCGTCGGTCGTCATGCGCTCGGTCGCCCAGAAGAGGTCGTTCTGGGTCATATCCTCGCGCAAGCCGTACAGCGCGATGATGGTCTGCGCGGCCGTCGGCGGGTAGACGGCGTTTGAGTAGCGGCGGTGCGGGCGCGAGGGGTCGAGCACGCGGCGGATCTTGGCGACGAGGGCGGTGGGTGGGAGCGCGCGGAAGGCTTTGTTCCAGATCACGCACTCGTGGCGCACGTCGCCGAGCATGGCGGCGCCGCACCACGGCGGCACGGCGAACGCGGAGTACTGCGAGTAGGTGGGCATGGGGCCGCCGATCAGCACGCCGTCGTCGCAGGGCGAGAGGGTGATGACGGGCGTGACGAGCACGGGGACCATGGCGGCGGTGAGTGCTTCCTCTGGGGTGTTGATCAGCCGGAGGAGGCGCTCGCGCGGGGAGAGGGAGGAAGGGATGGCGAGGTGGGTGAGGGTTTTGTTGTAGATGGATTGGTATTGCGAGGGGGTGAGGACGCCGCAGAGGGGGAGGAGGCCGGATTGGATGATGGCGCGGGAGAAGAGGGGCTCGTTTCGTAGGAGGTGGATGTTTGCAGATACTGTACACATGATTAGCATATCCTCAATTGTGTCCGCGACTTCTTATCATGTGTGCGGGTTATGGGAATGGAGAGCAGGGGAAGCGGGAAGCGTACCTCCTCCAGCCGATTGTCCAAACAATGTCACCCGCTCTTTGTCTCCCCCAAATCCCCCGATGAACCGCTGCACCCACCGCAACGCATCCACCTGGTCCCAGATCCCGTAGTTGCCGACCCCGTCCTCCCCGTGCTCGGCGTTATACTCCCGTATCTCCTCGCTTGCTAGAAAGCCAAACAGCCCCAATCTGAAATTAATCGATATGATGATGGTAGGCATATCGAGCTTTGCGGATATCTCGGAGAGTATGCGGCCGTCATAGATTGCTGCGCCGCCCGCGGCGTAGACGAAGGCGCCACCGTGGAGGAAGAGCATTACGGGGTACTTTTGAGGAGTTGGGATGGGGGAGGGAGGGGAAGGTACGGATATGTTCATGGACAGGCAGTCAGTAGACGATGTTGTAGGGGCATCGGAGAGCCAGGGGCGGGATGGATTGGGGATGGGGTAGAAGTCGCGAGGGGGTTGGGAGGGGAATGGTCTTGTTCTAATTAGTGGCAGTAGGATTTTGGAGCCGTTGAGATGATAGGGACTGATGTGTATGGAATTTAGGTGTATGGAATTTAGGTGTATGAATTTAGGTGTATGAATTGAGGTGTATGAATTGAGGTGAGTGAAATTAGGTGCGAAATGAGGTGTGTGAATTGAGGAAGAGTTAAAATTGACGCGTGTGAATTGAAGTAGAATATGTAAAGCGAAGTCTATGGACATTGAGGAGTGCGAAGGTGATAGGAGACGAAAGCGCCGGTTCGTAGGGTTTCCATGCGAGAGAGAGAGAGTTGAAATAGAACGACTTACCCGACCTTGGTCCCATCCCATTTCTGGTCTGGCCATGGTACTGCTGCCGGCTGAGGTCGTCGGAAGCGGCCAGGGACTGTGGCATAGGGTATGCCCATATACTGGGTGGTCTTTCCATCGAAGCAGATACCAGTGATCTCTCCTAGCTCAGGGACATTGAGAGACACTTTTGTGATTACTTTCACGTCTTGTGCGGAAGTCATGGTGATTGAACGAGAAAAGCACTAATGATAGAATATGAAAAATGGAGGCTTCAGATACTGAAGGGATAGATATGAAGGTCTAGCAGAGGTGAACAATGAACACTTTGTTCTTCTATTGGAAACCCGACTCTGGATGCACGACCGGCCTCTACCGCCCGATACACGCTACTTCTGATGTTCCACAGTTGAGATCGCGATGTTTACCCGCAATGGTACAAGCAGCGCCGGAAGACAGCTTCAAGATGCGGAGACGTTGAAGCTGTCGAGACGTTCATGGAGATGCTGGCGTGCCTCTTATCGACGGACCCGTGCGGGCTGCAGAGACTAGCGTTCGCAATCGATGTTAAAATTGGGCATAGACTACTATATCCCTGCTACACACTTTGGACCCTGAAAGCGATTATCCCACTCCTTGGCATGGTGTTGATCCGACGGGAAGTTGAGGTTGTTGAGACGATTGCCATGCGGAAGGACAACACGCGATGGTGTCTACTCGCGATGATTGATGATAGCAGGGAGAGGAGTGAAGGTATATAGATCGGTGTTGCACAACCCGGGGCCCGTGGGTTTTCTCCCGACATCGTCTCCGTAGACCTCTCCCGTCCTTCACCATTCACGTACATCTCAATATGCACACTTAGCCCTCCATTTCGAGTTCAGACGTCGCTACCATCGATCACGATGGATTTGCTCTCACCACCAACTGCAGAAGTCCAATACCAAGCTTCTGCTAACGGCCTGACTCGTCTCGGGCCGGACCCAGCCCTCTGTATACCCTGCCGCCGCCTTTCTCCGCAGGGCCCGCGCTTCTGAAGCCTGAACAACTCAAACACAGCTGCGAATGATCACTATGACCTAGCCATCGTCTTCCCGATGCATTGGCCGGATTGAAGATGCTGCCACAAGAACGGGCCCCAATGCGACGGGCGAAGAAGTCCCGGAATGGCTGCTCCAGGTGCAAAGGCCAGCGTGTGAGTCGGAGAACCGCGCCAGAAGGATAGCGACAGAAGGCTGACTTTCCACAGCTCAAGTGCGACGAAGCGAAGCCTGCCTGCGGACGATGTGTGCGAGTCGGCGTGCAATGCCCGGGATATGTGCAGAACCTGAAATGGTCTACCAAATATGAGGTCTTCAATTCGACTACCGGGGACGAGGCGGTCAAGCAGGGACAAGATAGTGCTAAGAGCAGCCGGCCTAGGGCGCGATTGGAGGAGTTGGATACACCTGTGCACAACGGAGGATTGAACCTGGAATCGGAACAAACCCATCCATTTGACGGAGAATCCCTGGGCGATAGAGAGGTACCGCTAGAGATAGAGCTAGGTATGGGTGTGCTAGACTTCACCTTCAACAGACTCTTCCCGGAGATGGACGACGAATCCATGGGAATTAGCGGAATCCCAAATTTTGATTTTGAACAGCACATGGTACCATTATCTTCTGCAGCTACACCAGCAAGAGATGCGAGGCCGTCATCTGTCACTAATACGCAAACCACAAATCAAACATCAGATCCAGAGAGCACTGCCATCACGACATCTCGAAAGCGCCCGAAGAGACCGCCCTCTCCACCGTCCATATTCAACCTCCGCCAATCCGTCAAACTCCCCATAGGCGCGGCTCTCAACGATGTTTCTTCCATCCTGACCGAATTCTACTTCAAGGAAACCGCGCAGGTCTTTTCCTGCTACGATAGCCAGATGAATCCCTTTCGTTCCACGGTATCTCAGCTCTGGGGGTCGTCAAAAGTCATATACTACACCCTTCAAAGCATGGCAGCTGCCAGTCTTCTCGACAACTTCCCACATCTCGCCCCAGTCGGCCGCCAACTTCGCGCCGAAGCCATCGCAGAGCTCAATAACAACGAAGACCAATTCGATCACAAGTCCCTTCTCGCGCTGTTAATGCTTGGCGGTACGTCCTCGTGGCATGATCCCAACGATCTCGGGCTCCCCTTCTTCAACCTCGCACGCAAGCGCCTAGAGTCCATGGCTGCCTCAGGTAAAATGCCCAAAGGCGGGAACAACTACCACTTTTTCGAAGAGTCTTTGATATACTGGGAGATGCTCTTGTCCTATATGGCAGACAATAACAGCCTAGACCCCATGCGCGAACCTCTCGAGCCAAATCCTGTCCAACCGTCGCGGCAGGTTCCGCACCCCTGGACCGGCGTTGCCCGTGACTGTCAGTATGTAGTGCAAGAGGTCGGGCGTGTGATTCGGCAGCAGCGGAAACTCGCTCACTCACGCTCCTTCACTACAGAGGCCCATATCTCGAAGCTGCAAAAAGCCGTGGCACGTGCAACCGAGCTTGAGCTTCGATTGCTAGAATTCAGCTACCCAACCGAGCACGAGGTCGTGAGCCCAGAGGACCGCGAGACGCCGGTATGGCATCTCCTCAGTCTCGCTGAGGTGTATAGGAGAACAGGGCTGGTGCAACTCTACCGCGTCTTCCCTGATCTCCTGAGGCGCAGGCTCCCACCTCTTTCATCACGAGACGAGCTCGACCCCTTTTCGCCCGCATCATCAATCGACGATTACGAGAAAGATCAAGCCGAGGAGAACAGAGAGAGACGGAACGAGTGGCTTACCGTCTTTGCACTGGAAACCCTAAGTCTACTAAAAGAGATACCACTGGAATCCGGCACTCGAGATTTCCAGCCCTTTTTACTCGTAGCGAGCTGCAGCGAGCTCAGATTCGAGCCAGATCCGCCTCCATCGACGCCAATCATTGATCCGGCCGCAGCTTTCGTGTCACAGTTCACGGCACGATCAAGCGATGGTAGGGTCATAACTCCCCTAGCCGGGTTTCACGCCTACTTTGATGCCCCTAGACATGTTGGCGGGAGTGGGGCCTCAGCCTTTAATGCCGCCGAGGTCCCGCTATCCCACCGGGCGATCGAGGTCTCTCGCGCGCGCCAGCTTATCGAGGGCAGACTAACGAGTTTTCTGCACATCCTGCCGCCGAAGCCTATCTACGTGTGTCTAGATATCGTGAGAGCGACATGGAGAAGGTTGGACGAGACGAAGAACTTGACCGGCAGTGAGGCGGGGGATGTGTATTGGATGGACGTTATGATTGAGAACGGGTGGGAGACTACGATGGGGTGAGTGGCCGAGGTACGTATCTTTCGAGGCATCTTAGTGGTTTTGTCGAAGTTATGGCCCTGGCGTTTTGGATACCAGATCGAGGGATGAGCGTTTCTTGCTTGGAGGGTAAAGGTCATGGGTCGGGTACGGTTTACGACTATCTGAAGTTAACGTAGATGACACGATTTTATAAAGCGATTATTCATACGAGAGTCGTATCATTCTCAAGAGTTGTTGCAGAGCCAGTCCCAGTGTAGTACCTGATTGTGCCGAAAAGTCTATGCGCATCCATTCCTCGCTGCTTGGGTTGCCGCTTTGGGGGTTCGAAAACTCGCAAAACGCTGACGCGGTGGAAATCAGATTATCTCGTAACTAGGACCCTCTCGGTACATCTTGTGCCCAGACTTACGGGACCTAGTACTGCTCACGCCCTCGTGTGAACTTCCTCCGCTATTCGATCTGTCGCCATTTCTCCCGTTTCCCGCACGAAACCCGCTCACGCTGCGTTACACGCGTCGTCTACCAATTTTCCTTTCCACGCGGTTCGATTCGTGACTTCTTCTCACTTTAGTGCCAGGAATAGGTTACGCTGCGTAGCCGCGACGTATATACATGGAGCCTTCCTCTGAGCTCGCCAGAGTCTGGGAGGTTCCAGTTCCACGCGGTTCGATTCGTTACTTCTTCTCGCCTTAGTGCTAGGAAGGGGGTTACGCTATGTAGCTACGCGATGTGAGGACGTGGTGTAGACGTGGTCACGCGGAGTCTAGTAAATCGGCTTTCATGCGGTTCGATATGTTGATTATCCTTACATTAGTGCCGGGATGGAGGGTACGTTCTTGGATTTACATAAGATGCTATGATGAATAAAATTACCTACGTCACTGTTTTGAATGCGCGCTCTCCCCATCTTCTAGCACCGGTCCTCTGTTTTACATTCTGCCACCTTTCCTTTCGTCGTCGTCGACGTCGTAGGTACGGAGTATCGAATCTAGCACGTTCATCACTCACACGAAGTGCGTCACGAGTCCTCTCTCGACTCCGGAACAGTCGTACAGCTGACCGCTTCCAACCTCACTGGCACAACGTCCGACCCGTGGCAATAACACTACAATCTGCATTCAAGTGACGTCTTGTAGGGCCTAATTTCTCCCCAACAACATTATGAAACTTTATCGCGATGCGCTGGCCTTCCTCAGCGAGGATGTTCCTTGTCCTCTATCGGAATATCATCTTGCGCCGCCTGAAGGCAGATTGCGACCATCAAGGTACCTGTGTGACTACGCCAACGTGGAACCTATCACCGCACACGTCTTCGACCCGTCGGCGGTGTAATGGCGGGTTGGGGGATTTGACGTGTGGCCGCCCTCGCCGTAGTCCGCAACATTGAGGTTCCGTGATAGCAGGGGTGGCTGGTGACACGGCTTGCAGATATTGGAGACGAAATTGATGGCCCTGGTAGTCGGTAGTGGATCTCCGGATTGTGCTTCTCGTGAAGGTAAAGATGGCCACGAACGATCGACGTGAGGAGTTTGAGAAGGACCATTGAGAGCCGGTCTATGGTAGTCAAGGTCCTTGGTCTCGTATGCGATCATGTTGTTATCGGTTCATAGTAAGAGGGTCGGCATGAGAAGCAAGGGTAAGTGGTGCTGGCACTGAAGATACAGGAGCTACTTGGGCTGCAATTCGTCTTGGCGGACACGTGGTCACTACTTTGGTCGTCAGACCCGTCCTTTGGGACTTTGAAATTTCGAGGCGACATTCGAGCCCAGGCTATTCGTCGTTAAGAGGAGCGGCAAGTGGGCTCCTGGGAGCACTAATGTATCGTGCGCCCAGCCTCGCATACGAAATACCTGGGTCTCCGAGTTCGGGACGTCTAGCAATGGAGCAAGGTTCGACAGAGTACGGCTCTGTTGTGCTTCAGCCCAAAAGCAAGGAAGGAGTACCTGTCACCTGGCTGCCTACTCTTGGGATGATTGGCATCCACATAGATGATGTCGCCGGATGCCGCAATCAGGTGAGAAGATGACCACGGAAATCGTCCGAAGCCAATCCTATACTGGCAATGAATTCCCCTGGTGAATGACGGCCATTGGACTGATACTACATGAACGAGCTTTGGAGGGGAGCTGCTCTGCTGGATCTCGGGATGAATGTAGGGTACGAAGCGCCATTGGACGGGGCGCAAAGTTGGTGGAGGCTGGACGCTCGTTAAAGCGGCTGGCCCGTCCCGTTTCCGAGGCCCCTCTTGAAGAGACGACGAACTGTCTGCCAGGCGATGGGAAGCGTTCCTATTGGATCACGGGGAGTCAGGGGGGAAAGGGTCCTGGTGTCTTGGTGTGCTGGTGAATCTTAACTCAGAAACAGGAAAAAGGGCTATGGAAGAGTGTACCATGGGACAGGTTTCGTCAAGTCTTGGTGCAGCTGTCTGCGTGCACAGCATGGATCAGCGTTAGGACGGGTGTCGAGAACGGGCCGCTGCAGCCATAAAGAAGATCAACGCAGACGAGGCCCAGCGCGAGGACACTTGGGACGCAGATGCCGTCCCATCAGCTCTGTTGGCTTCAATATATGTGCGGCCAGGCGGGCCAGTGTAACTGTCGACGAATGCAAGGAGCAGCGGGTTGTGGGGGGTGGAGGGGGTGCGGAGCTTTCTTTTCTGGTGCGAATCTTCAGATTGCAGCTTTGGGCCGCAGAGGGCATGGGTTGGGCGGCGCCATCGTGTCCGGTATGATGAGCGCTCGGTATGCAGGAAGAGAGCATGTATTGTATGGTGGTGGTGTGGCTAGGCCGTGAGAAGGTAGGTAAGATATACACGGAAGCTGCTGAGTAATCGGCCACACCGGAATGGGCCACCACCGGGATGCGCCGTCCACCAACCTCATCTCGTTCCAGGAGACGCGCCCTCGTCTCCCATCTGCACTCCAGACGCAGTTTTGTCCTCGGGACCCAACGCTGACCTATAGCTGAGCGTACTGCACTCACCTGACGGCCACACCTGCTCTGCCACAGCATGGAGACGGCACCGCCCCGCGAGATTGGTCCATCGTACATCCAGCCCCGATCCAACCCGAGCATCTCCAGCTGTTTCTGATGAGCCAATTGTGCATGGCGGAGGAGATCCAACGCTTGCTGTTCGTGAGGTTCGGCTGTGTTCCTAGGATCGCCTGCGATGGTAGGCATCATGGCAACCATGGTGGAGAGGACCCACGGTCTGCGTTCTGGAGCTTCTACGATAAGCCCCTGGACCTTAACCATCCCACTGCATCCGACGCCTAGCGTACCGGTTAGGAAAAGGCTCGATTTCAAACTTCAATTCTGAACCAATAGGCCCATCTGTCTCAAGCTCTTACGCCACTTCGCACTAGCCCAATCAGCTGCAGTAGGGCGACACACAAGGCATCTCGTGGCAACCATTCCATGACGCGATAAGCATCATAGTCAACTCTTGGATTCTTCATCGCGCTCCGACCAACTTAGTCCCTGGGGAATCCAATGGCTACACACTTGCAGCGCTGGCGTTGAATGTGGACCTACTCCTGGACGTTTTATCCCTATCTGGTTTCGTCACTGATTGAAATCAGCTAGGGCCACATCATCTTCATCACGAATATAATATGTGGCTTTTCCATCTCAACAATACTCGCTGTTAGGCCTGTGGAAATACCTTCATCTGTCTCCATGTCTTCGCTCGCGAGAACTCTCCCAGCGTCCTGGTACTGTAGCCCGCCGCTGTATCAGCTTGAGCGTCGTGCCGTGTTTTTGAAGGTAAGCCGTCGAAGGGAGCAGCCGCCGCTTGAGCTCTGGCGCTAACTGCGTCCAGGCATGGTATCTTCTGGGACCCGTGACTCGCTTCCAGATTGTGGGAGAGAAGGTCGACTATGAGATGGCCCAGGTGAAGCTCATCGTTACTAAGAACTCTGATGACCCGCGAGATATCAAAGTCTATACAGCGACAGACGTTGGTGGCCTTCTCGTTGTGCTCCGATAGAGACTGTTCTTGACCGTAACCAGGGCAAACAATTGCGAAGCCACTTGACCGTGACGGGCCTCCTGTTTACGACGATTTCGGACAACGCGCCTGCATTCCAAGACTTCTTCCCAGACCTGGAGAGCTTGCTGAAGAGGGTAGACTTCACTAAACTGCCCTATCGCCGCAGCATCAAGTATGAGGGCAACTTCAACTGGAAGACGATGTAAGGAGACTCGTTTTAGCTCCAGAACAGTTCGCTGATGAACAACAGGGTCGACGGGTATCAAGAGTGTCTTCACTGCCAATACACCCACCCGTCATTCTCCGTGTACTACCCGCCAACGTTCTACACGGTGTTCAACCACAAGAACTTCTCTCAGCACATAGCTGATCCGAAGAAGCCAAACGATGGTCTCTTCCTCTACTTCTTCCCCAACTGCACCCTGAACGTGTATGGCGGAGGAATGTCCTCGTTCAGAGTCTGCCCTACAGACAAACCGGGCGTCACCAGAATGGAATTCGACTACTACCACAAGGAAGATGGCGACAAGTTCGAGGACTACTTCAAATTCGTTCGACAGGTTGCTATGGAAGACTACGAGCTCTGCGAGAAGGCTCAGGGGAACCTCGAAAAGGGGGTCTACACAGAGGGCATCCTCAATCCAATCAAGGAAACGGGCGTCGTCTGTAAGTGCATTTTTTTGAGCAGCATTGGCACATGTACTAATGAGCCAATGAAGTCTACCAGCAGCGGGTGTTCGATCTAGTGTGCACTCAGCATGAGACGGACAAGGGGGCCGGGCCGCAGGCGAAGGCTGCTGCCAGTCTCAACCACGTGGCGCGCTCTAGCCTCGTAGAGCCAGCGAGTTCGTAAGGGTTCGACTGCAGGTGGGTCCTTTTCCAAGGCCATGCAGACTGGGATCGGCGGGTGGGTGTCCGTGTCGTGGCGCCGCCCCGCTCGGATGTTTCGGTTCAAGGCTCATATCTCGATACTCGACATGTGTAGCAATCTATCACCATGAAATCAGCCGTATTATGCATCGATGCCGTGCCGATCTTCACAGTGCCGACGGCCAGCGCCCGCTAACGGCATCGGCAATCGGGACTTGATGGCTAGATTGGGAAGTACGGCGAAGCTGCACCATGAATCGCGAACCTTGCTGCTCCCGCTACCCCCAGCGCTCATCAACACCAGCGTTTCTGTGAGGTCGTGACGATATGCTACCGTCGCGGTGCAGCCTGGTGGCCCTCCAGCACGTCCATATCGCCCAATCAGTGCCCCCTCGCTCTAGTCTAGAACATACGCAGTGTCTGTTGGGCACGCTGCACCTCACTCCTGTGCACCCCTCGCAGCCATTGAAATGGGGTCAGAGGACTGTGCTTCAGCCATTGTGCTACTTCATCTCTTTCTCTTTCCCTTTCCCAACCTGAATGTAATAACTCACATCTGACCACGCTGGCACCTTCCACCCTCTTTCTAGTCTTATTCTAGAAGCTCCTCGACCTCGCATCCCGATCCCATCCAATATGAGTCTGTCCGAGGTACCTGTCTTCATCAAGAAACGCGTAGATTCACTGGATGTATTGGAGGTATCCAAAGAAGCCGACGTCTTCGACGACGACGACAAGCTGTTCCTACTCGAGAGACGGGCCATCTTCAGCAAGGTACCGCTGTGATTGGACTCCCTCTCCATCTTGTACCTGACTAAACGCTCCAGACATGGATCTGCGTCGCGCATCGCAGCCGCTTCACTAAGCCTGGTGACTACGTCGCGATGGAGCTGGCTACATTCCCGATATTCATCATATTAGGAAAGGACAATATCGTGCGCGCCTTTCACAACGTGTGCCGCCATCGTGCGTACACGGTCACTAAGAAGGCCGCTGGATCTACGTCGGTGCTCGCCTGCAAGTACCATGGCTGGAGCTACGACATGAAAGGAAAGCTTTTGAGAGCGCCCCAATTCGACGGCATCGACGGCTTCGACAAGGCCCAAAATAGCCTCTTCGCTATCCACACCTGCACCGACAAGGGCGGCTTCATCCACGTCAACCTCGACGCCAGCCCAACTCCCGAACCACCCAGCTGCGCGTCCCTGGTCGCTTTCGCCCATGAGCATAACATCGACGCTCGCGGTTCGTGGGTTGCTGGGTGGGACCTGAAGGGCGACTTCAATTGGAAAGTAGCCGGTAAGATTAACCTTCTCCTCTCCAACAAGCATCTTCCCTAGTCCCAAACAAGCATTTTCCCTACTCCTAAGCTAACGGTTATTGGGTACCGTGCCGTTTGTCTCGATTCTGCATCATGCATCTCCACTGATCGCGGCCCGTTACTGACAACCCCGACGCAGCCCAGCAACCTATGAGCGCGCTCGCGCTGCAGCCGGCATCCAGCACCTCGGCCTCACTCGCGGCTAGCTTGCTCGCGTACCTGCGTCTGCTCGTCGACGGGAGCGCATCTCCTCCGTCGCTGAATGTCACCCCTATCACGACGCTCAAAGTGGTTCCGGACTCGAGTCTTTGGCTGTGCCTCACCGCATTTCCACTCAGCGCGGCACGCACGGCGGTGCGCTGCGACGTGTACAGCTCCGCGCCCTCCTTCGCACCCGCGCCCCCTAGGGCGCAGCTCGAGCTGCTGGAGCAGGGCGTCGCAGCGTGGGTTCGGAAACTGGAGTCCAGCTACGTGGTGGTGGAGAGCGGGCCGTTGAGTAAGCAGAATGAGTTTCTACCGCTGCTGAAGGGGCATTTGAGGGAGGAGAGGATGAGGGGGGTGGAGATTATGCCGGGGAGTAGAAGAGAGGGGAGGAGTGTGGAGTTTTTGAGGGGGGAGCAAGGTATGTGACGTCTGTTTGCTTGTACTGTCGAGTGTTCTAGATTCTGCTGGGTATGGCTCTGGAATGGTGGGTTGGGCTGACGTATTGTAGTCTGCAAAGAGCTCGAAGATCTCGCTGGTGGAGGTATGCCTGCTGCCTGTGCTGTTGGAGGCGGCGGCGAGAGAGGGAAAATGGAGTGGTGAATACCTGGAACAACCGAATACTCTATATACTCGACACAACTTCTATAGGCTTTACGCTACATACTGCGTCTAGCGTTAGGCGATGGCTAAGAGGTGGGCGCTTGTGGAAATACGAAAGATAGGACTGGTGTCATATGAACGATTAAGCAGCCTACTTAACTCAAGATGACGACTCGTCGAAGCAAAGTGCAATGCTACAATGGTATGGTGTTGTAGCTAAGGGATGATCTCAACATCTTTCCCTGGGTTCGGTTGTTGGGTCGAACGTGTGGCGCATGGGGGTTAGGTTGGTGTATTGGGTATCTTTGGGGTTTCTAGAGGGGTAAAAAGTGTCTTTTTTCTTCGTACTATCCGATGGCCTATAGGAGATATTTGGAATACACATCGCGGGCATGAGTTGTGCAGTGTATTGAGTTACTTGCAATCTTGTTGTGATGATGATGAGTAGACACAGAAAGGTCATACGAATGCCGGGAGATTCGACGAATAGCCACCAGTCTGTGGGGTAAGTATCATCTATAATTCTTCTGACACTGGGGTGTAAAAGTCATGTGACTTCGATTTGAGCTCGGGCCAAGTCTAGTCTAAAGTACAAAAAGTTCCGAGGAACCTAGAACTCAACCTCGACGCCTCCCATAAACACAATCTCGCATATTCACCCGCATTCCACTGCCTCAACACTCAGTCTCTCGAGACGGAGTCACTACTAATTCGTAATTACCGGAGCAGTATTATCCCACTTGCCGCTCTCCGCCGCATCAACCAGCCACTTCGCAACACTTCCCCTCGTAATAGCAGCCATCATCCCCACTCCCTTTCCTGCATTCGGCCACTCCTTCACCTCCTTCGCCTCTCCCTCTTCCAGCCGCGCTGGACGCACCATCACGTATGTCACGCCGCTGGCCCTGACCTCCTGGTCCACAAGATTATGGTCGTCGTACTGGTAGATCATGTTGCTCTTCTTCATGAGCAGGCGCATGATGCAGTTCATGTTGGGCCAGGAGTCGCCCACGCCTTGAGCCTGCATGATGACCACCTTGGGCACGCCGAACTCTTTCATGGCAGCCACGACGTTGGCGTTGGAGTCGGCCATGAGGCGCGGTGGGGAGATGTTTGCGGCGAAGGGGCTGTCGCCTGCGCGGGGCGCGGAGAGGGTTACGAGGACGACGGAGGGAATAGAGGCCTGGAACGCGGCGCGGACGTCCTCTTTCTTCATGGGAGTGCCTGTGGTACTGTCAATGAGGTGGGGGTTGTTGCTTGCGAGGAATGCGTACCGGCTACGATCTTGAGGCCAGGCTTGGCTTCCACCGAAGAGGGAGTCCGAGCGAGAGTAGTGACTTGATGGCCTAATCTATGTTAGTGAGGACCTTCGGAGTGCAGAATGGCGAGAAGCGTACCTCGCTGGAGAAGCTCGTCGATAACGAGCTTGCCGGTGCGACCACTGCCTCCGATGACGAGAACCTTCATGGTGATTGCTTTGTGAGGTAAGGTGAAATTCTGAGTTGTAGATGTAAGGCTTTCAAGTACTAGAAGTAGAAGCCGTGAGTTTGCTGTTTGCTGTGTCTTAGAGAAAGCCAGCAGCGTGGTGTATTTATTGAATGGTAGGTGCAGATGTTCGGATCCGGGCCCGGATTTACCGGATCCGGAGAGCATTCACGTGCTCGGACAAAGCTCCCTGGCCCTTAATACTTATTCCTTACCCTCCCTGACATGTTCAAAGACTCATCCTCTCCATCACTCTCCCAAAATCACTCACGGATCTACTGAACCCTATCAAGTCTCAATTTCAAGCATCAATTCTACCTCAACCGTGTGCCTGATACACCACACGTCATGCTGTCTGCTCCTCCAAGCCGTGTGGCCATTATCGGCGGTGGTCTGGCGGGCCTCACTCTTGCAATTGCTTTGCATCGTCAAGACATTGCCTGCCACCTCTATGAGCTCCGTGAACCCACGACCGCGACCTCAGGTGCTCTGATGCTGTCTCCCAATGCATTGCGCATCCTCGACACTCTTGGCCTCTACGAGAAACTCAGGGCTCAAGGTTACAACTTCGAGACTATTGCGTTCAAGAATAGTGAAGAAGTCACCACAGATCGATATTATCTAGGAGATGAGAAACTCTATCAGTACAAAGCACTCCGCGTGTACCGCCAGGTCTTGTTGACTGAGCTCCGCGCCATGGTCAACCAACTCCACATCCCAGTCACCTATGGCTTGAAATTCAGCCACATCATCTCCGAGGACGATAACGGCGTCTCGTTTGCTTTCGTCGATGGAACTCGCGCTTCTGCCGACATCCTCGTAGGCGCAGATGGCATTCACTCCACCGTTCGCAAATACGTTGCCCCGGGCATCGTACCCAAGTACTCTGGCCAAGTCGCAATCACGTGCGCTATCCAAAAGACGAAGATAATCCCTTCGGGAGTCCACTACGACATGCCCGTCGCTATTCACGGCAAAAACGGCGCCTTTGTCATGGCCCCTCAGAATGTCGATGGGTCCGAGGTGCTCGCTGGTACACAGCGTGCTTGGCCAGAACAGGACAGAGCTGGCTGGGATGCTCTTCTAGCCGACAAGGAAAAACTGCTAGCTCTATTCCGTACGAATATCGAAGACTGGCCGCCGACGGCGCAATCGGCCCTCAACAATGTTCCCGAGAACACATTGTCAATCTGGCCCTACTACGTTGTGCCTAAGCTCGAGCGTTGGTTCTCTCCAGGAAAGCGTGTCATCATCCTTGGGGATGCGGCGCACGCTATTCCTCCGACCGCTGGACAAGGCGCCTCGCAGGGATTTGAGGATAGCTTCACGCTTGCTGCGCTTCTGCCCCGACTAGCTGCGAACCTGCCGCTCGACAAGGCCCTCGTATACTGGAAGGACATGCGCCAGGAGCGTGTCGATAAGGTCATTGCACTCACGCTTCAGCTCAACAACACAAGGTTGCCCCAGGCTGAACGCGAGAAGTTGGAGAAAGAGGGCAAGGCTTGGCAGAGCGGCGATGCCGGCGAGCTTGGATGGTTATACAATGCATTGGTCGAGGAAGATGTCTTGGCCTGGGTCAAGGCTGAGACAAAGGTTGCACACACCTGTCCTGTCGACTGGATTACTTCCAAGCTCGTAGGATGATTCGGGCAGGCCGCGTGAAGGCTATTCGGAGTGCTTGGTATTCCAAGATGGCTGGCGTCTGAAGCTTTCATGGGATCAGGGTTCTTGAAATATCATAGCATTCGCTGTGGGATCTGGGGTATGCCAAGTAGATACAATGCACACTAGTTTCTTACCTCAACCCCGTACTCGGACCGCCATGTGCATGTATATAAGTCCTACGAGCAGCCCTTGCTTTCTCGCTGGACGACCTAGAAGGCACCATGGCAAATATCCGCTCATCCGTGAGGTCCGTTTTCAGGTGCAGGCTTTTCTAAAGGATTTGTTTTGGTATAATGACCCTTCGAGAGGATTTGTACCACGTTGCACCGTCTCGACTAGATTGTGTTGTGTTGCTAGATAGGGGCTAGTCTGCTTACGTGACGAACCTGACACCCTATAATTATCCTTGATCTCAACCTCCACCTATCCCCTTTCTCCTCCCCTCAACGCTGCCATCATAGAGATAGCAGGAGATACCGGAAAATTCACACGCATACACCATGGACGACTCGGGATCACGCAAGCGACCGCGACCGGTGGTCTCCTGCCTGCGGTGTAGAGAGAAGAAGCTCAAGTGCGATCGGATTACGCCCTGCGATAATTGCGTCAAAGCTCAGTGCTCAAACGAATGCACGTTCAAGCAGTTTCCAACTGTCAAGCCAAAGCATGACGCGGTGCAAGCAAATCCGCAACGGCCCGCAGGTACACTGCCTCTCGGATCTACTTCCGTTGAGGATCTCCATCAACGGGTGGCCAAGCTGGAGGCACTCATCTCTTTAAGGCCTTCTTCTATGCATAGCACAACCGAAAAGTAAGTTCAGACTTGGCCCTCAACCCTTTACTGCAGCGATCTCATCTCAACGTGTCACGTAAGTAGCCCTGCAGCCACCAACATCACCAGTCAATCAAGTGCAGCGTCTCCCAGGTTTGACCTCGGGACTCTCGTTGTGAAAGGCTCTAGATCGAGATATCATGGGCAAAATGATAGGGTGACCTTGCTTAATCAGGTAATTCAGCGAAAGGAAGAAAAGTTTCAAGTTCTTGCGCTGATAGTCATAGTTCACGGAGGTCAAGGACTTCATCAACAATGTTGCAAAGGATCAACAAGTAACAGCACTTGTCAAGCAAGTTCAGTTCCTACAAAGAAAGTCCCAACCCAAAATTACATCACCAAATGCAGAGTCAGATCCAGAGTTTTCGCTTGCGCTCTTGAAATTACGAGAGTTTTTGCCTCCAAAGTCGACCTGCGACAGACTAGTAGATATCTACTGTAGCTATTTCGAGCGTACCATGCGCATTCTCCACATTCCTACTTTCATGCGCCAGTACCATCAGATCTGGACAAACACCGACCCCGAGCTCTGCAGGTCTTCTTACACCCTACCGCAAGTTACTGCCGTATTGGCTATGGGATACGCAATGGATGATCAGACCCCTCCAAACGAAGATGGTTCCCACGGATCTTACCTGAAGCATGCCGCGATAGATCTCACACAAGCTTGGATTGACGACCTTGGCCGAAAACATCGAACTGAATTGCCAACGATCCAAGTGGAAGTGCTCCTCCTCTTGGCCAGAAGTCTGCGACAACTGCCACCGGAAAAGGTTTGGAGCTCGACGGGTGCTCTTGTACGGTCAGGCATGTGCATGGGTTTGCATGTGGATCCTTCCAAAGTCCGCGATATTTCTCCATTTTATGCCGAGATGAGACGCAGGCTTTGGGCGACGATTGTGGAAATGGATCTGCAAGCATCAATCAATGCCGGGATGCCCATCGTTGCTCCTGATGTTGATTTTACGTCCTTAGTGCCGCACAATCTCGATGATTCGGACTTCGACTTGGCCTCCACAGAGCTACCGACTGGAAAGCCTCTAAGCGTCATGACCGAAACACTAGCCCAAGTCTATCTTGCCTCTTCTTTGACACAACGTATAAAACTCATGACTCTTGTGCAGAGTACCTCGATCCAGTTAGATCTAGCGGAAGCGGCCGGATACGGAAGGAGGATAGAAGAATCGCTATCCCGTAAACCACCACCTCTGGACATGGGGAACGGTGGTAAAACGTCAGGTGATGCTGGTTCCTTACTACACCGCGTCCTTCTAGACTTATATCTGCGTCGGCCTTTACTATGCCTTTATCGCCCGATATTGCTAGCTGGTCGGCAAGACCATCCCGCCTTCTCCGAAATCCAGGCCTCTTGTCTTGAATCTTCTCTAGCAATCCTCTCGTATCAAGATCACTACGCATCGCGGGCTGTCGAAGGTGGCGACAAAACAGCTTCGCCTCAAGAAAATTTCTTTTACCTGTGTTGTAAGAATGATGTGGCATGGGCCGCGTTAAGTGTATGCCAACACCTCAAGGTACTGAATCAGGCATCTCCAACACAACCACCCTTAAGAGCATCGCCAACGAGCCAAGCAAACATTCGAAGCGAGTCTACGCTTGTCAAAACGGTGGAAAAAACTATCCAATGCTTGATCAGTAGAGTCGGACAGCGAGGGAGCGATCTGAAAGACATTATGTTTCTATCAATTGCTCTGCAGTCGGTGCGATCACGCGCTCTCTCAGAAAACAAGAATCACGTTATGTACGAAGGAGCAATGAAGGCTTTGTCCGATTGTCGAGAAAACTTAGTTCACTCTGTCGTTCTAGGCGACCAAGGGCATCCGAGTGCATCAGCGAAGCGTTCGAAGACAACGCCACAAACAGTACATTCTCCCCGGGTTCATCATGCTCAATCATTCATACTGACTATATTGATAGCAGGGAATTAGCACCATTACTCCACCCAATACCATCGCTTCTGTATCGCCAAAAAGAGATGCCCAGTATCCCGCGGACGTACCCCAGGAGCCCGATTATTTCCTAACGGGTCTTGCGACCGATATGGCCGCTGAGTTCGAGAACTTTCAAGACATTACGTTCGGATTTGCTGATGACAATAATTTCAATCTCGACAACACCTGGAATTGGGATCATATGTGGCAATGATGTATGGGATCCAAAAGCTGGACGATCATCTATTAACCCTGAAAAAGGAGTGCTAGCCCGGAGATGTTGTCCCTTATTGGACACGAATGAAGCCATCATAACCTACCACTCCTCCTATTTCCTGTACAGATTTCCTCTCTTTTCAGCACCGCGCTAGCCGGAACACCTATCTTCGCTCGCAGCTGAGCTGCATGTTTGGATGGTTGATCCAAACTTGCTTGTTGCGCTCCCAGTCTTCCATGGCCTCCGATTTGATCATCTTCAAATCATACGAATCAATGAGGTGCAGCAATACGTTGCGAATCAGAATATCTGCCACGTATTGTCCCAAGCATTTCCTTGGGCCAAAGCCGAATCTCCAGTAATGATAGCGCGCCTGGGTTCTTTCATCAGACATGAACCTCTGCGGTCGGAATTTATCTCGGTCTTCGCCCCAAAACGAGTTTCGGATGTTGAGAGCATACGAGTCAATGACGAAGTTGGTGCCGGCTGGGAAGTGGTATCCGCCAATGTCGCGAGCGGTCGGAATGCCCTGCGGGACCGAGAAAGCGGCTAGTGGACGAAGGCGTGCGGACTCGTTCACGCATGCGGCGAGGAGGGATGAATTATCGAGCAAGTACGCCTTTTCAAATTCAACGCCTATCTCATCGGCCGTTTTGCGTCTCTCTTCGATGTCTTGACGGAGCCTCGCCTGGATGTCCGGATAAGCTGCCAGAAAGACGACATTCCAGCTCACGCCCCCAATAGTCACGTCCAAGTTGGCGTAGAGCATTTCATCCAACGTATGCAGCAACTCCTGTGTGCTGATCTCGCCGCGGTCGCGAGCTGCGAAGAAGCCTATGATGGGAGATTGGAGCTTTTGCTCAATGGCACGGCGATGCGCGAGTTCGTTGAATGCCAACCAGCGCTTCTGGAATGCTGCAAGCTCGCGATTCGCCTTGGTCGGGAGGTGCTTAGCCCATTCGAAGCGAGCAAGGCCGCCTTGGACAACATGCCTCATCAGTGCTTCTCGCTGCGGCGCAAGGGATCGAAGCTCTTGCTCAATATCATAGGCCAGCTGCCCGTAGACGACTTCCGCGACAACGAGAAAAGGGAGAAGTTTCAAGTCCTCCGCAGGATCCAGGAGGCCGCGTGATAGATCTCTTGTTTCAAAGAGCTCTTGGAAGAACGAATCGGTCCTCTTCTTTACGATTAGGATATAGGTGGCTGCCATGCTCCTGTGAAACGGCTTCTCCATAATGGCACGAACGCGCTTCCACTGGCCTTGGCTCACGAGGCCCACGCATTGTCCCAGCAGCTGGCCTAGCATGTATCCGGAGTTATTGTTGACGGCTTTTAGATGCTTGTCTGAGTCTTTGAAGACTGCTCGAACGTGTTCCGGTTTTGTCAAGACTCTGTTGCCGGATTAGTTCATAAGACGATCAAGATGCTCGAGCCACTCACACTTCAGGCGTCATGCCGGACCACAGACGGTAAATGGCTCCATATCGGCTCTCCCAAATCTCGCTGTTCTTTTGCCCGTTCAAAAACTTTGCAGCGTCGCCTACACACCAGGGTCAGAAAGCGGAATGGAAGAAAAGCAGGGAGAAGAGATACCTTGGCCGTTTGGCCACTCGTAGCTGCATGATGGAAGCTTACTGCCATCTTCAACATTCTTGAAAGCATAGTGGCGAGATAAAGATGCGTCGAGTACAGTTGATATTACCCTCTTGATGGATGTACCGGGAGTTTTCTTCCCGATAATCACCGCCACCAACACGAGAATCAGAGCAGGGATAGCGAAAAGCGTTGTCGATTGCATCGTGTACTTTTTTCGAAAGCCTTCAAAGTTTAGTTTCCACGGAAGAGCTTCGATTGCTTCAACTTAAACCTCTTCTTCCCTAGCATTCTGGGTAGCGGCCGCCACTCGCTGGAACTTTCAAAGCCGGATTGAGACTACCATTTCGGATCCGGCCCGGACTGGCCGTACCTGGAATGCGCCTCCGCCACCCTTGTCCGACACGCGAGCTTGGAGTTAGATCAGCCAAGCCCCCACTCAGCTTCGGCGCCCGCGATACAAGAGTACGATTTCCAACTTTCGGTGCCCGAATCCTTGTCTCAGGGGTCTAAGCGTTGTGCAGAGATCAGCATATCCCCAGAGGATCTTGAACGCGCTATTTGAGGAAGCGCGAAGACCCCAGCAGTTCATCTAAGGGTACTTATTCAGGATCACATGCATATCACGTGGCTTATGCACGAAAATCACACGTTTCCGAATGAACTATTCCTTTTGGAATGAACCTTAGTCAAGGCTTCTGTGGTCATCTCTGCTTCCAGATTAATCAAGTACGAATATCATTTCACATCATTCTACAATCATAGTACAAAACATATCTAACAACTCCAAAAGAGAGCCAATCGCTTTCACTCATCAAGACCATACTCCGTCTTCTGTTGTGTCCTCAACTTCACCTCCTTCTCCAGAAACACAAGTAAAAACCCAAGCCCGGCCATCGCTGTCGCAAAGATCCACACAATCTTCAAACTGTCTGAGTACATTGAAATAATCTGACCTCTGAGAGGATTTGAGAACCCAGAAATGAACTCTTTCGTTCCGTGGTCGTACGCCGCACCTCCGGCAAGCGTAGCCCGCACTCCTGCATCGTCGATGCGTGGCAAGAGGTGCTCGATCTGACTGTTGAATATTGCCGCGGGGACTGATACTCCCCATACCACGCCAAATTGCCGCACAAACGCCCAAGTGGCTGTTGCGGCAGCTGTGTCCTTGTCATCGAGTTGAGCTTGGGCAGCCGGGAGGAGGGTGCTGAGTACGAAGCCAGATCCGAGGGCCACTACGAACTGGACCATGATCCAAGCAACTGTTGGGCTTCGAGCGCTCAAAGTAATGAAGCAGCCGAGTCCGACTGTCATGACTGAGAAGCCGGCAAGATGGAACGGCTTGTATCGACCAAGCTTTGAGAGAAGCGCGCCTGAGATTGCAGAGAAAGGGACTAGGACGATGACAGTCGGGAGCATTTGGACTCCAGATCGAGTGGGCGAAGAGAGAAGGACGGCCTGGAAGTAGACGGGGAGAAAGTAAATGACCAAAAGAGTGAGGAGCGAGTGGATGAAAGTGATTACGAAAGCAGTGGCCGAAGTGCGATTCCTGAAAAGCCGAAGCGGCATCGTGGGATGCAAGCAGTAGCTGCTCTCCTCGTAAAATAAGAAGACGACAATGGCGGAGAAGCCGAAAAGAAGCGTGACGATGGTATTGTAGCTCTTCCATGGCCACAAAGTTCCAGCATAGGCTAGCGCTACCAAAATGAAGGAGACACCAGTGACAAAAATCACGTTGCCTGCTAGGTCTATCCTCGCCAGCTTCTCGGGCCACGTTGTCTTTTCTGTTGGCGCTTTGACCTTGAGGAATAAAATTAGGAGGACCAACGAGACCGCGCCGACGGGTATGTTCAGGTAGAATACCCATCGCCAAGTAGTCGACTGCACAATAACGCCACCCAGGAAAGGACCCAAGCCAGTGCCGACGGAGATGGCAGAAAAGATCACAGCCATGAACTTCCCACGATCTCGTAGAGGCACGAGGTCGCACACGATTAGGTTGACCAACATGTTGATGCCTCCACCACCAACTCCTTGGACGACTCTTCCGAAAATCAAGATTTCCATGCTTGGAGCGCCTCCTGAAATGCCGCTCCCAAGGATGAAGGCGCACACGGCAAAGATGATGAGGATCCGCCGTCCGAAGATATCTGCCATCTGTCCGTACAGCGGCTGCAGTACAGTAGACGCAAGGAAGTATCCGGACGAAGCCCAGACGTACGACGAGCCACCTCCGAGGGCGCGAACGATAGTGGGTAAGGCGGTGGAAGTGACGGTGCCTTCGAGCGCAACGAGTACGTTGGTGATGCTTAGCGCGAAGAGAATGAGGTAGAAGTGCATTCCATACTTGGTCGGTTGCTGTGGAGGCTCGTCGGTGTCTCCATCAGCAAGATGTATCTCCCCATGAATCTCATCGCACGTTTCGACATACGAAGCGCGATTGATCGAACGTCGTGCGTCTGAAAGTTCAACATATTCTATACCCCGGGAGCACTCCTGAGGTTCGCCCCACCCACTGTATTCTACAGCGGCGTAAAAGGTGTCGCTCGCGCGGCTCATGCGCTTGCTCAGCCGACTGGTGGTGCTGGCATTTCTGTTCAGGCTGCGCCGGACCGAGTCTCTTGATGGGGGTTCATAGATGGAGTCGGGACGATCAATCACAGTGCTTCTCCATGGGTTTCGTGATAGGGTGTTGAGTGTATCTGGTCCATTCTGCGTAGAAGGTTCTTCTGCGTGAGACGGGCTTTGGATTCGGCGGAGTTGGTGTTGGTTTGGTCGAACTTTGACTTCGATAATGAACTCTTGACCATCGCCGTCTTCGATGGTGGTGAGATTGGAAGCCATTGCAGATGCAAAAAGAGATCGAATCTGGTATGAGTGTTGATGGGTAGTGTTCGATAAAGGTAAAGTGACCGGAAGGGTATACAAATCTCTCTTTTGTCAGCTTAATGCAGCCATCTCCACGTTCTTGGTCATACAACCCGAGAACTCTATTGCCTCCCGCCCATTCAGCCCCCTTCGGCTCCGAGTACAGCACAGATCCTCGGATTTCTCGTGTGGTTTCAGCCCCTTGTGGCACGGGGTTATGTCAGCTTGGCACGCACAGATCAACGGAAGTCATCATGTTTCAAAACTTCAGCCTCCTAGTCTTCGGGAGCATCAATATCATGCTCGGAAATGGGGCAAGAAACAGGGCGGCTGCGGCTGGATCCTGAGGCTTGAAGCTGGACGGCATCAAAAATAGACAAGAGGATGAATACGATAGATGAAGGATGTATAAAGACCTTGAGGCAGGGCTTCAATGGAGAGCATCAACCGATAGCAGCAGTATTTGAAACGACCATCCAATCCTTCAAGCAATCATACTCTCGCTCAAGCATTTAAACCTTCCCTGAATCATTCAACTCTCGCTCAAATTTTCAAACGCTCCATCTATCATTTCAAGACTCAAGATGCTTTCCAAAACCATCCTCCTCCTCACCACCTTTGCGCTCTCCACTCTCTCTTCCCCCGTCAACGTCTCCCGCAACGATAGCTACGGGAACCAAGCACCCCAAGGCTTAGCCGCCGCTCCCGCCTGCGGCCCCGACCCAGTCACCTGCCGCTGCCCCACAGGCTCCTTCTATCAAACCTCCACCAGCTACTCGTTTTACCCCGTCGCGGCCAAAGAAGTCACCCGCATCACCGGCCACTTCCTCGACACGGCCTGGTTCGGCACCAGCCCCAACCGCACCACCGGCCAGACCACCACGCCCGGCGCAAAGCGCTACCTCTGGGGCGACGTCCCCGATGGCAAGAGCCAGCTGCTCATCGCCGAGAAGCTGACGCAGTTCACGGCGTATCCGAACGACGGGGGGTATTATATGAAGTTCCAAATGGATGATGCGCCGGTCAAGTACGCGAAGAAGAGTGGGGGTAAGGGGGTGCTGGCGGGGAGCTGGGATATCGTGGATGTGAGGGAGGTTGATGGGCAGACGTTCATGCTTTGGAATATTTATGTTTGCTTTGGTGATCTTTTTGGTAAGTTCTACCTCTAGTCAGATTTCAGGGGATGGCAGTGCTAATAGATGTTGCAGATTTCAAGGGGTTCCACGAGAGCGCGATGAAGAACGTGACGGCGATCTTGAAGAAGCAGGGAAAGATTTCCTCTAGTGCGCAGATGGTTGGGCCGATTTCTTTCTAGTTTTTCTCGCTTCCATTCGGTGTATATTATTCATGTAAGAGATGTCTTGGAGTGTTGTCGGATAGGGTGCTATTTCTTGTCTTTCCCTGTGTTTCCCTCATTTCTGTATATATGCAATATACCTGAATCTTCACCTAAGTACCTGCAAAGAGTGTCGCATTTTGTTTCTCTTGTCATCATCCGCATGATTCCAGCATATTACGTGATGTGTCACCTACTCGGGGCTTTCCAGGCCCTCTGCCTGGTAAAGTTGCACGTGCATGGTAGTACGGATGCAGTGTCGCTGCAACGAGAGTCTAATTCATTACGTGCAGCTTGCCATGTCATATGGGCCCGTTCAACGCTTCTAGAACAATCTGGTAATTCGTACGTGAGGCGTATGGTTTACCCATGTAGTTTTGAGTTGTACCACCGTCCTCAACTTCGTTGCCGTTTGGTGTTCATGAAGAGCTTCATGTAGCTTTACTACTCACTCATCACGTGAGTATCACGTGCTCCTTAAATAAATATCTTGAGCAGGTTACAGTGTTGCATGTTTCCCTAGTTAAACACTAACAAGAAGCAGAAATCATAACACGATTCCTCTACATCTCACCAACTTGCACTCAACCGCTACACCACAATCTCCTCCGCCGATGGCTTCACGGCCGGCGAATCCTTCCCATTCATCTCAGCCGCCTTCTTCTCCTCCTCCTTCGCCTTAGCAAAGTGCTCACACATAGCACTCCCCCCTTTCTCATGAAAGAAAAGATCCAAGTACATCATCGTCTCCTTCGCGTACCTCTCCGCCCTCACAAACATCTCCTCTTCGTACTGCCTCACCGGCTCGATCAATGCCAAAGTCGACACCGCTGACGACTCAGCCTTGTCCCACACCTCTCGCTTCCACTGCTTGAGTTTAAGAGCGAAGTCGAGGGCGTCTTCCATAGCGACGTTGACGCCCACGCCGGCGAAAGGGGTCATGAGATGCGCCGCGTCGCCGATTAGAGAAAGCCTAGAATATGTTATTGCCCTAGTAAGGTAGGAAAGGAATGCTGATGACTTACCCTTGTCGATGCCCCCAGCGATGCCCAACTGGCAACATATACATAGGCCTGGGAACCACATCATCATCGGCCTTAAGGATCAGATTCTTCGCATCGTCATTGAATCCATCGTAGTACATTTCGATGAACTGCTTTTTAGCTGTAGCAGGCGAGGACCAGTCAATGCCACAAGTCTTGTGCCAGTCCTCGGGCAACCTCATAAACCCATACGACCGCACGCATCCGTCCCCGTTGCGCTGGGATAGTACACTGGTGTTGGAGCCAAGCGTCAGACACATCCCGCGCCCGACACGCTTGCTGAGCGCGGGATCAAGGGTGTCAATATCGCTGAGCTTGACGTCCACGCCTGTGATACCAGAGAAGAACGGCCTGGTCTCCGTGATGAGTTGGCGGACCTTCGACCAGGCACCGTCAGCTCCAATGACTAGGTCGAAGCCCGTTTCCACGTGATGCTCGAAGTGCAGATCGTACTTTGCCGTCCTGCCGCTCGGGTCGGTCTTCACGGCCTTGAGCTTGTGGTTCCACTTCAGCGATCCAGGATACAAGGAATCAATGAGCATATTCCTGAGCTGGCTTCGATCGACTTCAGGGCGGCCCTTGAACGAGTCCGGGCGGCGCTCGCCAATATCCGATCCTTCGTCGAGGAGCAGCGTTCCGTTTGGCTCATAGATCTTGAGGACCTCTCCCTCGGTGCGGGCAACGGCCATGAACTGCTCGAAGAGGCCGCATTCGCGGAGAGCTTGCTGGGCGGCGCCTTCGTGCAGGTCGAGGCAGCCGCCTTGGGTGCGCGCATGACGGTCTTTTTCGCACTCGTATACTGTGCATGGTATCTGGTTGATCTGGAGTAGGCGAGCGAGCGTGAGGCCAGCAGGTCCGGCTGAAGGCAATGGGTCAGTGAGATACGACGTTACAGTGTCAGGATGATTTCGTACCTCCAATCACAGCGATGCGTGGCGAGTACATGATTACTTTCAGGGCGTGTATGTTGAAGAGGACTAAAGCTAAGATGGTAAAAGTAAGATATATATACTGATAGAGGTAGATTTCTAAGGAAGGCGGATACTATAGTCGTATTGGGGAGAGAAGACGTAAATAGAATTGATGCGAGACAATGCGAAGAAGTAAATACTTTCAAAGAGATCAAGACAACTTGTCAGAACGAATTTCAGAAATCTGATGGCATGGCCGAGACAGAAATAATAAACTTCCACATCACGGAGCTTCAGCTAGGGCAAGTCCGGACCGGGTAGCACAACGTTCTGTCATCGTGCCCAGGATCTTAATATCCGATCTGGTCGCACAACATGCCAGCCCCAACCGCCTGGTTGTAAGCCTCCTCGTCAGGGTGTTTATGTCGGATCCGGTAACACGACGTGGCCATATGCTCAATCGCACTGCAGCATATGCAATCTGGAACGCTGACGTCGGCTCCGATCGGCAATTCATCCCAGGAAACGTTTCGTCGGGAGGCTTGCCTTCGTATTTTTAGCGTCGGTAATACATGTCTGGCACTGACACTAGGTTGACGTTTGATCCTGCAGCCCTATGGTCGCCGTGAGGACCCAATGGACCTAGAGACGGGGAACAAAAGTCAGAGCACTCGAAGTCACCCCGAGTCTGTATCCCCATCGTGAGAATTTGATGAAAGGGAGCGGTGAGAATGCCGTAATCGGGGTCGATGCTGTGGCTGAGACCGGATTTAGGATGCGCATCTGGGGATCTGGAAGGAGGTTCGAGGGGAGATGTATGTGGAAAACGCTATACAAAAGGCATCACGATGCGCGGTCCAAATCATCATCACAGCCCTTCATCACCTTCTTTAGAAAGCAATCAAAATGCGCTGCGCTTCCGATACACCAGACGCCGTCGTCCGCATGCTGCGGCGTTCGTCCCGTCCGTCTATCACCGTTCGCGCCGTTCCCTCCTCTGTCTTGCTGGCAGACACTGTTCTTGGACATGTCGCTCGTCTTCTCGAACTCCCTATTGTCAGTCTTGATAGATCCAGCAGCTTCATCAACCTCGGCGGCCACTCGCTTCTTGCTGTGAAGCTATCTGCTGCTTGCAAGAAAGATGGCATCCATCTGCCCATCTCGAAAATTCTCTTATGCAAAAGCCTGATCGAGCTTTGTTCTTCAGCCACTCTTTTATTCCACCCTTCGCCATGTTCACCGCGTTCACCAACCGCTCGGCGGAAATCCATCCAAGAAGTCATGGCTCAAGTGTCTATGCAAGACTCCATCCGGCATGGCTCAGTCCCGCAATTTTCCACGCCAACTTCGTTTTCCATGTCCGAGATGCAACTTTCTTTTCTCCATAGTTACAGAAAGAACCCCGGTACCAATATCATCAACTTCTTCGAGACATACAACACCAGCGATGTGCCAGTCATGAAGGCTGCGTGGCGGACCGTCATCGAATCTGAGCCGATTTTTCGTACCATCTTCGATCCTGAAACGTTACAGGCGAACGAAAACCTCTCAGTACCTTTCCGCTGGAACGATATTGTGTGTAATTCTGAGTCAAAGTATCGGGCCGAGCTTGCTAAAGACGTGGCGCCTGAGAACATGGAGTACACATTCGACTGCATCACCTATCCTGCCTCAGGCACAAGCACTATCGTCTGGCGGGTTCATCATGCCTTCATAGACGGCATGTCCGCGCAATTGATGTACGGAAAGCTCCGAAGGCTTGTCATGGGCCAGCACATTACACCTGGTACCTCGTTTAGCAGCGTAACCAAAGACATTCAAGCTCTTCAGCACTCCAGTCGTGAAGCAAACCAGGCCTTCTGGAGAAAAGAAATGGAGAAGCACCCTCAGCCTGTTGGGGATCTTGCTCTCCAAGAGCCCAGCTCGACGGATCGAATTGCTGCCATCGCAAACATCTCCTTTACCATTCCTATTAATAAGGTATCCACGGCAGCTCAACAGGCAGGCGTTTCGTTGGCAGCCTGGTACCAAGCTGCGTGGGCCATGGTGCTCTCCATGTACACCGATTCGGCATCTGTTGTCTTCGGCACCGTGCTCTCGGGTCGCAATCTTCCTGTTGCTGGCGCGGATGATACTGTTGGTCCACTCATCAACACACTGCCTTTCCACGCCTCGATCGATCCAACGCAGTCTGTCGCCGATTATTTGCAATCCGTATTTACCCACTCGGTTGCGCTGCAAAGCGTCCAGTGTTCCTCGCCACAGGATGGCTACACCAGGACGTTCGCGTCTGCTCTAGCGATGGAATTTGATATGGAAGCACCCGACGACCATGCCGTGCGGCCCATCAGAACCTCCTGGTTCAGAGTGATTCCAGATATGCCTCTATCGGTGTACATGAGCGCCAAAGGCACCTTGCGTCTTTGCTTCAAGCCATCCAAGTACGCCATCGAAGACATGCAATTGCTCGCCGACCACTTCCGCAGAGCTATCCTGCTACTGCGCTCGCCTAATCGAACAATGGGTGATCGCATGTCCAAACTCTTGACTCATGAATGTAGAGACACTCTGATGCGCTTTGGAAACTGTAACACCCAAGAAACTTCGCTTTCATCGATCCAGGACGACCTCGTCACGCTTTTCGAAAAGGCTGCTGGACAAAACCCTAGCGACATTGCTCTTGAGAAAGCCGCTGTCGCCATGACATACGCCGAGCTAGATCGGCTTTCAAGCATACTTGCGAAGCGTTTACAGGGCCATGTCGAACCGGGCGAGGTTGTCTGTGTCCACGCTGATCGATCAATTAACTGGATTGTCGCTATATATGGTGTCCTGAAGGCCGGTGCGGTCTATTCCGCGCAAGACGCTGGATTGCCCGATCATATCCGAAATATGAATTTCCAAACTGCAGGAGCCAGGATCTTTCTGACACCGGAAGAGACTCAGAAGAGTATAAAGCCCGACGCATGCAGCTTTTGTCTCTCAGTCGAGGAGATTGTACGTGAGGGTTCGCATGCGGACCTGCTGCCTCACCGGTCGACACCACGACCTGATGACAATGCGTACCTCTGCTTTACGTCGGGATCTACTGGTAAGCCCAAGGGGTGCATGTGCCATCATGCCGGGTTGGTAGCCTTCCAAAAGGATCCGGAAGTCAGATTCTTTTCCGCACCGGGGCAGAAGATCTCTCAACTTATGTCGCCGGCCTTCGATGGCAGCATTCATGAGATCTTTTCTGCGCTTTCATACGGTGGCGCGCTTGTCCTCGCTGATGGCATCGATCCATTCTCGCATCTTAGGAAGGCGACCGCAGCGATCCTTACTCCATCGGTGGCGAAAATTCTCGAGCCTGAAGACTTTCCGGAACTCCAGACCGTATATGTAGTGGGTGAGCCCATGCCGCAATATGTCAATGACATTTGGTCCAAGAGCAAGAACATGTACAACATGTACGGCCCGACCGAAGCTACCTGCGGAGCCACGATTCAGCCCCTTCGTCCGGGGCGACGCGTGACTATAGGTCCTCCAAACCCGACCACACGAGTTTATATCCTCGATCGGAACCAACAGCTTGTGCCGCCAGGTGTGGTCGGAGAGATCTACTGCGCTGGCGTCCAAGTTGCTCGAGGATACATTGGCCGAGCTGAGCTGACCGCTGAGAAGTTCCTGCCCGATTCCGTCTGCAAGTGTCCTGGAGAGATGATGTATCGCACTGGCGACCGCGGCCTGTTCAACCATGCTGGGGAGGTCGAGTGTCTTGGTCGAAATGATCGACAGATCAAGCTGCGCGGATATCGCACTGATTTGAATGATATTGAGATGCGAGTGGCACAGGCAATTCCAGAAGCCACTGCCGTCGCTATTTGCCCCAAGGATGACTACCTCGTGGCCATGGTGCAGCCCGAAACGCTTGACATTTCGGATGTGCGGTCGAGAATTACGAGAGTTCTCCCTATCCATGCAGGTATGTGCATCCAAAGGCCTCGATAAACTGTGAATATAACTTACCAAATTGTGTAGTTCTGAGAGTTATCAGCGCTGTAGCTAAATTCCCAATGACCCCGGCCGGTAAGCTAGATTATAAGGAGATTGCTGTTCAGTGCGGGGCCGCTTCGCAAGCTGTGCCAGCCTCCAAGCCCATGTCAGCCACGGAGACCACTATTGTCCAGGTCTGGAAGCAGCTGCTGGCTCTTCCCGCCACAGAGAAAGTGACTGCAGAATCGAACTTCGCTAACCTAGGAGGGCATTCCGTGCTTCAACTGCGTCTAGCCAGCAAGTTGTCGACAGTCTTCGAAGTTCGTATTCCTACCGCCAAGGTCATCCAAGCCGTCAACCTTTGCGAGATGGCAGCAGTCGTGGATCATTTTCGCTCTCAATCAAGCGCGGCACCGGCTGAATCGGACATGAAGTCGCTCGGAAGGAACAACGTCTCTCCCATCGAAGCGGAATGGTTCGAGAAGTATGAGATCAAGCAAGGTTCATCGGCCTTCAACGTAACATTTGCTTGTGCCTTGGGTCCCAATCAGATTGACTTGGATCACCTGACCGCATCTTGGAATGCCGTCCTGGCTCGACATCACATTTTCCGTAGTCGATACAATCGGGATGAAAGCCGTGCTGAGAGGGTGAGAAGGTCATATGCTAGGTATTGTCCGCAAGTCGCACGAGTCGAAGAGTTTGATCTCTGGCGGGAGGTTAATCGGCCCTTTTATCTCGGACGCCAGCATCCAGTCCGCGTGCTGGTTTCTGAAAAGATGATGCTTGTTTCGATGAGCCACATCATTGCTGACCTGACAACCCTTCAAGTGGTCTTGAGAGAGGTCATGGAGCTTTACAATGGGAACGGTCTTCCAAAGGTTGATCGACGATATGCGGATACGATGAACTGGAGTGCATCAGCTACTTCCGCACAACAAAATTGGTGGCAAGACTATCTCCAAGGCAGCAACTCCAGTCAGCATATGGTCTCTAAGGTTCCAAAAAGGACTACTTACAGCGGCCAAACTCGCCTCATTCAGTTGTCAACAGCGCTGGCCCGACGGGTTATCCAGCACTCAGAAACGGCTAAGGTGACTCTGCACCAAATGGCCCTTGCTGCAGTCGCTCTAGCCTTACAGGCTGAAAGTCATAGCACCGATATCGTCTTAGGTGGTCCATATTTCAACCGTCAAGCAGAGGACTTGGACACCGTCGGACTGTTCCTAGAGCCTATTCCAATACGTATTCAACATAACGACCAGGGACGCTCCTTCCTGCAAAGCGTTCAAGCATCTAGCCAATCCGCCGTCGCGAACGCAATCCCATGGAACCAGCTTCTCCAGGCCGTGGGCGAAGCTCAGCCAGATTTCCCCAACCATGCGCTTCTAGATATCATGGTAACTTTCCACGATGACCGAACCGCAGCGAAACTGCCAATTGAAGGGTTAAAGCCTCTCATAACATACACGAGCGGCTCCAAGTTCATGCTGCTGGTTGAGTTCATGGCTGTTTCTGACGATTGCGTGTTGATGAGGCTCGAGTACGACAGCACCTGTATCTTAAAACCAGAGATTAGCAGGATTGAAGGCTTGATCAAGGAGGCGCTGCACCTCATTACCACCGGTGTAGGATACACGGCTATGAAAGAAAAGCTAAGGAATGTGAAGGATGATGAAAACGAAGAAAGTGACAAGACTGTGGCTTTCTTTGGCAAGGATTTCAGTGTCTTTCAGCACTGAATTAGGAAAGGTTCATTGCTAATAACGCGGAGTGTTCTGACTGAGCATCTTATAAAGGAGTATGGAGCATATATCAATTGAATCCTTGTTCCTTTGAAATTACTTTTTGAGATCAATGTGACGACAATCGGTGAGAATCTCCTTAGACCTACCAGGGCCTTCCCAGGACCCTCGCTCAGCTGGGCAATGTGAAGCCTTTGTCACATACGCGAGATACTCTTGGACTTAAGATGCGACTGTGCTTGAGAGATTGACGGGTGGCCTTTTGCTTGTATGGATGAGCGAGAGGTCACGGGTCGGGAGATTATGTTTCACTTTTGGAGCTAGCTACTTTCAGCTAACGTATATCACGTGTTTACCGTATGCCCCATAGTTGAAAAGTTAACTAATGCGCTACTGCAGCATCTTGCACAGTAAAAGCTGAATCAAAAATACGGAGGATGAATTGTAGCTCGTTCATGGACCCTTTCGTTAGAGCTATCGATTACGCGGCCGTTGCTTTCGAAAATCTGCGTCGAGAAAAGAAGAAACAGCAACGCTAGCTAAACCCCATCCTTTTCTATTGCTAATACCTAAGACACTAAATCCTGCGCAAGTTTATGATATAAAATCCGAAGTATTCCGCTCGCTAATGTAATCAGTCTTCCAAAGTCATCTCCATCTGATGAGCTTCTCCTCAACAAGCCACTTATAGTGTCTCTTGTATACTACTCCTGTTCCTCTCAGGACTCGAACTCGCCTGCCTGATAGCCTCTTCAGCAGCAATTGCAGCAACGTTCGGTCGTGCGACCTGCTCCGCGTTCTCGGGGTCATCCGGCGGGTGGAACAGTTCAGCCTCGTGGTCATCGAAGTCCTGACCTGGGTTGACGGTCTGGTACTCGACAGTCTTGACAAGTTTGTACATGCCAAACGCCAATAGCGTACCCATGAAAGGGCCCAGCCAGTATATCCAGTGGTAGCCGGGAAAGAAGTGGACGACAGCAGCGGGGCCAAAACTACGGGCAGGGTTGAGGGAGCCGCCGGTAAAGAAAACGCCTGGAAAGGAACATTAGTGAATCAATTCCTCATCATGGGTGGTATCATTTAATAGGGCTTACCCATCATCTCTGCTACAAAGAGCGAAAGACCAATGCCGATTGGCGCCAAAAACGTAGCCTTGTGCTTCTCCGCCGCCAGCATGAAAATTGTAAAGACGAGTTGTGCGGTGAGGAACATTTCGAGAAATACGCCTTGAGCTATCGAGGTGCCGGCGCCGAGCGAGGTGGAGACGTTGAGCTCTCCCGGGAGAATAGCTGATACAACCCCGGCTGAAGCCATACCAGCGAACATTTGTGCGAAGAAGCACAGAATAGCGCGAAGTCCGTTGATGGCCCCTATGAGGTACAGTCCAAGGGTCACCTACGAATCTCGCGATTAGACTAATTTCTTGAAATAATATAGCTCATTACTTACAGCAGGATTAAACATGCCTCCACTGATACGGAAAAACACCCATACGTTGATGGCCAAAGAGAAACCGAAGGCGAGGCTGATGAAAAGTAGGACATTGGTGTTTGGGGCCTGGGTGATGGAGTGGGTTGTCTGGCTCTCCCCAGCCGCACCGTTGGAAACAACAGCCGCAGTATTGGCAACTTGGGTAGCTCCAAACGCGAAGAACAGAAACATGAAGGTGCCGGCGAACTCTGCAGCGGTAGCTACGATTTCGTTTCGCATTCGGTTAGAGAGGAATGACATAGGCCGGCTTTTCGAATGGTGATTAGGATCAGCTGGGCCCTTCTCGCCCTTGTGGAAGGGCAAAATGTTGCGTGCCATATTGGATATGTCGAGCAGTCCTCTCTCGTGAGCGGGTGCAGTCACGGAGATGGGGAACGCAAAGAGGGTTCCAAATCACCCCAACGCCTCATAACAGAAGAGAGCAGAGGGAGAAAGGGAAGAATGATTATCAAAATGGATAGCGCGGCTGAGACCGAGACCTAATAGTGCGTAAGGGTCCCCACTCTGCGCGCTACGGAGGTGGCGCTCAGCCAGTCCACATGTCATCTACCCCTCCTCGGGCTCCATGGAGTGGTGTCGTTCAAAGTTCAACGGCCAGTAGTGAAAGAAGTGGACATGTCCCCGCGGCTTGCATACACGGCATGGCCTCCAATCGGGCCGCTCGACATTGCCATGGAGAAGCGATAAAATGCGTGGACAGCTACGTGAGGAATGCAGAGGGCCGGATGTGGTGTTGATAGGTGGTGTACCCGAAGGCGGTCTTCGTGGTGTGGGGCCAAGATGAAAGATCACCTCCCTGATCATCGCAAGGACCAAGCCGCGGTGAGAGCTGGGGAAATAGGGTTATCGATAAGCATCGAGAAACGCGTCCTCGAATGATCTCCACGGTGCATGACGGCGGTGGCGTTTGTCCTCGTTGAAAGATCGCCGTCAGAAAAAGCGATGACGGGATCATCATCGGACATTACTGGGGCATCGATGCAAACGACCACCCTTTAAAAACGATGCCGACATGAATTTTGACATGTTGGACATCGAAGATGTCAGACAGCTCAATCACGTGAGGATCTCGTGACTTACTCATATCAAATTGCCTATATCCGCGCCACGGACCACTTCACTCGGGCGGATAGCTCGGAAATAGCTACTACGGCAATACGCAATGTAACCAGCATCCTCAAGGCGAGGATCCGGAAGGCCGTCGGACTAGCTTTTAAGTGCGTTCGTTAGAGCTACTCGTTTATTCGTACAGTATCTCGATGTAGTCATCCAAGTTCCTTTTTCTATCTTAAAAATCTGCACTCACTTCATCAAAAGTCTCCGTGTATACCCTGCCATATATTCGAATCTCCTCCCCTACATCCCAACCTCTCAACGCACTAATGAACCTTTCTACTCAAACCACTCCCCCCTCCACCCAAGCACCCACACCCTCCCCACCACAAACGGCGCCAGCTCCGCCACCCACCTCCACAGCCCCTCCCTCGTAAACTCTCCCTCCCTCCCCCCGTCAAACCCCCAAATCTGCCACAACAGCGTCCCCATCAAAAACCCTTCTCGCGCAAGAACAGCCCAATACACAATCCTGCGACTCGCCACCGCCCGCGGCGTGCTCCTCGCCGCCAGGAAAAGCGGGACGCTGAACGCCAGCGTCTGGGATCCGAGATGCTGGATCAGCATACGCGCGGAGGCTGGGAAGGGGGGTGTGGAGGTGAGGGTTAGGATTGTGGTTGGGGAGAGCAGGAAGTAGGCGCCGCCGGCGACTTTGAGGAGGGCTTCGGCGAGGAAGAGGGATGGGAGGGGGGAGGGGGGTGGCATTTTGGGGTTTTGGGGGTGGGATGGGATGGGTGTGGAGGAGGAGGAGGAGGGTCTGTGAGGTTTTGAGGTGAGCGCTTGCTGACTCGTGTCAGCGCTGGGCTTTGGCCGGGGTTGCTATCGGCAGGTTGGGGAAGGAGGCCTTGGTTTGGAAATTGGACGCTAATGATTGGTAGTTACATCTATTCGATTCTGTCTTAGAGTTCGTTCTATATTGCTATTCACTTTGAAAGTCGTTGCAGATATATCACGTGATCTGGACTACACGGCTAGCACTTCTCACCCATACTACATTCCTCTATTATCATAATGCCGGGGTCAACAAACTCGGAAATCTACACAAAGCTTCTAGAACAGTTAGGCGTGCATGACTGCGAGGTCATCCATCTATATCACAATCGATCAAAGCTGTGACGGCGTTTTGCGGATAGTGTTAGTAGATCGGAGTGGGCCAGGAGACTGCGAGGGTGTAGCGAATACTTCAAATCTAAACGAAGAATCGGGATGCCTGTCAAAACGCATAACTTACTGTGTTTCAACCGAGAGCGAACAGCTCGTAATATGGTGGTTGTCAAAAAGGTCGGAAGCATGTCTGTGGATATCAAGAACCTGGAAAAGACGAAGCTAATGTACAAGGGTACAATTATTACATGCAAGCCGTTAATTTTGATAAGGTACAGAGGTGTGCCTACATCTCCAGTCGCCGTTCAAACTCTCTAATAAAAAGCGTGAATCAGAGTGTCTACTTAATTAGCATCGAGCAGGGAGGCAGATTTGCGATGTCTGCCGCTTTACCTCCGTGCCAAAAGATTGTAATAGGCGTAGAGGTGCACTCGTACCTTTTGAGGTTGTTCAAAACGCTTCAGTCGACGTTGTAAATCGGGGTATGTATTGTATCCCACTGAGCGTAAAGTACGGAATCTGAGGTCGCGCAAAAGCCACAGCATAATCCTCTAATTCCCAACGTCTTTCACGTTACGTCAGCCTCAACTTTTCCGAGTGGTTAGGGGTATACCTGACGTCGGCATGCAGTCTCCAAAACGCTCAAAACGAAAGGCCGATTCGCAACGTCTGTCAAACGGATCAATAACAACGCGCCAAATCAGGCCCCTCTCAAAAGCACTTTGACAACCGTTAAAACCTTCTAGGATGAGTCCAACGCCCTACACATAGTGCCATAAACATGCCTCCGACGACCTGAAACACGCACTTCCGGAACCGCGGTCCGTTCAAGCCTCACCAAGCAACCTCACCACCCATCACATTCCCAAAACCCACACAAAATCCACAAGTTCCATTCTCATACTAAAACTACAACCAAAACCTACAACGTCCAACTCTCCCTCCTCATCCAAACCCCCTACCCAACCCCATCCAAACCCCACCTACCTAGCCTCCCCATTCTTCTCCTTCAACGAGAGCTTCGAGCCTACCTTCCTCAGAAAAGCCGACGTAGATCTACTTCCATTAGCCAGGTTCCAAAACTCAGCGCATCCGCAAAAGGCGCCATTAGCGACCGCATATCCGCAACGGAGGGGACACCAGGTCACACAAGCAACACCAGACACGCAGAAGGCCAAGAATGCTCATTATTCCTCGACCCTCTGATATATCTGAGCTGTATAACGCGTGCCCATGCGCCCCATCCAAAACCGCCCAGGGAGAGAGACAGCCGCAAATCGCAAATAGGAAAGCGAGAAATCAAGCGTAAAGGGAGGTTTGAAAAAAATCAAGATCAAGGTGGGAAGTTGCTGGGGAACGACATTTACCTCCTAACGCTCCTCATGCCCTGATACGAAGAGAAGATGCCGCGGGAAGGCGGGTTCAGGCTAGCAAGCGAGCGCTGATGGGTTACAGGACGGCGGCCGGAAATGGATGACGCGCCTCCGATTTTGGCACCGGTGAACAGCAGTGCGTTGTCGCCTGGATATCGACTGGACGATCGGGAAGCAGATCGGCTCGGAGCGGTAGCATGCATCATCGAAGGCATTGCTGATGGAAGAGGGTGGAGCTTTTGGGCGTACCATTGGCCTGAAGGTGGAACAGCGTCGTGTTGCGAGAAAGTCGACCGATGGGAGTCGGGTCTAGTGAAGAAACCTTGGCTTTCGCGCGGGCTAGGATAAACAACAGCAGGCTGAGTCAGTCTTGGATCAGAAATCGGCGCGCGGTCTTCGTATATTGGCACATTGTTGGAGTTTTGTGGTGAGTTGATGAACGAAAGGCCGTTCAAGCTGCGAGGCTCGGCAAAGCGTGATTGAGTAGGAGCTATAAGATATCCTTGCGTGGCGTCCGGCAAGACTGGGCGGATAATCTGGGGCTCCTGGACTGGACGAGTTCGGTTTGGAATAGGATCGACGGATGTGCTCCGGAAAAACGGGCTAGTGACTGAATCAGCTAGATTGACATTGATGGTCCGCTTCGGCGCAGGAGTTCTAGGATCAAGGACGCCGGTTATAGTGGGATGGTTCGCTCCGGGGAAGGGTTTCTCGGTGCTGAAACCGTTCTGGGTCAGTATTAGGTCGTTTCTAGGCGGAAAGTATTGCTGGGACGCAGTTTGATGGTCTTCGCCATACCATTGATGGTCATTCATATATGCAGGCTGCGTCCATGACGTTTGTTGTATTGGGTGACCTTGCTCATACCGTGGGCTCGCACGTGTGTCCCTAATCCAGGGTTTGTTCCGTGAAGTCTCCTCTATGTGACGAGAAGTGCTCTCATTCGGCTGTGAGAAAGAATCCTGCTGCATCGAGGTTGGCGGACGATCTAGACGTCTCAGCGGCGACTTGATAGGCAGATTCACGCTGGCTCTAGCAGATTCGCGAAGTCTCGAATCACTCTGAACGTGCCTCAACTGCGGCGAAGGAACGTGTAATCTGTTGTCGACAGTCAGGTTTCGCAGGCTGGTTGCGCTCCTGTCTTGCATCGGGCGCTCGACATGCTGCATGCGGTCCGGTCCCACCAGGCTCTGCCATTGATCACCCTCGAAAACCTGAAGCTCGGGACTGCGCTTAGTCTGGCCGGTACTATAGCCATGGCCCCCATTCCTGCTCACCGGGAACTTTCTTGGAGATTCTTCTTGAACTTTTGAAAGACGATTAGGAGGCGGAGGCATTTGTTCCCGACTCTCAATTCGAGGCTTGACTTCATACTGGCGATTGTCCACTTTGCTAAGGTCATGCGACGAATCCAGTCTCTTTCGTTTGAAAGCTTTGACTATCAAAGCATCTGATGGGTCGCTACGGTTCGCTGAGCGTTCGACCATTGTTGAGTTTCCAAGTACTGAAGTCGACACATGGTGGCTCCCAGTGCCAGTATGGACAATTCCAGCGGGAGCAAGTTTCTGGTTCTTGTACTGCGCGTAGGTGTCCCGGTATCTGGCTAATACACTCTCGTCGCTCAGTAGGCCTAAATCTTGTTGGATTTCCTGAGCACCTTCTGGCGACAGCCGAGGCCGGCCTTCATTATCTCCAGGCGGCGCGTATCGTCCTTCGGGGATGTTGTATCCAACGCCTCTCAGCTTCTCTCTGAGCATTTTGTTCTCGCTAGGAAACGATCAGCCTAATGTTCAGTAACTGCTGCCGTCAAAACTTACCTGCAGAGTTTGGTGTAGCCGGCCAAGTAGTGTTTGATAGTAGGGGTTCGGGCTTCCCATCGCTTCACCGCCACCTCTATGCCTTTCAGCTGCTCATTCTCGCATTTCAGCTTCAGTATCTCCTCGGTCGCCTCATTCGCAGCCTTTTCAAAGGCCTCAGCTCCCGTCAATGTCTCTTCCAGGAGCTTCTGAGTTTCTCTAAGCTTGAAGTGCGTCTGGGCGCTGAATCTGAGAAGGGAGGTGTAATGAAACTATCGGTATACGTCAGTGATTCGTTGGCGCTAGGTTGGCGAGGAGGTGCTCACTCGAAGACCCTCCATCTCAACCGTACTATTATCAAGCGAGATGGGCGGGACCTTAAACCACACTTTCGGAAGCAGGGGATCATAGTCCTTGCGACTACGAATAGCAAAGAGCCGCTTCGGTGTAGATTCGCCCTTGGTCTGTTGGCAGAAAGGGCACGGCGCCGTTGGTTGTTGGCCTGCTGGGTGGAATGGCGCGCCTGTAGTGATCAGCAACGGGACATCGCATCGCTTCAGGACGCGAGAGAGGGTGAGGTGCGTACCGCCGCCCGGCAAGTGCTTGCTACAGGTAAGATGGGCGCATTCTGTCAGCCAGAGTTTAGTGACAACGCGATCGACCGGACTGTGGCCATCGCGCAGGCCCCGCGCGCTCTCAGGTTTCTCGTAGATCTCCGAAAGCGTTGCTTGACAGATAGAGCAGGCAAAGATGACGTCGTGCTCCGACGCGACTTGCCTCTGCGGAGACGGCGTCGCCATGGTGCGGAGACGGTGGGTGGTGGTTGTGCGCAGGCGGTGTGGTGAGGTTGGTGAAGAGCAAGGAGAGGTGAGATGCGAAAGGGTCGCGTAGGGTGACCACGCGAGCGAGGAAACTCTACAACGCGCGACGTCATAACACGCGAGGATGGGATAAACGGGAGATGGGATGAAAAGAAGATGGGACGAAAGCGAGCTAGGGAAACCTTTTTCTACGATGTCGGGAAAGGAATCGAAGCAGACCACAGTTGACGGCTGGTAACCTTGGGCCACATCTCGTCAACTGCTGCCCTTATATGGCGACTACGGTAAACAAATATCAACAAAACACTGCCATAAAAATCTAATCTTTAAGTTTTCAATGAGAAGCAGCATATTCACTCTTATGTACAACCACGTCCATGCTGTTTCTTTCTACCCACCCACAAACGCATCTTCAACGCCGCTTACTGGAAAGTTCTGCACGGGTAACTAAATCAAACGTTAGCCTACAATCAACCGCAAACCAGCCTCTTCTTTTCGAAGGCCTCCACACCATAACCACAGCAGAGAAACTACTCACTCGGCCGTATACGATTGCTCCTCCGGCATCTCATACCGCTTGACCCCCTCCACCGACCCAGCCCACGCCCCACTCGGCAGCGGCGGCATCCCCCCGGGGCCCAGCACATCCTTCGCGACGCCCTTCTCCTTCTCAAAGAACGCCGCCAGGCCCTTCTGCCCTTCCTCCTGCACAGCCACCAGCTGCTTCTGTCCCGCCTCCCCGATCAACTCGACCTTCTCCCTGCCCGCGCTCCCCACGCTCAGCAGCCCCACGCTGGTCGCTTGGTCGACCACGCTCAGCTGCGGGTACCGCCGCCGCACGTCGCGCTTCCAGTACGGGTTGTCCGCCAGATCCGCGGCTGGCACGGTCGTCGGGTCGTCGTAGTCGGCGGGCGGGTTGGCGCCCGGCGGCGGGTTGCGGAATTGCGGGTTCAGTGGTACGCCGGTGCTGCGCTGGGGGTCGACGGCGAAGAGGCGGTTGATGAAGGCATAGATGCCGCGGGGTTGGACGGTGTATTTCTGTGCGGGAGGAAGCTGGATTAGCTGAGGGAGCTACGGATGGGGAAAGCCACGTTGATTTTCTAGATTCAAGGGTGGTTCTTTGGAGATGAGGGCATAGCAAGGGTTGCGGAGAGGGAGGGGAGGTTGAGGAGTATGATGTGGTCGGAGTGAGGATGAAATCGGGTAGGGTCAACGCACCTTGGCCGCAGCAAGAGACTTGTTCGACATGGTGATTGAGACCCTCGATCACGGCCGAGTGGTGGAGTTGAGATGGGTCAATGGGTGCGCGAGACGGCGATGGGAGCTCACGCCTTGTGTTGAGGTTGCGGACTGCCGTTCGGGTGGAACTTCGGAAATGCTTGGCAAAGAAGCACGTGACACTCAATGCTCGAAACGATTTTGAGCGTCACCGCTCGTCCCCATCTCCATAGCTCTACAGTATAATAATCAGTACGCACATCACTCATAAGACTCATAATATTTAAATGTATCTTAATTGCAAAATCAGGGTCTAAAAACCTGCCACAGCAGCGCTGAAACACCACGCTTCAGAAAACCCCAGGTATACCGGATCCCATTCCATAACGCCATCCTGCTGTCCAAGCGAAGGTCCAAAGATCCACCCTACAAGTACCTACAAGAAAGCCGCCAATCAAATCATCAATCTTATCTACAAACCCCCTTCGAACATCTTCACACGTTCCGCGACTTTCGAGCCCGGACTCCCCGTTGGTCGTGGAGGAGATCTTGGCGGGGATGGAGGCGGAGATGGCGTTCTTAGAACTGTTTCCCTAGGATCTTCGTTCAAGACCTCCTGAATGCCCTCTTTCACGTCCTCGCGACTTCCTCCGCTCCTCTCTACACTCTTCTTACTCCGAACACTTCCCAGTCTGCTTAGCGCACTCACACTCCTCAAGCTCGCCGCGTCATCTGCATTGACGACCCGCAGCCTCGTGCGTGGGACTGTGAAGCTAACCTGGACGACCCTTGCCTCTACCGCTGCTTCAACGTCCCAGTCCATCTCCGCCTCCTGCTGTTCCTTTTGTCTGGCCTCCTCATCCTCCGGAGCACCCCAGTCATCACCGCTGTTACGCCGCCATTTAGGTCTGCCTTCTTCAGACGGGCCGTCAATATCGATATCCCAGTCGCGAGCGCCGCGTTTCGAGCGCCAGAAGCTGGCGTCGGAGGCTGCCCGGCGCGGTGGTGCTGTACTACGGGTTGGACTGACCTGACTAGGCGTAGTAGGGGAGGTAGCCGTCCACTCGCTGTATGGAGCGGAGGCGGTTAAGCTTTTGGTGCGGTCCTCCGGAGGTGAGATTGCAGCTGAACGGGCGAGAGCACGGCGTACGCTACCGAGCCAGCTCTTGCGGCGTTCGCGGGTGGGGCGAGAGTCCATAGAGGTTGCTGATGTTAGCACTGTGGTTGTTGCGGCAGACATTTCTGGGTATCCGTTTGAGCCGGCGACGGAACCTGAGGACGACTCGTATGATGTATCGGGTCGACCGCCGAGAAGCGCTTCGCCTTCAGCCTGGAGTTGACCGAAATTGGATCGCGCAGTGATGAATGAGTCTGCGTCACCGTTCGCAGTACTCGGCCGCGTACTCGTGAATGATCGGGTACGGGGATCTTGGGCACTCTGCCAGCCGCCGCTCTGTCGATGGTGCTTCTCGCGGGTGGGGCTGTTCTCTGGTGTTGTGAACGGGTTTGACATGGTGTTCAAAAGAGCTGCCGAGCGAATGGAGACGCTTCGAACTACGCTCCCTGCCCCAGTAGAGCGCGAAGAAAGGTTTGAACGCGTGCTTCGCTCGCTGAGATTCGAGCCTGTGCGGTCTGATTTGTCCGGAGAAACTCGGCCAGTGTAGGGGCTGGGGCCACGAGCCAGAAGTGCATTGGCAGCTAGGTCCCAATCCGGCGACCAAGCTCGAGGGTGATCCGCATTTTCATGTTCTGGAGAGGGTGGAGCAGACTGAGTGAGTAGGTCTCGAGTAAGGCCTGAGACTGGATGGCTGCTTAGAGGGTTCGGGTCGGTAAACGGATCTAGAGTCGGAGCATTCGCGAATGCGGATGTTCGGAGAGGGTTAACAGCTGCTCGCTCGCTCATATCTGGCGCTTTAGTCGTAACGTCCTGCTCTTCTTCTTCTAGCTCGTCAATAGGATGAATATCACCAGGTCCTTGCGCTCGTCTCTCGTCGTATCTGGGGATAAGGTGATGGTTTCCGCGTCCGGGCAAACTTCGACGAAGGCCTCTCGTAGGACTCGGTATTTCCACCAGTAGACCAGTACGCTCAGCTTCTTGATTTCCTGATCCCCTCCAACTTTTCGATCGAGTAACATCTACTGGGTATGGACCATGGCCAGTCGCATCAAGATATTCAGCCGCTTCGATGCTCCCACCTCGCCTGTCAATCTCACCCGGTGTGACTCCTTCGGCGTTGTAGCGATGAGCACCAAGAGCCAGCTCCCTCAGATCTTTTTCTCGGAAGTCTCTTTGCTTCCTAAGTCGTCGACTATACCAAAGATAGAACGCCAATAAGCCAACAACAGCTGCGCAACCAATGCCGATTCCTACGCCTAGGCCGGCCTTTTGCGACGTCTTAGAAAGAGGGCCAGTGCTCTGTTCTGCGGGCATTCCAGAAACATTTGCGGGAGGAGAGTACTCGGATATCCAAGTGTTCGACGTCGTGTTGAGGAAGTAGGCTTGCGTGTTTGCGGCTTGGGCGACGTTTGCGCGCTTGCGACGTGAGTTCGAGGAGGCAGGAATCGAGTAGCCACCTGCTACCATCATTACTCCACCGGGAAGCATTACTGCGCCATGGCCATATATGCCCGCGTCATTCGCAAGGTTAGGACCAGACGTGGCGGGGGCACTCCATTCCCATTGACCTTGACCTCCATACCCTTCGCCGACGTCAAGGACCGCGAGTTGAGGGTCAGCGGGCGTGCTAGTATCCCCAACCCATCCACCAAAGACCACAATTCGCTGTCCATCTGGGGTAAGCACAGCGGTGTGTCCAGATCGAGGGTCTATTTCTGTGACATCCGTTCTGATGGCAAGGTCGGTTCGCTCGGTGTTTGGTTGTTCAATGGGCAAGAAAGTCCAGCTCTCTTGCGGCAAAGAGAATAGCGCGACTTGCGACATGTTGATGAAAGCTTGACTTGTATGCCCACCGACTAACACGAAATCTTGCTGCTCCGTCTCGGCGCCTTCTGTATCGTTCCAGTAGCTAGGATCCAGTCCAGTCATAGAGAAGCCTGCTTCAGGTATAGGGGGCCCTCGGCTTGTAGAGATGCCAATTTGGTAGCCGATGCTCTTATCCGTCGAAGTTGGATCGATATTGACCATGAGGTTGGAATAGTTCGCTGATGACATCCACGCATCCTGCGTTGCATCTTCGAAGGGACACATGCCTCCAAAGAAGTATGCGCCCACATTCGAGGCATTGCTATTGACTAGGCTGGAGAAGGATACCCCGCCATTGAGGAAGTTGGGGCCAGTCACTGCGTTGTTGTTTCCCACATCTTTCGGTGTTATCTGCTCTTGTTTCCAACTGCCATTGCCATTCGAATCCGAGTGATCCGGCGTGAAAGTCCAGAGTTCTGCCCCTTCAGCACCAGCAGCGCAACTCCCAGTGTACACGGTAATGTTCCCTCCATGGTCGAGTACCGGGGTGAAGGCCTTTGCGATTTTGGAGTCGAGGAATGGCAGAGAGGAGTAGAGCGTCTTGGGGCTCAGATTGGAAGATTTAATCGAGGTGGATAGGTCCAGTATGTCGAGTTGGAATTGCGCATCCGTTGCCGGTTGGAATATGTACAGCGAGGAACTATTCTGAAGTATGCGCGTCGGATTGTATGGTAATTGCGCGGAGGCGGGTACCAGCAGGAGAGACAGGAGACCCGCCCATAAAGTGACGAGATGAGATCTCTCCATATTGACGGCAAACGACACGTCAGAACTCTGGTACGGTTGAAGCAGGGCTCCGTCGTCGGTCCGAGTGCGACTACAGGTTCATTGCTGTGTTGTTGAATCCCGTCCGCTGGAGTAATGGCTTGAAGGTCGGGTTCGAGGAGCGAGGGCAGAGGTGAGAGTAACTTCGACAGCGCCGTAAGAAGGACTGACGATCAATGAGGGGACTGAGGGAGGCTATCTGACAAAATGGAGAGGTTGGCCTCAGCGTCAAAAGGCCTGTAAACAGAGGCCCAGCCACAGAATTGCGAAACGGGGAAACCCTGAGTTCTGCTATCCGCCCCTCGACCTGTTTGATAAAGCGGATCCAATCGGCCGTCTCGGATGGCTGCCGTCGTCTGCTGGGCGCTGCACGAGCTGGGTAGCAACGGGTGGGTGCCAGGTGCTGCGCATCAAGCAAGATTGCCGCGATGCGAACGTGCCGTCGCCATGGGCAACCATACGGGGTGGGCGGCGAGACCCGCCATTCACCAGCCTACTACTAACTATTAGTGTCTTGATTCGATCTCGAACATGCCAACTTTTATTCGATAGCCGCCAGCACGTGAAGGTTCATGCTGGCGGGGCGTTGCGACCTTGGCAGTTCCCTTGAAGCTGAGACGAAAGAGGCTGGTCAACAACATGCCAAGCATTACCCACATCACGACTCTGGGATCCCTGATAGTACACTTCAATTAACATGATTTGTACAGTCACATTTATTTCCTTTGCATACAGAATATCTGACAAGCGAGACTCCTGTTCTGCGGCTCTGACCGGATCGGTAAAGAGATTATCAAGTTACTACGGCCTAAAATGAATGGACGGAGTATTCCCAAATACTTGATCTTTAGTGGTATCTTGCATTAGCTATTAAGGTTACATTTGAGTCTCTCAGGTCACATATCGCTAAACACTGAACCTGAACCCTCCGTTCGCGCACACCACGTTGCCGGTGCTCCATGCTGCATCTGGCGAGCATAACATCGCAACTACACCCGCAATCTCCTCCTCATACGCTGGTCTGCCACCAGCTTTCTTCGAAGCCTCAACAAGCTCCTTCGAATCTATTCCGTCTCTCGGTGCTGCCAGTGGTGTGTTCTGCAGGAATGGCCTTATCTGATCGAAGAATTCTGGCTTGTTGTTCCAGTACATGTCCGTCCCGACGGGCCCAGGATTGACGGCATTGACAATTGCTCGCTCTGCAAGCTCTCGTGCCCACGTTCGCGTCATTGCCTCCAACGCTGCCTTCGTTCCACCATATACAGACTGCGCAATGAAGCCACAGCTTGCACTAACGCTGGAGAGGTTCACAATTCGGCCTGACCGGTCGTGGGGAAGGTATGGCAACGCGGCTTTCATCAAGAAAAGCGGTCCACGGACGTTGATGTTGTACTGCCACGCAAAATCCTCCGCATTCACCTCGTCTATCTTGTTGTTGTGTGCCACGCCGGCATTGTTGATGATGATGTCCAGCTGGAACTTCTGCGTCTTTGGGTGCTGGAAGGAGCTCTTGGCCATTGAGATCAGGTACTCCGGGCCTTTCTCCGATCCCAGATCTGCTTGTACTGGTACGGCCTTGACACCGTATTCCCTCTGGAGTTGTGAAGCAAGTTCATCAGCTGGCGCGGCGGATGAGTCGGATATGTAGTTCAGGACGAGGGAGCAGCCTTTGCTGGCGAGGTTGTGACAGATTGCAATGCCGATACCTGGGGGAAATGGTAAGTTCGTGTCATTAACGCTGCAAAATCAGCAATGCATATTTACCTCTTGGAGCACCAGTCACAATTCCAACCTTGCCCTCCAGCATCCTCTCTGCGCTTCCCGCGCCTACGTTGGTGGACGGTGTCCTTGCGATTTGAGGGCGCCACATATCTGCTGTATCAAGTTGCTTTCTGGTGTTTTGGACTCGTTTCAAAGGCAAAAAGTTTCCATCCCCTCGTTGGTGGGGTACTTTGGTTGAGATTTGGGAATTGCGGGGCCGCGGATGATCCCCCGTCTCGAGGCATTGTCAGAGAATCTCTGGTGATGACCTCCCCTATTTCGAGGGATGGTTCAGAGCTTCGAGAGGTTCATATTGAGGGATGCTGGGAAGATGGGACAGGTCACAGGCGTCCCACAGCCTTGGCGAGATCATTCTGCTCTTCGGCATCCATTCAGCTGTTCCGGGCGTGCCCGGACTTCACCAAGAACAGATCGAATGCTCAACCCCATAAGCATGGAAGTCCCCGAGATATCAAAATCCGGGTATTGCTTCGTGTTGTCGTGACATTAGCCTGTGTTCGCTCCTGCCCTACCTCTTGGGTTCTTCAATACGCTTCCCAGGAATTCGCCGGCTCAAAGGTAGAATATCATAGGCAGATTTGAGCTGCCTCCCAAAATCAATCCCTGACTGTTTACTGCATTGCGCCATTCCAACACTGAGGACTTCGCCCCGCAGAACAGACCCGTAGCTCTCGGTACAAACCTCCGGTCATCTTAGATAATCTTCCTATCATTCGGCATGCTGGTCACTGAAATCGGGGTTCGATGCCTGCCACAGCACGGGAAACGCCCAGATCAGTTGGAAAAGGTCCGGGCCGGATCCCGGCGCCCGAACGGACTCCTCTTATTGGCAGACCAGCAGAATTACACCCTCGTCTTTGTACCGAACCTCACAGTGATTGTGGTTCTGCGACCATGAAGCAATGCGGCTTTGCCTCGCGTGGTGCGCGCGAGTGATGATGGTGACCGGCTTCCATAGCCGTGAACAAGATAGTGACAACTCTGCCCCAAGAAGAATCTGACACGCCGACGGACTCTGATGTGAGATCCCCGGACGAGCACGCACCCTCACGGGGACCCCAAAGCGGTTTAACGCTCCAGCGAATTACCCCACCGGCGCCGATTCGGAGTACAAAACTCTTCTTTCATCCAGACTCTGCCATCATTCATCCCCTCTTCACTCTCCTCCTCCAGCCTTCTCCTCGCCCTTCCACATCCAATTGTCCCGTCCAGCACCATTTCGCGAAGCCGACACATCTCATCCGCAGCCAAGATGGTGCAATCCTCGGTTCTTGGCTTCCCCCGCATGGGTGGAAACCGTGAGTTGAAGAAGGCCAACGAGGCCTACTGGGCCGACAAGCTCTCGCGCGCGGACCTGCTCGCCGAGAACAAGAGGCTACGCCTTGCTCACTGGAAGGTCCAGAAGGATGCCGGCGTCGACATCATCCCCAGCAACGACTTCGCGTCGTACGACCACGTCCTCGACCACATCCAGCTCTTCAACGTAAGTCTGCGAGACTGGGACACATGAGGGCCAATTCTGACGGATTCTAGGCCATTCCGGAGCGATACTCGAGCCAGGGCCTGGAGCCAATTGACGAGTACTTCGCCATGGGCCGTGGCCACCAGAAGAACGGAATCGACGTTCCCAGCTTGGTAAGATAGCATGACTCCAACTCTGCCCCGAATGGCGGTGTGCTGACTACAGTGCAGGAAATGGTCAAGTGGTTCGACTCCAACTACCACTACGTTAAGCCCACCCTCCAAGACAACCAGACTTTCAAGCTCGCTGCCGACCCCAAGCCAGTGCGCGAATTCCTCGAGGCCAAAGAGGCTGGCATAATAACCCGCCCCGTCCTCCTCGGCCCGGTGTCCTTCCTCCACCTTGGCAAGGCTGACCGTGGCTCAACCGTCGACCCCATCAGCCTTCTTGACAAGCTTGTTCCCGTGTACGTCGAGCTCCTCGAGAAGCTGAAGGCCGCTGGCGCCGAGACCGTCCAGATCGATGAGCCCGTGCTCGTCCAAGATCTGCCCGCTAAGGCCAAGGCTGCCTTCAAGCCCGCTTACGAGAAGCTCGTTGGCGACAAGCTCCCCAAGCTTGTCCTCGCGACATACTTCGGTGATATCGTTCACAACTTCGATGTCTTCCCGGCGCTCCAGAGCCTCCACGGCATCCACATCGACCTTGTCCGCAACCCGGAGCAGCTTGAGGCCGTTCTCGGCCAGCTCGGCCCGAAGCAGGTTCTCTCTGCCGGTGTCGTAGACGGCCGCAACATCTGGAAGACCAACTTCAAGCGAGCCATCGAGATTGTTGAGACTGCCATCCAGAAGCTCGGCCAGGACCGTGTCATTGTCGCCACTTCCAGCTCCCTCCTCCACACCCCCCACTCGCTCGACAGCGAGAAGAAGCTCCCGGCTGAAGTCAAGGACTGGTTCTCCTTCGCCGTCCAAAAGACTAGCGAAGTCGTCGTCATCGCAAAGGCCGCTACCGACGGCGCTGCTGCGGTGCGTGAAGCCCTCGAGGCGAACGCCAAGTCATGGCAGGCACGCTCTTCGTCTGAGCGCACCAACAACCCTCACGTCAAGGACCGCCAAAGCAAGGTCACTGCCGCCCAGCACGAGCGTCAGTCCGCTTTCCCAGAGCGATATGCTCAGCAAAAAAACCACCTCAAGCTTCCTCTGTTCCCTACCACCACCATCGGCTCATTCCCCCAGACCAAGGAGATCCGTATCCAGCGCAACAAGTTCACCAAGGGTGAGATCACCGCCGAGCAGTACGAGAAGTTCATCGAGAAGGAGATCCAAGACGTCATCAAGATCCAGGATGAGCTCAAGTTGGATGTCTACGTCCATGGCGAGCCAGAGCGAAACGACATGGTTCAATACTTCGGTGAGAGACTCGACGGCTATGTCTTCACCACCAACGGCTGGGTGCAGAGCTACGGCTCCCGATGCGTTCGCCCACCAATCATCGTCGGCGACATCTCTCGTCCCGCCCCGATGACCGTCAAGGAGTCGAAGTACGCTGCCTCGATCTCCAGCAAGCCCATGAAGGGTATGCTCACTGGCCCAATCACCTGCCTACGGTGGTCCTTCCCCCGTGACGACGTCCATCAGTCCGTCCAGGCTCAGCAGCTCGCTCTCGCTCTCCGCGATGAGGTTGTTGATCTCGAGGCTGCTGGCATCTACGTCATCCAGGTCGACGAGCCTGCTCTTCGTGAGGGTCTTCCCCTCCGTGCCGGCACCGAGCGTGAGAAGTACCTCACATGGGCTGTCGACTCCTTCAAGCTCTCCACTGCTGGTGTCAAGGACTCCACCCAGATTCACTCCCATTTCTGCTACTCCGAGTTCCAAGACTTCTTCCATGCCATCGCTGCTCTCGATGCCGACGTTCTCAGCATCGAGAACAGCAAGAGCGATGCGAAGTTGCTCAAGGTCTTCGTCGACAAGGCCTACCCTCGCCACATCGGCCCTGGTGTCTATGACATCCACTCTCCCCGTATCCCAAGCGAGCAGGAGATCAAGGACCGCCTCGCAGAGATGCTGGAGTACCTCAAGCCCGACCAATTGTGGGTCAACCCCGACTGCGGCCTGAAGACCAGGCAGTGGACGGAGACTAAGGCCGCTCTCACCAACATGGTGAACGCCGCCATCTTCTACCGCGAGAAGTATGCCGAGAAGGCATAAAGGCAGCATATCAACAGCTGCGCGATTTCTTGAGTATTAATGTGTTACGATAGCTAAAAGTTCAACCTGCATGAAAAGGACTCATTGGGGACACCGGGGGCGCAAGCGATCTCAACATCGGCGTTCTATATGGTGGTCTTCTGTAGTTCTTATGGGACGGCGAAATTTCAGGGCTGGGTTTCAGTTTGAAAAGTTCTTCATTGAACATTCAACAATTGGAGAAGACGGGGGGGTTTACATATTGAGCAGAGGGACGTGATTCCTTGCTCAACCTGATCATCCAGCGCTCGCCAATGATGGAGCTGCTGTGGATGATGCGAGGGCTGAGATAGTAATAGTCCGATTAGAGATACCAAATACCAGAAGTTTAACACTTTCAAATACAGCTCACTTGATTGCACGAACCCACCAGTAATACCAAAAATCTCTATCTCCAAGTTCCCATCTACAGTGGCAGGTCGAAGCTCTGCACAACGACAACGAGATTGAAGCTCCTGCCGCACAGATTTGATCTTCATTTGAAATCTTTGACGGTTTAGACGGCGCTTGGAGACACCAGGCATCACCTCGGTCAAACCGCCGTGAACTGGTCCGTGCAATACTTTACTCACACCTCATCTGGGCCTTTTTGGCTACATGCTTTCACAGAGCTTTCTATGATCTCTGAAATGGCAGATACAGCTGTCCGTATCGCATATGTACGCTCTGTGCTTCCCACTCTTGAGTCAGCCCTCCATTCCTTCACCAATTCCTCTTCAACCTTCCGCATCGTGCGTACCATCAACCCCACCACGACTCCTCCAAAGACCCTATACATCCTCGACTCTTCCTTCAACCCGCCCTCAATCGCTCACCTAGCCCTTGCAACATCCGCCCTACGCGATTCCTCCCCTACCGACGCGCCTCCACACCGCCTACTACTCCTCTTTGCTACCCAAAATGCAGACAAGGCCCCCAGCCCCGCGAGCTACACCCACCGCCTCGCCCTCATGATCCTCTTCGCGGAGGACCTCTCCCGCTTTTTAGTCTCTCAATCCTCCTCTTCCCCAAAATCGGACCTCTCCTCCATCTCCATCGACATCGGCCTCACCACCGCCCCATACTACACGGACAAGTCCACCGCCATCGCAACCTCCGAGCCCCCTGCCTACCCTTCCAGTCCAGTCCATGTACACCTCGTCGGCTTCGATACCCTCGTCCGCTTCTGCAATTCGAAATACTACCCCAAACACACCCCGCCGCTGTCGGCGCTGGTCCCGTTGTTCGGGGCGGGGCATAAGCTCAGGGTTACGGAGCGCCCCGCGGACGCGTCTGACGCGTCGTCGGATGCGTATGGGAGTGTGGAGAGCCAGAGGGAGTATGTGGACAACTTGGCACAGGGTGGGCTGGAAGATGAGGGGTTTCGGAGCGAATGGGCGCGGCAGATTGATTTGGTGAGCGCGGCGGAGGGGACGGGTGTTAGTTCGACGAGGGTGAGGAGAGCGGCGGAGGGAGGGGAGTGGGAGGTTGTGGGGAGGTTGTGTACGGAGGGGGTGAGTGCTTATGTGAGGGAGGCTAGGCTTTATAGAAAAGAGGAGGATGGGACGCGGTAGAGGGAGGGTTCATTATCGCCGAGGCGATTATTGACCACGATCTCATGTTTCGATGAGCGATGCCTGTTCTTCGAACTGAGCTTATGACAACTTACGACTCACGGAAGGAGCAGTTGGGATGTCGTCTTCCGCCGGAAACTAAGAGCCGCGGTCTAACACCATTTAAAGAATTGGAAGGGAGTGCTGTCCATGCTAGCAACTCCTGGAAAATGTACCGGAAGCCTCCAAACAGGCAAGGAAGCACAGACGCTCACAGGCCATTTCCCTGCCATTAAAACTAATGAGTCCAAAATATTGTTCCGTCTTTCAGTTTTGTCATCTTGTCAATTAGCCTTTTCATTCAAAGTTGATATATATCGACACTTCGTATATCAGCATTTCTACCTCAAACGGGCAGGAGAGTATATGGAAAGGTTTGTGGGCTCAATCACGATTTTATGAGCACAGTGGAAAGCAGGATAGGCCTGCACACTCAACGGCAGCCATGATGGATCACCCAATTGCACGTTTCTAGCAATAAATGGCAATCACGTTCTGTACCTTGTTTATTCTCACGCGTTTGATCCCTTCCTGCTTTTCGTTCTCATCCTTCTTACACGATACCACTATCATCATCCAGCGAAGCCAGGACGTCGTCTCGTCTTCTCAAATCCCTTCTCCCCGCTTGTTCGCCATGAGAAATGCCTCCTGCAAAACTTTGCTGCACTGCTGAACAGCGTTCTGGGTCTTCGTCGCCGGACCTTCCAAACGCCCGTCTTAGCAACGCAACGCCAGCTAAGCGTCTTCTCTTCGAAACTACGGGGGACTCGCAATTATCTCAAGTCACGAGTACACGATCCGAAGACATGCATGAACTACAGCAAATCTTCAACGGTGCCACAGATGGTGGTTCGTCGCCTACTCGCTCGGGCTTCCACATTCGAAAGAGTATGTCCACCCCAACCGGTAACAAGGTTCACAAAATCAAGAGCGTGGGTGCTTTGATCAAGAAGAGGCTTTCTAGGGATTTGTCCCGTTCTCGATCCAAGTCTAGCCTACCCTCGGTGTCTGGGAAAGGTGCCAAAGGTGACGAAAATGATGCGCAGGGTACCGTCGTCAAGAGTGCTGTCTCTGGTGCAAACTTGGAGGTCAAGATTACAAAGGAGGACCTCAAGAAAAATCTTCTTAGCAGCCGGAGCCCCGACGAAGGAGGATATGACGATGATGCGTTGGAGTTGGATGATGTGGTGAGGAAGCTAGGAAGGAAGACACCGACGAGGAGGCTCAGCATACATAGTGTGGAGTGGACTACGCCCACCACAGGAAAGTGAGTCTTGGTTTCTCAGCTTTGCGGTCAACTCGCAGATGAAGTTAACATTTAGTAGCAGCAAAGCATCTGTTAGCTCGACTCGTCATCGCCAGTCTTGCAGTGTAGAACCTGGAAGTCAGCCTTATCAGATCAGCAAATACACCCTGCCGTCATCCTTACCCACCTTTCCAAGCGTACCTCAACTTCCAAGCTCTCCGAGCCTGAGAGTCAAATGGATGTTGAAAGCAAGACAGCTTCGACGGTCTCAATCGGCATCATCCATCGAGATGCTACTTCCGAAATTGAAGCCGCTCGAACCTATACGTTTGCCAAGCATATCTTCGCTTGAAGCGACGCCTTGGTCATTGTCCATGGCCGAGAGCCTTCAACTCTCGGAGTTTCCTTCGCCTCCGGCTGAATCAAAATCGACTGGGCTGGGCCTTCGCAGTATCTCCCTGCATGAGCGGTCTCTTTCTGTCCCGTCTCGCAGCCCTTCGAAGAGGGGGCAAACCCACCAAAGCACAACTTTAGGTGGCCTGAAACGTTCTGTCACGGATACAGTTCACCAAGAGCCTATCCGAGCGCTTACTGAAAGAGAGACTGTCTCCCGAAACAGGAATGATGAGGACGACAGTCGCAAGTCCGTCCACCTTTACGACATGCGAATCTCCCGCCATCTACGGTCTGCATCTCTGTTGTCATCCGTTGCGTCAATGAACAGCCCTCAACATGCAAGGACGCCAACTCCGACCAAACGAGGGGAGCGAAAGACAAGCTCGGGACTGGATAGCACCAATATTCCCGCAGCTTGGGGAAACGTCATCAAGAGCGATGAGCCTGGACATCATGATGAGAGCTCCTCCATCTATTCCTCACGACCACAGAGCCCACATGATAGTGTCAAGGAACCAGCCGTCAATCTTAGAGCGGTCGCTCAAGCTGGCAAAGCTGTGAGCATCATAAAGAAACCCTCAGCTCTAATATCAGAATACACCAGCACCGGCTTGAACATTTCTCCTCCTCGAGACCGAGTACCATCAATTGGAACCAGTGTGCTGAAGCCCGGAAACTTGGCGTCTGGCTCCTTCCGCCCTTCCATTGACCCATTCATCACTATCACCAACATCGACGAAGACGCCAAAGCCACAGATACTCTTCTTGCCCAAAAGCCCCCCTTCATCTCTGCATCGGCAAACTCTAGTCAAACGAGTCTAAGCAAAAAGTCACGCTTCCTCGAAAACTTCAGCCCTGCATCTTCTCAAAAGAAGGCCTCCAAGACTCTTAGCGCCGTATCAAAGTTCCTCCTTACTCGCGGCAACAGCGTAATCGGACGCAGCCAGAGCATCTCCGCCCTCCGTGGAGGAGACGGGCCCAGCGACGAAATAGACAGGCACATTGCCGTCAACCCAAACAAGGCAGACAAGAAGCGGGAACGACGGCTCTCTCGGTCTATGATCAGCCTGAAGAACGAGCAGCAGCCCCTAGCGCAGCATCAGCATGATGCCAGTCCTATGTGGGAGCGCGCACTGAAGCAGTACCAGGAGGAGCGCAGCGTCATGTTCCTTTCTCCGGACAGATCAACTGCTCCAGCCGGTAACCCGTTCCGTGAGCGCAGCAACAGTTGCTCCAGACGGCTTTCTGTCAGCACGTCGTCCAGGACAAACCCGTCTCTGTCGTCGACAGTGGAGGAAGATACGCCCGTCGACCTGTCCTTGACGCCAGGCTCTCCAGGGCATAGTCCAGCTCTCATACCCGTGCACAGCCAGAGCAGTGGCGTCAGTGGAGCCGTCAGCGAGGCTGACTGGGACCGAGTTGGTCAAGAGGGCTTCAAGAAGCGGGTGTTCGAGGGGTCTGAGAGCAAGGCAGCGCTAGGGGCTTGGGGACAGTACCCCAGCCACACCCGCGAGATGCGAGGCGGCAGTGCCGGACCAGACGACCGAGTCTTCCCACGAGACTTCGCCCTCCAGCCGCCCAACCCAGCCTCGCAAATGAAGAAGCCATCCCGCAGCGCGACCATGTTCAACGTCCAGAACGTCTTCTCCACCGCCAGCCCGAGCAAGAGCGGCCTCGGCGACGTCCAGCGCTCCGAGATCTCAAAGCGCAAAGCCAAGCTCGCCAAAAGCCACTCCATGACCTTCGGCAAGACCTTCCTGAAGAACTACGGCCGCCTCTTCCGCTCCTCGAGCTCCGAGTTCCGCAAATTCGGCCACGGCCACCGCAGCAGCGTCGCCGAGGGCGGTGTGCTCGAGTACCCGGAGCTCGAGATGCTGCCCGAGGTTTTCTTAGGCCACCACGTGCAGCAACAGCGCGCGCGCTCTGCCGCGGACGCGATCGAGATGCAGGTGCTCGACGAAGATCAGACTAGAGACACGGACGCTGATACCGTGATCATCACGGAGCCCACCGAGGACGGCGACAGCGCCGACGGCGACGGCATCGACGGCGACGGCCGACTCGACGGCGCCGCGGATGTCCCCCTCCCCCCGCCAACCCCGGCAGAGCACCCAGACGAGGCCGTCCCGGCGGGGAAGAGCGACAGCGCGCACAACTGGTCCTGCTTCTACGCCTCGTGCGTCGAGTACCCGCTCGACGACGTGCGCGCCGAGCTCGCCGCGAGCAGCGGAGAGCTGGCGCCGTCGGAGAGTCGGCGCTATGCGTCGGAGACGGCGCTGAGTCTGCCACTGAGGTTTAGCGAGGCGGAGGGTCCGAAGGGGGGGAGGAGGAGCTGTAGTGCGTTTGTTTATAAGATGGGGCCGCGGATGGGGAGGGAGGGGGGCGGGAGTGCATGTAGTGTGAGGAAGAGCACGGCGGATCTAGTGAGTGGGTTTTTGGAGGCGGAGAGGGTGGAGAGGGAGAGGGTGTTGGCGTTGGATGGGGCGGGGGTTGCGGGAGAGGGGGCGATGGGGATGAGGGTGGTTAGTGTTTGACTCGTGGTAGGGGTATGGTTGGTTGCGGTTTCTTTGGTTGTTGGGATAGGGCGGGTTGGGTGCTGGTTGTTATTGTGTTGTTTGGGATAGCTTTGGGGTTGGGATTGGGTTCGGGATTAGGGTTTATGGTAGTGATTAGAGAATAGGGGAGGGTATGGTGTTTTCTTATTCGTGTAGTGCGCTTAAAAGGTATTCTACCTTTTGATAGCGTGTCCCCTGCTTGGGAGGTTAGATAGCATACCCGTATCAAATTCATATGTTACGAAGGCACAACGGTTTTCGTTCATCTCGTCTTCGATATTCTCGGCTACCGTTCATTCAATCAATCAAGCTAGCATCTCGAATTTGATTTAACTGATATATTAGCCAGCAGAGATTCAAATTTGTTGGATTAATTGAAGCAATGTTGAATTGATGGATTGGCTGATTGATTGATTGAAATGGTTCACGCCGAGCACCTTTCGGGTACTAGATTTCCCTAAGAAGAGTGAAGTCATATCAGAATCTATTTTTTTACTAACTACCTATCACGTTTCTCAGCCGATCAATCCAATCAATCTGTTGATTTAGTTGATTGAACGGCAGCCCTAGGTTTCCTATATTAAGGCGAAGGTAATTATTATCGATTCGTGTAGTATATAATCCTTTTTGAGCCTTGGAAGAGTCTTGAAAAGAAGACGTTAGATCCACGAGTACTAAGCCGAAGTAGACCTAGCAACGGTCGTGATCTCATCTCATTCCAACAGCCTCGATCAGCTACCCCTCAAACAATCTAGCGACGCTTCATACTAAACGTCTTGGACCCCACGCCGAGCCAGACCCCTGATCGAGCCACTCCTTTTTCCGTCCACCACCACAACATCTTCCACCACAATAGCACAACGATTTCTACACCAAATATGACGCCACCTACATCAAACGATGCAGAAACTTCCAAAGGAGCTCGAATCCAGCTTGCCCTCAACGCATATCACAATGGGACCGTCTTATCGCTGAACAAAGCGCGCCAAATGTTCAATGTCCCATATGCAACTTTGAAGGCGCGCAATGCTGGCAGGCGCTCCGCTCAAGACACCGGACAAGAACGACAACGCCTGTCCGTACAGGAAGAAGCTTCCCTTGTCAAATGCATTATTCAAATGGCAATTTGGGGCTGGCCCATCACCATCTCATACCTGGAAGGCCTAGCTATCAACCTCCTTCGAAAGAAAGGGGATCTTGATCCTCTTGGACAGAATTAGTATAAGAAGTTCCTCAATCGGCACCCAGATATTAAGTTTAAGCTTTCTCAACCGCACAATCAATTAAGAAAGGATGCCGCAGAGTACAAGGAGCTGGAGAACTAGTTCTCTCTCTATAAGGAAACCATTAAGAAGTATAGGATTTTACCCGAGGATTAGTATAATATGGATAAGAAAGGCTTTATAAAGGGCATAGGAGACAGCTGCAAGGTCTTTATCCCTGTTTAAGAGGAGAAGGCTTAGACAATTTAACCAGGAGATCGCGATTGGGTATCAACAATTGCAGCTATTAGTATAAGTGGATACTCGGTTCCACTATTTATTATCTTTCAAGGTAAGCAAATCCAACACTCCTGGATTGCCTTGTCTATTGATTGTCGCACTGTTATACAGGTTAGCCCGGCTGGCTGGACCAATTGTAATATTGCTATCAGCTAGCTGCAGCATTTCAACAGCTATACAAAGCCAATTAGGGAGTATAGGCTCTTAATCCTAGATGGCCATAATTTGCATATATCGCTTGAATTTATGCAATATTGTAAGGATGCAAAGATTATTGCCCTCTGCTTGCCGCCTTATTCAACCTATATTCTCCAGCTGCTTAATGTTAATATTTTTTCGCCTGTTGCAAAGGCGTATAAAAAGCAGATTCGGGAGTATAGCATCTTTAGGGCAGAGCACATTTTAAATAAGCAGTTTCTTATCTTCTTTTAACATGCAATAAAGCAAGCAGTTATAAAAGCTAATATTATAAGTGCATGGAGAAAAGCAGGCCTGCTTCCTTTTAATCCAGCATCGGTACTCTAAGAATATAGGCCAAAGACTCCCCCCTTTGTTAGCTTATCTTATAGCAACGGATAAAGCCTTAAGTTTATTGCAGGAAGTGAGGCTGAATCAAAGAGAATTGACTAGCTCTTTAAAGAGCTTCAAGATAAGGTGCATACTTCTGGTCTTCCTAATCTCTCTAATATTAGAGAGATAACTCTAACTGCCTATACAGATAGAGCCGCTTTCTAGGTTCTAAATGAGAATCTTATACAGAAGCAGAAGAAGGCTCGTAAGAACAAGACAAGGAAGCACTTTGGTGATGCTCGGCAGCTCACGGTTGAGGAAGCTCGTAGGCAGATGATGGATCGAGAGACAAAGGAACGGGAGGAATTGAATGCAAAGCAGAGAGCTGCAGCGCTACGAGGCAAAGTAGGCTTTGCAAAGCTTGCCTGGAAGGAGCTGGCAATAACTTTTAATGTATTCACATATGAAATTTGATTCCAATTCACTCATTCAATGACCCCCTGTACGCCACCAATACGCTAGGCGGGGGTGGCTCGATCAGGGGTCTGGCTCGGCGTGGGGTCCGGCTCGGCGTGGGGTCCAAGACTTTATCATGCAGCGAGTTTCAGAGTTAGACCGCCTCCGCAAGCAGATCAAGACCCCACGACACGATTGATGAACGCAGCTGGTAGAATACCGAACATGATCCGAGTGGTGTGGACTACGCAAAAGGAACACAACCTCAAGAATGCAGAGTTTCGGAAAGAGAGTTCGGTTTGAAAACATTGTTCCCGCTTGAAGCTGATGCGCAACGATGAGGCTCTGCCTTCTACAGTAGCTTTGCAAGTTTTCACAGCATCGGTTCCTTGCTTCGATCTTTCGCTTCCTAGCTACGTGGCCACTCTCTACACCTCCTAGGCCCATCCGGTGAACTGGCGCGGATATCAAGCCACCGAGTCAGCCGCAAAGAGGGGTAATCTATGAAAGTAACACCTCGCGGTACCGTGCTTTCAGCAGATTTAGCTCAGCCCCGGTAAAAATCAGTCCAGAAAAGGGGTTCCTCCGCTCTAATCCCGCCTATTCCATCTGTGGCTTCAAATCTGCGCTAGTTCACCGGATGCGCCTAGGAGGTGTACTTGGTGCAACGAACAATATCACAATCACCTACCGCATATACATACTCACGTCCGGTAACCCAGCACCAAGATCAGCCACAAAAGTACCGTATAAGGTAGCATTTCCGGATGCCTCTAAGGGGGAATAGCAACCTCCTAACCAATCAATATTCAGCCCAGGCCAACATTAGCCTAGAAAAGGGGGTTAAACGGGGTCGACCCGGTTTCCGCGCTAGGTCATTAGGCGTAAAGAGATTTTGTATAATCAGGGGGTTGTAGACTACGCAGAAAGAACACAGCTGCAAGAATAAAGAGTCTCAGAAGGAAAAACCTAGCTCGGTCCCGCAGCTTGATCCGGACATACCTGCAGGAAAGAAACAAAGCTGACTAAAACCTTGCAGAAATGGCTGACAAGGCTGGCGGTCTAGTCTTCATATTCCTCCTCGATTTCGTTAGTATGATCCACCTCACAGACAGTTGCCAAGGCCCACTGTGCTTCACGTTGCATATTCGCCTAGTGGGAAGGCTGATAGCAGAAGTTCGTAAGGCAAAAATTGGGGGCCGATAACCGATTCCGGGAGAAGGACCAGGCTATTATTGGCCGACGCTCAAATGCGAACTTTCAGCTCTTCGACCTTCGGCCTTGAGGCTTGGTTTTTCCAGCTGAGCTGCAAGAATCGGCTGATGCCCGTAATGTGCGCAACCGGGGCCCAACGGAGTCGCCGACTAGCCCTGTACATTTATTATAGAGCACTCTCTTTCGTACGTCGGAATACACACAATCCACTCACCTCGGCAAGGGACCTTGACGGCTACAATACTTGTATACTCGATGTATGCTCTTTCCGCTGAACGATATGATATTAAAATCTCATATATCTAGTAGATCTTTTCGAAATCGAGCTAGCCTCGTGTCGACATCATCACAAAATGTCGGGATTCGAAATCCTTGGACTCATTGCGGCCATCATTTCCATCGCGGAGACGACCGCCGCGGTCTACGAAGCCATCAAAGACCTGCATGGTCTCCCCGAAGCGTTTAAGGAAGTGAATCAAAGACTTCCGCTCGTCGAACAGACACTGCTAGATGCGAAGACTCAAACCAAGAACGTCAAGGGTGACGAAGCAAAGGCCCTGGAGAGTCTCTTGACCGGTAGCAAGAGTAAGGCCGAGCAACTATTAGGCATTTTCAAGAAGATCGCCAAATCAGCGGACTCATCGGTGGTAACCGTATATAAGATCGCTGTTCTCAAAATCGGCAAGAAGGGACGCGTTGAGACACTGATGCAGGACATCCTGAAGGACCTGCAGATCATGACAACGTATCAGGTATTCAAGACGGCGGTTGAGCAACACGTGGACCCTTTGAAAGTAGCCGAAGAAGATCTAGCGAAGACAGCAGAGCAGAATCCGTCCCTCCCGGATTCCGAATTCGACGAGAAGCCTTCGACTGGCATGAATCACTTTGGGCAAGGCGATCAGTATGCTGCCTTTGGGTCCAGCAAGCTGAACCATATTTCGGGCGATAATTACAAGGCTGGTGGAGACATGAACTTTGGTACGCGCCCGAAGCACAGGAGTTCTCGGAAAGCAAAGCCCGGGAAGAACGAGGAGTCTTCCGACGAGGACTAGGATTCGAATATGTCACTGTCGAAGTTCCAGACATGGCTGACCACCAACGTATTAGGGGATTACTATATCGAAATTTATGCTCCAAGTTCGTGTAATTTTCCAAATATGAATTGATAAACTCTGACCTTGTCCCCGTGAGCCAGGCGAAGCTAATGCCGATGGCCAAAATTCGAAGCCACTCCACGATATTCCGGCAGTCCTCATTTGGCATTTCGTCGAGCGACCCAAGCTTCTTGATCACCTCGAGGAGAGTATCGCGATTGAACGTCAAGATCTGACCAGACCCACCGTACTAGTCCTCTGGGCCATTGGCGGCCAAGGTAAAAGCCAACTAGTTTTGCGGTTTTGCCGATTAAACAGCACGACGACACAATACCGGGGCATTTTCTGGATAGATGCCTCTTCTCGAGACACTACAATACAAGCTTTCAAGAAAATAGGAATCATGCTGTCTGGTAAGACCTTCGGGGGGAACTTGCACTCCAAGCGAGCAAAAAGGTTCTTGACACATGATATGATTGTTGAAGAGCTCGAAGGGTGGGATGAAGAGTGGCTCCTAGTGTTTGATAATTACGACGACACCTCGTCATTCGATCTCAATGAGTATATCCCGAAGCGTACGCGGATACTTCCTTCCATGTTTGATTTTGTCTAACCTTCCGGCGCAGTTGGAAAGGGCACCGTCCTGATCACAACCCGAGATGCGCGCCTTGGCCAAGATGGCTGGAAAAGAATCCCCATCCCCGAGATGAGAGAAGAAGAGGCACTCAGGCTTCTCCTTCCCGATACCGATTACAATACACTACCGGAAGAGGATGCACGTGCGTGTAAGGAGATTGTCAGTATGTTAGGGTATCTTCCCCTAGCTATCGATCAAACACGATGGTTCTTTTCTCAATTCAACTTCACCTCTCAGATGCGCGAATACGTCGAGGTTTTCAACAACTATAAGAACAATCTAATCGATGCTGAATGGGGCTACAAACGTGGCGAAGAATCCCGCAACTGGTATACGACATTTGAGCAATCTTTCGAAGCTATTGCATCCACCAAATACGGGAAATTAGCGACTCACATTCTGACGATCTCCGCATTCTTTGGTGGCGCGAGTCTCCGCGAGGACTTCTTCTCAGCATATTTCGAGGCCGACTCGCGTTGGATCCAATCACTTGGTCTGCGCGACAAGTGGGATACTCTTTATTTCCGAGGCATTCTCGCCGAACTGGTTCAGCGTAGCCTCATACGCCTTGAGAACAATGGACGAAACTGCTTTTCGTTGCATCCAATAATCCGCGAATGGCTACGCGTTAGACCTGAGTCGAGGCGGTACGACTACCTGTCCGAGGCAGTCTTGATCCTTGTGGCATATACCAAAAGTACAGCAGACAGCTCTCTTCCTTTTAGAGTACAACAAGACCTTCTTGTCCACCTGGAAAGCTTCCTTGGGGACCCAGTCGTACAGAAGAAGCTCTCCTTCCGGCCCGATAACGAGTCTGAGCAGGCATCCCTCGTCATGACCTTTGCGTCGGTTTACAGAACCAGTAGCCATCTTAGAGAAGCCAAGAAACTACTCCAGGGTTTGATAGAAGCGCGTCGAGAGTCTGGTGTCGCAGATAGCAACCCAGTGAGCATAGAGCTTCAAATCGAGCTTGGGGAGACATTCATAGATGACGGCGAGTACACGGAGGCACGCGAGCACTTTTCCTCTGTGCTCAAGTACGCCGACAAGTTGAACCGAACGTCGCATTGCCGGACACTCCTCGGATTTGCAGACACCCTGGGGGCTCGAGGCGACTTCCGAGCAGCGTATCCCATGGCGAGACAGGCGCAAGATCTGGCCGCCACTTGGGCGGGCGTGAACTCTCGTTTAAACTTCAGGGCAATTTTCGTCCTTGCCAGAATTCAGGCCGGTTTGGGCCGTTTGATTGAGGTCGGCAATCTCGTTAACGGAGCCTACGATAGAGCCTACGTTGCTTTTGGCTCCTGTGACAGGACCACTCTGGAAGCATCGTACATGCGGGCAGGGGACATGATGGCGAGGTTGGATTTCGACACTGCCAAGTCATTCGCTGAGCAGACTTTAGTAACAAGTGAAAATCTGAACGGACCTGACCACCGTCTTACCCTCAATGGCTACATCTCATTAGGCTATATTTATGGCCGTCAGGGACTACACAGCAAAGCTCGAAATTGCTTCGAGGTAGCCAAATCGCGAGCGGGCTCGCTGTTTGGAGGTACTCATGCTGACGTAATGGTTGAGCTTACTATAGGGGAAACATACTTTGCAGAACACAATTATGAAGAAGCCGAGAAACAGTTCCAAAGTGGCAAAAACATGAGCGAAAAGATACACGATACTACAATGGAGGTTGCATGCACAGTATCCCTTTTCAGGCTTTACTTTGCTCAGAAGAAATTTCGGAAAGCTATCCCGATGGCGTGGGTCTTCGTACAGAATTTTCCGTTCCGCTTCTTTTTCAGAACCAACAAGACGATGGTCATCTCGGCGGCAGTATTTGGGCTTTTACTAGTTATATCTGGCTTGAAGGGCTATTTCATGACAGTGGTGGCTCTTGTTTCATTATTACTAGTTGCCGTATGGTTTTTATTCTTCTGACCAGGCCGGTCAATCGATTCCTTTCTCAACCTTCTCTGATCAGACGAGTGACAAAATTACCGCAGACAACGAACCTGGTTAGATTTTGGCTTACTTCGCGTGCTCCACTAGCCAGTTGTCTCATTTCCTACACCTTTACTTTCATCTTTCATCTAACACCCCCTGAGACCGAGACCGCGCCTGACCCCGTCAGCAAGCCTAGCGTAATATCATTAACGGAGCAACATGTGTTCGAATAATAGATGACCACTTCACATCAACCTCCAACCCTCCCCTCCGCAGGCTCATTGCATCCCCTCGCCCCACTCACAGAAATACTCATACCTGGGGCGCACTGAATAGGTGTATATATCCTGGGTTATTTCAGTGACGTACAACTACCAAGGTTTCCTCAATTAGCCACTGGCCTTCCCTACTTTCGCGAACGGGGTAGCAACCCATCCGGGTCTTCTACATCCTCTACTTGGCCTTAATCTGGAACTCCGCACATTATATTTTCGAATGCCCTGTTTTGATAGGTTAGGCAGCATGCCCGGATCAAATTTATGTGTTACGGAGGCATAACAGCTACAAAACTTTAAATCTACTAGGCCAAAGTAGACCTAGCAAGGTTCTTGACCTCATCTTATTAATCATTAATTGTCTACCCATTAAATAACCCATTACTGCTTTACACCAACCGTAGACTTCTTACGTTATACATCTAGTACCAATAATCTACGGTGCCTGTCATTCAACGCCTTCCAGACTTAGATCGCGTCCGCAAAGCATATCAAAATCTTACGAAAAAAAGATGACTCTAAAACAATAAGATGCACCAGTACAAGCATAGAGTTCCTTATTTTTCAAGTGTTTCGTGCTGAAAAGATGAACAGGTAGGACATCCAACATTAAACGCATGTTGAAGAGGCTAATTTGAAGTAATATATTTTATTCTATCTCTATCTTAAGAAAGGGAAGAGCACTTCAAAACAAAGAGCTCATTGAGATAGGACCGGCGATGTGATTCAAGTATCAGATCCATCCTACGGAAAGAAGAAAGAACACCGAAACACCACAGGGAACCAGACGCAACCGTACGTTAATTTAGAGACTCTCCTGACCTCTCTCGCATCTCCAAATCCTCATCCCCTACAACAATCCCATCACGTACATTTTCTTCTCCATCAGAGTAGGTCATAAACTCTGAGTCCGCACGTTTCTCCAAACGAAACCTCTCGACTTTGCCATCCCTAACTAGTCGAATTCTTGTCTTTGTTATTATCTTCTCGAGTGGCGACGCGTCAGTCGAATGAAGAGTGAATAGAGTGGCGATGTCGGGGTTCTGGATGGCGTTGCTGATGGAGGAGAAGTACATGTCGTGGCTCTCGCCGTTGGCGTAGATGGCATACGCACCGGCTAGGATAGTAAAGAGCGACGCGAGGATGGAACAGCTATTTGTGAGTTAGCATTCCAGTCAATACTCAATTAGAGTTGTATTAAAGGCTACGCTGCGGCGAAAGTATTCCACGTACCCATACCCAATGAATAAATTTCGGCGATGGTAAGTATATTTGTTTACCCATATAGTTTCATTTACTTGAACCATCGTTTTATCGCTAATTCTTTATCTTAGCCTTGGAACTCGAGTGTTACAAATTCGACTTACCTGAAAAGGGAATTGCTCATCAGACTCAATGACGCGTTCAGCGAAAACTCCTCGATGAGCGAGGTCAGGTTCTTGTTCTGCGTAGGCCCACCAGACTCAAGGTCGCCGATTCTCCATACGGCAGTCATTGCAGAAAAGTCCGCGGCCATTCCCAAGATTGTTTGATCAAGGCTTGTATTCCAATTCCATTGATGGTTCCCATCGGTATAGAACCTAGCCATCACAACGCCGATAAGGAAGTCCATGAGCAGACGGCCAAACGCGTTGTAATTATCCATAGCGTACGACGAGGATGTTTCATCGCCGTCAAAGTCCAATTCTTGAACAGTACCAGTTTGGAGCGACGGGACGTTGTCCACAAAGGTGACATCAGTAGGTACAGATGCATTTCGAAGGTTGCAAGTATAATAGCTCACATTATAATGCGCTAATCCATACTTAAGATCGCCCGAAAGGGTCCCATTTGATGGGTTCGCAATAGCGAACCAGACGTCCGTCTTCATGGTGTCGTGGGGAGTGATAGTTGTGTTGCCAAGCGTACCGAAGTAGCCAATCAGCCCTGCCGGAGTTTCCCAAGCGTTCGTTGAAGTATTCGTGGAATTGATGTAAGTCAAGTTCTGCCAATAGGATACCGATGTAGGATCAGAGTCGTACCCATCAACAGCAGCCTCAATTGCAGCGGCGGCCGTCCAGGCGCGAATAGTCTCATTGCTCGGTTGGCAGCGTACGATAGGAACTATCAGGTCCAGGGTATAGGACGCGTTCTGCAAGCCTTCTGGCGCGCTGAGGCGTAGGAGTTCTCCTGTGCTTGCTAAAGTGGTAAAGGCTCTACCCAATTCGCGGGATTCTTCGCCCATGTAGGCATAGCTTTTACTCGTGTTATAGTCAAGGTTACTGATGGATGGACGATTGACCAGGAGAGTGTGTAGCGTTGTGTTTGGCTTTAATGCAACGCCTAAAGTTGCTGGCGTAACTAGCGCTGCTAATGGCATGCACCTTAGAACTTATGTTAGCAAGGAGGATCTAGGGACGTATTGAAACATCACTCTTTCAAGTTGGAGTGTTGAGAGCGTACCAAAGGAGTATAGCAAGAGCAACAGCAACCGGAAAATCGGAGAGAAAATCCAAATTGAGTAGACAGAAAATATTCTTGTCCACGGAGAACGCAGCGTCAATCGCGCCAATGGTGACCACTTTCTGACGACACCTTCTCCAAACCCACTGAGCGTAAGCCGTACCTGTCGCAGTTGCAAGGCAGGTCTTGACAAAGAAAGCAAAAGCGGTGCCGAATCTAAGCGGGTTAGACTTATAAACGCAGATTTGAGATACACGGAAGGGTACCGTATCGGCCATTGTTGTCTTGCACCAGAATAGACGAGAGTGTTATTCATGCTCATGTAGTAGACGTGGTGCGCGACAGCGAAGGCGATTCCAGCGCAGAAGGAACTTATCATCAACGACGGAGTTACCAAACGACGGCGACTTCCTCGATTAGGGGAAATCGGGTCCGTCCGCGAACGACCCTGTTGTATAAATGAATCGTGTTCTCTCTGAGCAACTACCGCTTCTGCGAGTCCGTCGACGTTGAAACCACCCCTTAGAGCTTTCAAGCGTGAGTACTGTAGGGGACTTTGCCTTAAATTTTGCGAGAACATGATGGAGAATAACGCTCTGTGACTAACTTGGAAGCACCAGAGCGATAGTGTGGTTTTGATGTTCTTATATTGTTCGGGCAGCGTCGTGAGGCTGTGAAATATTTACTTGAATGGGGCTGGACGGGCTGTGCGCGCGGTGGTGCCTGAACACCTAATTTTATCGCAACGGTAGCAATTGGTAACGTCGCACGAAAAGCAATATGCGTAATCTGTTGATGGTGGGATCAACACTCGGGACCTACCATAGCAAGTTCCAGGCCTTCAGGTCCTTCCCCTCCAACAAGATCGACTCGGTGATATGTTCGAACATCTGCTACGTCGATAAAAGCTAGCGTGTTTATAGTAGATGCGAGGCCAAACCATCATCATATATGTACTAAAATAGTTCGCAGTGTCTGTCGATCTCATTCTCGGTCTTAATCACTTAGAAGCTTTCAGGTTCTTCACACTCCTCACGACAAGCTAACACAGATTGCACCAATTGGCGCGGTCTCGGACACTTTTGAGGGAGTCAAGAGAGTGGTCGGAGTAACTTTCGTAGGAATTGAAGTTATAGATGGATCAGATTATCTATAACTAACCTTAAGGCTGCCAGTTCCTCTACTCAGGCGTAGATTGCTGGATCTACTAAGACTGCTGCGTGTGGTGCTGCGGTAGTAGCCCTCACGGCCGCGCCAGCCGCTGCTGTTCTTTGCAACTGTGAGGTATTCAGTTCCCTAGGAAGCTGCATAGCTAGCTTACCGCAGTATCCTATATCTGCCTAATAACGTTAGATCCTTAATTCTAATGTAGCTATGGTATACGCAAAAGTATAGAAGAGATCTTGCACTAGGGAGCTGTGCGCGGAATAGGTAGATCCAGCTTCCTAAGACAGCATCGGCGAATAACGCTTAAAACGCGTCCGGAGACTTTTTGTTCAATTGATAGTTATGCTTAGTCAGTCAAGGAGAGTAAATTCCGACTGGTATTTGTGGCTATTGTGGGTGGATTCGAATGATTGCGTTTGTGGTGATTTTTTATTTGAGGGGTTGATGATCGAAGACGGATGAGATGAAGTCAAGAACCTCGCTAGATCTAGTGGATTGATCTAAAGTCTCCCCTCTCAAGGTCCTTCTATGAGAAGGGCTGGTATCTCGCGAGGAGGTGCTGTTAGCATATACGCTCTTAACGTTTCCCATTCAATTACTAGATTAGCTATTGTCAATGAAGGTATAGGTAATTAGCCTAAGTTTAGAACTCCGCACATCACACTATTAAATGCCCCCTTTTGACAGGTTAGCTAGCATGCCCAGATCAGATTCATATGCAACGAAGGTACGGCAGCTGCTATTTCTGGTATCATCGGCACTGCAGGTGCCGAGGAATATTCAGTCAATTAGAAAGGATTAAATGGGGTTCAGTTGCCTGACAGGGCTAAGAAAGAAACTCAAGAAGAGCAAGACTAATGAGGAAGTAGTCGATCTGGACGAAACGCTGAAGGTGATGGTAGACTCCTAATATCGTCTTCTAGAGGTCTACGCCAACCAGACGTCCTTCCACTCTGCCGCGGGCATGGCGCTTTCCACAGCCTCCCGCGAAACTATACCCCTGCCTATTCTTTCCGCCAACGGGACTGTTCCGCCTCCAAACCATCGGATAAACAGCACGTGGAATGCAAACCAAGCCTTCTCCTCGTCCTGGCGGTTGAGATACCAAGGATAGAACGTCCTCATGACTTCTTCATCTTGCGATTCGGAGATGAGGAGAAAATCACATTCGTCTTCCCGTAGATTAGGGATGAAAACGTCCGCCTTAACACAGCCACAGGGCTTTCCAGATGCATCGAGAATATGACAATCGTAGAAGAAGGCATCGTCGCCAGCATCTTCGCCAATTGCGCCCAGGGGAAAGTGGGCAACAAGAGTGCGGAAGTGTAGAATTGGGTGACTCGGTCCTAGGGCTTCAGAGGAGGTGGGTGCAATCTGTTTACAGGCGGCTAGGCGGATTTCGAGTGGCGCCTCTTCGGCTGGGGGGAATGCGTCTTGTGGGAATCGTTTATACGTTCTTCTCGTGTCATATGTTGTGTGGGAGAGCAGTCGGATACTGGGTTTCGCATCTACGTATCCGATCCATTGAATCTACGTGTGCTCGGCACACTAGTCGATATGTCTTTGCTAACTGCTTGATGATCTGTATTGCAGGTTAAGGTCATGACCTAACTGGCCTTTCTAACCGCAATATGACCAAGAAGGCCAGTGGTCAGGTCTTCGAATGAGCAGGATTCTAGTCCCGGGTCGCCAGTGGATCGCGGCGTCAAATATCGCGAGAGGAAGACCGAAGAAGTGGCCCATCTCGCTTGTGAAGCTAGGCTCACCTCGCATGCGCTGTAAGCACAAGTTGAGCATACCGCTGAATGCAGGTAGCAGGGCGGATTCGTTGGTCAGGTTCCGGGTGCTGTACTGGGCGAGAGAATCTGCGTACTCAGAACAAGGGTCGTAGAGCCCATATCTATTGTCTTCGAATGAATGTATTCCATTTACTTGGGCGTTTTCCAATGCAAATCTTCGCGCCAGATTTGGCGCCGACAGTTGAACATCACCTGGCCACCTATGAAAATTATACGGCGCTTTGACAGCCTAAACTCTTGAAGTCAAAAAAAAAATAAAATACCGCGTGTCAGTGAAATTTTAGCATTGCTAAATCGTCTCTTTTAAGATATGTCGCAGGATCTGTCACTCACGTCCATGCTCTCGTTTCGTACCAACAATCACTGAATGCCCTCCTCAGATCTGGTAGATACACTAGACGGAACCCCGGGATAATTTCCTTGATACTCTGACCACGAACTCCAGAACCGCGGCGAATCCCGGGAAGGCCCGCATCGGCGCTATCACCAGTAGCGGCAACGATCGTGAGAAGAGCCCGGTCATATACGACATGCATATGCGGGATATAAAGCGATTTATCATCATCCGAGTCCTGGATTATGCACATTGAATCGACCCACAGCCATCTTTTGCGGAGCTTTGAAGTAAACCTGATGGCATCTTGTATCGTTCGAGGAATTTGCTCCCAAAGAGTTTTCAGTGCACCAGGTGTACCTAACTCGTCTACGTTCACAGACTTCAATTCAAAGGGGGAAGCATTACCCCAAACGTAACTTAGTGTTAAGTAGAGGTAGTAGATTGAACATTCGACGATGCAGAGGCGCCACGTATCGATGAGGCGCAAGGTTTGAAGATTACCAGATGACGTGGAAGTTATCATGCGATCACAATCTCCTCCGTGCCAATCCTCGCATTTTCGAATCCAATTGGCGATTGTCTTTGCTTTTACCTGGCTTGAAGGAATGGTGCGGCCCAGAAACAGGTTACGGTCTTCTGGCGAGTCCTCTCCAATGAGAGCGATGCGGTGATTTGTTGGAGTATCTGCTATGTCGATAACAAGCTGGCGCGTTTGTGGTAGGTGCCGGGCAGAATCATCACCATAAATGTACCAAGATAGTCTGCAGTCTCTGTCGATCTCGATCTTAGGTTTTATGGTTTCTCACACTCTCCATGACAATCTGACACAAATGGCACCAATTCGCGCGGTCCTGAATGCTTTGGAAGGAGCCTAGAGAATGGTACTAGTAGCTTTTGCCGCTGCCGTAATTGAAGAGCGTTTCGCCTACATCGAGGACGAAATCTGCAGCCCTAAGGTGCATGTCGGCGCAGATCTCGCAGAGCATGACGTGTCGAGTACGGAAAGCTAGCTCCGGCGAATTGTTGCGCCTTCTGTATTCGGTTCTTGATCGATGTAAGAGCGTGCAAGGCTGGAGCGGAGAGGCTCATCCTGATTGTTGCCTGTGTCCACGTAGGAATAGCGCTTTGAACGTTTCCTCTCTATCAAGAACTCTATGCTCATGCAGCTTCCCTCTTCTCGTTTTCATTGCACATGCTAATTAGAACATGACCACCTCACGTCTTGTCCTACTCATGACGTTTCGAGCCTCTTGAATCAATTTGTGGAACCCATCTGACTCAGCAATGCAATGAACGATAGGAGCACACGCTTCTCGTGTAAGAGCGTGAGAGCATACCCTTGTAGTTGTGTTACGAAAGTCCGCGCATGACAGAATATTGAAGAACAGGTCGATGGATGAGGAAGGTGGTACGAGGAGATGCTAATCGGGGCAGGATGAAGTCGAATTCTCCTTAGGCCTAGTGGATGACCTCTACCCTTATTCATCCCTAATTCCACCGACACTTTTCGACAATTGCTCTTCTTTGAATTGAGCTTGAGCCACCTCACATCTTTATTTTCAAGCCTCGTTTTCGTCACGCATATAGTCTTTAGTTTCTTATGTCATTCAATCACTCCGAATTTATGCTTACCTTGTCCTTAGATAAGCAACAAATTTGCTGCACACAACCCGGAGTCCAGCATCCTGCATACCCTCATCGCCTGCTTTCCCCACCGCAAACCCCATCTAACAATTTCAAGACCAAGACCTAACCTGCCGCCCATCCGCATACCCGGCGCAATACCCCGTATAAAGCGCAATCGCATTCTGAGAGCACCCGTCGTCCGAATAGTAAGTAACTACTCCGCATCAGCCTCAAACTGCTTCGACCTATCTGCACGCCGTCACTCAGCCTCCGAAATCTGAATACTTACTTGTACATCCGCCGTCTATGTAATCATCCTGGACGCTCTTGACATTGCCTATCACATCCACACACACGTTAGCAATAATAGCAAGTGCGATAGGAGGGGGGATGGAGAGGCGGGCGTCACGCACCTAAGCTTTGGCACGGTACCTCGTGGCCGGACCAGTATAGCAAGTCGCCGGATGCGCAGCTCGTGTCGCTCCAAGTGCGGAGGTTGGTGGCGGAGACGGCCGTGGTGGCGAGGAGGGCGAGGAGAGTTGTTGTCGTGAGGGAGGGCATGATGGTATCTTTCCACTGGATCTGGATGATATTTGCGGAAGATGTGCTGAGGAGATGGATGGGGGAGTGAGGGAGAGGATAGGGTTTGTATACTCACTGAGATGCGCTTGTGAATGGGCAGGCGGATGGGCTTCCTCGGTCTGGTGATGGTCCTGCATTCTCCTATGTCGGAAACGATAAATTGGCTACCGAGAATTTCGATGTAACTGGTAAGATATACCCTTCTCCGGACCACGGTTTGGTGACGTTGGCTATAGCTCTCCCTGTAGTCATTTGAACTTTCTTCAAAGAGATTCTGGAGTCAGGGTTCAACAGCTTACTCAAATAATGTTCCACCACATCCTACCAGGTTGCACAGAAGTCGACAACCCACCTTTTGTCACAACATATCGACGTTGGATGGAGAGGGGTGAGTGCCGCAAGGCGCAAAGGAAGCGCCGAGCTGTCTCCGCCTAAAGACAACTGACTGGACCTCTTCATAACACGTAATTTAGGAGCCCTGGGGAATCTACCAGACATCGACTCTGCAACTGCGCATCTAAAAGAACGCCGCCAGCTAATTTATCGTCCCAGTGCAGACACATAAAGTGTAGGCTGCGTGCCGCACAGCTTATTTGCAGACCTGAGTTTGTAGCTGTGGCACCCTTACATCAGAAGTCGCATAAGCACTGTTGTCGCTTTTATTATATGCCATACTTAGTAAGGCTGATCCCGGGGCTCCGCCTTGTGGGAAGTGTAGGATGATCGTTGCTTCTGGCGTACTAAGCTTACTCATAGTAGAGCCATCCTCGAGTAGCACAAACATCTCCTCGGATCTCTCCTGAGAACCTGAAAGCCCGAGTTTCCTATGGAGCACCAAATAGACACTGCTCCCGAAAAATGAATTGACCGGAGAAATCTTCCAGATTCCAATCTCTAAGCAAGTTCTATACAGGAATGCAATCGGAGAAGAAACATAGGAATTGATTACCTCGAGTCCGAGTACTATGTGTTGAAGAAAGAGCTCGGCAATTGGGACGTCCAGCGACAGACCCATCTCAGAAGGCTCGACATCCGACATTTAAATGCGCTCTCCACCTCAAAAGAGCGCGCAAGCGTATACCCACTCAGGACTATGTACCCATCGGCTGCCTTCCCGGCAGTACCAGCGCTATCGCACTAGACGCCAGCATTAAGGAGCTCGCGATATATCTCGTCCACTACTCATAAGTCGACGTGTGATACGTTGCAAGCCCATAGCCACAAAGGGCGTCTCCAACCTCTTACCCGACTTTCAGATCCCTAGTATACCAGATCGGTTCTCGTTTAAAGCTGTCACTTCATAACCCCTCGAAATGCTTTCGATCGCCTCGACGAGTCTAGATCCCCTTAGATGTTCAGGAGGGATGGCGAGTTTATTTGCGATGCAATGCATACAACAGTTCCGCCCAACACCTAGGCGATGCGTGATGACGATTGGGACCGGAACCGCCTTTAACAACAGTTCTCGGCCGATGCCTACACTCCGCTCCCACTGCCCCCGCCCCCCCCATTAACTCACTCACTCCTTCCCATCCCACGCCTCCCTCAAATACTCCTCGACCCCCTTAAACCGATACGCCGGCAACCTCTCATTCCACTGCCCGCCGACATCCCACACCCCTCTCCCAATCCCGACCAAAAACATCACCACAAAATCCCGCGAGAACTGCTCCGTGCGCTCCTCCACCGGAATCACCGGGTGATCCATCCGCGGCACCCAGTTCGTCTTCAGCTCCCCCCTCTCCACATCCTCCCCGCTCACCTCCTCCACCGCAAACTTCTCCCCTCTAATCTCCTCTCCGAGCGCGATAAGTTCGTTGAGAGTAGTGGCCGAGCCGCGGATGCCGCCGACGCGAGGCCACTCACGCGGGTCGTCGAGCGCGAGGGCGACGACGGCGGCGACGTCGCGGATGGCGGTGAGGACGATGGGCTGGGCGCCGTCGTCGAGGCGTATGGCGCGGCGGCGGTGCAGGTCGATGAGTAAGGGCCAGGTGTGCAGGTGGGTGGCGAGCGAGTAGGGGTGGGCGAAGTAGTCCATGAAGAGGGAGGGCTGGAAGAGGCAGTATTCGAGGACCTGCGGTGGGGTTAGGGGCGGGTGAAAGGGGGGGGGGGGGGGGGGGGGGATACGGGTGGGGGGGGGGGGGGGGGGGGGGGGGGGGGGGGGGGGGGGGGGGGGGGGAGGGATAGGGGCTTAGGGAGGTAGGAGTACCTTTTTGTCTTTGTTGATCTCGGCGAGGTACTCTGCTATTTCGTCTTTGTGCGCGTAGGGAGGGATGCCGCCGCCGTTGGAGCTGGGATGCGAGATGTGTGAGCTTGGGAGTGATGGGGAGAGGAGGGAAGGGGGGAGGGCCTACACTCCCCATTCCGAGGGCGCGAAGCGTTTGACGCCGGCTTCGATGCAGGCGTGGATGAGGTTCTTTTGGGCAATGTTGTCTTCATCTTGGTGGACTACAAGAAAGGAGAGGACTACGTCTTGGCCGCGGAGGGTGGAGACGAGGGAGGGTCTGGATGTGTAGTCGGCGGTCACGTAGCGGAGGCTTGGGGGTGAGATTGGGTTTTGCTGGTGGGAGATTAGAGTTACAGATTTGCGAGTTGCTGGTGGTTCAGTTTATTGGAAGTACCTTGCGAGTTAGAATGGTGATCTCGTGCTTCTTGGTTGCTTGGATGGCGTCAATGATCTCAGACGCGACATCTGGTCTCGGTTAGCATTATATTTTGCGCGTGGTGGGCTTCGCTCACTTCCGGTACCACCGGCGATAGCGACTTTGACCATATTGATAGCTTGGAGGGACAGTTGAGTTAGATTGCGTCTTTTCGGGATAAAGTGCCCTGGACGTGGTTGGATTAGAGATGTATGTTAGTAGTGGAAGTGCGGGCAGGTTCGGAAAAGGATATCCCCTAGGGTGAAGTCCCAAAGTCTGATAATCTATGTTGAAGCTGGGACATTGAGAAGATATAGATTGAAGCGATCTATTGTTTATAACGGCGTTTGCGGATATAAGGACGTCTTGCACGATGTTCAGGGTGGATTATTAATGGAAGGAAGTAAAAGTGAACGAATTGAAAATCAGAGACTATAGCTATAGGAAAGCATATTTATAATCAAGAATTGGTATATCGAAAGAGCGAGAGCAGAGCTAAGCTATGTAGAAAGCAACAGGGCGAGTAGACATTAGGTAGTGAGAGTGAAGGATGACATGTGATAGTCACGTGATGCGCGAGAGAAAAGCATGGCGCTAGTTTGATGAAACAACCATCTAGATTCTAGATCGAAACACAGTTGCACGTGGCGGCTCGACATGCCGAGTCGTAACGACTAACGCGCCCCAGCAAAGCAGTGGAGCTGATGGAGGGTTCAACAAGCGCTTCCTCCGACAGACCTCCTTTCTTCTGAATCGTAAAGAACCAAACAGACTTCGGAAAGAAAGAAAATCGAAGGCGGTTGCCTCTCTGTATATAGTGGCTTCAAATAAGATTTTTCATAGTCAGAACATGATCGTCCGAAGAAAGTACAGAACGAGGCTCAATTCGAGATTGCAGCGCCGGATGGGACGTCGTACCCCGACGCGTGGCTTGTTACTCCCTGGTATTGGCATGATTGGCATGACTGCCGGACATTGCGATGCACAGCCACGGCGTTGCTGCAGGGCCTTCCTGCTGCATCCACGGCAGCGATCGCGATGCATGAAGATGCGGCAGCGATGATGGCTGTGCGAGCCGTGGTGTTTCGTGGTGTTTCGAGGTCGTTGGCCGGTGTTTTCTTGCCATGACGTCGCTGCCCCTGAGGTGCGTTTCAAGCCGCACCCGCTGCTCAGCTGGCTCGCCCAATTAGCGGCCGCGCTGGCCAGCCGCGCTCCGGCCCAGGGGCAGCTGTGGCGCTGCGTGAAACCGGCTCGTGCGTGTGTCGGCCAAGTAATCTCTATCTCGCGCCTCCCCCAACCACCGATCTTGGAACACCAGCCGTCGCCCTCGCTATCGTCGCTGCCCACTCCGCTCGCTCGCTGCCGCCGTGCTCGCCGCTGTCTTTACTGCTGCTGTTTTCGCGCGTCCCATTCACTTGCTCACTCTCCAACACAGCTCCAGTATCCATCATCCAGGACATCTGCTTCATCCCGCTACTCGATTCCCTTTGCGCCGACGCGTCCCCCAATTGATACTTCCCGCATTTCTTCGCCCACTCCGCCAAGATGCGCTTTCCCATCATCCTCGCTGGCCTCGCTGCGTCCGCCGTCGCCCAGGGCGTGAGCGTGGGCATTGCTCCCACTGCTGCCGCGCCGGCTGGCTGCAAGCCCACCTTCGCCGGTAGATTCACCATCAACGTCCAAGACATCAGTTTTGGCGTCAAGGAGGCTTCTTCTCAGGTGTGTATACCCTCACTCCACTCCCCGTCCCTCAACTCACGCAAACAGATCCTCGCATCCGCTGTCACTGTGACCCTCGCGGACGGCGTTCTACACGACTCCCTCAATCGCATTGGCGCCATCGTCGCAAACCACCAGTTCCAGTTCGACGGTCCGCCCCAGGCTGGTTCCATCTACACCGGTGGCTGGTCGGCCTGCGCCAACGACTCCCTGGCTCTCGGCGGCTCCGCCATCTTCTACGCCTGCACTAGCGGCACGTTCCGTAACCTCTACGATGAGACTCAGGGCGCCCAGTGCTCGCCCATCAACATCATAATCGTCCCAGTCGACAAGGCAGCCGCTACCACGTCCGTTTCCAAAGCAGCCACAACCGACTCCAGCAGCAGCTCCTCCGCCTCCGCCTCCAAGACAAGCGCGAGCAAGTCCAGCAGTGCGTCTAAGACCGAATCTGCCAGCTCGTCGACTATCACCGTGAGCTCCGTGCTCAAGAACAGCACCGTGGTCACTTCCGTCAAGTCAAATTCCGGGAGCATTCTCGTTGCCACCACTCTCAGCTCCCTCACAACCGGCGGAAGCACCGCAACCCCCACCGGAGCCTCGGCCGCTGCGGCTGCTTCTTCGACTGTCTCCACCGGTGCTGCTATGGCTACTGCAATTGCGCGTGACCTCCTCGGCGCCGCCGTCGGTGCCTTTGGCGCGGCTATCATGCTCTTCTGATCTTGGCGTCGCAATGGATCGAATGAGAGAAAAGTGAGATTAATTCTTGCTTACTTGGTTGCGGTTGGTGTATTAGTTGGTTGTATGGATGGATACCCAGAGACGAAAGCGCGAGCGATTGGACGAACGACACAAAACGATAGATTGATTCTCTTTCCCCCTTTTTTTTGCATCAGTTTTGCATGCACCCTTTGGACTGTACATACACTAGGAGCATGGTGGCGTCCCGTCCGTCTGGAAGAGCTCCATAGACGAAAGGCCTTGTCAGGCTTCCTTTTTCTTTTCTTTCTGCATTGGTGGGAGAGCCCTGGTTAGAGGAGGGTGTCGATAGGGTTGATGCTTTTACTCCTTCTCTTCATGTTTTTTGTTGAGTGGCATGATGATAGTTAGGGTGGTATGGGGATCGGTAATAATGCATTGATGATAATGCATGAAACAATCAATCAATGATTTGATTTATTTAACATTCTTTCCATACTTGAGAAAGTGACCGTGGTTCTGTGACCTTTTCTGTACAGAACACTTTAGATACTCCTGCACAACTTCACCCGTTCGTCATTCCTTTGCCTAGAGCCAATCTGATACAACCCCTTCCATCACCATCTAAGCACCCCCCTCCCGTTTCGCATACTCGTCCTCCATGCGCTCCTCATACTCCTTATCGTTATCCGTCACATCCTCTATCCTCCCCTTCTCTCCCCCCTCCACCGCGCCGCCGCTCGGCACTCTCACTCTCTCTACTTTCGCATCTTCCCCGGGCTTCTGCGATGTGCGGTAGATGATTGTCCCCTCGGGGTCTGTGTGGGTCTCTTCAGAGACTGAGGTTGTGTGGCCGTTGATGGTTGAGGAGGAGGAGATGTAGGATGTGGAGTAGGATTTGGTGGAGGACATGGTTGGTTCTTTTCAGGTGGGGATTGATTTTGATGTGGGTTGGGTTGGTTTTTGGAGGTGTAGGTTCATGGGCGTTGGGATGGAAGGAGGGGTTTATCAATGGAGATGTTTGGAGGTAGATCAGATGGCGAGGTGTGACGTCACCGTGGGACGAGGGCGTGGCTTGAGGTTGGATGATTATTGGTGTACGAAACGACTGTTCTTTTTGTAAAGGCTTCTAGGCGAGTGTTAAACAGGCTTCATGCGCTCTCCTTATGCTCTCTAAAAGGTGTGAAGGTAGGTACTGTGAATGCCACACCAATGCGGCTTAGACCGCGTCCCCAGACCACTGCTTATACCCCATCCTATCCTAGCTGCATCTACCATCGTATCGCGAACTGCTTACCCCACATCCCCAAGCTCCACTGCACCCCGCCATTCGACCAACAGCGGCATGGCGATTACTGGGTGTGTATTGGTGCAACCGACACTAGCCGCGCATCTCAAAGCCGAGCCGCCTCAGACCCGAGAACCACGATGTGTAACCAACGACAGCCACGCGGATGGGAAGGCACGGGTTAGGCTTTGGGTCAGCGTGATAAGCTGAGTCTGGGAGGTGCCGGGGTTGGTGCAGGTGGTCTTTGTCACGATGGGGTCGCGGGGTATATAAGAGGCGGGGGAGCTGCTCTGGTTCGTTTTCTAGTTCTGAGTGTCTTCTTTGTCTCAATATCTGTCTCAATTCTCAAGGTGCATATCTCGGTGGTCTTCTGAGTTGGAACTTTAATTTCAGTGCACGTAGTTGCTTAAGAGAAATCGTGCGAGAGCGTAAAACGCTTGAGGGGGTTTCCAACAATGTCGTCCTATCCAGACCTCTTTTACCGTATTCTCACATCTCCTCTTTTACTTCTCGGCACCCTCTTTGCTGGATTAGCTGTATATGTGAGTGTTCCCGCTTCCGCTCTCTCAACCATATCCTAATACCGTATCAAAGATTTCGCTAGTGGTCGTATACAGACTAACCCTCCACCCCCTCGCCCGCTACCCCGGACCGCCCCTGGCGCGCATCACAGACATTCACCTCGCCTATCACGCCTACCTTGGCACCCGGCACCTGGAATTTTACCGCACTCATGAACTCTACGGCCCCATCGTGCGCATTGGGCCCAATACCCTCAGCATCAACACCTCAACGGCTCTAAAATCGATCTACGGCTTCAAATCAAATGTTAAGAAGAGCGATTTCTACGACGCGTTCCCAGTGAACAAGAACGCGGTGAATGTGCATTCGACGCGGGATAAGAAGGTCCATGCACGGAAGCGGAGGGTGCTGAGTCACGCCTTCAGCGACAAGGCGCTGGCGGAGTTAGAGAAATACATTCTTCAGAATGTACGGGCGGGATGTAGGCTTCTAGCGGAGAAGAGTGGAGAGAGGGCAGTGAGAGGTTTTAGTGGCGAGGAAAAGGGGGAGTGGACAGGCGAATGGAATATGGCGAACTGGTGTAATTGGCTCGTGTTCGACATCATGGGCGATCTAGTCTTCGGGAAAGCGTTTGGCATGCTTGAGGGGGAGGGAAACAGGTTTGCGGTTGACTTGGTTGGGAATGCGGCCCATAGGCATTTGATTGTAGGTTTCCCCTTTTTCCTTCACCAATCCCCCTACCCCTATACCACCTCTACCCCCCTCCGCCATTCCATCACCACTCCTTCAACAGCACACTAACAGCTCTAGTGCGGCACCCACCTCACCCTCCACAACTACCACCTCGACAAGCTCCTCTTCCGCCGCATCGCCGCCAACCGCACCCGCTACATGGCCTACAGCCGCACGCAAGCCACGGCGCGCACGCAGCTCGGCCTCGACACGGACCGCAAGGACTTCTTCTACCACCTCCTGCAAGCCCGCGACCCGGAAACCGGCGCCGGCTTCTCCGCGCCCGAGCTCTGGGGCGAGTCCAACCTGCTCATCATCGCGGGCAGCGACACCACCAGCACCGCACTGGCCGGCACGTTTTTCTACCTCACGCGCAACCCGCACGTCCTCGCCCGCCTTACCGAAGAGATCCGGGGCAGTTTTGCGGACGTCGAGGACATCGTCAACGGGCCGGCTTTAAATAGCTGCGCGTACCTGCGCGCCTGCCTCGACGAGACGCTGCGCATGACGCCGCCAGTCCCCGGCGCGCTGCCGCGCGAGGTGCTGCCCGGCGGCCTCGAGCTCGACGGCCACCACCTCCCCGCGGGCGTCGTCGTCGGCGTCCCCGCGTACGCGATCCACCACAACGAGGCCTACTACCCGGACTCGTTCCGCTACCTGCCCGAGCGCTGGCTCGCGGACCCGCAGCAGAATCCGTATGTGGGGCGGTTGGAGGAGGCGCGGGAGGCGTTTTGCCCGTTTAGCGTGGGGCCGCGGGGGTGTATTGGGCGGGGGTTGGCGTATGTGGAGTTGAGCGTTACGGTGGCGCGGGTGCTGTTTTTGTTCGATGTGAGGGCGAAGAGGGGGGAGACGCTTGGGGAGGGGGGCAGGGAGGGGGTGCAGGGGGTCGAGGGGGTCGAGGGGAGGGAGAGGAGGGGGGAGTATCAGATTGAGGATCGGTTTGCGAGTCGGAAGGATGGGCCGGTTGTGGAGTTTAGGGTGAGGGGGTGAGTGGAGGGGGTTGTGGGAAGGGGGGTTAGTGGGCTGTTTAGTCGTTGAGTGGATTTGTAGGGCAGGTTAGTTGGGATACGGTGTTAATGGTTTAAGGATTAAGTCTTGCCCACTTCATTCCTATTTATCACATCTGCACTATCGTCCCTTTACCTAATCTAAGGATAATAGGCGCATGCTCCTTCCAAATCTTAGCGGGAGGTGGTAAATTGCATTTTAAGAGCGTTCGAATAACCACGCTTGCAGATCTCAAGGCACACGAAGAGGAACCCGTGCCTATACTACACCACTAAGCCTTGTGATTTTAAGAGAGCGATCCTCCAGGCTAATTAAAACGTTAGAAGGTCACGTGTGTATGTCCGTCTGATAGGAGGGAGTACGAAGTATATCCAAACACAGAACAGGGCCTGACTACTTTCGCTAGCGCAGATTAGTCATACTCTCGCTTCGGGGCGGAGTTTCTCCTATAAAATAGGAGTCGGGCACTTGCAGCTAAGATGGGCGAAGTGGGCGCCGGGTACATTACCCCCAGGCCTGGTTATATTGACTAGCGTTGATTAGTCAATCTCATGTCTTGCGGCGGAATTCTCTTCCTTGAAAGAGGAGCTGAAAAAGAGACAGTTGGCGATACTGAGGAGAAGGCTGAGGGGTGGCAAGGAGAGCAGAGCGTGCTATGAGGACGGAGAGAGTGGTTGTGGTGCCAGTAGCATAACTTGTGCAACTATACTCTTTTTAGGAAAAATTTAGTGCCTGCATGGTGCTACGCGGCAAACATGTCAGTCAATCAATTAATTTAATGGTGTTCAGTCAATTTGTTTGGTTCGGAAGCCTGTTAACTCATATGTTAATTCAATCGGTTTCGAGAGAGGCTAGATTTAGACTAGTTGATTGTATTAACGGTAGCCCTGGTGGGGAGAGCGGTTGGGATGAGGGCTGCTCAGGTAGAAAGGTCGTCTGTGGAGCTAAGAAGTATTCGGGAGAAGCGTGGGAGAAAAGAGGATTGGGGTGGAGACTTGAATGATGTAGGAGACGGGCTCGGGAGGGCGAGTGAGGTGACATGTGTGCTTAGCGAAGTCTGCGTACACTGGGGTGTCATTGTTTGGAGTCCTCCAATACATATTCAAGACTCTGAAGTAGACGTAATTGATTTACTTTGGGCAACTTGGAAACTTCCTAGGCTACCTAACGACGCTACCTACTAGTAGGCGTATCCTCAACCCCAAACTCATATCGTCCAATGTCCTAAGTCTGCTGATGTGTTCCCTAGAGCCGATCAAGGTATCGTAGAGGGCGAACAAGAGACAGTAGGAAAGCACTCCCATAAAATCCTCGTCTCTTCAGTATCCAGACTCTCCAACTTAACTTTCTCACCTTCGAAACATTCTCCCTCATCACCAACCGACTTTGGCGTTTGCACTCGGCGATACACGGAGCTGCTGAGAAGTGGTGTCGGACGAATGTAGTTCCGCCTTTCAATGAGCATGAGTCCACATAGTTGGATAGGGCTACCTTTCTTGATAAGAGCTACCAGCCATGATCCGGCAAAGGTGTCTGCCTCTTCTTCGTACCACGAATTGTTGCTCGGCGTGACGCGAAGAGTATGCAGTCTTGGAAGACGAGCGATCTCCTCCTAGAAAATGATTCATTAGCATACCCTATTTTCTAAAAGGCCTGTATGTTACTGGATCATAAGCATAAGTCTGGGCACACGGATCTCTCACTGCTTGGGCTCTAATCTTGCACCTGCAATACCACTGTAAGCGGTGGCCCACCTAGCATGTAACTGCTTAGTCAAGATGTAGGCCAATTTCCGCTACATCAACTTTGACATCGTGATTTGAGCTTCAAACCCCGTAGAGGGACCCCAAGCAGTGACAAACGCATGTGCTCAGAGCCTTAGAAACGGATTGAAAACTTACCAAGGCATGATATAGGTTGACTCTAGTATTGCCCCGCGGGTCATCTGCTGGCAGCCCTAAGTATTTCGCAGCCACCGGGCTTGGGATGCCCAGCTGCTGGAGACGCGTGCACTGTGCGCAGATGTCCTTCACGTCTTCGAAAGGGTAGTATACGGTGCGTCTGGTGACTCTGGTCTCGGCCTCAGCTCCGGGGAGAATGAGGAGAGATTTGAGCGTCGTGGCATGAGTCTTGAAGGTATTGAATAGGGTCTGAAACTCGCTCAGTGCAGAATTCTCGAAGAGGGCCAAAATCCTAAGGTGAGTGAGACCGGAGAAAGAGGCCAAGAAAGTCCGGAGGCTGGCTTGTTCGTCAATATTTGAGAAATGTGGGATACGACGCAGCGGAAGATAAGAGAAATCTTTGAGTCTTGTAGCACAGCGTCCATTTTCTCTCATCTTTGCGTGCATCGATGAGAGCATGTTCAGCAATATGTCCGGCGATAGACAATCCTCGATGTGGAGAGTCTTCAAGGAATCGAATCTCAGGCTTGCGGGATCTAACAGATTGTTCTTGTACAGACCGACGCCTCTTAGCCTCACCTCCGTCAGTACTCGGGTTGTAACAGCTACAACCTAGGATCAACAACTCATACGGTTCACGGTCACCTACGTACAGGCACTCCCCCCCTTTTCTCTCTCCTTGATTCTCGTTCTTTGATTGGTTGCTACTAGCGCGCACTCAGCGTGGCGAGGCCCTCTGTTCAGCTACACCAGGGTCCTCTCAGCTGTGTCCATTCCTTTCAAATGGCCTCTATTCAGCTGAGCTGATAAGACCTAGGGGGTGGGCCATTTCCTATTAGTATATATTCGGCCCGTACGGCCACTACAATACAAGCAGAGTTCACATCAATTCCAACCTGAGTTCAGTGGAGTCTTCAACTCAATGCCGAAGAGGCGACTGAAGACGTTATTTCCAAGTGTAAATGGGTAGAGCTGCATCCTTCCATTTATGTCCAAGAAAGATTTCATGACAAAGTTTAAGCTGGCTTTCTGCAGTCCTGGGGAACTCATCATGAGTTTATAGAATGTGTCAAGGTCAAGATCACGGTTGCAAGTCCGGTGGATCTTTTCCCCAGAGACGAACGACAGCGCTTTAAGTGAAAAGCAATCAAGTCCGGAGGACATTTCAATGGAACGTCCTTCTGCCGCACCTATGCCAGCGTGAGGATCCTTGAGTTCGAGATGTGTAAGCTGTCGGTGGTTTTGCAAGAAATTATAGACCACCCTAGCTGGAATTCCCCCGAAAAATGCCTTCTTCATTGCCGTAAATGAGGTGTTGTAGCTCAGAAAACGCTGCGTTGCATAGTCCAGACCATCCCGCTTGACTGAGGGATCGAACGAGCTTTACAGAGCTGAAGGCGTTATCGTCGACGTTTTTAAGAAACTTGGAGAGCCTCCCATCCCCCGCTTTGGGTGCCTCCACCGCCGTCCATAACGCAGAATGCGCGAAGTCGTTCCAGTCCTTGCTCACCAGGCATAGGTTGTAGAGACCTTTCCTGTTGGTGACCTGACGGGGGTTAGTCGTGGCTTCTCACTAAATCGGGGCATGGAGCCTGTAGGCCTACCTGGCCCACGATCCAGTGCTTCAATTCGGCAGGCAAGGCGGAAATGAGGTCCACTTCCGCTGAAGCTGCTACGTCCATCATTCCGCTCAGCTCTGTTGTTTCGGCAAACAGTAGTAGGGTTGTTTTGTGTCTATGAAGGAAGGAGGAAGAACGAAAACCGGCGCCGGTGATTGAGAAACGCTGTCCCGGAAAATACTCCGCGCCGAAACGTCCGTGTGAATAGTGAGGTACTCGAGATAACTCAGTTCTCTTTCTGCTCTACTTCTTTCGCCCCACTAGTCCCTTAGCTTTGTGCAGTAGGTAATAGATGGTACGTGATCAGGCTTCCAGATTACATTTCTATACCATCCTTGGAAGTTGAGGCACTCTTTCTTATCACTGCTTGGAATACCCAATGGACTTTACAGACTCTAAATATGATGTCAAGGTCAACGCAGTGGGAAGCAGATTACCTCTTGACTGACTGACTACCTGCTAGTTAAGCGACTCCTCACAGTGGCATCGAGCGAGCAATAGTGTGAACCGTGCAGCAGCATATCCATGTGCCCAATTTTATGACCTTGCATTGAATTCCTACTATGGAACACCGAGCAGCGTATCTAGCTAGGACGACTTAGATTGATACGATAGACATAGCAACACTCCCGCTAGGCTCTCATACACTTGCCTAGCACCGCTAGAGGTACTCTGGCACGTTTAGAGAAAATTGTAAACCGAAGGTTTTGACAAGGCTGATAGCTTTCTGGAAACGTCAGATGGTCTCGGACGGCTACTTTATGTTCAACGGAGCATGGAACGTTTAAGAGATGGTAGAGTATTGTTATGTATTGCAGGGCGCATATTGCAACCCCAAACGGTGACAAGAGCTGTCCGAATTGTAGCTAGGTATAGTCTCGTGACAATATTTCTTTTACCGGAAAGGTAAGAGAAGTCTTGTCCTATCACTGACTTTGGCAGCCAGCAAGCTATATTGAGTGTTTCCCAATATTATAAAGAGGTAGAAAAGGTTAATCTCATAGCGGTTTGAAGTGAACATCCCATTCCTCCGGGTGATAGTCCCCGAGTATAGATGTCTTCTCCAGATCCAGATTCGCATCACCGTATTCCACCTTCACCACTTTAGCTTCTCCAGTACACCCATCTGCGTCTCGTCGTGCGGGAACACGACAGTATACCGGATAGTCGCAGTTTTCGAATGGAGACACCAGCAGGACTGCGCAGACCTGGATCTTGCTCCCGTGTCTGATTAGATCTAGAAGACACGATCTGGCCAGGGCGCTGTCATTCAAATACCGGAGATAGTCTCCAGACGTAATCCGCAAAGTGTGCAGCTTTGGAAGACGAGCAAGCTGTTTCTTCAGGCGAGAAATAGTCAGCGAAGCACACGTTACGGGTGTGTAGTTCTAACTAGAAGTGCTCACCAAATATGAAGGAATTTCGTCATTCTCGTAGTGAATCTGGTTGTCCTTGGGCTCGTCCGACGTATCTGGAAGTGGCATGCCGAGCTGTTCGATGTGTTCACAATGCGTACAGATCAACTTGAGATCTTCCAGAGGGTACGCTTCTGACTCAAAAAGTAGGAACTCAAGCGTAGAGGCGTGCAGTTCGAAAAGCTCGAAACCTAGCCATGTGTAGTCATCGTCCCGACATACAATTGTCAATCGGTGCAGACTTGAGAAGGAAGAGAGAAATCTCTTGAGGCTAGATCGTAACGTTGGCCATTCAGGTTTGTCATGTTGTGGCGTGACGTAAGCGAATGCCTCTAGCTTGGCCTGCGACTTTTGTTCTTGCAACTGCCTGTGCATGGCGGCGAGACTATCCAGAAGAGGCGCCGTTGAAGTACACTCTTCTAAATGTAGGACCCTCAAGGCGTCGAAGCTAAGGGTTGTGAGGTCCGAGTGGTTGACTTTGGTAAGATCAATGCCTTTTAGTCTGAGCTCCGTTATTGGTGTGCTCCTCGATGACATGAATAGTCGGTTGAAGACAGAAGCCGGAAATGTAAGTGGGCCGTCATAATATTTGGTGATGTTGATTGAGAGCTTCTGAAGTCTAGGGGACTTCATAATGATGGGGATAATAGCTGAAAACTCCTCATCTACATTTTCAGTCTTGGAATGCAACTCAGAAGCAAAGTAAAGGTTTTGCAAAGCCAGCTCTTGGTGCAATTGGGTTCTGATGTCCGGGGTGCCGTGTTCTCCTTCGACTTCCAAGTTCTTTACCGTAAGATCGGTAAGACGGCTTTGGTTCTTCAAGATCTCGAAGATCCTGAAGCTAGGAACGTCCTCAGCACAAAACTCCGCCAAAGAATTCAGGCTGATAAGCCCCAATGTCTCCCATATTTGCTTTTCCAACGATTGATGACAGTAATAGATCGACGACAGTCTGATCCGTCGGATGTGCTTTGCTGGAATGCAAGCTGGGTTAGCTAATGCGTCCAATAGCCTGTGCGACTTTTTTCTGCCATAGATTGGGATTTCAAACGCGTGCCACAGTGCAGGTTGCGCGACATCATTCCAGGTTTTGCTCATGAGACACAAGTTGGAAAGGTCTTTTTTGTTGGTAATCTGCGTCATAAATCAGTCGCAGCGCTGTGGCAACGGCAACCGGGCGCATGCAAACTCACCTTGCTCACCACCATGTACTTCAACTCCGCGGGCAGGCCGGAGATCAGATCCGGGCCTGGTGGTGTAGGCGTAGCGTCGTGAAACGCGCCATCTGTGTCGTCTTCCATCCTCGAGAAGCCCGTCTGGGCGCTCTGAGCCGACGAGTGGCAAAGAGCAGTAGAGCCGTGGTGTGTTGGTGAAGGAAGGAAAATTGGCGCCAGAGGTGAGGTGATAACGAAAACGTCACTTCGGAAAAACCTAGGTGCCGAGAGTCGGAGAAAGGCTGGCCCGCCGCGGCGGTGAGGAGCAAAAGGACTGTGTGAGTATTCTCCAGGATTTTGCCGTAGGCTTTCACGCGTTTCTATGTCATCGCTGGTGGCCTTTTCAAAGGTCTCCAGGCGTTAACCTCCAGCGAGTCTGAGGCTGCTCAACAAGTTTATGGATTGTTCAAAAGGATGAACTTACATCTTGCTCAGATTTCCGATGGCACGTCGAAAAGGCGTACCTAGATATATGTCACAGCACTGTCGCAGCACTTATAGATTTGGCGGTGCAAAGGTACTACCCACTGAAGTGCTATGACCCCTGAGCTATGTCTGTGCTGAGACTTGACCCATATCGTTCCAAAGAACCTTCAGGTGAGATAGCATGTTGATTAGCCAGTAAAACCCTAAGCTACCGCAAGCGACGTTGTTGGCAGGGCAAATATGTATCTGACCCTTTAAAGAGGAAGCCCCGATCGCTTACTCACTATGGAGGCCAGCGCCGTCACCTTCGTCCGTACGCAAAGCCTTACTAGTACTGACCCGCCTCACCTCCAGTCAGTATGTCAGTCTTATGCTCGCCCAAGTTTTCAATCTCGATCTTGTCCACTTCGACCCATCCAATGCGCCCATCAGTCAACACTTGTTTATCTTGAAGCCGCCAAACAGCGAAGTCATCTTTATGGTAGCTGCGGGTACCCATCGGCACGAGTGCAGAGATCTGAATGTTGCTGCCTTTTCTAACCAACGATGTCAGGCAGGATCGTGCGAACCTTTTCTTCCGTTCTTTCCATTTGTCGTTGTGGCCAGAAGTGATGCGGAGAGTGTGTAAATTTGGAAGACGGGTAAATTCGCCCTTGAAATGATAAGGATTCAGTTAGCATCATCCTACTCAACTAAAAGAGGGGCGTTTTAAGTGAGGCATCACGGAATGGGTCGTTGCTTACGATGTACTCAGGCGCTCCGTATTCTCCAAAAAGCGGTAGGCCAAGCTGCTCTAATTTGCGACAGTTAGCGCATATCAGCGCAATCTCCTCCTTAGGGTACAGTGGGTACCAAGGTATCATCCTCCTCGTCGTCTCTTGGTCCTGCTCCAGTCCAATCAAAAGGTATTGTAGTGTGGAGGCATGTGTTTTGAACAGGCTGTACGTAGGTAGTATCGAGAAAGCCATGGGTTCGCCGACTCTAGTCTCGAGTGACTCGTATGACATGATCGTCAGCCGGACTAGGCCTGAGAAAGAAGTCAAGAATCTCTTGAGGATGCGACGCATTCCAAAGCCCATATGGTGACCATCTGGTGCAGCGTAATGGTAACGCTTTGACGGAGCGTAACAGAATATTCGAAGGTTGGTCTTGGGGTGTGCTGATTCGTGAAACTGCTCATGCATGTCGGAAAAAATGTTCAAAAGCACCCCCGCAGATTGGCATCGCTCGACATGGAAAACCTTCAAGGTTTTGAACGAAATGCTCGACGGATCAAGTCGGCTAAGTGCAGATAGGTCGACTCCGCCCAATTTTAGCTCGACAATTGGTGTAGTTCTTGTCGCCGCAAAGAGCTTGCTAAGCAAGACGTTCGGGAGCGGATATGGATGCCACTCGGAGTAACCCACACCCATCAAGTTGATCGATAGGTGTTTGAGGTCTGGCGAGTTCAGCATAAGTGGTAAGCATATGGAGAACTGAGGGTCCATTTGGCCTGGATACCTGTACCACTTTTCAAAGACCACGGAGAATCTAGATAGATCGAGACGCCGACATGATATGGCGTCCGGCACTGGAACGAGGCTAGATGTGTAAGGGACCTTAATCGTGAGGTCAGTGAGGCGATTATGTGTTTCGACAAGATCCAATATGTCCTTAACGGGATACTCGCAGATATCGGCTTCCAAGATGCGCCCTTGAGGGAGGTGTGGCAAGATAGACTTGTAGTATTTGCCCATTTTTCCGGGAAGATGATATTCGGGAAACTTGAAAGACTGGACATGCTTGATCGGTTCTATCGATCCCTCGCTGAGCAGTGTCAAGAATTCCTGCGCCGAGATTGGTGACCTGGGAAGGGTGATGGTCCTCCATAGCGCAGGCGTCGCGCAGTCGTTCCACGTCTTACTCAATAGGCAAATGTTGCTGAGATCCGTCTTCTTCTCGACCTAGCTACGCGTTAGCTAGGGATTCACTTTGCCTAACGTCAGGAAATTGGTAACTTACATAGCTCACAATGGCGAGTCTCAGCTCGGCTGGTAATGCGGAGATCCTGTCTACCACCGGCGGGACTGCGGCCTTCCGCACAAGACTTTGCCAAAGCTGGTACCAGTATCGACGTACAGTTCCAAGCACTCGCAGCTGTCGTAAGTGAACACGACCTTTTGCGTCGTTCGCGTCTTTTGCTTGATCACTCATCGCCAGTGGTGCTCCGCACTCGCTGGTGCGAACGCTAGACGTGACAGCGTTGATGGGTGTAAAGAAATAACGACCCGGATGTGCAAGGTAATGAGTGAGGTGAGGTGTTTGTAACGGAACAACTTTTGTGCCGAGTCCCGGCTGCCGTCGGAGGTAGATAACAAGCAGAAGTGTTAGTTGAGTAGCGTGGCATTACCACAGTATGCTGACACTCCGATGACGTTGTAGGCTATTTTTCACTGTAATATCCTAAAACGCCAGAAGCAATACAAGTGCGTCTCTTCAAATATCTTGTAAGCCCAGTCCCTACTCAGCCTTCTCGCATGCATCCACTTCTTCTCTCCGAGACTCAACCAGCCGCCAAAGGTCATCTACCTTGCTTGACGGGCGTTCAACCTCACCATGCTTTGATTCACCGATGGACTCCACGTTCTCACGGCGTGGCATACTCTGCATTTCAAGGCGTGTGTCTACTAATTTTGCCAGTCTTTGGTCACGGAAACAATTTGAACAGCCTCGGTAGCGGTTGACGAAAGAGGGTGATGGTATAGGACGTTGGTGGGAGAAGTGATTCACTGTGGTGTTCCAACGGATGAGGTGGGAGATGAAGCTAGTCCGGATGAGAACAACCGAGATCACGGGTTCAAGATGGTATGTCATAGGTAATTTCAACTCCTTCACTATGTATAAAGGTTAAGGAAATCAGTCCTATACATGTAGGAAAGCAGGTCTAGAAGATGGTTGAAGAGTTAAGTCTTTATCAGTGTGTTCATGGCAGCATGGCGCAGATCACGTGAGGCGGAAGCATAAAATTAGACGAAAAGGTATTTTAATTCATTTATCTCAATTCCAATCACGCCAATATCGTACAGCCTATGCCACGCTCGCCCCGCTCATGCTCAAAAGCTGGTATACATTCGGCGAAGGTGAAGCCGCTCAGATGAGAACAAAAGAAAATCAAGGTTATTCGCTCATTCGCCTGCAGGAAGAGCAACCGCATAGACCTCAAGCATGAGAGGCAGGTGTAAGCCGAGCACGTGTTGAGATGCCTAGGGGATGGAGAGCTGGATAATGCTCGGTGGGGATGGTTGTTTAGACATGCTCATGGCCTGCGTCAGTTGTTAGACACGCGTTCATTTGAACACTAGAAGGATGATACTTACGACCAAGAGCCTTGCCCCTCTTTCCAATAACATGGGCCTGCTTCTGCTTGATCTTCGCAAGACGCGCCCTACATAAGATAGTTAGCTCAGTCAGTGACGTCACATTCACTGTGTTGACTTGGTGGTATGGGGATACTCACTCCTCAGCCGCCTCCCTCTCCAATCTCTTCACATGTTCCCTAGCATTCCTAACCGCAATCTTCGCCTGGTTCAACGCCTCGTCCGCATTGCGTTCCGCCTTCTCGGCACGGAACAAGCTCTGTTTCGCGCTCTCGATGGACGCGTCTTCGTGGCGGTGGAGTAGGCCGGTGCCGGAGTTGCGGGTCGGGCTATTTTGGTGCGTGGTGTGGGTGATCGTAGTATTGGCGGTGTTGTCCTTGCGTCCGAACATGCTGCGGCGGCGGTTGGGGACCTCGTTGTTGGTAGTGGTGGTTGCGGGCACTGTTTCAGCGTTGGAGCGGCCGAAGAAAGGCATGGCGGTTGATTGTTTGGGGTATTTGAGATGTGGGATTGAGTTCTAGAGTTGAATTGATGGTGAGGTCTGGGTTGGGGTGGGACCAGGAACTCGGGCGGGTGGGTCTAGTGTTTATATCGTGGGGACGGGAGAGGACATGCCCTGATTTCCTCGATGACGTAGCTCGGGTTCTAACACGACGATGACGCCGCGACAGCGCAAACAACATCGCATGGCCGAAAAGCGGTGTAGATGGATTTTGATGACAGCTCGTGGACAGAGTACGCTTTTACGTCTGTTGATGTTTATTTCTGCTTTGTTTATTGATTTGTGGGTTCATTCAGGGTCTCACACCCCTGCGCCTTTCGTCCAGAGAGGAGCCGGACAACCCAGTATATCGTAACAATCTAGCTATACTAGCAGAACAAGATTGTTCCTGGATTTCCTTGATTCTTTCTAAAATTCTCGTTGTATAATAATTGGTGGATAATCATAGCCCCTCGAGCTTCGATGTTGCAGGATACCGGCTCCTACTTTTCATTCAGTAGCCGACTCTTCTATCTATACTTGTATCAGTTTATCCTCCAATTTGTCCACTTCATACTCTTTTTAACCATTCCAAATACCATCTAGCATTCATCGATCAGCCTATTCGAATGTCGTAAACCTCCTATGCGGCCGACCGATTCGCAGCACTATACTGTGACGAATATGGCCTCCTCTCTAAAGGCACTGGCGCCGGCATATGTCTCACACGCCCGCTCTTCCACCAATTCAGAGGAATCCACTCTTTCCACCCCCTTTTGTTTCCCTGTCCTGCATCCTTCCCACCCAGCCCCTTCTTTACCCCCCAAAGCATCCACCCTGCCATACCAGCCACCACGACTGGGGTCAGCATCCAGAAAACCACAACCAGTCTCCCAGCCCGTTCAACCCGACACTGATTCGATAGGCTATCGTGCATGAATCTCGATACATCTTTTACATTCTTTACCTCGCAGGCCCAGGTCTCGAGGTCGAAGGTGCTGGAGTCGTAAACCCCGGCGGGGAGAGTGGAGTTGTGATCAGTCATCAATTGAGCGGAGAATTCGTGGGTGGTTTGCAGCGCTATCATTGCTGCGAGGGCGAGAATAGCGTTGAGCAAGAGAGCGACGAAGGCGACGAGAGCTGTTGGTGGGGGGAGGGACTGGTCGGTGTCAGCAATGAGGAAGAAGCGAAGGGTTTACTCTGGTTTCGGCGTACTGCAATAGCATCGCGGATGTGCATGGCCATGTATGCGAGCGTGAGTGCACTAATAACGATCGAGGTTATCGCAGTCCCGATCACGAACTTGGTGGGTGTGCGGTAGAGATTCTCGGGGAGCACCCATATCTGGTGCATCTGGTTGCTGGTGACATTGTCGGAAAAGAAGGAAGTGCCGGATTCCTCTTTCATGAACGTGATGCTTGAGGTTTTAAGCACGACGGCAGCGACAGATAGGCCGATGAGGATGAGGGTGAAGAGTATGAAGGCGAATTTGCGGCCGTAGTTGGAAATCATCACTGCTACCACGGAAGGCTAGTCATGTAATGAGTATTAGAGTATCGGCTCTGCGTAGGAAATAGATGCTGAGATTCTAAGCTTGGCGATGAGACTTGGTATGCTGGGCATGGTTTCTAACATTATATTGTATGGAGATGAGAGGCGTAGAACTTAATATAGAAGTAGGCCATATGGCCAGCGTCCATAGTATCAAGATCGTAAGAGAGCTTCTTGTAGTCGAGTTTGGATTGGTAGTGGCCGAAGCATTTTGTTTGGGGCTTGGTGCTGTGCCGCATCCGCATTCACCATGAAACACAGCGCCTTTACTGATTCCGCGACGCAGCGCACGTCGAATTTGACGCATGAATATGGCTGCATACCGCCAGTGCGCAATGTTGAGGTGTATTGTGGCATCAAAAGAGGAACCTGCTTGGTGGTGCTCTCAGATGAGAGTGAAGTTCATTAAGTCGGCCTCGATTTCAGGCCACTCTTCGCCACCCATCAGACGAGAGATGGCAGCCGTTGCAATAAAGCGATAGTTCTCACCCTCCGGACGAAGTATGTATGGCATAGCCCCACCGCTGAGAAGCGCGATGATATCACCCGGTCTTATAGTATGGAACGCCATGCCGAGGAGCTCATTCGATGTTTTGAAAATTGCCAAGGAAATCAGCTTCTCAGTGGTAATGCAATGATAATCTCGCTCGGACAGTATCTTGAAGGAGTTGAGTTCTTTTGAGATCTTATATGCAGGGTCGCTAACCAAAGTATTCCTATCAAGGGCAGTCTTCGCGCGAAGAACGTTGTTCGGGTCGTATGCATGCTTTCTTTTCAACTCTTCTAATTGTTTCGTGCCTCCAGGAGATTGAGACATCAGGCAATTGAACTAAATAATTCTTTCGTCTAAGGCTTTTTCGTGCGGGTGTTTAGGAACGTTTATTTCATCGAGGATCTCAAATAAAGGATGACGCAGAACAGAGAATTCATCATCGTATACGTCGGGAGAAACAGCAAATCGAATCCATTCTTGCAGAACTGTGATGCAGTAAAGTGATGCTGGCGTAAATGGAGACCCGCCACCCTCAGCGCTGTGCTTAAGCATTGGAACTCCTCGATCCCTGATATTCCCGACAACTTTTCCGCGCAATGTAAGTGTTCTTCTATCATCCAAACGTCTCGCCTCGGGTGTGGACCACTTCGATGCTCGAGTGCGCAGACGCGGGAGACGCATGTAAGGGTCGTGTGCACTCCAATCTGGGACCCAAGAAGGCAAGTCGGCTAGTCGCATCTCGCTATCAACACTTTCGAGAATTTGTAGAGTTTCGGTCATCATGATGGCGCTGAAAGCTATCTCAGCGTAGATTCGACAGATAGAATCCGTGTAGTCAGGTAGAGGGACTGAAATGAATAGTCTCTGGAAGATACCGTAGAGTGCGAAGACCTTATCCTTAGAGTCTGTGGCTTTCAAGGAGACGGTAAAAGGAAGAAGAAGAAGTGGTTCGAGAGGAAGACTATATGGTGAACGCAATACTTCGGTGTCCTTAGAATGACGTAGCCAGGCCCAAAGCATCCGGTAGAAGAAAACGCCTTCATAGTAGCGGCCATCATGAATATGATCCAACGTTCGCATCTCCAGTAAGCTCAATGCGCCGTTACCGAATGCTCTCCAAGATATCTTCGTAGTGCAACATTGAACAGAACTTCGAGGAGATAGACAAAGCTCCTGCAGAGTCCACACGCGTTCAAAATACTCGTTTTTAATCAAGGCGCGTAGTCCATGTGTGTGGAGTTCTTCAGGAAGTTATTATCGATCTTCGAACTGAACAAAGAAGAGGGTACCTTCAGAATATCCAACAAGTGCTAATAGTTTAGGAATTAAATCTTGCTTGGTAGCCTGATATATACGGGATCTACTTATTGGTCCAAGGAGGCCAGGAATTCGCATACAACTTTTCGTGGAGCTGTTTCCATCCCCCATCCATGCCACAGTTTCGTGGGCCGTGGTATAAATTTCGCTCATCATGCGTACTTGGTTGCTCCGTTCATCAAGGGCTTCTACCGTTTGATCGATGCAAATAGCATCGATCCACCAAAGCTGTGGCATTTTCCGATGTCGAAGCCGAAGAAGAGCACCCTCGCAATTAGACGTGATTTGGAGACGCTTGCCATCACAGAGAATATGACACGCTGGGTCCCGAGGACCAAACGTAGGAAAGAGCGCGGTATTTCGGCGCGTCGTCGAGACTGACTTCTAGGAGTTTGCACTGGAGTTGGCTGCCTTGAGATGCGGGTTGAAGTTGCAGAATCCGAATATTCCGCTCCTCGGTGATCGGAGTATGGCGGTAGGTTCCAGTCATCATAATTCGATGATTCGAATAAAACATGATATGAACGACGCTATAGAGACCTGACGGTGGTTGATTCCATTCGCTCGTCGAGAGTCTCCGACAAGATGACTCAGCTGTTGCGACATAGCTCTCTAACCAGGCGCAGCACGCGGGATGTTGCCTGGGGGAGGGATGTAGCCGCCCTTGGCATGCAGTGTTGTGGACCAATAGCGGCAGCGAAAGGTTTCCCGAGCGGCAAGCATCTTCGGCAGCGGGATAAGCATGTTGATGATAGCTTGCTGCTACAGTTTACTCCGAAGTGTGCGTTCATGAAACTGTGTTGGTGTTAGAGTGTGGTGTGAAGAGTGCGTCGGCCCGCCCTGTCGGCACCAGCTCGTGTGTGGGGCTTCCCCCTATTCTACCCCGCGGTGGGGTAACAAACAGCTCTACACGGCATGACCACTTCTGGGGCTTTTTACTCCAGTCATGACTAACATTTGCAATGCCGCTCATTAGGAAAACCAACTTGCCTATAGAGATAAGGGTTAAGGACGTTAATGGTTGGGAAAACTATATAGCCATCAGATCAGTCTACTCGACTAGATTGTTTTCGCAGCCATGACAACCTACGACCTTAAGGATACCGAATTGCAGGCGTTGAATGGGCGAGTCATTCTGATCACGGGAGCTGCAACTGGAATTGGAAGAGCTACGGTGGAGCTTGCACACAGTACATTTCCACATGCTGCTGCGGTAAAACGAGATACTGATCCACACCGGCAGAGTATGGGGCAAAAATTGCAATTGGAGATTGGAACGAAACGGAAGGCGCGAAGATTGTGGCCGAATTAAAGGAGTATGTTTCTCTGAGCACCGCCATCGCTCCTAGCTAACAGGGTGGTATGCAGGCGCGTATTGTTCCGCAAATGCGACGTCACGAAGTGGTCAGACGTACTTGCTCTTTTCGAGGAGACCCGTAAGACTTTCGGCATCATCCATGCCGTTCTTTCCAACGCTGGTGTCAACAAAGAAGACCTCCTTCATGACCACTTTGATCCCCAGAGTGGAGAGCTGCTCGCCCCAGATCGTACACTCCTAGACATCAATCTAACAGGGATGCTCTATGTGGTAAAATGTGCGGTGCATTATTTCAGACAGTGGCCGGAAACACGAACTCAGATCGTGATGACTGGTTCCGCAGCCAGTTATATCGACACCCCTCCGCTCCACATATATTGTGCTTCAAAGGCCGGAGTGCTCGGATTAATGCGGTCGCTAAGGACACAGCTCGTCAAGGAAAATATCACCATCAACATGATCGCGCCGTGGATGACTAGTAAGCTTCACATCAAATCGAGCGGCTTCCTAGCTGACTGCTATACGTCTTAGTAACACCAATGATGATGAAAGAGCTACTTGATATATGGGGAGAGCTACCAGCCAATCAGCCTACTGGTGTTGGAAGAGCGATACTTCTGCCGTTAGTCCGTCCAGAAGTGAATGGGAAATCTTTCTTTGTTGCAGGCCACGAGATCGTGGAGTTTGAAGATAAGCTTCATGATACGCAGCCGCAGTGGATGGGTGAAGGCCTTAGCAAGTCTGTCGATGAAGGGCAACGGCGACTTATTCCATAATGGCTCAATCGTAAAATAGCTATGTACACTTCAATTTGCTGCCAAATTTGCTCCGCTTAGGTTCAATGGATTATGTCAATTCATTTTCCGCATGGTCCTTTCGCGTCTTTAGAAGAGTAGGAACGGGATAGGATCACAAAGCATTGTCAGAGGCTCAGCTTCGTATGATACATGTAAGGGCAGTGTCTGTTGTTATTCATGCCGGGCTGCTGATTACTTGGGATAGGTGGAAACTACTAATTCGCTAAGAATCGTAGGCATAGCGAGGAAATGAGACACAAGGTAACAGGCGAGCCGTGTTTCTGGGGGAAATGATATGCGAGTAGTACTAGTATCTGGTGTTTACGGCCTCAAGACAGTCCCGCTCAATCAACGCAGCGTGTTTCTCACTTCTGACCTTCACCTTCACAGCAAACGGCGCCGCATTCTTCGTTATTTGGGGAATCGTCATGGTGTCGATGGGGTGATCCTGCATGAAAGTCAATAGGACGGTTTTGGAGCTAGCTTTGGTGTTGTGCGGTACTGGGGGTTGGTGGCTAAATCGTACCTTGTCTTCTTCAAATTCAAAGCAATACAACAGCCGTGCAATTGCGATCCAAACGTTCATTTCGCCAACTTTCCAGCCGACGCATACTCGTCGACCAGGGCCGAATGCCCAGTGGCCTTTCAATGCGTTGTTGAGATGCTCGTCCATAAACCGCTCTGGCAAGAAGCGCTCCGGCTGCTCATATTCTTTCTCGCTGAGTGCTATAGCCCACGCATTCCAGGTGAAAATAGTCCCAGCGGGGAAACGATAGCCTTCATATTCGTCATCACGGATGAGCGACGTTGGTGCTCCAATCTCAGCAATATTCGGGCGCCAGCGAAAGCCCTCCTTCACAACGGCGGTAACATACGGAAGAGCATCCCGATCGTCCCATGCCGGGAGGCGTTCAGCGTTAACGCCGCAAATGGCATCTAGTTGAGCGCGCGCTTTCGCAGGCCAATCTGGGTATGTTGCTGCACCTGCGATGATCTGCCCGAGACTGACACGGGACGTATCTGAGCCAGCTTCCATGAGCGTCCCGAGAAGGAAGAGCTGCTGCGTTTCCGAGAATTTGGTCTCTCCTTCCTGCTGCTTCAAGAAATCTACAGCAAAGCATGGTTTTTGCGTCCCAGCTTTGATGCGAGCGTGAACCGCATCGAGCTCTCTCTTGTACACTTTTCTCGTCTTCTGAAAGATTTTCTCGCCTCGCGGGCGCCACCATTGCAGGTGTTTGGGGAGTTTGTCGAGGATATTGAATCCGTCCACGATATTCACACCCGGCTGCTGATTCTCCAAGAAGAGCTCAATTGTCTCGAAGAGCTCGCGGGTTTGCTCCGAGTCCAGATCCGTACGAGTCCCAAAAACGACAGACATGATAACCGAGTTTGAAAAACGGCCATTGGCGATATACCACTTGTCTGGGTGGTGGAGGTAATCGTAGAGCAGGTGGCGAGATTCGAGGTTTTGGTACGGCTTGAAGGTGTCCTGTGATCTACCCGCAAGGATGTTGTGCATGATTTTGCGGACCGCGCGCCATCGGTCGTTGTATGGCATGAGCACAATGCGCGAATCCCCTGACATGATACTCTGCGTCATGGGAAACGGGGGGCGGGAGCAGTAAATAGCAGCTCTGCGCTCCAAGAGATCATTAACCACGCGTGACGAGTTCAAAAAGACCCAGGTGTTGCCGCCGAAACTGCAAGTAAACATCTCTCCATATTTTTCAGCAAGTTCCTTTCCCCACGGCCCCTGCTGCACCAGAGGGACTTGAAACGTGTTGCCAAACACCGGGATTCCGGGGACACGAGGCGGCATCCTGTATTTGCGTGCCTTCAGCCGGGATTGGAGGGCGCCGTAAGCAAGGTAGAGAGTTGGAGTACCGAGAAAAAGCAAGAGAAAGAGAAAGGAGTCCATAGTGCAAGGCTGTAAGTGCGCATCACTGATGGCGGGTGCTATGGCTGCAGACCGCCTTTAAGAGGTCAGTGGTTATAGATATTCTAGCGGAGGCGGCGCCGAGACTCTTTGGGATTTTGTGAGGGTCTCGGAGAGTTTCTTTTCGTAGCCCCCGCCTTATTCTACCCCAATGTTTGCCTCAGTGAACTCCGACGTGAATTTTAGTGGTTCGCTACCACACCCGCTAACGATCCCGCTAAACCCCAAGGAGGACCATTGCTGCCCCATGGGGTGGGCTGCGGGGTCAGTCCCCCCTCATTCCGCGTAGCCTATGCTAACGATTAGATACTTCGAGTTCCAAGGACACTCGCGTTAAACGACGCACTGCAAAAGGTATAGCCAGATATATTGCTCACGGATTACCACAACTGGGGCTAGCTACTCGCAGTGCCACTTTGATACTCGTGAACGACGGCCCTCTGTGTGTTTAGCCTTCTCGCCCCCTCTCCAATCGTGGAATCCGGCCCGTCCTCTTAAATAAAACATGGAAATTTTACTCGCTCATCGCGACATAGGCACTATCAAAGGAATAAAATCAGCCGGCGTAGCCCACTTCTTGGGGGTCAAGTATGCGGCGCTTGCTGATCGCCTCGCTCCGCCAACTCTAGTGACCAGCTATGCGGCCGACTCAATCGACGCCACAGCATATGGGTGCGCTCCCAATCCTCTTGAGTGTCTCATGGCGGATTGACAGAGGAATCTAGTCCTAGTGCAGTGTCTCCACCGATAGGATGCGACATGGAGTTTGGCATTATCCAGCACACGTTGCCGAAACCTCAACCCCCGCCATCGTCAGCTATTGACTGCCTGAACCTAAACATCGCGGTACCGCTAGATAGCTCTGGTGGAATCGATACTGCAGGCAAACTACCTGTGTTTGTTTTCATCCACGGCGGTGGTTTTGCTACTGGGTCAAATTGGTGGCCGCAGTATGATGCCGCCGAGCTTGTGCGGCAGTCTAAGGCTATGGGGAGGCCGATTATCGGTATCAATATCAAGTAGGATCGCCGTACTATTGATCCAGATTTTCCCGCCTACATCTTTGCGAAGAGTGCCATTTGACTAGATATGCAGTTACCGTCTTGGTGCTCTCGGCTTCCTCACTTCGGAAGAGCTTCGTCAGGCTGGATATCCTGGGAACAACGGCCTCCGTGACCAACGGACTGCACTGCAGTGGATAAAAAAGTTCATCGGAGGGTACGGAGGGTCGCCAGATGAAGTGACAGTCGTTGGCCAAAGTGCCGGAGCTTGTAAGTTACCTTCTTTGCTACTCCAGAGTATGTAAAACACTGACCATCGTACTTTGCAAGTGTCCGCGACCATGCTCCTGCAGTCCAAGGAGCCTTTGATGAAGCGTAGTGCTGCGTTTGGAGGAACAGCCCTTCTGTTCAAACCTTTGCCACTGCCGGCCACCGAATTCGCGTATAACAGTGTTCTTCAAGCACTAGGACTCGTTGGCAAGTCGGCAAAGTCTCGTATCCAAGCTCTCTTGGAGATACCAGCCGACGAGCTGTGGCAGAAAATTCCCCCCACGATCCCGCTGATGCCCTTCATGGATGGCGATATTGTGACTGCGGAACCAACATTCGAGATGTTCAACGGTCCGCTTGATCGCACCGAGCTAGCCTTCCCAGGACTCAAATGGTGCGAGAGCATCATGGTGGGAGACTGTCAGTTTGATGTAACAAACCCTCCCCCTTCCTCTCCACTTCCACGCAACGAGATTAGACCTTCAGATCCTGTTTCAGGCAGTACTAACATGCAAGCAATTCAGGGAAATATCTTTGGCTACATCGGCCTCCACGATCGCAAGACCGGCATAGCTGCTCACTTTGTAAGGTCGGTCGAGGCGACGCTGACATCCAATCCGACAGCGGCATCCGCCATCCTAGAGGCATACCAAATAAGCTCAGATACGAGCGACGACGACGCACTGCATTCCATCTTGCAATTCGCAAGCGATATCACGTTCTACGCGCCAGCAATCACCATCGCCGCGACTTGGCCCCGTTCCGGGCATTCCAAAGCGTACCTGTTCCACTTCAACGAACCAAATCCGTGGGACGGCCTATACAAAGGCAAGGCATCGCATCTTCTGGATGTAGCATACCTTTTCCAAAACTACACCGAGCACCTGACCGACGCCCAGAAGGCGGTGGGTCGCGCTTTCAGTTCGGATTTCATCGAGTTTGTGAATGGGGGGGCGCCGTGGCAGCCCGTTTCAGCTGGAAGGATGTGTGCTAGGGTGTATGGCCCCAGCGATGCGAAGGAGGCTGTCAAGTTCGCCGGTTCGGGCGACGCAGCGGAGTCAGGGAGGAACAGGAAGATTCTCGAGCTTGGCGGTGCTCTCGGCTTTGATGCGCTTGGAGAGGTCTACACAAATTTCTTCCAGGGAAGGTAGACTCTTGTAGATAGTTCCATACAAATCTGGCTTTAGTCTCGGCAAAAGCTCCCTACCTTGTTCCCACCTCTTTTGTGGTTTGTCCTTTCAACCATTGCAATTCTAGAACTAGATGGTAAATTATGATTCGCAATCCCATTGCCTACGATGAGGTTTTAACACATGCTGGACTGGAAAACGGCGACGATTCGTACCATTTGCAGATCCATTCGCTCACGCGACGCTTCAAAGTACCGCAACTCCTCACTCACGGCTGTTAATGCGAAAAGAAGTTGACATCTGCCATATTTGGAAGACGAGGGATCATGATTCCACCGCAGCGGGAAGGATAGCCAGTCAAAAGAACAATACGAGATTGAGAAAAATGGTAAGCATGGTTGGCTAGATGGTTAGATACAAGGATCGGATCTGTGTCAGGATTTTAGATTCACACGAAAACGGTATGCACAGCTCCGCGGACATTCGATAACCGATGAACAAAAAAATTCTTGAACAAAACTGATCACCATAGGCATTTTTACTATTCAGAGCTTAATTCCATGTTTGGCCGCCTCGGCGAACGTGTCTCGGATAACCCTGGCGCGCTCAGGGGAGCGCGCGGTGATTTGACACTCAAACGGCTCCGGAACACTAAGGAAGCCTCTGACCATCCTCGTGGTGGGCTCTACGAATCCGCCATGCGAGCCCCGTTTCTTGCCTATGTTGAATCCCCACAGGGTGCGCACCATGTTGATGTAGAGAGAGCGCTCGGCGACATGCACACCGGGACATATCCTTCTTCCCGCGCCGTACGTGAAGTGGTCTCGCTCGAGCGGGCTCTGCGCGTTGATGTAATCGGCCGTAGGTAGGGGCTTGTCAAGGAAGCGGGCTGGATCGAACTGTTCTGGGTTTGGGTAGAGCTCCGGATTCATGTGGATTGCCCTATATCGTGAGTTAGTCATATACCTCTACTGACAGCCCCTGGCGGGGAATACTTACCACCAATTCAAAATCGCTACGGAACCCTTGGGGATAAAGTGGCCCTCATACCAGTCGTCCTCAGTGGTTGCATGCATCATGCCGAATTTGTTGACAGGGCGCCAACGTAGGATTTCTTTGACCATACCTCTTACATACGGGAGCTGCTGCTCATCGTTCCAGTCCGGGAGTCGATCTGAACCCACGACACGATCGATCTCCTCCTGGGCTTTCTTGGCCGTCTCCGGGAAAAGGACCATGGCTAGGACCCAGTTGTTCAGAGTTGTCGCTGTTGTCTCCGAGCCGGCTTCTACGAGGCCTCCGCATGTGTAGGCTGCGAGCAAATCGTCGATGCCACTCTTCTTAGGGTCGTCAAGGTAGAACTGCTTGCAGAAACAGTTTGCGGCGGTGCCCTTGTCCACCTCGGTTTTCAGGCGCTCCCACAGGTCTAGATACACGGCACTATCGTACTTGAATACGCCCTGAGCGTAGCTACGCCAGTTTCCAAGCATCCGCTGTGGCAAGTAGGCCAAGGAAGGGAAGCTGTCCACTGCATGTGCGCCTGGTGCTGTCATCTCGGTCAAATTGTCGAGGACAGTATAGATTTTCTTGATCAGGGGATCATTCCATGATGGGATCCGATACCCATAGGCCACCAACATGATGACAGAGGCAGAGTAGCGCCGATTTATGGAGTAGAACTGGTCAGGCTCGTTCAGAAGATCCTGCAGAACTTGCTTTGACTCAAAGTCCTGCACGGGCTGGTACTTCACGGCGGAGGTTTTATTAAGAAGCGCATGGCTATGTTTACGGATCTGTCGCCATTGAGGCCCATACGGCATGAAGAGCTGTCGACAAAACCCACTGGCGACGTCTTGGGCCAAGGGAAGGGGCGGCCTTGACGAGTAGATGGCAGATTTCTTGTCCATTAAATCTTTGACGGCCTTGGGCGACGAAAGCCACACATAGTCGCTTCCGCCTATCTTGGTGTAGAACACATCGCCGAATCGTCGGTGCCATTCGACTGCTTTGACTCTGACCAGTTCAGAATCAGCCAGGTCAAAAAGGTTACCAACAAAAGGCAATCCTTTTGGGCCGGGTGGAAGGTGTCGCCTTCGCGAATCCTAGTTTAAAAGCCGCGTTAGACGTGTCTTGACGCTGTCGACACTAGACTTGCGCGTACCTTGATTACATTGGGAACGGCAAAGAAATATACAGCAACGAAGAGCAAAATAGGTCCAATAACGAACAAAATCGAAAGGGGTATGTTGGGCATTAAGCCACTAGTAGGAAGCGCTGCGAATGTCATCTCTGCGTTAAACGGTCAGCACGGGCTCCGGGAGGAAAAAGGGATAATGAGGCACATAGCAAGGGATTGATGCTTATACGTACGTAAGCCCCCAACGAATGGAGCAGAAAGTAGCAAGTGGGATGCGCCAGTGCCGGAGTGCCCCTCAGTGGTGGGGAGACCCCTCGCAGCTGAAGTCGCATACCCCATGGTCACGCTGAGTGGGACATGCAACGGACGGGAAGAACTCTTCTCGTCACCAGTGACCTTCACACTCCCATCACCGCCGACAACGTGCCCTAAACGCCATTGCAGAGCTGCTTAAGTCTGGTATGTCCCATCTGAGGCAGATGCAGCCTTGCGCATCTTGCGATTCACTGACCCCTCACATCCCAGAGGTTTAGAATTCTCCACCCATTCCCGAAACAATGGCATCTCCTAAAGAAGTCGCCGACGCGCACAAGACGATATTTGAAGAGGGCATTAAGATGCGATATGCCGTCGCCGGAAAGGAGTACGTCGACAAGGCGCTTGCGAATGGCTCATCCGAATTCGCCAGGCCGATGCAGGAGCTGGTCACAGAAGCATGCTGGGGTTCTGTTTGGAGCCGGCCAGGGCTAGAGCGGAAGCAGCGAAGCCTGCTGAACATTGCAATGCTGTGCGCCCTGAATCGCTCCGCCGAGCTCGCAGTGCACGTCAAAGGCGCTGTGAATAATGGCGCATCCGAAGTGGAGATCAGAGAGACATTGTTGCAGGCGGCAATTTATTGCGGAATGCCCGCTGGAATTGAGGGCTTCAAGGTGGCAGAGAAGACGATAAACGAGATGAAGAGCGCGAAGTAACCGGTGTTGATGGCGGAAAGCTTCGATGAAAAGAAATAGCAGCGCTCCAGACCATTGGACTCTACAAGCATATAGAAGAACCGTCAACTATCAAGTCCAAAACTAGCAATGTTCGTCGATTGAATCGTGACTCCGCAAGTTGGTGCGCATCCTGGTTTTCAATGTAGCCTTGATCAATTCTACTGTGCTGATTTGAGGAAAGGGACCCTCCAGTCACGATAGCATCACGGAGAGAGTTTACGAATAGAACATTTCAATTTAAGTCTTCCATCGTGAAAGCCTTTTTTTGTTGTCTAATCAGTGACCCCCACAGCCGCTGCCAACCCCGAAGAAGAGAATCCGTGGCCGCCCACCGCTGCGTCCTTTGCTCCTGTTGCGTTGCTGTAATGCTTTGCAAAGTCGTATTTCAGAAAGTTGATGCCCTAGAATGGTTCGAACTTAGTCAGTATGGCACTCCGTTTGCAGTCTATGTTGCTTTCTCTGATGCACTCACAGTTTGGAATTCCTTCGAGAACTCCACGTCTGTTGCTGTCCTTTGGCAAAGCTTCAGAAATTCGTCCGTCTCAAGAGCCTTTTCGGGGTCCTGTGCAAATAGACGACGGATGTTCTCACTGGAGAGGGGGTCGATGATATTGGTATACTTCTCCCTTCGGACATCGCTGTAGATGTCGAGAATGTCTGGGGTAGCCACTCCGTCGTAGATGCCCACAAGGCAGTCATAAAGTCCGCCCACATCAACTATACCACCGGTAAGGCCTAGACCGCCGCTATTGCCAGTGTGTTAGCATTCGGCTGACTGCTGTATGCTGAAAGGGGAAGTGTATGTCGCGGGAGACTTACAAAGGGTTGCAAAGATGTGCAGAGTCTGCTGCCAATAGGAAACGGCCAACTCTCATCTTCTCGGCCAGCCGCTGGTGTATCTTATACGGACTGATGCTGGCAATCTTATAATCACTCGGCTCCGGATTTCCAGGCAGCATTGTCTTGAACTTCATGGGTTGGCGGGCAACCAGCTCCTCCGGCGACAACCCGGGCAGTTCGCCATAGCTGACTCGCCATAGACCATCATTCGAGATACGCGACGCCATGTACCAGTGCTCTGGGTGAATGATGAAATTGGCGTCCTCGTAACCGAACTTTGTGAAGTCGTAGTACGTCTAGCCAGTGGCATGATTAGCCGGACAGTTGGATGCACCAGAAGAAGTGCACCGGCCCTTACATTCGTTGCTACAATCTGCTCATCCCATGTCCGCCCGGGGAAGTTCTTATCACCAAAAAGCGACCGGCGGATCTGGCTGTTTGCTCCGTCGCAGCCGATGATATAGTCTGCCTCCATTCTCGACTCCCCGTCCGGTGACAGGACGTCCACCCAGGCCTTGTCGTCGTCCTGGCCAATAGCAATGACGTTGTGCTTGAAAAGAATCTTCGCCGTGGGCTCTTTCGTCACATGCTCGTACAAGATGGCCCCTAGCTTGTTCAGGGGAAGGCATACCATTCGGTCCGGGTCGCCGTCCAGGACACTCCCGTCGATGCCCGCCAGCATAGTGCCGTCTATCTTTCGCCAGCAGACGACGCGCGGAACGAAGCCTTTGGCGCGGACCTCATCGCCAACGCCAGCGCGGTTGAGCTCGTACATGGCCGGCGGGCCGTAGTGAGTGGCGCGCGGCTTCTCGTCCAGCTTGTCGGCCATTTCAAGCATTGTCACGGGAATCCCCCGTTTAGCTAGGAGAAGACTCAGGAGCAGTCCCGCGGGGCCGACGCCTACGACGATGACCTGGAATAGCCCGTCAATCTGAGGCACGACACTGATCGGGCGATGGGCAGGGATGGGTGCTCGTTACCTTCGAAAAGCCGGCAGTGTTATTTGAAACAGCCATAATTGCGCTAGAATGAGGAGTAAGGCAATGTCCGTACCGGCCACGCAACAGTCGGAGAGAGCAGCATCTTTATCGACTGCGCCACAGCGAAGCAGAGCAGACGGGGCCACAGGAGGGGCAAGCAGTGCGGGGCCAGCGCGGGACGCTTCCCCAGGCCAGCGAGGGGCGAGACGCCATGATGTTAGTAGCTCTCTGTGGTGCCCCATCTTTGTGGCTGCTCCGCTGTGAGAGCTCGGCATGCAGGAAGCGAATATGTACCTTTGTATTGTAAGTGGTGTTGGTGAGGAAGCTACCTCCTAGCTGAGATACAGCTGCTGAGTAATCGGCTACTCAGCAAGGGGCCGGCCAACACCGCCATGGAGACACGGGGCTGCATCGATTAGCACGTAGCCGGGGAATACCACATTTCACTTGCGCACAGTGACACGAGCTTGTATGTTTGTGCTAGAGCTATGCAATACAGGACTTCATATACCGCCCTACCCAGCTACTGTTGTCCACTCCCTCCAAACGCTTTCCCTGTAGCCCAGTCCTCATCGCCGCCAATGTATCTAAACACGACTCGCGAGTCGAGATCGCGGCAGCGCTCGTCGTTCATCGCCGCCGTATACGTCTCCAGCCCCGCCTCTCCCAGCGTCAGCGTCGCGCCGACGCGCTTCGCCGAGTCCACAGCCAGCATAAAGTCCTTCCGCATTAGCTGGACCTTGAAGCCGCCCGCGTAGCCCTTGCTCGCCGGCGCCTCCGGGCAGATGCCCGGCACAGGGTTCCACTTGTCGCAGATGGTGCTCTGCGCCGTGCTAGTGTGGAAGATGTCGGCCAGCACGCGCGGGCTCATGCCCGACTTGATGCCCATGTTCATTGCTTCTGCCGTCGCGATGGCAATCAAACCGGAGCAGTAGTTGTTGCACAACTTCGCCGTGAGGCCGAGGGACTGGCCACCGCACGCGAAGACGGACGTGCCCATCATGGCTAGCAGGTGCTGGATGCCCGCGAAACGGACGTCATCGGGGGCACAGCCGACCATGAATGTGAGAGTGGCGTTTTGGGCGCCCAGATTCCCTCCTGAGACAGGGGCGTCGTAGAATGCGATGGACGCGTCCTTTTCCCTGATGCTTGATGCCACGGCTAGCGAGGTGGCCGTGTCGATGGTGGAGCAGTCAATGAGCAGCTTGCCGTTAATGTTGGCGGAGAGAATGCCCGTGTCGGGCGTGAGGTATACCGAGCGCACATGTGAGCCTTCTGGCAGCATGGTTAAGATGATGTCCTGTGGCGTGGTCTCGTGTTAGCCGTTGGTGCGTCTTTTAACTTGGAGACGGGAGAAACTGTACAGCTTTTTCTGCTACACCCTTTGCGCTTCCACAAGCTTCGACTTTGCCGTTGCTCTGTGAAGACAACATGTGCATCGGTTGGGTCACTACATCAAACACGTACACATTTACCGACTGCGGGAGCTTCTTGACCAGGTTCTCAACCATGGGATATCCCATGACGCCGAGCCCGACGAAACCAATGCTCTTGTTTGTGAAATCCATGATGTAGCAACCAGACGGGCAGGGAAATTCTTGCTACGAACAAAAAAGATTCGAATGCCGTAGCTGGGGAATTAGTAGAGCTGGGAATTAGTAGGTGCCGCTGGGGAGCCTTGCTGGCTTTAGCGGGTCGGCGATTGAAGAGGTGGGGTTGAACTAAGGGACTACATGGACATACCGTAGAGTAGGCCACAGGGAGCCTCGACGTGGGGCAAAACTTCAGCGACGCGTGGACCGGTCACCAGCACGCGCAAAAACAAAAATGAGGCCTACACTTGACAACTATTGCAAGACGAAGTTCGCAGCTACCAGTGGTGTCATATAGAAGTACCTCTCTCTACGGCAGCGTATTTGGGAAGAAGTACGTCTGATTCGCCTTATGCCAATGCTCGTCGTGAGCGGCAACTACATGAATGCCACCCAACTGCTGCAGCATGCGCAACCTCGCAATCGACTCCCTCGCACCCTCCGGATCCAAGTGGATGCACAGACTGTGCCCGTCCTCATCAGCCCAAAACCCTAAATCCCTTTCCCCGCTCAGCAGGCGCGGGTCGTGGAACGCATCGCCACATAGACAAACCCACTTTGTCGGCCCGGTCCGGCACAGTAGATTCACATGGCCTGGCAGGTGGCCGGGACAATCGAGCACGTAGACGGAGCCGTCCCCTAGCAGGTCGATCGCCGCAGGGAGCGGTCCCAGCGCGTCCCATTTCCACCTCTGCTCTGGTGCTACACTGGTGCTGCCCACCGGCGGCAGCTCGACGGTACGCTCTTTGGGCAAGACATGTGGGTCAAAGTGCTGGTGTGTGCCTTTGCTCGGGAGACCGTGGGCTGTAATGTCCCACGCGCCGTGGCCCACAATCACTTCGGATGTGGGAAAGTCCTCCAGGTCGCCATGGTGGTCATAATGCATGTGGCTGATGACAATGGCGTCGATTTCCGTCGCCGCGATGCCTCCATCGGCCAGCTGTCTTGCTACGCTCGGCCCGAGCTGATAGGGCTGTCGGTTCCGTAAGTGGGCTTGCTGCATAGGCGTGTATCGATTGAGGTCGGAGCGAAGGCCCAAGTCAAACATCAGGTAGAATGGCTTGCTGCTCCCATCCGCCAGGCCTGGGTGCGTGATTAGGAATGCCATGGAGGGCACTGTCCTCACCGCTCCGGAGTCGGCCGGTGAGACGAAGGATCTTTCAGGGAGGGTAATGAAGCCGCTTGTTAGCGGAGATATGGTGACGAACTTCTGGCCACGCGGGCAGGCGGGCAGCGCAGGTGCGGAGGAGCTGTTCATGGCAAAGGCGGCCGTGGAGGCTGGCCTCGCCGGAGAGTGAGGCGCAATGTTGAATACAGAGGTGGAGAGATGGGGAAGAGGCGAGCAGCATCGCCATAGATAGCATGAAACATGTTATGGACAGTGGGTTATTGCAAGAGCAGAAATGCTTGTTGTTTCCCACAGAAAACGGGCGCATGTGGGGTAGCTAGAGGGATTGGACGGGTGAGCTGAAGTCCCCACATACTGGCAGCCCCAGCGCCCCTGACACGGGCCCATGCGAGCAGACAGCAGCAGGAGGAGGGGCGGAGCGGAGAGTTGACATAACGTGGAGGAGGGAAGCTATATGAGCAAGCGCTGCACTAGAACGCGGCCGGCAACGTCAGAAGCCTGACTCCCGACTGCACCATCCATGCCAGCCCCGCCCCCGGGATGCCGGAACCCTCCGCAGTGCCGACAATGGCGCCCTTCGTCACTCGGCCGACAGGAGAAGCCGCGCTAGCTAACGACCACAGCGGTTGCCATGACTGCGACCACGACGACCACGTCGACGACCACGCACACCTGCGTAGCTGCATCCAGAACGATGGTATCGAGGAGAAGAATCAGGACGTCCACGCCGACGCCACCTCGGCCGGCACGGCCAAGCGGGCGGCGAAGCGGAAACCTGCAGACGGCCGGCGTGCGCGCGTCAAGAAAGCCTGCGAGAGATGTCGCATCAAGCGCACACGCTGCGACGGCGAGCTGCCTAGCTGCGCCCGCTGTCTCTCGTCGGGCCGCACGTGCCAGTACCCGCCGTGCGGCGCTCCAAGGTGCAGCGGCAGCGTGAAAGCCGTGCTGGCCCACCTCATCGCCAGGGACCAGCTTGCAGCTCGTTTGCGGCCCGAGCCGCAGCCCGAGAAGGTTGGCCAGCCGCCGGCGCTGCCACCGGATGCCTGGGGCCTCATCGACACCTACTTTGCATACACCCAAAGCTGGCTACCCATCCTCAGCCGGGTTGACGTCTACCGCGCGGCGCACACCTACTCGGCGAGCGGCATCAACGATGCGGGCACCTCGCGTAGTCCTGGAGCAACTGCCGCGCTATGGGCCGTTCTCGCTCTGGCATCGAGCCAGAGCACAACGTCTTCATGCGACCGAGACCACTTCTACCGCGTGGCAAGAGGCCTGGTACCCGACGAGGTGGAGAGCTGCGAGCTGGGACACGCCCAGGCGCTGCTCCTGCTGAGCCTCGTCAGGTTCAGCGCGGGCTTCTGGGCCACGGCCTCACTCTTGGTCGGGCAGGCCATCCAAATCGCGTACCACATCGGGCTGCACCAAGTGCGCCGCCCCCTTGATAGCCAGGCAGCACCACACGCTCCCTGTCCCAAGGGGAAGCACATCCTGCTAGGATGCTTCATTCTCGACACCTTGTACTCGGCCAGGCTTGGCCGTCCGCCGCAGCTGCGGAAAGAGTTCGTTCGCGGCCTGGACCGTCTAGACGAAGACATGCTGGAGGAGTGGGACGTGTGGGCTGCTCCTCCCCACCTGTCCAACGCCGCGAGACGGCAGCCCCTGAGATGGAACAGCACTTTCACGGAGCTGGGGAAGATCCACGTGTTTCTCAACGACGTTATATGCAGCGGTATCCAGCAGGAACACGCATCTGAGCTCTACGCTGAATTCTCCGACCGCCTGGTGAAGCTGAGCCGGGAGCTTCCCGGCCATTGTCAACTCAACATGTCGCGCGAGGAACCACAACTCGCCAACAACATCCATCAGCTGCAGGTATACAATCTGCACTTCGCCTTAGCCGCCGCGGCCATGGTTCTCCAGCTATACTTGCCCCGCCCCGAGAGCGCCGCCAACGTGGCCACCAGCCTTGGAATGGGTCCCAACCTGTCATCTCACGTCCTCGGCCTCCTTCGCCGCTACTCAGCCACATTCGGGCTGGGCCATCTCCCGCCGCATCTCGACTTCACCGTCGCGCTGGCGACAGGGCTCTCGCCGCGGCCGCCTCCCCCCACCGACGACGACTGGAGCGCCGACACGAGAATGGACACCCGCCAAGAAGCCCATACCGCGCCAATCCGCTACCAGCGGGTGCAGTTGGACGCCATGGACACTGGCCTGCTCGCCTCGCCCGCGTCCCTCACGACAGCGACGCCAGAAGCGGCATCGAGCCCAGCGACCAGCCTCGACGGCGCGTCTCACGCGGCTGCACTGAGCTTCCCCACGCCCAGCTCCTCGATCTGCAGCGGGGGCACCGCGGCGAACGCAGATACCGTGGCCCTGGGTTTCGTAGAGCAGGCCATGCCAGGCCCCGACGAGCTATCGGACTGTGCCAAGTCGCCAGACACGCCGGGCATGCTGTCGGCCGGGAGTGTGGTGGTACCCGCGGCGTTCAGCGCACGGGCGGAGTCGGAGGCGCCGTTCGAGTTTATCGACTGGCCGAGCGAGAGACTCGCGTTCGCGCGGTAGCGGAATACCCGTGTGGCGCGCGCGCCTGGAGTTTTTTGCGCACCTTGGGGTGGGATTAATAGTCATAGGTGTCGTGTTGCTGTGTTTTGTATCGAGACGGCGTCACGGATGTTGCTGGAATGGCACACGATAGATTTTCCAAAATCATCGATATGTAACTAGTTAACAAGATTATCTGATTTCAGCATAGCTATCCCCGGACTCGCACGGGGTTCAGGGTTTAGTACCATCAAAGGCGCGAGACAGCCGAGGGCCTACAGTTGTCGACAACAAACGGGACAAAGTACCTCCTAGCAACGGCTAATAAGTCACGGCCTGGATATAAAACCGTAGAGTAATGTAACAGCTGCCAGCGAATCCCGATACCGCTAATTCAGAGGCGGTTAACAAAAACCTTCAACACCCCCGGTCCGTAAAAGGGACACAAGGGAAGCGAGAAGCAACAGTCGCATTGCTTGGGGGCCGCGATTCCATCCGCGACAAGTCCGCTGGGCAGGTCCTGGAGATACCCCACCCCACCCCACCCCTCAAAGTGACCCCGCAAACCCCGCATCTCCACGATTTGCGTGGCCCCCGCATGCAAAAACCACCCCACCTCCCCACCTCCCACGGTGCCACAAGCCGCCATACCGTTCACGGACGCTCGAGTCCTGGGGGTCGCAGACCTCCAAACAGCTTGGAGCACAACCGGACGAAGTAGCGTAGCACGACGCGCAGCCCGAGAAAACAGCACAGCGGCACCTCGCCCCGGGGGAGAGGGGGGGTGGTACACGCGAGGAAGCGTACCAAGCCAGGAGGGGGTGTGGTGTACGCAGGGTGGCGGGCGTCCTTAACACGGCCGCCAACTGCAGTTTTGCGGCCGGTTAGTCCCCAGGAATCGGCCGCGCATCTAACCTCAGCAATCGCCATCAATCTGTGTATTTTCAGTTCCAATCCGCAAGGGTTGTCGAGTCCCCTCCCCCCAACTACCGCAGCCAGCTAGCAGCAATGCAGACAGCCGACAGTGCCGGCAACACGTTCGTTGAGCACCCAAACGGGCAGCGGACACACATCGTCGTCGACGACGACGACCGTGCCGGGCCTGGAGCCAGGGAGACGGTTCTCATCCAGCACGGCTTCTGCCGCACCGCGGCGCACTGGCAGCACTGGGCCGCCGCGCTCGTCGCGCGCGGGTTCCGCGTCGTGCGGCGCGACCTACGCGGCCACGGCCTGTCCAGCTACCCGCTGGCGGACGCGGACGATGGCTACGACTACTCGCTCGACACGCTGCTGCTCGAGATGGTGCAAACGCTCGACGCGCTGGGCGTCGCCCGGTGCCACTTCATCGGCGAGTCGACGAGCGGCATGCTCGGCGAGGCCTTCGCCGCCCGGCACCCGCAGCGGCTGCTCTCGCTGACCGTCATCGCGGCGCCGACGCACCTGCCGCCGCCGGCGCTGGAGCTCTTCGCCTTCGGCCACACCAGCTGGCCCGCGGCGTGTCGCGCGATGGGTGCTCGCGGGTGGGCCGAGGCGCTGGCGAGCCTCTCGGGGACGGTCGCGAGTCCGGATCCGGCGGCTCTCAAGGCGTGGCTCGACCTGGTGGCCGTGTCGAGCAGCGAGGGCCTCGCGGGCTACGCGCAGTTCCTCAGCACGCTGGACGCGCGGCCGTACCTGAAGGACATCGACGTGCCGATGCTGATCCTGGCGCCGGCGAACAGCGCCGCGACGACGCTGCCCGAACAGCGGGCGTTGGCTGAGCAGGTTGCCGGTGCCAGGCTGGAGGTGGTCAATGGCCGCGGGCATGAGATCTACGTGGAGATGGCCGAGGACTGTCAGAGGCTGTTTTTCGATTTCGTCGACGGGTTGGGCGGGCTAGGTGTCGGCAAGGTCCAATGAAAGTAGTTGCGTGTCGTGCTCACCCGCGTGGTACATTCACCGTCCATGTCATCACCGTTGATCTGTGTTTCGTCTAGTAGTGTCTCCGTTGCCTTGATTCGTGTGCTCTACCGCAACTAGCGGACTAACGCTCCCAAAATGCGTCTTATAAACGCACGGCACCATGGTTCGAACGGCTGTCCAGCGGATCCATCGGATCAAAGGTCGGCGGTTCACAGGGCCTGGACGAACATCAGCCCCTGGGCATCCACGGCCGCAATCGTGTTGGCGATGCGCTGGACAGAGCCGTTCATGAGCCGCGGGCCTGGCTACGATAGTCCTTCTCGAATTGATTTGCAAGTTCTTGCAGCACCGAGCCCATCCTGGGCGTGACGCCCCACACCCACACGTCGTCTAGAGCTAGTTAGAATGCAAGTGCAAGTACCCGCGACCGCCCGCAGCTAAACATGTGACTTACCAAGAAGGCTGGCCCACGTCGTTGCGACCGCCGCGGCCAGCGACGTGTCCCCGGAATAATCGCTCTCGACCTCTGCGAGGAGCTCTTTGACCTGTTCCAGAATCTTGCGCTCCTCTTCGTCAGGAGCCTGCGCAGCCGACGATTTTTCCACCGTGTGGATCCATTTCGTGAGGAACAGTGCTATGGTAGAGGGTTACTCGACGGTTGCAGGAGGAATACGCATTCAAAGGGCCTGTACTTACCACTATCCCAGCCCGCGACGGCGTGCTCGACGCTCCAATTGAACGCGGCCGTCTTCCTAACCAGCATCAAGCCAATCTTCACCGGCGCAAGTAAGCCTTCGAACGCCTTGGCAACGGCCTTGGTGTGGTGATGGCTACGCTGCTGCTTTGCAGAAACGTACACGGCCAACGCTTGCTTGACTTCCTGGGGATTGTCCGCGAGCAGCACCATGCGGTTGAAAGCCGCGAAATCAGTAAAGGTTCGATTGTACGCGATCCGCAGCAGCGCTCTGCAGTTGAACATGAGCGGGCCTTCGCTTTCGCTCCACGTGGAACCGGGGTCCTCGGCGTGGCCCTGGGTGAGCGCGCGGTGGCACCTTGCGAGCGCCGTCGATGCTGCCGACAGCAGTATAGCCTGGAGCGACCCGTCCGGACCCACTTCTGACGCGTCCTGGCTAAATGACTGTGTGAACTGCGGTAGAGTCCACATGTGCACGTTTACCGCGTGCATGAGGACAACGGTCGTGAATCCAGAAATGTAGAGCGGTCTGGCGTTGGCGCTGTCTTCCTTTCTAGCGAGGATCAGTGTCGCCATAGCCTCGCGTATGGTTTTGATTGGGCTCGAAACTTGAGAGGCTCTCAGACTGGTCCACTGTTCGGTCGAAAGAGCATTCCAGAGCTTCTCTTCGCATGGCATCTCGATGACGAGGTCGTGGGTCGTCGTAAACCCAGGTGTCACGCCGTACGTTATGGAAATCATGTCGCTGAGGATGAAGAAGGAGCAGAGAACCCTTATCTCGTTAGAACAGCCACGTAATGCCAAGGGTAAACCGAATATGACTTCTGGGATGGACTAGGGAGCTGGGTGATGAATTCAGAAAAGGGCTCACGGTACCTTACCTTTTACTCGACTCCTTGGAGATCCATTCCTCCCAGGTCAAATCCTCATCCCGTCTCGTATCCGCGAGCAGCGCCGTCCTCCGCGCCGAGTAATCCATCATGAAAAACCCCAGCTTCGAGATCCCCGCCCTCGCAACAGCCGGCTTCCCGCCAAACATGCCGAATATGCTCAACAGGATGCGTGTCTGCGCAATCCACAACGGACTCGGAGCCAACGATGCGCCGAGCGTTTTCGGGATCGAAGATACTTCCAGCATCTGCGTGGCGAGCTGGAACAGGCTATTAGACCACTTCCGATCGAGTCGGTAGAGCGCCCCTATGGCGCATACGGCGAATGTTAAAGGGCTCGGCGTGGTATGCAGGTCAAAGGAAGCGAAGTGGATGATGGGGAGGTGGCGGTGGAAGCAATTTATGTAACTCATGACAAATCTTTGCATGTCCTTGGCACTTGGAAGGGGCGTTTCACTGCCTTCGCTTGTGTTAAGTCGGCTCTGCATGTCTCTACGCATCTCTTGGTACGCTACGTCGTTGACGCTCTGTTTTGGCAAATGGACGGCGCTGTCCCATAATATATGAGGCAAACTAGCAAATTGATCGCTGGTGTGTTCGTTTGCGAACCCGAGAGGGTATCGCTGTACGTCTGGCTTCCTACTTTCGGCGGGCTGGTTAGCTGCGGACGAGTACTCGGAACCGGACGCCCCAAGGTGTGACGGGCGGAAAGCCTGCTGCGGCAGCTTGTTATGCGCCGTCTGCTCGTCCTCTGGGCTGAATGCGACGTTGGTCATGAAGGCCAGGTCTTGAAAGACGTTGAAATCTCCTCCGGTGCCCAGGTCCATGTTGGCCCACAAGTCAAACGGCTGCGGCGGGCTGATGTCCTGCTGCTCGACCATGTCCCCAGGCGGCTGCTGCTGTTGCTGTTGCTGTAACGGAGATACTAGGGCGTCTTGGTCGGGCATGTTGCCGGGCATGATGGACTGGAACTGGGCCAAGTTGTCTGGCGTGCAGTTGGTGGGCCGTGCGTCTTGGAACGAGTCGAGGTCCGTGTCCAGAGCCCCGTCGATGGAGAAGTCCAAGCCAGAGCCGAGATCGAAGTAGGCATCCGCCTGTCGGTTAGGCTGTGTAGGGGACGCCGTGCTTCCTGATGCATGCGAAGTGCTTGGAGTGAGCTCCGGCTGGTCGTGGCGGTCGTTTGCTGGCTCCATGGCTGTACCCGATGGATTTGCCGGGGGATGAAGCCGGCCGAGCTTTGAGCGGCCCATGGCCACTTCGCCGCCCGCTTCGGTAGGCTGGCAAAATGATGCCAGCTCCGCCGCGTGTCGCATGGAGTTGGGATGCGGGTTCATCCCCCCAGACAGAGGGGCGTCCTCCGGGGGCTGGTCCGAGAGCGCAGGCAGACGGCCGACATTGATGGCAACGTCGCTGCTATCGAGCTGCGGTCGTTGCCCGGCGGGCGGAGCGGCCGCGGTGTCGAGCGGGTGGATGGACCTTTCGTGCCTCTGGACAAGGTCTCTACGGACGGCGTGGTCAGTGTTTGCGCGGCCGCAGCGTAGAGCGGAGGGGAGACTTGCTTGCGGCCGTAGCGACGCGTGCAGAAGCGGCAGGCAAACGGCTTCTCTTGAGTGTCTGCACCAGAAGTCAGGCCCGGCCTTGAGCGACGGAGAGGCCAGCGGGAAGTGCAACTTACGAACTCGCTCGTGGCGGGCACAGTGCTCGCTCCGCTTGAACTCACGGTGGCAGCTACGGCATTTGTGGACTTTTCTGGGCCGGCCGGTCTTGGTTGTGGAGGTGGAGATGTCAGGCGGTCGAGATAGCAGGTCGATGAGAGACATTGGACGCGTGCACGGTGGGGGAGGGATAGTATCAAGAGAGCGCAGAAGATGGGTTGTGGGGTAAAGCCAGTGGAGGCCCGTGGGGAACTGCATGGCTAGCGGGTGGCGAGGAATTCCAGGGTTACCGTACAACCTGGTTAGTGATACGGGTGGCCGGGGGTATTATGACCGTATAGAAAAAGTCACTTTACGCTGGGTCACGTGCCGCCGATTTGTAAGCCAGCCTGTCCCAAGACAGCTCAATATAGGGTGGTTGGAGAAGCCACAGACCACTCTCCCATATAAAGTCTAGCCTGATTAGTATGATATCGTATAAGAGACATTCAGTTATGCTGTATTAAGCAGAGAGCTAGTACTATACACCGCTATTATAAGCAGGGTTTTTGTGCCTCGGCAAACCCTGGAACTCGGCCGTGATTTTCAGTGGTCCGCTAACACCCGCTAACAGCCCGACTAGCCCCAAGCAGAACCAACGAAAATCACTAAATTCAGTCCAGCTGTCTCACGCTCCTTGCTATGAGACAACAAGGAAAACCCTATCAAAGTGGACGAGTTCTTTTATTTACCCATACTAGTGTCGCAGGGGTAAGCATGGGCAGCAGATAGCCCGGCAAAATTGTTACAGCTACTTAAACTAGACCTCTAGATCATAGAACACGATGAACCGACGTCCATGTAGACAGTCTCACAAGCTGTCAAATATATGCTCTTGCTATAAAGATAAAGGGAGCACTTTTGTGGAAGCCGTTATGACCATTGACTGCATGCGAGGTTATCTCGGAGACCGAGCACTGCATTTCATAGGAAACTAAATGGGCACGCGGCCTAAAGATTCTCAAGAGATGTGCTTCGCATGGAAGTACGCCCTCCACTGCTTGCCGAAAATCCATACCGGTATAGAGAGAATGCAGAGGGCGGCCTGAATACCACCAATGGTATTGAACACTCTTGCTGGCCCCCACGCCGTGACCCAGTCGTTCACGCCGACTGCGAAGCATCGTTAGTGCTGCTGCTCTACAGTATCGTGGGACGAAAGCACTCACATGAAAGGCCAAAGAACACAAAGTTCTTCGTTACCATTCCGATAATGAAAACCTCGATGGAGATGTCGCGATAGGCATCGACCATATATGTCCCTATAGTAACAGAGCAGAACTGTATCGACATGGTGGCGACTCCCCACACGGCTGAAATGGCGGCAGGAGAGTAGCCTGCCTCGACAAGGTTCCCGAAAAGAAAGAACCCCAGCGAGGCGGTTACGAGCATGAATACCAGCAGGAGCAAGCGGAACTCCGGTTCATATATTCCCTTGTTTCTCTTCGCCAGCGTTGTTGCAATCGGGTCGGAGATGAGGCCGCAGATGATGGAGCCCAGGACGCCGCCGACAGTCGGGCCGGCGGACATGTATCCAATGTCCTCAGGGTTCAGGAAGTAGGGTGGGCCCGAGAAGATCTGAGCGATGATAAAGCTAACGACCACAAACCATGCTGTCGTGATGGAGAGGAGCAATGTCGACCAGATCACGGCCGGGTTGGCCAGGATGAGGAACGGTCGGATGATCATTGTCAACAAGTTGGTGTCCGAATAGGTCCCTGAGAAGGGAGCGAGGCGGCGGAGGAAGGATCTGCGTGGGCGGATTGCGACGGCTTCTTCCTCGCGCACATTCTCTATCTCAGTCGTCTCTGCCTTTGTGGCACTGACAGCTCCAAGGTCGCCGATGTTCTGATTCAATAGTCAGCTCGGCTCTATACATACGGGTCAAGAGGAAGTCACATCGGTAGACGCAGTATCTGTGTTGTAGATCGAAGCCCTGTTGAAAGCCGTCTCCCAGCCGAAAATGGAGAGGAGGACAAGAGCGATGCCCAAGAAGATCGCCATCATCCAGAACATCCACCTCCAGCCTAGTCTCATTGTGATCAGCCCCGACAAGACAGCCGGAAGATTCGAGAGGCCGGATATTGCTATCGTAATTGCGGCCGTTCGGGCACCGCGCTCGTGGACGTAGTAGAGGTCTCCGATTACGGCGAACAAAACTTCAGACGCCATTAACTAACTGAAAGGTACCTCACGAACACATTACGTACCTGCTTCCCACATTGCAACGCCGAGTCCCTGGACGATCCTGGCGCCTAGCAAAGAGCTATAAGATTGAGCAGCTCCACCCCACAGCGTCCCGACGAAGGCAAAGAGGATGGATAAAAGAAATCCAGGACGTTTGCCGTATTTGTGACTCAAAGCTGAAATGAAAATGCCGACCTGGGTTTTAGGGTCAATGAGCTGTGCAAGAAATTTTTACGGTTGTCCACTCACACCGCCAACAGCACAGAGCTGATATCCACTAAGAAGCGTTACTTTGGTGAAATCGATATGGAACTCTTCAACCAGCACCGCGGCAGATGCAGAGAGTAAAGGACCAATCCTGTGATGCTATTAGCTCTAGTTCCGCAGAGAGCTGCGTTCGTAGGCTCACCCTCCAACACACAATATAGTGCAGTAGAGAAATAACGCAAACAGGAGATCTCGCTGCCACAGCGGCCAGCGGAGAGGATCGTTGAGATCATTGGAGGGCTGCGGTACCAGAATCGTAGTCGCATGTCTGCCAGAGCCTTTCTTCAGAGCCGCAGTGTTGACTGTCTCGTTAAGAGCACCCGTCTCTAGAAGACTGGTTCCTGGGGTATGCTCCAGACGTGAGGTTTCGAGAATGCCAAAGGCCATTTTGGACTGCAGAGGGTTTCAAAACAAAGGAAATTTTTTGCATGGGCACTTAGGCTTCCCTAAAAAGGCATCTCCTGATTTTATACACAATCAACGCAGCAAGATGCATACATGCGGGGCAATACATGACCCTGACCCTCATCCTTGGCTTACCCCACAGGACAACCCCACAAGGTCAACAACCAATGCTGCAGTAGTAGCGGAGTCCCCGCATCCCCGCTTCCAGTATTGCAAATGAATGTTTATCGAGTCAAAAGTATTAGTAAGGTGATCTGATATGCACATCGGGTAGATCTACCTAAAGTCGACAAGCTCGTTCCTCTGCTCGCGCATGCGCCGGTCGTACTAATGCCTCACAAAGCGATCTGGGTGAATGGTAATGCGGCGCAGGAGATCAAGACGGTCCCGGGTAGCTACCGTGCCTCTAAAGGCGAGCTGTTGTTAAGGATGATACGTGTTGCTGTGAACGCGGGGGATTACAAGTAAGTTACGAACAATAATCCGGCGGTGCTCTTGCAACCGAATCATGTTGCAGCGGAGTTGTCGCTACTTGCGCAAATTATAACATTAGGTTTTGCACAGACATCCAGAGTTCTTCGCCGCTGTCAATACTGCAGAAGGATTCGATGCTGTCGGAAGAGTAGTCGACATCGGGCCTGAAATTCCTGGTTTCAAGATTGGAGACAAGGTGGTGACATTAACTAGAGGCATTGGACCCCGTAAGTTTTGCTGTCATATACGCATAAAAAAATTGCTGTCTGAAAGTGCGGTGCAGCCGAATATGGGGCTTCTCGGGAGTTCTTAGCTCTAGCAGCCACATCTTGGACCTTCGACGAAAAGCCCCTGACTGACGAGCAGGCTGCTACAAGTCCCCTGACTGTACGTACGGCATGTGATGCTCTTTACAACAAGATGATACCTCCGTTACCCCTGCCATGGGAGAATGGCTGCGACTGGCCAATCCTCCTCTGGGGCGTATCAAGCTAGGTCGGCATCCAGGCGATCCAATTTACGAAATTCCGTGGCCGTAGCCCAATAATAGTCACTGCATCCTCGAAGGTACGCAAGTCCGAGCTTATCTATAGCTCCCATCACATCAGTCTGTGGCTGACGCCATGGCCAGCAACATGACTATCTGCTGTCTTCGGGCGCAAACTTTGCATTTGATTATAAGGACGGGAGTGTCACAAGCAAGACCAAAGGGGTTATCCCTTCACTTAAACGGCTCATGCATGCCTTGGATTGCGTGGGTACAGATATTAAGATCCTAGAAGAGCTGATCGAGGAAGGGGGAACAATATCACTCGCGCTGCCGCCAACGAGACCGAGTCCGCGGCACCACGTCGGGATGGCTGTCGCTGGCACTATATACGACTTGGAAACTTTTACCGCCCCTGAATTCAAGTTCCATGGTGGAAAGGAGCCCGGGATAGCGAGGGGGCAACGAGACTGAGGTCCATAATGGCGTGGACTTTTGAACAAGTCGGCCGAAAGTATTAGCCGTCTAGGGTGAGAATCCTACGCGGCAAGGGGATATATGATGCTTTTGAAGCATTCGAGCTTATGATAGCAAACAAGATATCCGCGGAGAAGGTTATGAGCTGGATGGCGGAAACCCCGGGTTTATAGATGGCGGAGGGAGGAAGCCCAAAGCTTGCAGCTAACATGCGTTCTAGGCGGTCATATATCAGGTTGAATTTCTCTGATTATCTCCGAGTGATGAATCTTATTGGGATGAAGTACGCGTGTAACAGCGCTGTTTCCAAGTCACAATCTTCGTAAGAGGAGAAGTGCAATGTGAGCAATGTATTTCATGGATACGTTATACAATAACATTCAAAGGGAACCTCATTTTAAGATTGAGCTGAGTAAGTCAGAAACAATCCACCGACCGATCATTTCCCTTGATTGATGGTGACGCTCTTCAAGCTAGCCATAATTTTCTCGACTTCTTCCTTGTGCCCTGAGAAGTTATCCACCAGATTGTCCCACATTTTTGGCTCGTGTTCATGCTTCTTCTTGCTATTCCACGCGTAGTCTGTGATAGTGAACGGCTTGTTACTTTCAAACATGAAAGCTATGGAACCCTTAGAGATTTGCATGGCTGGAGGGTCTGCCTTCGAAGCTTCAAAAAACTCTTCATATGCAACACCGTGTGGTACCATGCCGCATTCATACGAAATGCCGCCTGGCTGGAAATCGTCCGATCGGCCGCCGTATTCTCCATATATGAGGCCCATGAGTTCAGATGCCGCATTGCGATGATAGTAAGGTGGCCGATACGTGTGAGATGCAACGTCCCAGCGAGGTGAAAATATCAAAACATCTGCCAGCGGAGCCGTCGGATCGCGCGACTTCGCGGTCAAGACACAAAAGATCGATGGGTCAATGTGGTCCACTGAGATAGATCCCACGTTTACAAATTTGGTGAGATCGTACTTGTATGGGACGTAGTTGCCGTGCCACGCAATGACATCGAACGGGCAGTGCTGCTGGGTACTCTTGAAAAACTTTCCGCCAAGTTTGTAAATGACCTCCCAGGGATCATTTTGCGTGACTTCGTAGGCCGCCGTGGGGTGCAGGAAGTCGCGAGCATTTGCGAGCCCGTTGGCTCCTAGAGGACCTAGCTCGGGAAGCTCAAAGTTTGCACCCCAGATCTCAAGAATATATCCTCGGGTGGGGCCATCGACCTTGACTTTGAAGCGCTGGCCTCGTTGGATGACACAGATCTCACCGGGTTGAACATAAAGATGTCCAAACTCGGTCTGAATGTCTAGCGCGCCCTGTTGTGGCACAATGCAATAATCGCCGTCCGAGTTCACAAGGGCTCTCTTCTCCATGCTTTCATTGCACAAATAGACGTGGGTAGCCAGACCTTCCCTCAGCATGGGGTCGCCGGCACCTGCGATTGTCTTCAGACCGGAAACAAAGTCAACTTTGTCGCGGCTCCCCGGGAGATCGAAAGGCAGCCAAGCTAGCTGAGTTGGCGAGATGCGAACCCGAGGATTAATTGGCAAGAAGTTTGATTCTGTATCAGGATTGTCGGGCATATCAGTCTACGGCCATGATTAGTTTGAAATATATGAATTGGTACAGTAAACTACTTACAAAGCCTTGGTGAGCAACTGCAGGCCGTGCACGATACAACCACGCCTTCTTGTTGGAATGCCTCGGCGCAACGAAAGCAGAGGCTGTCAGTTGCTCGGCGTATAATCCGAAGCGAACGCATCTGGGGCTATTTTGACCCCGTGGAACGGTACCGGGAATAGCTTCAGATTCAAAGGAATTGCCCAACCCGGGCATGTACTCGTAAGGATCATTCTTCCGAGCGGCGAATGATGGGATGGTCCCATTTTTCTGCGTCTCAGCCCAGTGAAAAATATCCTGATACTCCTTGGGATTTGACACATCGGTAGGCATGGTCGATGTGATGTAATGCTACACACAAAATGAGAAGAGATAATATTGAGGGATTGATTCGTATACATTGGCTCAGTGTTTATTTGTGTTGTATATTAGCCTAAGATGAATGTGGGGTTGGTGGGGTAGCGGATAGCCACCAAAGTGGTTAAGGAGGGGCACCACAATAGGTGGATGGAACACCCCCGCATCCTGATTGACTCTGGATACCGAGAGAATGAGTCGACCGAAGAGATTCGTGAAATAAGACTGAAAAACCCTGAAGTGCAATGCCTACGTTTTTACTAAGGCTCATATATGCCTCCGCATCTCTAGTTGTTCGCGAATTTATTACCCTTCGTGATATTCCTCGCTTATCCAGCAGATGATGAAGTAAAACCGGCGGTACCACCAACGGGTTTCCTCGTATCGCACCCTGGAGGTACTGATTTGAGAGAACATCGGGGCAATAGCTTCATATATAAAGCTCTTCAAAATAACTCCGTACAGGGTTAAGTTATCAGGCCTTGGACGGCGTTTCCCTTTGTTTCTGAAGCGTTATTCACTTGTTGTCAAGGGGGCAATCACCTGGATCACGTGATTGCTAAGCGAGCTAGCTCAGCCAGCCTGTTTCAGGCCGCTGGACCCGCGACCCTCTTCTCTCTTTGTACTGCAAATTCTATACATAGCAATACAGTACCTTAGCTATTGTTCCTATGCAGAATCCTCAAATAGGCCTGCTGCTAAGCTGACAGGTGGAATGTTTGGCGAAGCAATGGCCGTAGCTCGATTATATTACATTTACTCGAATAGACAATTCACGGTGAGATCCAATCTCTAAAGGCGGGGCCAACGTATTCCAAATACCAACTAATCCATTTGCGTGGAATCTACAGATCTGCTCTAGCCTTTTCTCCTACCCAAGCCCTCCGAATAAGTTCTTGAATCGAAGCCATTTCAAGCGTTCTCGGGTTAGGATACGGCTTTGACAGTGCGATCTCAGCCGCCTTGGTGACATCTTCTTCTGTCAGACCGAAATCTTTTAGTGCTGTTCTTACGCCTAGTCGTTCTAATAACACATTCAGTCCCTTAATTGCATCTCCGTCACTGTCCGGCAGCACCTCTGCAAGTTTCTGCATGGCTTCCGGGATTGCGGGAGCGTTGTACGCGAGAGCATGTGGTAGAATGATCGTATGTGTCTCGGCGTGAGGGAGATTGAAAGAACCTCCGAGGGTGTGGCAAAGTTTGTGGTGAAGTGCCATATCGACGCTACCGAGGCAAAATCCGCAAAGCCACGCGCCGAACAAGGCATCTTTCCTGGCACTGATATCGCTTGGCGACGAGACCAGAGTCGGAAGTGATCGGGCAAGAGGTCGTATGCCTTCAAGCGCGAGGACGCTGACAATTGGATTTTTGTTGGCTGCATAGAGAGCCTCCACTGTCGAGAGGAGTAACTGTCAGTATGGTTATGGAGACTTTCGTGCCCGGAGAGGCTAACCTGCGTGCGCAATTGCGTTTATCCCACTAGTAGCACTCATCATGGCGGGTAGTGTGAGTGTAAGGTCGACGTCATAAATGACTGTAGTGGGAAGTATCGCTGGATCTCTGCGCGTCGTCTTGAGCCCGTTGACCGTCTCACCCAGTATCGGGGTCATCTCACTACCCGCATACGTGGTCGGGATGCAAATATGCACCAGACCGGTCCGCACGCTGAGCGCCTTACCGAGCCCAATGGTGCTGCCACCGCCGAGCGAAACGAAGCTGTCAACTCCGCACGTGTTTGCAACGCCCAGTGCTTTCTCGGTGATGTGGAGGGGCGTGTGCATAGTTGCTTCAGCAAAGAGATGGTCGGCGCGCGCTCCGAGAGACTTGGCCAGCTCGAGGGTGGGACCTTGTTGCTCCGGCGTGGAGAGAAAGAGAGGCGTGCACACTTCGAGCCGTGCCAGCTCCGCGGCCAGCATCGACAGTGTGCCTGAGCCAAATATGACTCGGCTGGGGTTTCCGTTGTACTCAAAGCTAGCCATCGTTTACCAACATATGTGGTGCGCGCTGCGAGACCAAATACCTCAGACGTATCTTTGCACAGGATACAGGCTACATTGGATTGGAACACCTGTACGTACCCCACCTGGCCACTTGGTAGCTCCCGTTTCAGGCTTGGTTACGTCCTCTCCGCTTGCTTACCCTCATCGTCCCGTGGTGTGTGCTGCTCTGGACACGAAAATCTACCCCACATTCGCGGGGAACATCATTGGGGGACTGCATTCAAGAATTACGGACGATGTATCTGCAGACTGCAGAGAACTCGTAGGAACCACACTTCTAAATCACCAGTTTTAGCTCCTCTGTTCGCTATGTGTGTCACTCTGAATCATGCCTCTCTAGGCGCCCGCCTGGAAGGACTCCAGGTTGGGAAACTCTGGAAGTTCAGAGGCATCCCGTACGGGACCATAACCACCAGATTTGCGCGCGCATGCCCAACCCAGCTTGAGGGCAAAGTGGACTGTTCTCGTTACGGGTACTCTATCTCAGACTGCTGGTTTGCACAGCGGCTCTCGCTGACTCCCGTAGGCCTCGTTGCCCGCAACTCAACTTCGACGTGCGACACCTTCTGCGCATACCTCAAGATATCGAGCTGCCCACTGAGCCAGAAAATGAATTCCAATGCCTGAATCTAGACGTTACAATGCCGCCTTTTGAACCGGGGCCTAACCCCCAATTGCTGCCTGTTTTGGTGTGGATTCACGGTATGCATTACAGGACTCTGCGAAAGAATAGTGCTTACCTAATCCCATCTAGGTGGTTCCCAGATTGCGACATTCGGGAGTTCGGCTTCAGGTTTGTGTGGTTAGTCCTTTCAATTCGTATTTCGTCCCCGTCTGTACTAGACACACTGTTAACGCAAACTCTGCACCACAGATATGACCAGAATTGTCTCTGATTCTGTAGACCTTGGGTACCCGTTTATAGCGGTGGGTATTCAATATCGGTTGAACATGTTCGCTTTTGGGAACGGCAAAGGTGAAAGGAACTTGACTCTCAAAGACCAGAGGCTGGCAATCGACTGGGTTGTTGAACATATCGGAGGATTTGGCGGTGACCCGGTAGGAGCTCTCATCAAGTTGAAACCAATCAACCTCAGTATTCTTTTCTTACTTAAGCTAGGCAAACATAACACTTGCTGGCGAGAGTGCAGGCGCGGTCTTCTGCCATGCACATGTCGTAGCCCAAGCTCCCGTACGCCAAACGATACTTTCTTCAGGAACACTGTACCTATCGCCACCATTGCCAGCCCAATATGGGACTGCTCTGATACATAATGTAGCTAGTGAGCTTGAGAAATTGGGTTACACGGATATGGCAACTGCTCCACCGGATATGCTTCTCAAAGCGCAGGCCAATCTCGGCATTAGATCTATCTGGATTCAGATGGAACCTGCCTTTGAAAATTGGGAAAATAAAACAGGAAATACTACGCAGATACTCATTGGAGATGTTGAGTATGAGGTAGGCCTCTATTACAATTTCTCAGTGTAGAGAGAAACTAACGTAGCCAGAGTATTATATGGAGGAATGGAATTGAGACGCTAGAGCCCGGTTACATAGCAGAATGCTTCAACAACATCGGCGACGACAGTTCGGCTGTGAAGCGCTTGTACGGCATCCTGCCCGATCGAAGCACGTCTTGCAAAACCGGAGCTCTCGACTTGATCACCGACCAGAGGTTCGCGCTACCGGTGGAAAAGGTTCAGCAGCTATGGCTGGACTCCGGAAAACCAGCGTACCGCTACTTGCTCGATCAGCCAAATCCCTGGCAACCATCGAATCGCGCTCATCATGCTGTGGATTTGATATTTCTTTTCGGCGGATTTGAAACTTCAAATCCAGCAGCAGAAACTGTAGGAAAGGCGATGCGGACGAAATGGATAAAGTTCATAAACGGGAGGGCTCCGTGGGATGCTGCTAGTGCTTTCGCGTTTGGACCGTATGGAGAGGTGAAAAGTATCGACCAATCTGCAGTAGACATGCGGAGACGACGAGCTCATCTCGACCTCGTGAACAAAGTCGGCTGGGCAAAGTTTAATGCAGCAGTCGTGCCATTGATAACGGGCCGTGTCAGCCTACTAAATTAGATTACTGTTGACTAAAAACGCTCAAATATGATGATTAAATTGACCTCCCGTAAAGCAATGTCATTGTAGTACCTAGGTTTTGATTGGACACAAGGTGCATGGCCACGACAGGGTGGCAGATGTCTGAGTATTTCATATTCACTGACCCCACACGCGCACATGTGGCAAACCCGCAAAAATCCCCAAACGCGGGGTTTGACAGCTCCCCGCAGCCTGTCTGAGCGTTGAGGTTGGAGCAGGGAACCCTCACTTCGAAAGGTCGAGCCAGTGGCACTCTCGTCACATGTACTGAGTATTATCATCCGTACCAACAAACTCGACCGTAACTGGGTATATCCAAGCTATTGCCTCACCTAACGATGGCCCAACTTGCTTCCGTCGCATTGGTAGCGATTGTAGCGATTGTAGCTCTTGCTTCGATATACGTGGTGGTGCGCGCTATTGCTGATCCTCTGAGGGGAGTGCCTGGGCCATTTTGGGCACGTTTTTCGCGACTATGGTATTTACGCGAAGTCTACGAGGGTACATTTGAGAAACGCTCGGTTCAACTTCATGCGAAGCTCGGCGAGTTACAGTATAATCCTACCAGCATCTGCAATGCTGCTAATCGATTACTTAGGCCCGATTGTGCGCATTACTCCGAATGAGTATAGTATAGACGATCCGGCAGCAGAAAAGACCATATACGGGCTAGGAACCAAATTCTATAAAGTGTGGCCAATCTGCTAGTCATCCCACGCCTCATCACTGCTTTCCAACTTGGGGGAAATATCAGCTAATAGTCGCCCTTGAAGTCGCCGTGGTATATTGCTTCCGGAAATCCAGATCCAACAAATTCGGACCTCTTCACCGAACGCCACCCAGCACAACACGCACTGATGCGACGAAAAGTTGCGAATCTTTACTCTGCAAATACCCTGTTACGTATGGAGCGATTTGTTGATGAGTGAGTAGGGTTGTTTGTACAGCGCCTGAATGAGGTCGCTGCAACAGGTCGCCCAATCAATGTGCAGCATTGGTTGCAATGTTATGCATTCGATGGAATCGGTTACATCACAGTATGGCATTGTTCCGACCGAAAGAAACAAAACTTATATTCTAGCTGCTAATCGGGTGCAGCTTTCGAAAAGATTTGGGTTCCTGGACCGCTGTGAGGACGCACGAGGAATGTTTACAAGTCTCCATTCCTATCTGAAATATGCTTCACGGATCGGAGTGGTTTCAGAGGTACACCCAATTGCATCCAAATTGCTGGCAAAGCTCGGCAGCGGCGGTATGTCCCACATGATGAGCTTCGTTGGCGCCCAGCTTCAGGACAGACAGCAGCGACTCGCAGAAAAAGAGGGCGGAGGCACAGACGATGATTTTGTGTCGAGAATACTCGCGCAGCACAAAGCAGATCCTGAAAAATTCACCTTCACTGATGTGTTCAGCACATGTATTACCAACATTGGTGCCGGCTCTGACAAGACATCGATCTCGCTGTCCGCAGTTATGTACCATCTAATTCGCAATCCAAACATGCTCGCTGAGGTAACGCACTCCCATACGTCTACAAAATTCAATTATAGGTCGAGCTGACAGGGGCACAAATAGCTTCGCAGTGAACTCGATGAAAAACTACAGCCTGGAAAGACTATCGAAGACTTCTCGTTCCAAGACGCCCAAAGATTACCATATCTACAAGCTTGCATCAAAGAAGCTCTCAGCGTCCACCCGGCTACAGGCTTACCTTTAGGAGGAGTAGTACTAAGCGGTGGTGCTGAGATTCTGGGGGTGTTTTTCCCGGCCGGAGTAAGTAATCGTATGTTTTTGGGTTGAAGATAGTCCATCAGACGGTGATCGGTATCAACACATGGGTTGCCCATCCCAACAAGGACGTTTCGGACAGGATGCGGCACTATATCGGCCTGAGAGGTGGCTGATCAACGATAAACAGCAATTGTCTCGAATAGACGGTTATTATTTACCGGTATCCCTAGATCAATTCAATCGCTATTGTATAACATGCTAATATGGTTATATTTAGTTCGGCCACGGATCACGCACCTGTATTGGAAAGAACATAAGCCTCTTGGAAATGTCGAAGCTTGTGCCCGTATTGGTGTATCGATTTGACTTTGATCTAGTCAGACCGGAGGAAGAACTCGAATGCCAGAATGTCTGGTTCGTCAAGCAGAAGAATATCAATTGTCGAGTATCGCTGAGATGATATTATATTAACACTGCTTTATAGAAGTGAGTAAATGAGGATAGAGATATGATTTAGCTTACCTGATATCAAAGCAGTGACACGTAGCAGGACAACCCATAGACGTGACCAGATCTTGGACTTAGGTACCTTATTTTGACCTGGGTTTGTGAGACTGTACAGGGTGTGAAATTTTATATGATACTTACTCAGTAGATGGCATAACAATTAATTATCGTAGGACTATAAGTTGTGAGTTCGTGTTCATTTATCTTGCAGCTATTGAGAGCAATTCGGCCCATCGACAAAACCGCTCGACAAGCTTCACACGCTGCCATGTGCACCAGAGATCGCTGCGGAGCGCCAGGAGCACCAGGAGCTCCACAATAAGGCTGATGTAGTATATATTTACCTAAAGTAGTCAGTAAATTCCCTAAAATAGTTTAGCATGGAAAGATCTTAGCAGAGGGATAGTGTTAAAGATTACGGTAGGCTGCTAACTTGTGCCAGAAGATGTATAAGAAAAAGGCCGTATAATGTTAAAGAGTAGCTAATATAGCTCTATAAGTACGTTAGAGGCACGTAGAAATCTTACAGTAGCACGGAGAAATCACGTGTAGGTCATGTGACTAGTAAATCGAACTAATAAGAGGCCGGGAATCGCGGACATACAAACCCATTGGAGCACTAGGATCATCCAAGGCCTCGAATCCATGCGGCCTAAAACAAGTCCATAGATGTCTACATTCTGCCAAGAATCACATGCCCTGCGCGACAGTCGAGCAACATGTACCCACTAAGGGTATTTTCGTTTCGTTCACGAGGATCAGGCGACGCGCGTCTGTATTCTAATACTTTAGCTGTGAATACAGGATTAGGAAGAGATTGAAGTGAATATCACGTGACTAAGGAGGCTGGCTTGCTCCTCTTACCTCACTTCGTCCACATCCTACCTAGAGTTCTCCTATTCATACCACCAAATACTATAGATTATGTGATTCAGGGAGGCTGCACTCACATAACGTTGATCTTCCTAGATCGATTGAGGAACGCCGAGTCGTCGTGTATCACCCCCCGCCCCCGCCCTGTTCCATGGCGCAGACCGGCTGCCCGCATGCGTCATGAGCTGGCCGTAGGTAGCAGACACAGCTTCAGCCTTGTTACAACACCTCATCGGAACCATTGATAATCTCTTGTATAAGGTTCAACTTACCTCATTAACTTCTAGAATGCGATGGCCGATGTAAAGCAGATTCCGATTTCCAGCTCCGAGGATGCAGCAGAGGCCAAAAAAGCAACGTCGACATGCAGGTGGGATTGCTGTAAGAACCCTTGCGACGGGTACGACTGCCGGTTTGGCATCCGCGAGACCCTTCCGGTTCGGATGCTGGAGCCGCTTGGTGAAGGCCGACATGGGTGGGTCACGAAGGTTGAATGCCGCAGGAGTCGGCGCGTGTTGGCGTGTAAGAGAATTAGGTGGTGCTTCAGAAAAGACGTGCTTCGACAGATACAGAACGAAGTCAACATAATGCGATCGCTTTCCCATCGACATATTGTCAAGGTTGTCGGCAGCTACATCGAGGGCAACACATACTATTCTATTCTCCTGGAACCCGTCGCAGAGTACGACCTTCAGTACTTCCTTGATGTCTACTTTGAAGAAGCTAGTAGCACATCGTCCAGTGCGTCCCCCGGAGCCAGGCAACCTGCCGCGACAGCGCTTGTGTGCAGCAAGTCCGAAGAGATTCTCTTATCGTCTTTTGGGTGCTTGAGCTCCGCTTTAGCCTTTATTCACTCTCAGAGCAAGAAGCACAAGGACATCAAACCACGCAATATTCTCATCCACAATGGCTTGGTTCTTTTTACGGATTTTGGTATTGCAAGTGATTTCTCCAACAATGCCGATAGCATCAGCGAAGGTCCTTTAGCCTGCACCCCAATTGTGAGTTTATACCCCCAACTAGCATCACAAATATACTGAGCTTTTCTAGTGGGCGGCACCAGAAGTAACTAGCCCTGAAGGCAAAGCAGTAGGTCGTGCTTCCGACGTATTCTCCCTAGGTTGCGTCTTCGTCGAAATTCTTACAGTCCTCGCCCTCAAGTCCATCATGGAGTTCAATTCCTACCTAGCAGGCAGTGGCAGCGAGTGTTTCAGCCAGAACATTTCTCGAGTTTATGCGTGGTTGGACAGCATTGAACCGAATTTCAAAAATGATGGAAGAGCTTTTTTGAACTTTGTTCGTAAAATGATTGCTGAAGAACCATCAAGCAGACCGTCGGCCTCTGCAGTCTGGGAAATAGCACAGTCTACTCCGCGGGATGACCAAGGGTTTTTCTGTGGCGACTGTTGTCGGGAACGCAACCCGGTCTTTGATCCCGAGTGCTACGAGGACATTTCGTTGCCCCCCATTACCAACCCTAGGAGACTGATGCCTTCTAGCCTTAACACGTCCATTGAGAGGCAGTTAGGCAGACCAGCTCCGGGTGTTGCGTCAACAAGCATTATGCCTCTTGAATTTCGATTGAGCGATATCGGCGCCATGAAGGATCCAGCCCTAGAGATTTCCTCAGTCGGCTTTGGGCTTGATTTGGCATACCAAACGCCACGGGACCCTTTTCAAACTCCTGAAAGGCGTACCACTGCAACTGTAACGCTAAGGAAGCGGCCCGGCGGCAGAAAACTTGGGGGACACCTTAGACCGGAAGTGGCAAAGGATGCACATAGAATGAGAAAGATAGGCGCATGCTGGCGTTGCGTAATCCAACGAGACAGAGTAGGTGACAGTATGGAAACTACTTTAGCTAAAGTTAGCTAACAGGTTGCTATAGTGCGATTCGTCAAATATATGCGAAAGGTGCCTGAAAAGGTCACACCCCTCGCTCGTTGATAATATGCATACACGCCTCGAATGTAACAGGGGGAGCCTGTACGATCTAGCCCCCCAATTCCTCCCAGGTACGCCTACAGTGTGTTTCCCTAGATAGACGAGTTGTGCTTATTTGGTCGATTCAACGCTGACTGCTATCAGCCGTTCTGCGCCGCCCATACCAGGAGAGCGAAATCCAGAAATCTTGGACCGACAGAATTGAGTCTTGGCGTAGTGAGCGAAAATATGTCCTCACTTTAAGCTGGAGAATTACTCCACCTTTAGTGGAAGAAAACGTCCAAGAAGGAGTCCTGATTAAGACCCCCCTACCGGGAACTGAATACCTCAAGAAAACCGTCCGGGAAATTGCTCTAGGATTGGACTTGTCTAATGGTTCTAATGGTTCCAAATACGCGCAGTACATCTCGTCAGTGATTTACACTGGCATCGGAGACGTTCCTTTCGCGCTCTACCCGGGGACAAGCGAGTGCAATGTGCTATATAGAGAACTTATCACCCAAGTATTTGGGTACTATGAATGCACGGTCAGTGTACCTTAGGTTCTTCATGAATATTAATTATATGCTAACCCAAATCAGGGTAATGAAACCTTGGCCGAAATGGCAAAGCTTCTCATTATGACGCATTGTTTCACCCATTCCCCAAGTCTCCTCCGCAGCATTCCAAATCTCCAGGCTCTGTCTCGCAATACGCCGCTGCCAATGAGTGATAACCTAGGCTTGGAGTTGCTATACCATCAGCTCAAATCACATTTGGCACTCATCCAAAGCACACAACTGGATCTGCTCCTAGAAAGATGCGATAAAGCTCTTCGTACACCAAAGACAGCGCACTTGTCCCAGGGTTTGCCACTAATCCTTACGTTCATCGGGCTAGCGATGAACTTGGAGCAAATTCAGGTTGCTCTTCATCGCCTTTTAGTTGGCCATAGAGGCGACCAGGCAGAACAGGAGGACTCCTGCCGTCGTATCGAACAGGGGATTGATATGATTATTGGGATTTGCCGGTTAAAGTATGGGGCACAGCCAAAAACGCATTTCCAGCATCGTAATGCTGTTGACGGGGATTCCGCCGAGACCACTTTTGCATTGAATCTAGACGGCCTTATTTCTAGACATGGTAAGTTCTCACGCTCGCCTTCTGAAGTAGTCTCGCTAAGAACCTTCCAGTGGAATTTCTCTCTCGTAGTGCCGAAATAAAATTGCCAGTCGTGGATCCGTCTCTCTATCCTGGACGGCTTACTTCGAAGTTCCTTCTTTGGTTTGGAGAAATCGCCCGACTCCCACTCCAATCACCAACCGTTGAGTGTGACGCGGGTGTGAAATAGCGCCGAGAGCCATTCCCTTCTGTGCCGCGAGAAGCGGAACCTGCCCTTGTGTACTGGATGCTACCCTGGTGCACTAATGACATCAACGTGTACACATTCTTTCTCAAGGTCAGTGCCACTGGATTAATTCAGCTCATGTTCGAAACCGTTGAGCATGATAGAACAGCCTCCAGGGGTAGTAAGGCTGAGTAACGAACGACTCAGCAGTGTTAGGGTTATTTGAAAACACGGAGGAAGGTGCTGCCCGATCTGACTAGCCAAATACGTAAAATGAATCACCCCTCAAAAAGGTGAGGCGCGGACCTCAAGGTTCTGGAGTGCTTCATTGCGGTTCAATGGTAATATATACATACTGCATGAGTACAAGAAAGGTGCCACCACCTTCACCTAACGGCGGGTCCTCGGGGACCACAACTGGGCATTACCGCCAGTCCCTATTTAGCCTCAGAGAACCAGAACTAGGGTCTCGCGTCTTTATACCAAACACCACTCGCGACTTCCTTCCTTCTCCTCTGCGATCCATGCTGCTCTCGCACTGCCTTAGCGCCCCTACACTGCTCGCCGTAGAGTTAACTAATTCAACACCATGCCAACAAGGACAAAAAATCCTACTCCCCCCAGCCCGTGTGGTAGAGCCAAAATTTAATCTACCTCCTCGAAACCCGGACGTTTCCTGCTATCAACTCAATCCCCTACAAATTTCGCTTATTCTTCTGTACTCCAATCTCGCGGAAGAGCTAGTATATCCCGTGCTATACAACCACTCGGGTTGCAGCACTACAACCTAGGGTCAGCAACTCATATGCAGTAACGTATCAGGATAGCATGCTGATACAGGAGGAAGTAACAGGTAGTGCAACAGCAGTGCTGCAGCACGGTATCAGTACTGTATCAGGAAACAGGATGAATCAAGTAACGCGTCAGGAAGAGATACCACGTTATGCCCCCGGGGCTGGCCCCCCTCCTTCCCCTAGTATATAAACAACGAGCTAGACACCCATAGAAATGAGAGTTCACATCAATTTCAACCTGAGTCAACCCTAATCCCGCATCGGAGCAGTGCTTAGGCAAATCTTTTCGCCGTGTCGTTGCCGGAACACTACTCCTCACCAGCGATGGCACGTCTGGGTCGTCGCCGCTGAACTTGGAGACCGTTCACGGGACGTGAGCGCCCAAGGTCGATGTCGTGCTGGGTGTGTTGCTAGGAGAGAATGTTGCTAGGAGAGAATGTTGCTAGGAGAGAGGAGTGTGGAGGTGAACTTAGTGTATTGGCAGCTGACGTAGGAAGGGCAAAGGATCAGTGAGGAAAGTATGAGTTGTACCTACAGCGCCTGCTCACGTCCGGTGAACTAGCGCGGATTTGACGCCACAGGTACACTAGTGGGGATAGAACGGAGGAAGCTCTTTTTTAGACTATATCTTACCGAGGCTGAGCTGAATCTGCTAAAAGCACGGTACCATGAGGCGTTACTTTCGAGATTACCCCTCTTTTGCACCTGACTTTTGTGGCTTGATATCCGCGCTAGTTCACCGGACGCGGGCAGGCGCCCTAGCCGACAGATCCGATCCAAGCACCAGCTTCCTCAGCTGCGGCCTGACAACACCAAACACTGCCATGGCCATGAAATACACTCGCCATGCTTTGCAATGCCTGCTTGGAAATTCTACGGATAGTCCGCCGGCCGGGCGTCTATGAAAGCATCCCCCACCAGCCTTCCGTTGATGCACTCTGCGCGTCAGCTCTCGGAGGATGCCAGATCTGCTGGCAGCTACGCAACATTTTAAAGCACAGTGCTACGTCCGCAAACTATATATCCGCTCTAAACCTTGGCGATCACGTTACTGTTTGTAGCTCTGATACATCTTCCGCTCGCACAAAACACGCCTTTGATCTTTCTTTCAACGTGCGTCGCTCTGAATCCGTCATTTTCAATTTAGAGGTATATACAGGTACTATACTCTCATTTCTTTTCGTGAGATATGAACGAATTGTTTTCAGGAGTGGCTAGACGTGAAAAATAATGTTCTGATTTACTCGAAAAGAGCATCCAGTCAGCGACTACGTCCCCGAAACATCAACGAATTCAGCATCTAGCTGGGCTCTTATCGAGCGTTGGACAGCGAACTGTATCCTCGAGCATCCCAAATGCAAGCAATCAGGCCAAGCCACATGGGTGCCGACTCGCCTCCTTGATTTAGGACTACCAGACAGTAATACGAATCCACGGCTCATAATATCGACTTCTGCACTGGAAGGGATACCGTACGCTACACTCAGCCATTGCTGGGGAAAATCTGCCATTCTACGACTTCTTGCGTCTAATTTAAAAGACTTGTGTGATGAGATTCCTCTTCAAACTCTGCCTAAAACCTTCCGCGATGCCATTGCTGTCACTAAACGCGCTGGTATCAGATACCTCTGGATCGATAGCCTGGCAATCATCCAAAATTCCGCTGCCGACTGGAAACGCGAAGCTGCCCTTATGGGGAAAGTCTACAAGTACTCCCGCGTCAACATCGCTGCCACTGGCGCCGTCGATAGCACCGAGGGGTGCTTCTTTACGCGCGACCCTCGCCTGATCCCGCCTTCACAAGTCACTATCAAATGGGACGATTGGGACGGCATCATAGAGGAAACTTACACAGTCCTGCCTGGCCAAAAAATCTGGCAAACACAACTCAATGACGTTCCACTAAGCCGCCGCGCGTGGTTTCTGCAAGAGCGCCTCCTCTCCCCTCGCGTCGTGCACTTCACAAAGACTCAAATATTCTGGGAATGTCACACCATGAGCGCTTGCGAGAGTTTTCCGATTGCTCTCCCGAAGACCCTCCGACACAATCGTGTCAATCAGCTGAAGAGCTTAGCTCTAGGCGCAACTGCATCTGCGATATTGCCAGAAACATTATCGAAAGTGGTCAATGGGGAGTTCATAGGAAAGTTCAAGATGGTCAAACCGCTTTATGCGCACTGGAACTCACTCGTCGAACTGTATTCGCTCGGTGGTCTGACGGTTCTTCGCGATAAGCTTCCTGCGCTTTCGGGCGTAGCAGACGAGATGCGTCACCTTTTGCTAGAGGAAGATTATGCTGCCGGTTTATGGCGCAAATCTCTACCTAGAAGTCTTCTTTGGATACCGAAGATTCACCCTGGTGAGAACAAATGCTACCGGCCGCGTGAGTACCGCGCGCCGTCGTGGTCATGGGCAAGTATCGAAGGTCCGGTGTCATTCGCATGGTGCTCCAAGACCGTGTTTCCGTCTCAATCGTATGGGCTCGTAGCGGTTCTCCGAGTCTACGTCGACATCACCAAAGGGCGTGAGACGGGCGAGGTCAGCGGTGGTTATGTTCGGATGAATGTACCCGTAGTTGATGCTACCTGGGACCTACAAGCTGAAACCGGAGTCTCAGGTCTTACTACAGTGACTATTCGTGACCGTGTCGGACGGAACAGACAATTCCTTCTACCGGAGTCGTCTGGAGAGGACGCCCTGCTCTTCGATGAGGATATCGTGCAACGGCCCCCTCCGCGGGAGCTGGCATTGGCAGCACTGTTCTATACTACGGATCATCAGCAGGTAGAGGGCAAAGTGGCTACAGCCAATAACTCTTGTCCATACGGATTAGTGCTGGAAAGCACGGAAAGTGGGAAGTATCGCCGCATAGGAGTCTTCCTGAGCAGCCAGGATAGACTGCAGAGAGCCTTCAGGAAACTCACACCGCGGTGGGTCACAATCATCTAAGTGCTCGGAATCAACATGTCTGGTAAGCTATCATTGTATATGCCACAAAGCACTGTATTTTGGATACTACCACCTAGATTCATAACTCGATTAACAAATCACCCAGACACCCAATTTCGAAAGCTCTAGAAGCAAGAAGTGCGAAAAATTTAATTCTAAGAAACAGTACGACGACCCTACTCTACGGCCTTTATCTCCTCAATGCGATCGCTTAGACTCGGGTTGCAGCAACCTAGGATCAACAACTCATACGGTTCACGATCACCTGCGTGCGTGCATACCACCCCCCTACCTATCCCTTTTTCTCCCTTCTCTCCCTTTCTCTTCCTTACGGAGTTGCAGTATCTCCCTTACGGAATTGTGTTGCTCCCTTGCTGTCAAGGGAGCGCCCAAGGGAGCGCCCCAAGGGGTAGTTCATCTATATAGTCCGCCCTTACGGCGTCTACAATACAGCAGAGTTCACATCAATTTCAACCTAAGTCTTAGATCACCGGCTCGAACCCACTCCTCCAGAATGCTCTTGTACACGAACAGTACCTCATTGATCACCGCTTGATCAATGACCCCATATCAATACCCCAACTTCGCCTCCACACCTTTTCTCTCCCAGTAACACACCCAACACGACATCGAACACAGGCGCTCGCGTCCCGTGAACCGTCTCGAAGTTTGGCGCCGGCGACGCAGAAGTGCCATCGCTGGTGGTGAGTTCTTGCCCTCTTTGACTCCAGGTTATTACCGGGCTGGATAAAATCTTTGCCTTCATAGCACAGGCATTATGCTAGTGCTTAGGCAAATTAATCCAATGCGGGATCAGGGCTGTATCCCATATACCCGCAGATGAGTCCGTACAATGGCCCCGTTGATGTACAGCAAGAGCGACAGCTGTTGTATGGTGGCGATGGATACGGCCACCACTTCAACGGGAACGACGACGCACCGGCCGCGTTTCGGCAGCGTGATCATGCTTACGAACCATGATGATGGGCCGGATGAGGCGGCGACGTTGCTCGGGGTGCCGAGTTGGGTGGGGCCGAAGATGCCGCCGGCGCGGTATACGAGGAATTTGAAGGCTGTGGGAGGATGTGCGAGGAGGGTGTGCGAGGAGGTGGATTTGAGGGTTATGCTGGGAGGGAAGAATGGCAGTAGTGAGATGGTGTTTGCGGATCGAAGACTTGTGGGGAGGGAGTTTTGATGCCAGGGTGGGTGATTGGGGTGTATAACATTAAATTTCTATTGTTCGTTTCTCTAGAAAGCATTTGCATGGATGTTGGGTGGGTGGTTTGGGGCGTTTGGTGTTGGTGTTTCTTTCGATTGAGGGTTGCGCATTTCAGCGTTTGCATTTACATTGGCGATTTGCCAGCTTCTTTTTCTTCTTGTTTTTCTGGCAGGGCATCTGTTTTTGAATTCACGGGGCTGTATTAGTGTAACTCCTAACATTTGTCGGAGAGAGCATCTACAGCGGAGGGATAGGAAACCTAGGAGAAGCATAGGCAGCTGCGTCCAGAATTGAAAAGCGAATATATTCAATAATCAGCTTCCATTGTCTCCAAACGCATAGACCAGTCCCGAAGTCGACGTGTGTTAACGCACGAAGGGCGGGCCTTGTCAATGCAATTTGAAATTTTGCAAAGGCCTTTCCCATTGCCACGATGTTCCATCTTGTGCCACTTTTTCTTTAAAATGTGACACGAAAAGTGGGCTATGGAACTCGAAATCCTCCCCCCAGCTCTCCGTTATCTTCTCTAGACGGCTGGACACTAGATCGCGACGGCATGCTGCCGCGTACTCAGCGCTACCGGAACGATAACTGCCCAATAGCACCAACGCTATGTAGCATAATTGTGGGAGGAGCAGAAATCCGTAGACAACACTGTAGGGCACTAGTACCTGTTTCTTACGGTAACTCAAAATGTTTGCTAACCCAATTGTTATAGAAGCATCGAAGGCGAAGAATTGGAAAATTTGATGCCCGTGTAGCCTGCGGTCCAGAAGGCCTAAGAGCCGAGACTTCTTTCTGAAGGTTACATTCTCATTCTCATAAGGATCATGGACGGTGAGCGACAGTCAGAGGGAAGCGGAACAAGACAAGGTGTGTAGCCAAAAGCTGTATTGATGATGGTGATAAAGCTAGCTATTGAGCGGAAGGAGGAAAGATAGTTATACACAAGGTGCTGAGTAAGCCTGCTAGAGAGGAAGGGGCCGACAGCGGAGAACAGGCCTGTAGATATCGGATCACCTCGAATAGGATGAAAGACAAAGGGAAGTAAGCCGGGTGCGAGAGCAACGACTAAGTCGCCTTTCCGCGCTGTGGAAAGGACCAAAGCTACATGGCTGTCGAACCTAACTCCAAGGAGTGCGATCCGCTGGATATGTCTCTTGCGATCGAAGATCACCTTACGAGCGGGAGAGCTTGAGAAGAGGTGCTGTTGAAAACCCGGGGTAGCTTGTGCATGTATGGACCGACACTTGGGCATTTCAAAGCTCAGAATGATGTTCCTCGCCTTGCTCTTTCGTTAGCTCCATGCCTTCACCGGGCAATTCTTTCTCGATGACCCAGAAGAGCTTTGAAATATCGTCCTTGTTCCCAGAGCCGAAGCGAATTTTCCAATACTCCGCATACCCGATGGGATTCCGACCCCGCTTGACCTGCTCATTCCTTGTCATGAGCCATGTGAACTCGTCGCCATTGTAGTGATGGAGTTGGTAATTCTCATCTTTATTGCCTTGTAAATTCATCCACAGGACGCCGTGCTTTTCCGTAATGTGCATATAGAACGTTTGCACCTTGTTGTAGTATTTGCCCACATACTTGTCAAGGGACTTGGGAGCTGCCACGCTACCACGCTCCCTCTCGAGTTGGGCTTTGATCTGAGGAATCATGTTACGTGCAGTCTCGGCGGTGTCTCGGGCTAGTTTGACGAAGTCGTAACTCACTGGATCGTCGAATAATTTCTGCATGATGAGGTGGCCAATCTACCCAGGGCCATCGTTCAATGCGACTGCATTGGAAAGGAGTACGATAGCGGTATCTGTCTCAGGAAACAGATAGACGCCATTGTTGAAGCCTACAAGCATCCCATGGTGATACAAAACAAGGCGAGGTTGTAATTCATCGCCCATGACTGGCATCGCCGGCATCAACGCTTGGTTTCGTGAGGTCTCGGCGAGGACACCTGGTAACTGCACACGTGCCCAGCCACAAGCGTAGCTCTGTTCCCTCAGTCTTGAGGCTGTTCTAATGTTACTGCTGAGAAGCGGGGCAACTTGCTTCAAGGGTGAACCCTCAGTAGAAGTGTTGCCACTATCAAATTGATCTTTTGCAGCTTCCATCAAAGCACCATAATACTTCAAGAGATCCTTGACGCAGCTCTGTATGCCACCAGCAGGGTTCATCAGGGTCCCTTCCGCCATGTGTGGTCGAGGAACATGGGCCGGCGACGCGTCGTCGAAGGTCATGTATGCTTGAGCCACATTGTCCGCGCCATGACATTCCGAGTCATCATTGAAGGTGCGAGTCATTCCCAATGGTTCGAATATCTTCTCGGTCAGAAATTGGCTGAATTTCTTTCCAGAAAGCTTTTCAATTATGCGTCCGGCTATCTCGTAGCCCCAGTTATTGTACCGGTACTCGGCGCGAAACGGCGTGACGGCTCGCAGCTGGTTGATTGTCGACAGAGCTTGGTCGCGCGAAAGAAGGATATTGTTGCTCGACTGTGCCCAAAATGCGTCTGCACGCTCGAGCCCGGTCCGATGACTGAGGAGGTCCGTGATGGTCGCTTGCTCGTAAATTATCTTGTCGTTTGGTTGAAACGCTGGCAATACATCTTTCACTCGCGTGGACCAGCTAAGTTTGCCTTCTTCCACTAAAATAGCGATGGCTTCAGCGGTGAAGCCTTTAGTCATCGATCCTAGGTAGTAAATGGTATCGTCATCGCCTGGAATCTGGGCTTCGACATCTCTGAAGCCAAAGCTCTTGTTGTAGATGACTTTGCCGTAGTGCATGACCCCGATGGAGACACCATGGACTCCCGATACTGCTGCGATGGTTTTGATGGTCGAATCGAGGGATGCAAGCACCATTTCGGCCGTCATGATGCCCATATTGAATCCGACGAATTGACGGTACAGGAGAAAAGACTAGTTTCCTCTGTCGAGTTCTGGGAGGACCGTCATCCGCCAAAGGCTGGACGACGATGACTTATTAAGGCGAGGGCACGATGGGAGGCGGGGCAAGTTCGCAAGGCGGGGCAACTTCATCTCTCGCGAGCAGTCTCATCCGAACAGCGTCAAGGCAAGAATGTAGGTTAGTACCAGGATGCCGACTTGACCGGGCGGTGCGCCTCGCCACGCATTAGCTTCCGTGTCTAGCGTCCACGTCTGTACAGCCTCTCTTTACGTCCGGCGAAATATAGCGCTAAACTAAGTTGATCCTGGTGTACCTCTTTTCTGGGCTAGTACTTAACCGACTTGAGGATTGATTGGCCAGAACGTTGCTATTCCCGCCTAAAGAGAGGGTGTACATATGTAGTTCAAATGCAATAAAGTGGGGCAACCGGTGAGTGATCGACTGCGTCGACGAATCAGGCTAGCCGGTGGCCAAAGATTTCACCGCAGGGAGCTTTTCGGAGACGGCGACGAGCATACACTCAACAGCCACTATGCGGTGGGCTTTCTGCACTGGGAGAACGGTGATTATCCTGCTGCATGGTATGTATTCCCTTTGATGCAATAGAACATATCTGACGGTTCGTAATCGCAGGTATCACATTGGCCAGGGGATTGCGTCCATGTGGTGGCCCATCGTGAACAAGACACGAGGCATGTTTGCATTCTCCAAGGTCGTGGGCAAACTTGGTCAAACGGAAAAGGCTCGAGAACTCGAAACGAATGCGCAAAAGACGATGGCGGCGATGTTGAAAATTCATAGACCGGACATTTTCGCACTTTATAGTGCTGGGCGACTTCCGGACGACTTCATCTGCTATGATCACCTTGTTTCGATGCATGCTGGAAGGTTCACTATTGGGAAGCTGAAACACGAACTTTCCAATGATTTGTCACGCAAGCATTCGGCGGTGTGTGGGTTGAGCAATGAGCATTAAATTCGAGATGTTTGTGTAATCATAGCTACTGGACCGATGAAATCCGTAGAAGCGAACGTAAGAGTGCAGGAAAGGAGAATCCAACCATACGCTTTCAATTTGAATTGAGTGGAAACGACAACAAAGTTCAATTCGCCACTTTCCCTGTCCCACCTTGATCTAATCAGGGTAGGTGCTATTCAATTTGTGGTCTCATCATATGACATGCTATGAGCCCCGATCGTGTACAAGTTTTCCTTGGTGTAGTCGATCTCAGTGTTGCCGATGGTTTCGACCCAAGGCTTGCGTCGATCATCGGAAGTGTTTGAAGAGGTTGCAGAGTCCCACCACTGCTCAGCCTGGTCCTTCGCAGGGCTTGGGATGCCGCTTGTTTCAGGCGTCTTGCCTGGGGGCTTAGCCGAGGGGGAGGTTTGCTGGGCTGCTGGTGCCATTGTGTGTCTATTCCGTAATCAGCTCAAAATCAAGGTACATGGGAAGTGGGTACACTCACCGAAAAGCTGTCGTGGATTAGGCGGTTACTTGTGTATAGAGACTCGGGAGATTGCCATGAGGCTGTTTCTGGGATAGCAGGAGACTGAGAAGGCTGAGACTATATAGCCCACTCTGTTTGCCTTCAAGCCTCCCTAAACGATTTTCATCTGTGGATTATATTAACTTAAGTCTTATCAGGTGTAGATTGCCTGGGATGTTTGAAGGGGTCGTGCATGATCATTCGCCTATTGGACCTAGACACGGCACCACCGCATATGTTAGGAGAACGATCAAGCCTTCAGGATTCAGCCGGGGAGATCCAGGCCGAAAGCAGATCACGGTGCGACCACATCGACGTGGCAGGAGCTTATTGGCGTTAGTGAACGGGCGTTGTATACGAGGCTCAAGGCTATGGCAAGTGAATGGTCATCTGCAGTACGTAGTCCAGTCTCAGACGTCTATATCTCCAGGCTAGATCTTCAGCCTTTTGTAGATTCAAGCAGCTCTAGAGACGTAACACAATGACCACAACTACGCAACAGATGAAGCTGAAATACTTTCAATGGGACGAGAAATACAGGACGGAGAAGCCCTTCCAACTCTACGCTGATATTCCGGCAGGCGTACCAGACTCTATCCGGGGTAACGTTAAATTCACAGACGGCGAAACCGAGACAATTGAGGATGTGCGCGGCCAAGAAGAAAAATACAGCTTGGATAACCACGGGTTTGCTTTCTGTGGCTTCGAGACGGACTTCTGTGGCTGGGAAGAAAAAACGGCCGTGGAAACCGAGTATTACCGTCAAATGGAAGAAATCCTGACCACAAAAGTGCCCGGCGCAGACTTGGTACATATTTTTGAACATCGGGTGAGTTTACGCAGAGAATCGGTCCACTCTGGTACCAAATTGACTTATTACTGCTCTCTGTAGCTCAGACGTAGCGACCCTCCACGAGCGCCGGGACTCACAGTGAGCCTGAGTGACCCATCTCGATACTTGAGTCCCGCCGGAACGGTTCATGTGGGTGAGTATTGCAGCGCACGATACAAAATCTCCAAGATATGTGTTGACATATGAAGATTTAACGGCATGGGAGGCACTTGAAAAGATCAAGCAATTCACCCAACACGATGATACGCTCCAGAAAAAGCTGCTGAGAAGCCGTGTACAGGTCATCAAGTCAGTCGAGCCGAATTGCAGAGACAGAAAGCTAATGAGATTCAGTGTCTGGCGACCTTTGTACGATGTAATTCAAAATTGGCCACTGGCTGTTTGCGACGGATCTACGGTGGCTTCCTCAGAGCTCGTCGCAGTTGATCAGGTACGCCGACATTCTCGTGGCGATGGCCTTGTATTGCGGTACAAGCCTGGATACAAATGGTACTATTTGTCCCGAATGAGACTTGACGAGGCGTTGCTCTTGAAGAACTTTGACTCGAAACCGGCCGGCAAAGCAAAGTGTATGATATCTCTCTTGGAACTGGAAACCAGTATCTAACATCACAGTCGCTCCGCACACGTCCTTTCGCCCTTCCAACGTGCCTCGAAATGCACCCAAACGGACGAGTATTGAAGTCCGCGCGCTCGTTTTCTCGTTTGACCAGGACGATAAATAGTTGGTGGGCTGAAATTGACGAGCCAAGTCTGAGTTCGTGTGGGATGCTGAAGCGTTCATGGCAAGCAGATAAAGTTCAGATTTGCGACTACTTGGAGATCGTTAGGGGCCGAGAATGCTGAGGTGCCTTTCTTACTATCAATTTGGAGCTAGGAATATGTGGCCCGATGACTGCACTGTTCGGAACGAGAGAGAGCTTGAGTTTGCTAGTAGAAAATCAGAGAGAAGTTCAAAAGCTAGGTTCAAAGGCGTCGTTTTTGATTGCGCAGGCGGCGATAATACTGGTAAGACCAAAAGTACCGTATGAAACATCAACATCGTGATCTGACCCGTATTGTCGTACGGGCGTTCCTTCTGTATGAAAAGGACCGCAAGACCCGGCTAATAGTGAAGATCACGTCGGTTACTAGTGCACGACGTTGTTGTTGTTGCTGGTGGGTGCCTTTGAAGACATTGCTGCAAGATATGAAATACAGCTAGGTAGTCGAGGCTAAACGGTAGAAGAAAGGCAGGCTCATTGATGACAATACTACAGCCAGAGAAAACTCAATAGACGATGATAGGGGTGAGGGAAAATGAAATTAGAACCATGGTCCCAGGCTGGGACACTGCTTAGATTGTGTATTTCGAGATGCTTTCACCCGGCATTGCCACCACCAAGGCCTACATGCTCGCACCAATCGCGATAGGAAATGATGTCTGAAACGTGTTGATGTTTCCGTGATATCTTCTTTGTTTAGAAACCTTTTCGATTATCAAGTACATGGTCGAAACGAGAGTTGGTGATAGGAGCGTGGTGTTTCAAACCGAGATCCCCGCGGCGAGTCAAACCCCCTGGCGCTAAAACCCGTACTTCGTACCGCCATCGCGTCCATTACGTCTCGACACCAAAGCTGCATCACGACTTTCCTAGCCACCATCAGCCTCCCATACCTCTTACACCGCACACATACACTAAGCAGCCATGCACCCTCCCGAGATCGACCTCGCTTTCTCCAACAACACCCAGCTGCGAAAACGAGTTCATGACGCCATAGGCAAGCCCGCCGTAGCAGCCATTCAAACTCATCCAACTGACAACACCCTCAGACGAATATCCCGCCCAAAGTGCCCTCTTCCGCGACATATCCTCCTATATCCTCAACTTCTCTGGCGCGCAAACCTCCGTCGTCAACGGCGAGCCCGCGGGAAAGAAGCGCAAACTCGAGAATGGCCACGCGAACGGCGCAGCAGGCAAATCTACCACCGGGACATGGGCCGATGCTGTGACACAGACTGCGTGGAGAGGGACTGATACCAGCTTCTCGATTCCGCAGCGAAAGAAGCTTACCCTAGAGATGGTAAAGAAAGGTAACGGGGTGAAGGAAGGGGGGATTCGAGGCATCAATCCTGCAACTGGGGAGGTAGAGTTCGGGATCGCGTGGAAGGATGTTGGTATGTCAAACTCTCAATTCATTCTTCTCATGCGATTATGCGTGAATGACGAGGCTAACCCCTCTATCCACAGAGCAGATATTCTGCCTACCACTACCTGAGAAGGCAAAGCGACAACACAACTTCGTCGTCATCCCTATACACGGCGATGGCGTCAACCCGGTTCCAGAGGGTACGGCGACACCAGATTCGATTGTTTGGACATTTGCGGACGCGACGGGGAAGGATATCAAGGAGGGTGTGGATCCGGGGCCTGCACCTATCGCTGCGGTTATAAACGACTGTTTGAAGAGCGAAGGCGTGAATAAGAGGGTTGTTTTTCCCGATGAGAAGGAGTTCGGGAGCGCGATCGTGCAGGCTCACAGGAAGGGCGAGAAGGCATTTCACGTGAAGGGTCACCGAGGCAGCAAAGAAGGTATGTTAACGTATTTCAATCGGATTTTGAGCTATAGATCGCTAACTGTGACGCAGGATTCCTCTTCTTCACCTCTGTAGGCATCGTCTGGGCGTTCAAGAAACCCATAGCCTATTTCTCCTTCGACAGCATCAACGCTGTTTCCTATACCTCGGTCCTACAACGGACATTCAACCTGAATATTGGTGTTGTGGCGGACGATGAGTCGAAGCCGCAAGAGATTGAGTTCTCGATGTTGGATCAAGCGGACTACGCAGGCATCGACGCGTATATCAAGAAGCACGGTCTACAAGACGCGAGTATGGCGGAGCAAAGGAAGGCTAAGCGGCTTAATGTCAATCCTGCCATCAAGGCCGAGAATGGTGCGGGCGAGGAAGAGGACGGAGAGGATGGGGAGACAGAGCTACAGAAAGCGGAGAGACTGCTGCAAGATCAAGAGGACGAAGAAGAGGAAGATTATGATCCAGGGAATGAGGGCGAGAGTGACGGTAGTGGCAGTGAGGAAGAGGACGACGAGGGAGAGGGTTACGAGGAAGGTGTTGAATATGAAGAGGGGGGTGAAGGTGAAGGAGAGGAGTACGAGGAAGAGTATGACGAGGGTGGTGAGGAAATGGAGGGCGCAGAAGAAGGCTACTGATGTATCACTAGGCCGACTGCAAGGTCCCTATTATTCTTACGAAGATAGTAGAATCCCTCATATTGACGTAGTATCTATTTCCTCTAGTTGATGAAGCAGCGGATCTAATGCGCCCACTCTCCACCCAACTCCTTGTCTCCGATTCTCAACGGCTCTTCCACACTCTGGATAAACGCCACCCATTTCGCCCTGCCGCCATTCGGAGTGACATTTCTCGCCTTGTGCGCCGTCGCTCTCTGTACCAGACTATCCCCCACCTTCAGTAATCTCTTCTCACCAGAGTCCAGCTCCATCTCCATCTCGCCCTCAATCACCACGACCGTTTCCAACGTCATCGTCCGATGAAACGTACTCTCGGCTCCCGCATCCATACTTATCATGCAGGTGGCGCTGCCATTCTCGGGACAGATGCGACGCAAGCCAGCAAAGAAGGGTTGCAAGCGATCTTGCTGGTATTGCTCAATGTCGGATTCTGTGGACAGGTTTGCGGGAAAGGAGTGGGTAGATGAGAGGATTTGGATTTCGCCGATTGGGATGGGGATTTTGGGCGTCTGTGAGGGGACTTTGGGGGAGAATATGGCGGCGCCGGTTGCGTTGTGGGTCGTGATGTAGTGGACCATTCTGCGATCTTGCTGGGGAGGAGGATAAATGGTTTGATGATGAGACAAAAGGGTGGGTCTGACGCTGGCTATATTAGTTAGTAGTATATCTTCCCTTTGTTTGGTCCTTGGTAACTTACGACGTGGGTTTTGCTTTTGCTCCTGTAGTTATTCGGATATCTATCTTCTGCTTTGATAATCCATTTACTCTGGGTTGAACAACAGGAGTCAATGCCCACTTTATCCCAGACATTATTTGAGGCCAATGCTTTCCTCTCAATTTTGAGTGGCTCATAATCCATGATATCTTCTGTTTGTTCGGTTAACTCTGTGTTTGTAAGCCCCGCGCTTTTCGCGCTTTTCGAACTCCGAATATGTGTGCTCGCTGTTAACACGATACCGAGCCTTGAAACATGCTCGAGAGGCGTCCTATTACGTAGAGTCCTATTGGTAGCATGTGTAGAAGGGCAAAACATGGTGCAAAGCCAACAATTTATTTGCATGCTGTAATATAAATCGGACATTCTCTGCAACTATATCAACCTCGTTCATTAGCAGCAACTACATCGATCAATACCACAAACCAATCATGGCAGCCAGAGAAACTGTCCTCATCGTTGGAGCGACAGGAAACATCGGCATAGCCGCTGTCCTAGGCGCTCTCCGAGCTCAGCTCAGCGTTCTAGCAATTGTTCGCAACCAAACCTCCGCCGACAAGCTCTTCCAGCATATCGGCACACAGCAGTATGTAACTGTAGTGGAGGCTGACATCACGTCAGACCAAGGCGTACAAGGTGTTGTGGAGCAAGTCAAAGCTGGAAAATTACCATCCTTCCAGCACGTCTACGCCGCGGGTACGTCTTTGACAACCCCCCAAGCTAGATTATAGAGGACGTAGTACACTAATCTTCTGGGAATACAAGCCGGTGGAGCGTACTGGACAACGCCGTTGAAGGACCTGAGCACGCAGGCCTTGCGCGAGTTCATGAATGTCAACTTTGAAACAAACTTTTGTATGTTGTATCTTCTTTTGCTCCACTAGAGTTATTCAGTGCTGATGGGTATCAGTCGCATATCGCGCCACTATACCATACTTGCTGGAGCAGAACGCGGACAACAGCTCGTGGACGTTGTGCACAGGCTCGCAAGGGGATCTCGGACTCCGTGCAGCGCCTGCCATCTCACAAGGGGCGCTTTTCTCAATGGCCAGTGCAGCTGCGCGTGAGAATGTCGAGACGAATATCCGGTTTAATGAGGTTTATCTTGCGTGTCGGGTTGAGGTGGATGAGTCTGCGGAGAAGACGGGGGCGATGAGGGCGTCGCGGTTTGCTGATCATTATGAGACGGTTCTTTCGAGGCCAGAGATTAGGGGTTGTCGGATTAGTGTTTTTGGAGATGGCGATTTGAGGGAGCTGAGGTGTGAGACGAAGATAAAGAATCCGGGATGAGAAGTATAGTAAGGAGTTTGAAGCGAGATAGAGATTAGCTTATCATTCTTATATGTATAAGTCCTGCTTGTTTAAGTGATACGGTAACCTACAACCTTGGAAAGCGGGAGAGGGCTTAGACTAGAAGATTAGCTAATACGTTTCCAGCGGTCGTGGAGTGGTTGGTGCTTCGTTCACTTCTGCGTCCGCTTGGAGGAGTTAGACAACGCACAGCCAAATGTCTGACTGCCACATTGGAAGCTTGGACCAGGAAGTCGCGCATATCATCTAGGTAAGTGAAAATACACTGTGATTATTAGCGGGTCGTAGACGTCCTTATCCCTTCACATAGATTTCAATACTTAGTTCTCAATATAAGCCATTTCATACATTGCCAAGATTCTATACGAGCAAAATAGCTCGGCAAGGGGCTTAGAGCTCCTCCGCGATGACCTCGACCTCGAGGGTTCCGGCAAAATGTCCCGCTACCACATTACACGCCTACGCCACGTCTTCTCACCTCGAGATGCACCTTGAATACCTTTCTACACCTATCTTACCTATCCCTAATAACCCTTCTATACTTCCTGCACTGAGCGGTAGCTCTTCCGCCCTACCGTCTGACCGATGAGTACTGCGCGGTCACCTTCGCCCAGCAGATCCTCCCCTCAGCATGTCTCAACCCTGAGATCTATATTCATGAAGTCTCCAGATCATGCAATATCATCCTGGCGCTTCCTCCAATTCCTCGCCTTCGCATCCGCCATTGTCACCCTCACTGGGCTCACCTGGTTCTTCGGCGGAGGGTCCACCCACTTCTCCCTCTCGAAACCCTCCCTTCCACACCTGCCTACCGAAACCTCAGGACACCCGATCGACAGGCTCATTGCTTCAGCGGAGGAATCATTTCAGGATACATTAGCACGGCAAACCAAGAGCTTGAATGAGGCAGCAGCAGTTTACAGGACCCGGCGCGGCCGTCATCCTCCTCCGGGCTTCGATGCTTGGTACAAATTCGCGACCGACCGCGATGCGGTTCTCGTGGAGGATTTCTTTGACCGGATATACGATGATTTAGGCCCGTTCTGGGGGATCGATCCGCGACGAATTCGTAAACAGGCGCATGCGGCCGAGCAGGTGGTGATGATTAGGAATTTCACAACAAGTCAGAAGACCGACACAGATAGACCGTGGATGAACTTATGGGAGGACCTGATAAAGACGGTGGCGCATTCATTACCGGATGTGGATATACCGATCAATGTCATGGACGAGAGTAGGCTACTCGTGCCATGGGAGACGATCAACGAATACATGAGCGACGCCCACAAGACCATGCTCCCAGTCGAAGCTGTCGTGGGGGAGTATCAAGGTATGGAACACTTCCGAGATAACACCACATTCGATTGGCAATGGCTCGGTCCCCGAGTAACAGAGCCTGCATCGAGCCAAGGCCCGCGGTCATACTGGTCTCTTGTCCGACCTGCCTGTCCTCCAGATTCACCCGTGAGAAACACCCCCCTGTTTCAAGACATCTGGACCAAGGAATATCATCCAAAGCCCGAGCATGCGGCCGCTCAGCTCCTCCATCTCACATTCCCAGGATCGTCCCATCGTGGCTACGTTCAGAACTGGACGGAAGCCACCGACCCGTGTCAGCATCCGCACCTCCAAGGCCTCCATGGCAATTTTGTCGAGCCTCTGTCTATGAAAACCTCGCAGAAGCTCTTTCCCCTCTTTGGTGGCTCCAAGCTTCCAATGAACAACGAGATTCTCCTCCCGGCTGCTATGTACTGGAGTGACGACCCGCTCTACTCCGGCGGCGACTCCAACGGTGGCGATTGGGGATCGAAGAACAACTCCATCATGTGGCGCGGCGCTGCAACCGGCGGCCGTAACAGAAAGGAGACATGGCAGCGCTTCCACCGGCACCGCTTTGTGTCCATGCTCAATGGCTCCCAGGTTGCCGCCGCAGAACTAACCCTCAATCAACTCGCCGATAATGTTGCCGGTATCGGACCTGGAGGGAATATGCGCCTTGCCCCATCAAATCCCTATAACCTGCACCACCAAACATCCGGCACCCTGGGCTCGTACATGGCCGATCTCACGGACGCGAGTTTCTACGACCTCCTCTGCAGCCCAGCTGATGCTGACTACGACCGAGAGTTCTACGCTGTAACAAAGCGCGTTCCAATGGCCGATATGTACGAGTATAAGTACCTACCAGATATCGACGGGAACAGCTTTAGTGGGCGGTATAGAGGCTTTTTGCGCAGTTCCAGCTTGCCAATCAAGGCGACGGTATATGCGGAGTGGCATGATAGTCGCCTCATGCCGTGGGTACATTTTGTACCCATGGACAATACCTTTATCGACTTCTATGGGATCGTAGAGTACTTCCTAGGCGAAGAGCCGGATCTATCTCGGCCCGAAGAGCCAACGCCATCTGAAGCGCCGGGGCCGGAGTCCTCGGTGTCTAGTGATGGCGGAGAGAAGAAACCAGACGGGGAAGAGAGGAAGAAGGCAGAGAAGCGCCGCCCACCAATAATACAAAACAAGAAGAACGGCCATGATGCCGCGGCCAAGAAGATCGCGCTGGCGGGACAGGAATGGGCGGAGAAGGTACTCAGGAGAGAGGACATGCAGATTTATGTGTTTAGGCTCTTGTTGGAGTATGCCAGGGTCTGTGATGAGCGGAGGGAGAGACTGGGGTGGGTGCAGGATTTGAAGAAAGGATGAATGGTATGTATGGTACATGCATCGAAGCCTTCCATCCATTCACAGATACCCTATAAGAAGAGAACCTTGTTCATTCAACTATTATTATGATACCCTTCCCGTTTTTTCTCATCAACTAATTATCGGCTCTGTCTTATCCGGTCGATATAGCATGCATCCTCAAGTGTTGGTTGACCTCTAGTATACACTTCTTTGTCCTTCTACTCATCCATTATCTACTCGCCCAAATCCTCTCAAAGGAACGGGTGTCTACATTTCCCATCACATTCCAATAAGCTTTACGGGGTGGATCGATAGGGTGTTTATATGACTCCTAAGGGACAGCCATCACAAAATCCCTCATTCTACAACCTAACAAGTCACCCGATCTCTGACTCGCAATCCCAGTTATGAAGCCTTGGTATTCAACTATGCAACGCTATGTTGCGGGAGAAGTTCTCTAGCTGTGTTTATGCGATATTGAAGATGCCGATATGCACGGAAACCCCCCGGAATCCGGAATATCGCAGATCTGTCGCGCGACCAAGACCTGGGGTATGCTAACAGGGTGGAGACTCCTCTATACACAGGGTAACCTTAACCAAGAAGTTGGGAATTTATAAGTTAGGGATTCATGGCTTCGAGCACTAGGCTTTTGTGTGTTTCGGGAATCAGCACTCTTCTCAGTATTGATATCACGTGATCAGGCAATCCTAGAACGAAAGGACTTGAGCGCTGGAAGAGGCAAAATACAATGGGTCCCATTACTTCTGGGAGCAAGGCCAAAAAGCTTGCGGCTGGTCCGGAACTAGCAGCTGTAAGTTTGTCCATTCAATCGTAATAGATTTTCAGAAGCCTGACCACGTTTGACCGCATCAAGCTGCTACCACAAGACCCCAAACCATGGTATCTCACGAGGCATCTGTTGATGTTGAACCTCGTGCTTATGGTTCCTCTCTTCTCAACAGCCAGCATTGGCTATGATGGTACACAGTCCCCCTTGACTAGCTCCCTACGCCTACTCACACACATCCAGGCTCAATGATGAACGGTCTCCAATCTCTCCTCATCTGGCGCGCCTACTTCAAGCACCCAACAGCCTCCATCCTCGGCACCATGAACGCCGTCTACCCCATCGGAAAGTTCTTTGGTGTATTCTTTACCGCGTGGATGGGTGATCGATACGGCCGCAAATTGCCAATGTGCATCGGCTTCCTGCTGCTCATCCTTGGCGCTGGTCTTCAAGGCGGTGCAAAGAACGTAGCTATGTTCATCATCGCACGATTGATCTTGGGCTTCGGGACTGCATTTGTAGCACAGCCGAGTCCAATTTTGATTGCCGAACTAGCCTATCCGCTGCATCGAGGCAGAATCACGGCTATCTACTACAGTACTTACGTGAGCTTATTATATATTGGATATATGACGAGAAGAAGAATAGATGCTAACCTCTAGGCAGTACGTCGGCGGCATTATCGCAGCATGGGGCACATATGGCACATCCCACCTCCACACTCAGTACTCCTGGCGCATCCCCTCGTACATCCAAGGTGCCCTCCCGGTCATCCAACTCCTCTTCCTCTACTTCGTCCCAGAGTCACCTCGGTATGCATCCTCCCCAATTTCCCCTCAACGCTTCCCAACTAACGACCCCTAGCTGGCTCATTGCCAAAGGCCGCCATGCCGAAGCCCACGCCATTCTCTCCAAATACCACGCGGGTGGCGACACCGCCTCGCCCCTCGTCGCCTTCGAGCTCGCCGAGATGGAAGGCTCCATCCAAACCGAGCGGACCGTCACCTCCGAAACCAACTACCTCGACCTCTTCCGCACGGCGCCAAACCGCCGCCGGACGCTCATCGCCATGATCGTCGGCTTCTACGGCACCTGGTCCGGCATCGCCATCATTGCCTACTACCTCACCCTTGTGCTTGACACCATCGGCATCACCGACACGTCCAGCCAAGTCCTCATCAACGGCCTGACCCAAGTCTTCAACCTGCTCATGTCCATCACCAGCGCGCTCCTCATCGACCGCATCGGCCGCCGCCCGCTCTGGCTCGTCGCCGTTGCCGGCATGCTGTGCTCCTACATCGCCTGGACCGCGCTCTCGGCCTCCTTCGCGCACACGCACGACGCCGCCACCGGCCGCGCCGTGCTCGGCTTCATCTTCCTCTACAAGCTCTTCTACGACGGCAGCTTCTCGCCCATGCTGCTCGCGTACCCGATCGAGATTTTTCCGTACACGCTCAGGGGCAGGGGGGTCACGGTGAGTATTGCGACGAATCAGGTCGCGTTGATTGTGAGCCAGTTTGTGAATCCGGTTGCGTTGACCAGGATTGGGTGGAGGTACTATATTGTGTTTTGTGTGCTGTTGGCGGTGTTTTGGGGGCTGGTGTGGTTTTTGTTTCCCGAGACCAAGGGGAGGAGTTTGGAGGAAATTGCGGAGGTGTTTGATGGGAGGGGGATTTCGGTGGGAAGCTGGAGGAGGACAGGGATGAGGAGGAGGAGGAGGAGGGTGGGAAGGGGGTGGAGTTTAGGCAGGAGGTTGTAATGTAGGGGAGGGCTGCTGATGAAGAGGGGGTGGTGGTTGCGTGAAAATGGGTCTCGGCTGGTATGGGAAAACCTTCTTACTGCGATGTAAAGGCGCCGCACTGTTGTTCTTCCAGGCGGTGTTTGACCCCGTCTCTCCTCTCAAACATCATCACGCGCCTAGTCACGACCTGTCTGAGACATGACAAACCTCTTCAACACTTTAGCAATTATTGCTTCTCTAAATGTCCTACCATTACTACCTACCATTTTTCCACTCCATATTGCCTCTTCTCCCCTCTTCTCTCTAATATCATCCCAATCCTTCCGCCCAACATGTCTCCGTCACTGGCCTCACCCGAAGAGATACCAGAATGGCGCTTGCTCCTTCCAGAAGCCCCGTGGGCTAGCGTACCAGACGATAAGATGGCAGTGCTGGTGGCTGAGCATAAGGAGGCGGAGAGAAGAAGAAAGGAAGAGGAGGTTAAGAGATTTTTGGTTAGGCATAGGGGGTTCGTGGGAGATAGGTTGGAGGGCAATGATGAAGGGGAGGAGACTGAGAATGACGGGGAAGAGGGTGATGGGGAAACGGGTTTGGTGGAAGACGGAGAGGTTGGAGCTGAGGAAAGGGGAAGAGAAGAGGAAGACGAAATTGGAGGAGATGGTGAAGAGCAGGGAGAGAAAGACGGTACAGAAAATGGAGATGAGCAGCAAGAAACGCACGACAGCGAGGGTGATGCCGAGGACAACCAAGTCGACGATGCACAGCGAGACCAACCACCTCCAATCTCTGAATGCTGCGATATCGACAGACCCCAGCTCAAGGATGTTTCCGCGCCTACTCGCATGGATCCTGTGTTATCAGAGCTGAACGCCAATTTCAACACCGTCCTCTCCAAGTTTGTCACAGCCGCAGAGGGGCTACGCGACTTCAATGATCTATTCCAGAAGGTGATATGCGAAAGTAAATCGTCGCACAATATGAAGGACAAATGGACTTCCAACGAACGGAGAATAAAGGATGTAGCCACACAGACTCCAGAATGGGAGTATGAGGGAAGAGGCCGAGAGTTTGAAACGAGCGTCGGAGATGCGATTCAAAGATTGAAAGGGTTAATTCGGCAGTTGGGGGCAGTTGAGAAGAGTGCTGGAGATGGGGTGAAGGACAGCGAGGTGAGGTTAGAGGAGGGAAGGGAGCTCGAGGATCACGAGAGGTTTCAAGATGCGAACGAAGGAGACTAAGGAGAGAGAGATTTCTATGAATTTCTTTTGTCCTACGACTCTAATAGATGCCACCTGAACATAAACCACATCCCGTTGCTGCGTCCCAGTTTAAGAAATAGTTGGCTTCCGTCTCTTCCTCTTGGAGGCGATTGGGTACTGATCTGGTTTGAAATTGATACGTAAGAATTGCGGAACAGTATCAACGTCTGCGTCCAGAAGCTTTTGTGTTTGATTGATGAGGTCCAAGCCTTCCCGTGCCTTGTCATGTAGTCGCGCAATGGTGGGCCGACCTCGCTTGTGGGTTTGCAAACAGTCGATAATCAAGTCTTCGAGCCGCTTCGAGTATAAGTACTTATAGGACTCGTTGTTGATGCTGGGTTTTTCCAGTAAGTCCTCCACGGGTATTGTCTCATCCAGTTCAGTTGGCGCTTCGCGATCGAGGGCATTTTGTGCCTTAATCCCCGCAACCCGACGGGTCAGGGAGTAGAGAATGATTCCTATCTCCCACACCATGGTTTTTCCGCTAACGGGCAGGGCGACCTCAACTTCCTGGACACTGAGTCAGTATACTATCATTTACTTTTCGCTCGATCATGCACAAACCGGTGCCAGGTAACCAGGTGTGTCCAGCTTGTGACGTCCTCCTGAAGTTGCTAGATCACCCAGATCTGCAAGCAGAGGGTGTTTATACACGGGATAGTATGCGGTTTGTGCCTCGCCAAGAAGAATGTTCTCGGGTTTGATATCCGTGTGCACATACCGAAGCGGTGGATCATCACTACCCTTTACCTTTTGGTTACCATCTCCGGCCTGGTCGTCATTTGAGCTCACTGAAATGTCGGATGCGTGGACCGAGTCTAAATCCGACGAAGGTTCATCGCCCCAAATCAACGTTTTACAGGCGCTGGCCAATGATTCCGCCACGTACCAAATAAACGGTTCGGGAATTTGGCCACTAAAGAAGCATTTTAGAAGCCGTTTTAAGGCTAGAAGTCCAGCAAAAACTCACTATCTCGTCTTGCCATACTCTTCGATAATTACATCCAGAGTACCGAACGGAGCGTAGTCCATGTAAACGATCCTACACTCAAGTCAGTTCCAAGGATTCCTTTTACCCTAGAAGTTACCAAAGGAACTCCAAGTTGAACTAACCACCGAGATTCCGTGCCTCCCGCACGTCTTGCCGCCGTTCTAAACGTGGGAACGTTAGGATTATCGTAAATTTCGGACATTGCGTAATGGATTGCTATTTCGGGAGGCGTATCTGTCATCTCGAACAATTCCTTGTCCGTGTACGCTTTCCACGTTCCCTCTGGGATCGGTGGGCCAGCGGCTGCCCCTTCTTCCGGACGGTCTGCAACATCGACTATATCGCTTGCGTCATCTCCTAAAAGATGTTTCGCGATCATTCTCTACGTATCTGACGTTAGCTCAACACATGTCGCATCTCGAAGGTTCAACCCACGTCTTTTATGCGTCCGTTGTCACCTACTCTAACGAAAAGCGCGGCCGTCGAGTTTGCTCCTACGTCTGACATCCACTGGAATTTCCAACCTGCCTCTGGTATCATGTCGGCAATGGCTTTGGCAATTGGTAGCACCTTTATCGGGAGCTCGGGAGATGGTTCTGGGTCCTCTCTATCTGAATCTGCATCTGAGCTTGGACCTGACGAATCATCATCATCATCGCCACCACCTGGCTTCCTAGGACGCGCACGTTTCTTTCCCTTGTCGATTGTACCTGGAGGCTCGATGGCTGGTGATTCAGGCTGGGGGGATGGCGATGGCGATGATGATGATGATGATGATGATGATGATGATGATGATGATTCCTCCTCCCGTGGCGGATCTCTGGGAGGATTACGAGGAATTCGATTGGCGGGAAGAGTGGCAAAGTCCTTTCGATAACGCGCGCTTGAAGGCTCCCAGATATTATCGATGTCAGCCTGTGAGACGGTTCTCCATGCTGCACCGGCATCTCTTTGCGATACTCTCCTAGACAAGCATTAGAACTGCAATGGAGTCATGGGCGGGCCTGGCAGCTTGCCCATTGTAAGTTCTCCGTTTCAGAGATTCCCAGTGAGCGAAATAGCCATATGGCATACCGCCTCTCGGTGGTGCTCGACCACGGCCTCTCGGTGGTGCTGGACGACCGCGCGCCATGTCGACCAAAAAGGTACGTGCTTGCCGATGTTATGAGTGAAAAGGCACGATTGAAAGTATATGCTTGAGCTTCCGCTGTTTACAGTGTATTGAAGTCTCGTAGGTAACTGCAAAATCGCCGCGATCCAAAAGTTGAGCTTGGGGAAGTTCTAGCCAAAGAGCAGTTATAAGTCTTTGTTATAATGCATATTACTTGCATCTTCGCTTTGTTTCGACGAAAGAAAATTAGCTGATCGCTAAGCGAAGTCCGCAAACGTCTTGATAGCGAGACGAGATCCTCGGCTTGCATTGACATCCCGCGGAATAGAGATCCGATTTGCTTCTATGGTGCAAATAAACCAAAGAGGTTCTGCCTCAACAGAAGAGCTTGAGTGGCCAAAACAAGTCTCGGACAGGAGGCTCTAACTCCATATCGAGCGGAATCTACCTTACGCCTCTTCCGCTTTGGTCTTCGTTGCCCAATTGTAAACCCATTTTCTTGAAACTTTACTCTCAAGAAATCAGGAACCTTATCCGCCTCTTTCGTTCGCAGTCCTTGGGCTTTATCTAATTCAGCCATGCCCTCCTGCGCTTGACGCTGCAAGGACTGGATGATAGGCCTATCTCTTTTCCACTGGATGATAGGCCTATCTCTTTTCCACTGGATGATAGGCCTATCTCTTTTCCGTTTTGCCAGACAAGACTTTATCAGTTCTTCCAAGCGTAGTGAGTTATTTTGCTCTGAGTTCCAATCAACCTCCAATATCCCACCTATTGCCATCGCTTCGCCTTGCAAAGCAGGGCCCAATCCCCAAGCTCGACGCGTCAAAGAGTACAAAAGCAGCCCAATCTGCCAGACCATGCTTTGGCCGGTGACCCGTCTCATAGGCCCTCGAATAGCTTCCTAAAGTAGTCATTAGCAAAAAAGGCTTATATCTCCTCTAGACGATATACGTACTGGAGGCAAATAGCCGGCCGGTAGTGCCCCCGGTCGAGCTGGTGTTCCTGACACTGCTGTATCGGCCAAGTCTGCAAGGAGCGGATGCTTGTAAGCGGGGTAATAGTCATCTCGCGCATCAGCGAGGAAAATGTTGTCGGGTTTGATATCAGTGTGTACGTGAGAGGGAAATTTTCGCTTTTCTGCACTTTTCGGGCCTTCTTCTGCGTCGTCCTGGCTATCCCCAGCCAAGTCTTCTCCCTGTCGCGGGAGGAATGCAACCGCGACCTCGTCCTCATCCTCATCCTCCTCAATTTCTTTACGGGGCGGAGTCTTTAGTGTATCCTTCCACATTGCGTCTTCAAGCCCGTCGAGGTAGTCTTCAAAATCCTCATCATCTTCTTCCTCTTGAAATTCCGTTTCTTCGAGCTGTTCTTCCTGAGGCACTTGTTCTTCCTGAGGTGCTTGCTGCGTTTCTTCTGGTTGAAGCCCCTGGGTCTGCGGACTTTTCTGCGAGGATTTATCCCTGCTATTTCCCTCCATGTACTTCCTAGCCAAGGCTTCCGCTCTGTCCTTCTGATCGCTTACTAGCTAGTAATCATTTCTCAAGGCCGCAAGGGTATTTTCACAATTTTCAAGGGCGGATTTGAGGTTATCATCCCCCTTCTCACCACCCAAGGGAGAGCGAGGTGGGCGTCTAGGCCCTTCTCCGTTCGAAGACGTCCTGCCGTTCCTGGAGATGGCCGCTGATTATCTGTATCAGAATCCGAATCCGGCAAGTGAGTTGGATCTAGTGGCGGCTCTTTCTCATCATCCGCGTAGCCCGTTTGCCTCCCCCATATCAAACTCTCGCAGGCGTTAGCGACCGATACGGCTATATACCATATAAAAGCTTCAGGAATCAAGGCATTTGTCTTTGTCGTGTCGCCATACTTTTCAATAAGGCCTCTTAGAGTACCAAACGGGGCATAATCCATAAAGAGTATCCTACGAGAAGGTCAGCTTGATCACTCAAAACTGGTCTCAAAACCACGCTAACGATTGGAACGGACCACGTATCTGCACCTCTTCGTTTTGTCGCTCCTCTGAACCCGGGGACGTTTTGGTTTCGATATATCCTCGACATGATATAGTGAACTGTTATTTCAGACGGGTCTTCCGGTTCGAGCTCCAAAGCCTGGTCTCCTACTAACAGATCCCAACCAGAAGACTGTTGAGAGTTATTTGCCGGAGGAGCAGGACGATTCATTTGCTTTGCGATCATTCTCTGCTCCCCGTAAGTTAAATTGAAGTTTGGCTTCTTAGTAGAAAACTGTCCTTAGTAGTTACGTCCTGTACGTACCCTTCCCCGTCTATACGGATGAAAAGAGCTGTGATCGACTGCATCCCTTGCGTAGGCACTAGTTGGAATTTCCACTCTTCTGGAAATGCCTCGGCGACCGCATCGGCAATTGGTCGAACGAATGAGCGGATTGAAGCCGATGATGTATCCGAACCTTCATCGGACTCGTTACCGTCATCCCCCAGATCTGAGCCACCGGGACCGCCACGTGGTGTAGCAGTTCGTCTTCCTTTCCTACTGGTTCCATGGTTTGAATTATTGGCTCTACTTCCGGAGTCTGAGCCTGACGTTTCATCGTCCGGATTTCCGGATGGTGCAGCAACTCTCCCTGAATTATTTTTTCCTTTGCCGGTCTCTACAGGTGGATTAGCCTCTCTCTCAGGTATATCGGTCACAATCACATTCGCTCCCGGCTCCGTCTCATCATCCGAATCAGGTACCGGTCCTGGAGATGCGCCAGCCTCATCCTCAGATGTACCAGTCCCTCCCACAGGTGCTACAGCCTCATCGTCCGCACCACCGTTCGTTCCATCATCTGCGATGTCTTCTGAATCGGACGGGGACGACAACGCTTCAACCCACGGTGGATCTCTGGGCGCATTACGAGGACATCTATTAGCAGGAAGCTCGTCAAAGTGGTCGTGATAACGGGGGCTTGACGGCTCCCATATGGTATCAATATCAGCTTGCGGAAGCCGTGCCCATGCTGCTCGGTGTCGTGCGGCCGTTACCCTTCTAAAAGAGAGTCAGCGATTTTCATCGCTAGACGGTTCTTCTCGCTACGATAAGCTTGCCTACTAGAGGTTCTTTCTAAGTGCGTTCCAAAGGTATTCCAGCCATATGGAAGGATCGAGTCTCGAATCGGTCTACTACCTGGCATTTTGTGAGAAAAACTGGATCTTCTAGAAGCGTGAAGCAATCAAAGGGCTTAATTGATAATTTACGCGTGAACTCAAATTTAGTTTTAGCAACCAATCCGAAACAGTTTTCAGACTGACGTTCATCCAGACCCATCCTCAGAATTCTTTGTCAATCCAGCCCACTTCAGCCCCGTTTCTCTTTGTCCGAATGAATCAACCAAGAAGAAAAGTCCGCAAACGTCTCCCTACCAAAACAACCATACTATTGGCTAGAAATACTGTTCACTCACTCCCGCGAAGTAACAACATACCTCAAATCATCAAGCATCAAACCGCCATACATATCCCCACCATCATCCTTCCGAGCAATCGCAAACCCCAAACTCTTCAACCCACTCCATTCGCGTCCAAAATCTGTCTTATTCATCTTGAAATCTTCAATGATATGTCCAGAGTCAAGTCACGGGAACGTAATCGTGGTGTGAAGCGTCTTCGCTCTTCCCCAGGGTCGGAAACCCCAAACGCTGATTGCGCATTCTGGTTGCGGGATCCCGGAAACGCAGGCGTAAGAGAAGGACTTCAAATCGAAGGTAGCATGCGACGAGTTCGGAATAGTGATGTTCCTTGACGGTCTCGATATAACTCTCACAAATTTCACTATATTTCTGAGGCGCCGAGCGCTTATCGAGGAAATGAACAGGGCGAAGATGGCTCTGCAGCTCGATTCTGAAAAATGATCGGATTGTATCGATGTTCGCCTTAGCTAGTGCAACAAAGAATGGAGACCCATACAGCTCCTGTTCAGGGTTGAGATAGGAAAGGCGATGTGGGTGGGCTGCGATAAGTTCGGACATGTTCTGTTCGGCTAGGATATAAAGCAGGCTTGCTTTTGGAGTATACAGCGGTTGGTCCGAGAGTGTGTTGACGAGCTGGATCCAGTGGGTCAAAGGGAAGTATTGCGACAATTGGGCTTGAGTGACGCCGTTCCTTTCTGCCTCATTGGCGTGATACAAGATGTTCTCTACTGCATATCTTGCAAATATTGGTAGGGGATCAAGTGACGGTGGAAGGTGGTCTTTACTCGAGCATAGAGACTGTGTCCATTTTCCTCCGTCTTTCTGGTGGCAATAATTTGGAAACTCAACTTCGTCTAGAGTTCCAGATGCTGGAGTGGCTAAACCTTCCAAGAATCTAAGACAGCAGCGCTTCAAGCGATCATGACTATTGCCTTGAAAGGCAGATTGACGCTCCCTCCATATCTGGCCGATGGCATAGTCGCTATGTAGAAACTTCGGCAAGGACTCATGAATAAATTGGACAACTGGCACATGTGCGTGCGTGATCTCCACAAGCCCTTTGGATGCATCCAATAGGAACTTTGCCGCTAAATCCTCTGTAGGTTGGTTTCGGGCGCTCTCTCTCATCGTCCTCAGAGCTTCCGGATTGGCATCCGAGAGTATGGCGAAGTAAAGCTCCATCGGTGTTTGGGGTTTCTTCGCGAAAAGGATCCATTGGAGACAGAGGAGTAGCTTGTCCTCGCTGTCATTCTCTCTTTTTGGCGTGAGGATATGACGGTAAAGCTCGTGAAGATCTGCAGGTATCATGTCAAGTCGATCCCGAAATGAACACCTGCGGCCCCAATCAGGGTCCTTGTTGAGAGTTCCAACGACGAGCATTGCCCACAGAAAAACTCCAGATGCTTTTCGCTTGAGCGCTTGTTGGGTAGCCTGTGTAGGTATACCGGGTCTCGTCTGAAGCTTGTGCTCGATGTATCTGAGGATGTCCAGATTATGGCCTTCTTGCTCCTCTAAGCACACCCTTCGGCGGTCCTGGGTAGGGATTCTCGGATCGTATCTGCTGGAGAAGCACACTCTGAAGATAATCTGCTTCTTCGCACACAGCTCTGAAAGTCTTGCAAAGAAGGTTATCACATCTCGACTGTCGGATCTCTGGCACTCATCAAGCGCATCGATAAAACAAAACGTAGGCCGACCAGAACGGGGTATGAAGTATTCGAGAAGTTCCTTCAGTGCGGAGGTCTGCCACGTTGAGAATCCACCTCGCATCGATTGCTCGAGGGCATGTATTTCACGTGGGATTTCTTCGGTGCCTTTGAGTATCTGCAAGAGCAAAGACCGATACACCCCCTTGGCTGTCTTCTGTAAATCCGTACCTCGAGCATCGAAGAAAAACGCGATTCTGGAGTCGTCGCCCTGTCTTGTGCGATGATACGTGAAGGCAAATTTGATTATTGTGGATTTCCCGCTCCCGGAGTTTCCCCTGATCCAGAGAAAAGGATCTTCTTTCATGTTATTTGAAAGTGCCGACCAGCTCATATATTCCGGACACTCGAAGATCCAATCACATGTCGTATCATAAGCATGCTTGATTGTCATTTGACGCTTTTCAATATCGGAGAATCGCAGCGAGTCTAATAGAGCTTGTCTTTGTTCTACGGTGAGTTCTCTTATCGTATTGCTTGATCTTACTACCATGTCAGCTCAATCCCTTCTTCTCTCTACTGGGTTTTGGCTGACCCGCAATTGTCCAGAGCTCGCCTAAGCTAGTAAAGGACTTGTTGATAATCTATGTCTGCTTGGTTGCTGAACTTGATCATTTCCTTGTGATCCGCCTGGATCGGAAGGATGTCTTCAGAGTGACTGTATATTTGTGCTCCATCCATGCTAACAGCAACATAGCTATCGCGTCGCTGCCCATCGATCAACTAAGCAATGTCAGCAAGTGTTATGATGTGCTAACAGATCTACGCGCTTCTCACGTACTGGTGCGACGGTGAGCTTCTGTTCTACACAGGTGATGAATCTAATGTTCGTGCGGAGCTGAGTCAAAGTATCACGGAGCATTCGCAGGACCATTGAGTTGGGCTGCAGATCGCGGAGGGTTCTCGTCATCGACGAATGGATGCGGTTCATGGTAAGAGGTTCAATTGGCTCAATGCTCATGCCTTGATGAGGAGTGCCGAAAAAGGTAGCGCATCGGATCGCACTCAGAGTTTGATCGTATTCTGGTTTGTCTCTCCGGTGAAAGGACAACTCATGGAGTGTCTGATTAGGTCAGTACGAAGCTACTTAGGTTACAAAGTTGACCTCGATGACATACCCAGGTTATGATAGTGCCCCCGAAGCTGTGACCAACGAGGAACAATGGACGCTCCTTATCCTATACGCTACGTGAGTATAATATCCGACGCCTGGAATCCATCGTCAAGGCCATACCTCTGCAGTAGGTCGTAAAACCCAAAGCTGGTTAAGCAGCTGCCGACCATAGTCCGAGAGCTGCGACGTAGAAGTGTCCGCTTGTAGGTTTGCTTCATAGCCCAAATGATAAGATTCGAAGCCCTGCTAGGTCATGCCCGAGAAAGTCACGCGGCCAGCATTTGCCGTTCCGCGCCGTCCACGACCCAATCGCATGACCGTTGAGCCCGTGAGCGAAGATGACGCTGTGAATCATTTAGCCAGTTATACGACAAATGATGTACATGGTAAGATATACTCAGCCTTTGGTGATTCTCCTTCGCTAGGCTCAAACAGAGTTGTCAGGCCAAGGCAGTGACAGAAGATGATTTGACAACCGCCGATATCCAGGTCAATCACACGATCGGACCCGTTGTCCAAAGTTGACAGATCATCTGGTACAGTGGAATTGAAGGTGACTAGAGCGGTGCTTGAAGACTGATTGAGGTGCCTACAAAGCGAATCGACTCGCAAATTATGGCTCGGAAAATTTTGCTGGAGACGTTCGCTCAGAAGTTGCTTGGTCCACTCGCACGGTATCTCTTCAGCTCGAAAGACTCGCCTCCGTGCCGGAGCTGCACGGGATGCGACTGCAAGAGGCTGGCCAATGGAAGCCATGATGCAAAAGGTACCCCACGAGGACTCAATTCTTCGGTTTAAATGCCGTTAGGGGTAAGTGGTATGATTGAAAAAGCATTATTAGGCATAAACAGCCACCTTTATATCTTCGCTCAGTCTTTAGATGATGGTGCGACAGTTTTCCGCCAAATTTAGCTCTGCACTCACACTAAGGCTGAGTTCAGCCTTTCAAGGCTGGCTCAACCTCGAAAGGCTGGCTCAACCTCGAACGTGGCGTAGAAAATTGTCCAACCACCAATGCCACCAACATATGCACATTCCAAGACTTCCACATGTTTAATTTCAAGTGGCTGGTTTGCCAGGAGGTAAATCCAGGCATCGAGGCCTTCTGCCCGCTTTTGATCAGATACATGTCGCACATCCCTGCAGTGTAACGGTGTTCTCTACCTCAGGCTAAGTTCCAGACTTTTCACGGTTGCCTTCTCGTATTTTCTAACCGGGCGCAGGTATCGTAGCGCTACGATGCCAATCAACCAATGCTACGACCATCTCCGAATTTCAGGATTTCTATATCTTGATTTAAAGTGGCTCGTTTGCCTGGGCGGCAAGTTAAGGCGTCGAGGCCTTCTGATTTTTGACCGGAAGCGCATGCTTAAGTACGTAGGCCAGCAAATGTAGCCCAGGGTGAGTTCCGTTGTCAAAGGCAAGCTTCATCGAAGACCTACCATTTTACATTTGCCGCAAGATCCAAAACATCACAAGACTATGTATGGAAAAGCATACGCTTTTCTTGAATTTTTACCCGCCGAGCCTGAAACATGCCAGCCTGGCCACACTCCATGGTTGCCTGGTTACCCCGATCTGGAGATGGACAAGGTCGAACTACTCTCAGCCTTCCTCGCGGACGATCTAGAGTGCAAAGAATTAGATCAGATGTCAGACTGCCTTTGGCTTCTGTCTACACAGTCAAGTGAAAATATCTCGCAGCTACATAGACAAAGAGTCAAGGGTAGAGAGATCATACTCACGGAAGAGCCGAAGCTCCACTTGATCTGGTTCTACGACAAAATCCACATCAAGCCGATGCCCCGGTATCTCCTATCACGTAGTTTCTGGCAGCAGCTTCTTTTAGATCCTCAGCAGCCATTAGCATTGAGGCATAATATAATCCTCACAAGCGCGCTCGGATTCCTTCGGTCTTACGCCCACTTGATTCGGTACGAGTCCGACTTTCGCATCGCAAAGGATAACACTCTGGCGCTCATTCCTGATTTTGTCAGCTGGGAGCAATGGCGTCTTCTGCGCGCCCAAGTACTCGTGGTCCGAGATGAAGAGGTCTCAGCAAGGTTCAGATTTGGCGAAATCCGACTTACGAGGCTGAACTTCTACTGCAAGTTCCTTCTCTTCGAAACATACTACTACCGCACCCATCGACAATACGGGGACTATTTCGCCAGCTTTTATCCATCGCTACTGTTCTTGTTCGGCATCATCTCGATTATGCTTGGGGCGATGCAACTGGCGGCGACTGTCGAGCAGCTTGACGAACAGTGGCGTTGTCTCTTAGGGCTTTTTCGCATGTTCAGCGTAGTGACCATGGTGATCACATTTCTGTTACTGGCCACCCTGCTTGTGCTTTTTGCAATCAAGATCACTAACGAGTGGATTTTTGCATTGCGTTGTCGTTATTCTCGGGGACCCAGGAAGTCAGGAACCAGGTTAAATCCGTAAAGAACAATATTGAAATGGGCGACATAGAGGCGAGAAGTTGACATGTGGAGCTTACTTCATGATAAAACGTCGGTAGAGGGGTGAGAGAGGAGCTTCAATTGGGAAGTCGTCATCTGGTTCTTCGTCATTTTCCATAGTATTGTCTACACAGCATAGGTACCACGTAAGCCATCCACTCTATGGTTGCTTATATACTAGACTTAGATTTCTGTGCCGCCGAGCGTCTCATTCTACAAGCCTGAAAAGACGTAAGATCTTCATATCGTAATTCGCACTGCTGTACCTACTGCTAGTATCACCGCCCTTATCCTACCGACAATCATCGCTCAGCCGCATAATCAAAAATTCTCCGTCACATCCGCATTAACCTCATGCACCTCCTCCTCGCCTATGCCCCCCGCCTCCCTTTCGCGTCTCACCTCCCTCTCCTCCCTCACCTCAAAATTACCCTCAAAGGTCCAAATAACGTGATACTCGATCTCGGCCTTACCATCATACCCGCCGCCATCGTCATACTCTTCCTCTTGCTCTTCCTCGGACTTGGAGTTGGAGCTGCCATGGTCTTCAAGGCTGCCTACAAGAGTTGTGTACGCGTTATGCAGCTCGTCAAAATTAATCTAAGCTTGGTATCGTGCGGCAGGTTTCACAGCGGAGAGGGCGGAGGGCGAGTATTGAGTGGCGAGAGCGTTGAAGGCGGTGGTTAGTTGGACGCGGGAGGCGGTGGGAGAGACACCCAGAAGGATGTTGGGTGGCGGTTTTTGTGGCATGCCAGATCGTGGTTCTGCTTGAAAGTATACTAGGGTACTGTGCAGTTTTCGAGTGAGTGAGGGGGTAAGTTCTTAATTGGGTTGCTCTGCAATGAGTGCTTTAGGAATAAGATATTGAAGATATAGAAGAGTGGTGATTGGAACTATATAGGTGTGTGGAGGTAGAGAATGTATGCGCAATGTATATATACAGGAAATATACCTGGTTATTTGATACGGAGTTGCGGAGGTGCTTTGGCGTGAGGATGAAGAAAAGGACACTCGAACTTTGACGATACTTGATATACTCAAAGACAGAACAAGCTGATGCATTGTACGGTATGGCCTATATACGTGGCTGATGAGTTGGCCTTTGAAGATGCAAACTTCGAAGTTGTCACATCGTGGCAAGGTACGTAGTTGACCATTCAACCAATCAGCTCGACCGGATTTAGCCCTAACTGTAACCACTTAGCGTCCCCAAAAGCCCCTGAAGCCGATCCCTTGGCATCATCATCACCTCCATCTCCACTTCTTTTCCATCCTTCTACCCCATCGAAACAATGAACCCATAAGACTTCCGTTTATCAACCACAATGCCCCTCCCCAAATCCCTGCAGCCCCCGTCCCGCCCCCGCCCGAATCCCAAACGCCAAGGCTCCTGCCTCCTCTGCAACTCTCTGTCCCCCCTCTCCCATCCCAACACGTCATACGCGACCGAATCCGCGAAGCGCGTGCGAAAGACTCTAACTCTTATCATCGACGACCTTGCGCTGCAGAAATCGAAGCATTGTAACCATTGTAAGCTGATATGTGACGCGTTGGATGCTTTTTTTAAGGATTGGCGGAGTAGTAGGGGCAGGATTGTGGTGGAGATGGGGGAGAAGAGTCCGGTAGTTGTGAGATGGGAAGGGGAGGGAGGAGAGGGGACGTATTTGGAGATTTTTGGAGATGTTGGTGCGTGCGACGGCCTTTTTATCATCAGAATGTGCTTTTCAATTCCACATCTCAGTTTCATCGTTGATTCGGTGTCATTGATAGATCAACTTTTCTCATGATGATTAAGAGGGTTCCAAAACACTTGTGATTTTAATTGCCGATCATCACTATTCCCAAGATCAAAATTCCTTCTCATTTTTGCTACACAATGTTTTCCTTTCCCTCGTCCTTTTATATACCCTCATAACCCTCCTTCTATCATTCGCTGCATTCTCTCTCGGTGTTCAAATTCAAAACCATCTCCCCGCATTGACTAAGTACAACCCCAGACATCCGCCCCCCCTGGCCCACCCTCGGCGCCGCCCACCCCATCCCCTCTTCCTCCTGCTCCGACGCCACCCTCGCCTTCGCCCGCCGCTGCCTCTCCGACTGTCTAACCTCACCTACCCACACCCTATGTCGCTCTCCCGCTGCAACCTCAACCCCTATCCTCCCCGCCCGCCTCCTCGACGTCGGCCGCGTCAACGCTCCAACCAAGCTCGTGAGAACGCCCCCTAACGCGACCCCGACAACTCTTCCTTACGCAACACTGTCTCACTGCTGGGGCCCGAACCCGCTTCTGTCAACGACGACGGGTAGCATGGCGGCGTTTGGAAGGGGCATCGCCTGGGAAGCTCTTCCGCCGCTGTTCCGCGATGCAGTAATCTTGACACGACAGTTAGGGTTACGGTATATATGGATTGACTCGCTGTGTATAATTCAAGACAGTGGAGAGGACTGGGAGGTGGAAAGCGCGAAGATGGGCGCCATCTATCAGGCGTCACATGTTACGCTCGTGGCCGTCGAGTGTGGGAATAGTAATACGCCCATTTTCAAAGAGCGGAGTCAAGACGGGAGCCATGGAATTACGATGACTTATACGGATGGGAGAGGGAAAGAGAAGGAAGTTAGCGTGAGGAAGATGCTGGATCAACATCCGGAGAGCGGGAAAGGAGGGAAGGTCAGGCCGAGGGGTCCGCTGATGGGGAGGGCGTGGGCGCTGCAGGAGCACGTGCTTGCGGCGCGTGTGGTGCTGTTTACGGAAGGTGAGGTGCTGTTTGAGTGCCGGACGGGGTGGAGGTGCGAGTGTATGCCCGGGGAAAAGAGGGCGGGGGTGGCCGGGACCACACCCGGGATGATACCGAAGGCGCTTGCGAGTCTTCAGTGCTCAGCGGCTGAGAACGGATCGAAGAAAAGGAAGAGGAGCGAGAAATCAGAGCTGAAGTCGAAGAAGATGGAGTTGGGGAAATTGTGGTCGACGTGGCATACCCTGGTCGCGGCATACAGCACCCGTGCCCTTACGCACCCCCAAGACAAACTCCCTGCAATCTCTGGATTGGCATCTCAAATCGCCACTGCGACGTCCTCGCCGTATCTGGCCGGGCTGTGGTTGAACAACCTCGCCCATGACCTTCTCTGGTCCTCCCACCCCTCGTTGGCACCGCCGCATCTCGCTCCTCGATTGGCTTCGTATCGCGCACCGAGTTTCAGTTGGGCGAGCGTCGACACGGAGGCGCTCTACTACGAGCCAGACAAAAGCGAGGGCGAGAAGCTGAAGTCGAATATTGAGGTGCTGGACTGGAACATAATTGTCAAAGGGGAGAACCTGCTCGGAGAAGTGAGCGGCGGGTATGTCGTGCTCAGAGGCCAAGTGGTAGAGGGTACGCTGGTGGCCAACAAAGAGGGGGAACTTCGGTATTCGGTGCTTGTGAGAGGGTCGAGTTCATTGAGCATGGCGCCAGACTCGCTGATCGTTGAAGATGGAATGGAGGCTGAGGGCGAGGCTGCTAAGAAGGTCCGCCGAGCGAGGCCCGGAGAAGATAGGGGAGATATACGCGCGAAGGTCCTTTGTCTCAACGTTGCTGGGTTTGGGCGAGAATGGGTCAGTGGATTAGTGCTTGGTCTTTCCACGAGAGAGCCAGGTGCTTACGAAAGGGTTGGGGTTTTCGAGAGCGGGAGTGAGGTCTTTATTGGGAAAGAAAAGAAAGAGGTGAGGATCATATGAATGTTGTGCATCGATTGCGTCTTTAAGTATCCTACCATCTTTCCTGTTCCACTGAGCCGATGTTCCCTGTCCTCTGGAAGCCTACTTGTTGAAATTAGGATGGTGGGATGGCAAATGCAATGTCTCAGGCGCATTGGTGCGTGAAACTAAATCACACTTTGCAGATTATGAAGTTGATGGCATCAAAAGGAGTCATTATTATCGCCTTCAGGACTCTTACTCGCAGCATATCCGTCGTGTCTATCAAGTAAGCAACCTGACGCCAGCGATATGTCTGATGAAGGCCAGTTAAGATATCTAGTTGTAGCCTTAGGCCTTAAGTATAGTTCCAACCGCTATAAGATAAGGTAAGTTGTCCTAATACTATTGAAGTACGTTCAAAAGACTTCAGGAATTTAGAATAACTACAAAACTTTCACTCAATTGAGTAGTGTATGGCTAGAACGAGAGGAAAAGAAACCAGGATCTCAATGAATGTAGCAATTCCCACATCTAGCTCTCATCTACCGCCAGCGGCATTGCCCCATGATCCAAAAGTTCCTTCTCAATCCGATACGACTCTTTCGCTTTCGCCGCTTTCAGGGGTGACCCAAACTTTCCTCCTTGCGCATTCGGATCGGCTCCATGCTTCAGTAGAAACCGCACATAGTCTCGATTATGATACACCGCAGCCTGCAACGCCGATCCGTATTTTCCAGCCTCTTTGGTATTAACCTCTACTTCTCTTTCAATTAACAGTTTGGTGATATCCTGCGCATGCACTTCAGCGCTCAATCCCCTTGCACAGCATGTCGCCTGCAGCGGAGTCCCATACTTGCCACCCTCTTGGTTGACGTTGGCACCATGGGCAAGGAGAATTTCCACGGCTTCTTTATTAGCACACTTCGCTGCCGCAGCGAGCGCATTACCGTATTTACCTACGTTAGTATTGACAGGCACATCGCGGTCTAAAAGCAGCTGAACATACTGCTTCCCATGCATTGTTGCGGCAGCCTGCAGCGCAGAGCCGTAACACCCGCCTTCAATGGACGCCTCGGCGCCGGCATCGAGGAGTGTCTTCACGAGCGCGTCCGAGCCGACGGATATTGCGGCTTGCAGGGCAGTTCCGTATTTGCCTCCCACGGCGTTCACGTCTGCGCCACGGTCAAGCAGGAACCGGACCATGTTGACATGTGCCTCTTTCGCGGCCGCCTGCAGCGGATTGCCGTACGTGCCCTGAGGCGGGACGGTATTGATTCTAGCGCCTTTGTCGAGAAGCAGAGTGACAAGGTCTTCGCGATCGGATCGCGCCGCCGCTTGTATTGGATTCAGATAGACCCACAGATTTTCGAGGACTTCGTCATGCACGGGACGGTATTTGTCTTCGTCCTCGATGTTGGCTCCAAGCGAAAGGAGTCGCTCAATCATTGCGACTTGGCCCACTTCACTGCCCATACAGGCTCGTGTTAGGATAGACTGATGATCACCGGGGGTGTGGATGTTGGCACCTCGATCGAGGAGGTCGTGAGCGATGTCGTAGTAGGATTTAGACACGGCAGCTTGTAGAGGATTTCCGAAGGAGCCATACGGCTCTAGTGGGTTGATGATTGCGTTGTGGTCCAGGAAAAGCCAGTAGAGTTCCTCGTCGCCACTGACGATGGCATTGGCGAAAGGAGTGCCCCAGTGTCCAGCCCCTAGGTTGATATCCGCACCCTTTGCAAGCAGCTTTTCGATTACTTTGATATTTCCAACCTCAATTGCCTCATTCAGCGCTGATCCATTGAGCCCGGACGACCACACCACATTCGGATCCGCGTCAGCGTCGAGGAGAAAATCCATGTATTCCCAATTTTGGTCTTGAATACTTTGACCCAAAGCTGTATGACGCTCTCCGCCAGTGTAGTCTCGTATATTCGCTCCGGTCGCGATAAGAAGCTTCGTCTTTTCGAGCAAGTCCGCATACCATCTCCCGGAATCAAAGGACATAGCTTTGCCGCCATGTTTCTTGACATTGGCGCCTTTGTCGATCATAAATTTGAGCATTTCAACGCCGGAAACTTCAACGGCTCGACCGATAGCAGCGGCGCAAACATCCTCGGGCTCGTTCAGATCAAGCCCGTGATCAAGCAGAAGTTGGACTGTGCTTATCTTGTTTGATGCTACTGCCACTTCGAGGGCTGACGTGAACGTCTCTTCTGTGATGCGAGCGAAGTAAAGAGTAAAATGGCGGGCCTTTGATCTTTGCATGGGGTCGGCACCAGTGCCCAAGAGATATCTGGCTATCTCATTATGACCTTGAGCCAGAGTTGCTCGTAAAGCGGTTCCATACTTACCACCCACCACATTGACATCTGCGCCTTTGCTGACAAGTAAACGAACTAGTGACTCGAACCCTTTGCTTGCTGCTGCTTGCAGCGGCGGGATGTATCCTTTGCCTGTCCTATCCAAGGATGCTCCGTGTTCAAGAAGGAGATGGGTGATGGACTCGAGACGTCGTTCAATCGCTGCACCGAGGGGGTCTCCATAGCGTCCACAGATACGTTCTGGATTAACCAAAGCACCCTTTTCGAGAAGAAGGAGGACCAGCTCCTCTTTCCCTGACTCTACCGCGACTTGCAGCGGGGTGCCATACTCACCGTCCGGTACACCTTTAGGGTCTGCTCCGGCTTCAAGAAGCCATTCAACGCATTTTGGCGAGCTCCACATTGTTGCAAACTGCAAGATACTACCATATCTACAGTCAGTTAGAATATTGGCTGATCGGGGAAGTAGGCAGGGAAATACTGACTCTTTGTGTTCGGCGTTTGGGTCCGCGCCTCGATCTAACAAGATCTTCGCCAAATACTCTTTGCGACTGGAATTCAAAGCCTCTTCCAGAGCAGACTCTCCGAACTTCGCTCCGAGTTCAATGAGTCTTTCTGCAGCATTAACATTCCCAGAGAAAATCGCCAAATCAACAGGGAATTTCCCACGTCCACCGCGGTCATGGATATTGGCACCTTTACGGAGAACAAATTCCAGTACCTCCGGCTGCTTTGACTGTATCGCTCCTTTGAGCGGAGTGCCGTAGAAGTCGTTGCTGGAGCAGTTTATATCTGCTCCGTGCTTCAAGAGCAGCCTCATCAGCTCTATCTCGCCTCGTTTCGCGGCAAGTGCAAGAGGGTTTACGCTGGGGTGCACTTTTGCCCCGTTGTCGAGGAGGAGCTTGATTAGTTCAGGACTCGCATGGGAGCATGCCACACCAAGAGGATTCCAGTCACCTTTGGCGGGGAAGTTGATTTTCGAGCCGTTCCGCAGTAGAACTCGCACTGCATCGGCGTGATCCGCCTCCAGGGCCGTTGAAAGAGGAATGCCATATCGCTGGCATCGACTGTGAATATCGAATCCATGATCGAGGAGGAGCTGGATTACTTCAGGGTTGCCTTGCCTACAAGCAATATGCAAGGCATTGCCCTCGTACGCACCACCTGCCCGGATAGTTGCTCCGGAATCGACCAGTTTTTTGACTACCGCGGCGTTGCCAGCTTCGGCCGCCACATACAGGATGTCTCTACAGATTGCGGATTTTGGATCAGCACCGGCGTCGAGAAGGAGGTCAATGACTGCAGCCTGCCCGCTGCCAGCAGCGCCTGCAAGTGCAGAGTTGATGATATCGGTCCGCAGCTTGTTATCATGAAGGCTCGCCAACATAAACTTGACGATAGGGCTCAGTCCATAGTACGAAGCGTAATATAGCGCCGGCTTGAAGTCCCTAGTCGTGCGGCTATTTGGCTGCATGGTCACTTGTTTGGCGCCGTCTGGATTACATAGATTGAGGAGGTTGATCAAGTGGTTGTCATTTTCTGGATCGAAAACACGCATAAGAAGCGCTTCGATGGCATCTCGTTCCGTTTCTTTCACCTGCGTCAGGTGCGTAGCCCAGTGAAGAGCGGCGTATCCGAGGAATGGAAACTCAGAGTCGTGGTTCCGAACAATCTTCTTGCCACCGTTGAAATCAAGCAGGTAGATCAGGCACATCTGCGTGATCTGGCTGTGACTTAAATGGTCGTTGAATAGAAACGGAGTGGGTATCGACTCCTTCGTTCGGGACGCTAGTAAATACTCCTTGACCGAGAAATGCGCGAACTGGATAATTTTATGATCCTTTGGGGTTGGCCCATACCTATACATGCCTTCGGACCGTAATTGAGCATAAGTACTACGAGATATGTCGACCAGCGACACCAAGCTCGAACAAAATTCCAAAAGATCGGATGGATCTCCGAATCTGTTCTTCGTTGTGAAGGACTGTTTTTTCAGGTCGACAGCCGTAGCTTCCGCAACTTCTTGAATAGTCATGGGTCGGGTAGAGAATGACAAAAGCATGAGGATGGTTCGTAGCTCGCAGTGGTACATTTCTGGCACATTGCTGAGGATACGAGAATACGTAGTATCCAAGTCTTTTGGTGGGTTATTGAGCTGATCAAGGATTCTAGCTGGTTTTGAACATTGCCGAACTTCTTCGAGTTGGCAGGCAACCCAGAGAAATCTGGAAGAAGGATTAGCAGGTACTAGTAGGAAGGATTAAATTCACTAACGATCCGCCAGCATCCTTCATAAGCTTTTCTTCAATCTCGTTTTTGATGCTTTGCTCCAGCCTTTTAAGCCTGGGATATTTCATCATTTGCGCTTGGATGTGTAAGCGGATGTCCTCATTTGTCAAACTAGCATGAATGTCGATGTCAATGTCGCAAATCTCCTCCATGGCCTGTTTAATATCCACTTCGGGTCGACTTGCGACAAAGACGCTCAAGTTAGAAGCCTTGAGGGCTTTTATTTCGACCAGAGCAGCAAGTACCTGTTTACGCTCATGACCTTCAGATTCTGGGCATTCATCGAGGGCATCGATGATCAAAAAGGCTCTTAGCTCTTTCTTAAGGAGGTCTTTGAGAAGTCCAAAAAGTTGTTCTGAACCAGGCGCAGCTCCGTTGCATGCATCGTACAGCTTGACTACTGGCTTCGGTACTGCCTTCGTTCTAGCACAAATCTGACAGATGAGTGATCGAAGGAAACTAGTGTATGTTTGTCGGGAAGCGTTGCGGAAATCAAAGTAGTAGTAGATGACGGCGCAGTCTACACTGAGTTGCTTGGAGCGGAGATGCTCAATGACTGCTGAACAGAGGATTGTTTTGCCAGCCCCTGGGAAGGCATGGAGCCACAGGAGTTGACTAGTAGCCGATGTGTTGAACCAAGACGTGAAATTTTCCGAATCAACTAACCATTCACAAGTTCCCAGATCTCTCTTAGACTTGGCGCTGTCGTGGTTGCTCAATGGATCCGGTCCATCAAGCCACATTAGGATCCTAGCCTTCTCCTCGGCCGCCTTCATTTCCTGAACTGTTTTTCTAACCTCCTCCATCGTATCATGTATCAAGACCGTCTGAGTCGCTGCATCGCCAGCTAACGCCGTATAGAACACGCTCTTCAGCTTCTCTAGCCTCTCTAGTATCTTCTCGATACCTTTCGCCTCAAGTGCCCATTGCAAGTGTCGGCGCATAGTCGACGCATCCGTCAGCATCTTGAGTTTCTCATCTAGTTCCGCAAGCGCACTTGAGTAGGCCTGAAACGGGCCATTCTCAGCGTTCAAAGACTTGAGGATGACGAAGCGGTCAGGGTTGCGGTTGTTGGAAATGCATTGAAGTCGTTCGAGGAGGTTTTTAATGCTATTAGTGTCATCGATAGCATTTCGGATTTCTTTTGGTGCCTTTTTAGCCTTCTCGATGTATTCGTAGCAGCAGGTGAGAACCATGCCGCTGAACTGGATGAGTTGAATGACCATAGCGGCCTCTGCCATTTTGTATGGAAAGTATGGCCGCAAGCCTTATTTCTCTGCTGGCGTTGTTCGGGACAATTTTCTTCGGGGACGAACATGAATTCCTCTGCCTCTCCATCATCATCATGGAGGGTGGTTCTATTTATTATCACCGTAAAATCAGCTGGCAAGTAGAGCGGCCAGTAAAATGGACAAGGTGGACATTGACCTGGACGAGGCTGAGTTTCTGGCGCTTATCTACATTCCCAGCGCCGTCTTTTGCAACCCCTGATTGACCGGTCCAGCAAATTGGCTGGCGATTTTGAATCTGGTTGGTCGCTTGGATTTCAGCTGGCCGTTTGGATGTCGGCTGGGCAGCCCCTTGATTGACCGGTCGAACGAGTTGGCTGGCGATTTTGAGTCTGGTTGGTCGCTTGGATTTCAGCTGGCCGTTCGGACGTCAGCGAACCAAGGTTACTATATGAAAGTGTCACGTGCCAGCCTTGCACGTGACCACATCTGGGCCGCCAGGCACAGCCAGCCCATCGCAAACTCTTCCATTTTCGGGATCAAACAATGATAGCTCTGTCTAGAAAGATTATCCCACTGGGATTTATCAGCACTCAGCTCCTAATTGTGAGCTATCCGAGAGGTTCCCCGAAAAGCAGTTGGCACTGTACATACATTCGTTCAACATGCCAATATGAGCCGTGTCCGTTCTGTTTACTAACTGAGCACATATCAGCTTACGAATAAGTTAACCATGCCCATAGACTCCTAACGTACATTGTATTGGTCCGTCTTGTCTTATAGGATAAAGTAATCTATTTCTAGGAAATATTTGAGGTCCCAATACACGATAGTTCTCACTTGATGGAATGCTAGTGTTGAAACTAGTTACCAGCAGCGTAATAGATGTCAAGTTTAGTAACCGCTTCAGCATATGGAATATTTGCTCATCTCATGCCAGAACGATCCCCCTCGGTTCCAAGCCATGATTATCCAAGGCCTCCCCGTACATAACCCCGTAGACGAAGCACTCCCCTACAAGATGATACCGTGGCCAAGGTTCCTTATCTGCCTCGTCACCTACGGTGTCACCCGAGTCGGCAGGCTGTTCTCGCTCAACAGGTCTGATGACAAAGGGCGTGTCCGTTCCAGGTATGACAACGACTTTGTCGCCAGGCCTAGCGGTGTTCGGAACCCAGCCAATGCGGCGTTCTCGCGTGATGCACGATCGACGTCCAATGATCCGCTCCATAGCCCGAAGGCAGAATTCGTTGGCTGCTTCGGTGCGGCGGAGGATCTCTTTCTTGTGACACAGTAGCGCATCATCCTCGTCTTCCATTGCGGTGGCGCCGGGATCCATTACCCCAGCTTTTCCAACACCATGTGGTCCACGAATAGCTTGAAACCCTCCTCATAAAGCGCATAGCTCGTACCCGCGCGCATGGACTGGGCGATCATGACCGGTAGCAGAATATCGTAAGGGCTATGTGGACTCGAGCACAGATTGCCGTTCATCTCATCCGTGCAGACATTACCGCCATAGCTGTGTCCGCAATGCTTCAATTTCTCGAGAATATCTGCTACCTCTCGGAAGACAGTGGCCAGGTGATGCCAGACCTCGTCAATGTCATCTAGTTCCGGCGTCCGGGCACGACCTAGCTCTTGAACCTCATCGATAAAGATGGCCTGGAAGTAGAGGTGTTGGTCCATGATAATGAAAGAGAGCGCACAGGGGTTCACAGCTTGCTTCATGTCGCGCAACTGTGGTGGAACTGTGCGTAAACGAAGGGTGTCTGGGCCACCAGCAGAAAATCTTGTGGCGCGGTAGAAATCGGCATGACCAGGTATTGGACTTGCTGGCCACAGAAAGGTAGCAACGGTGGGTACTATGTCCCACTGAATCACCCAGCTCGGTAAGTTACGACTCGGAGGCCATCCGTGGGCTTGCGACAGGATCCGCAAGCCGTGTTTCTCCAGCAATACGCGAGTAGTCAGATGCAAAATCTCCCCTTCAGGGATGGTATAGTTGATTAGGTGTTGATGATCGACGACGGGATCTCGACACAAGCCTAGGACTCCGATAACCTTGTCTCTTGGATCTGTAGCTCGACATCTCCGAGTTGCGAGCAACATTGACAGGAGATCTGGCCCGCCCTCCAGCTCTCCTTTCTGGTACTGCTGGCGCACGATACCGATATGATACACTCTGGCCCAGTCGTGACTTGAGAGTGATTTTAAATTCCGACCGTAATCGGTGACGAAGGCGCTGGTGATGATTGAATAGCTCAAATTCCACAAACTATCCCACGCTATGGAGCCAAACCGGCCCCATAGAATTTGAGGCAACGGACCAACGCTGACTTCTTGCATGCACCACAACCTTTGAAACCACGGCCGCTGGAGGAGCCGTAAAAGAGGAGTAAGGTCGATGGTACCCTTTGGGACGACGTAATAGCCACCCTGCCGCTTGGGCTTATCTCCAAGACGGCTCGCGGCCAACATCATTTGGAGCAATGGCAGCATGACGTTCGCATTGTCATCCGTTCCGTCCCCAAACTCCCCCAACCAAACTGTAATGGTATTTGCCTTAGCATAAATATTCCTCATCATCTTGACTTGTTGTCTTTTCTCTTCCAGATCGCCTTGGTTAATACACAAGGCGTCAACCCAGATCGTGAGAGTCTTCACAGGGTCGCGGAGCCTGTTCAAGGCCGTGAACAGACTGCAAGTCACCTCTATGACGGCATCGTCGCATAAAATCGGTATACGCTCAGTACTACTACCCCAGTTGTAGCTGAGAGCATTGTACAATAGAGGCGATGTGATGGACACCTCTCTGAAATGACAACAAATAGGATCGTTCCGATTGCCAGGTCGGAGCTCCAGCAACCGGAGCATATTATGACCGGATAGTGGACGGTAATTGAGTGCAGGAGTGCCCAGGAACAAATCATTCAGCATGAAAGAGTCACGCAAAGCTTGCTGTTCAGTATTTGCATTGCGTGACCACTTTGAGCAGACGAGGCAGTGCATATGCGATATCTCGGCTGATGCCGATTCAGTCTCACCAATGATCTGAAGACTCTCAATTTCTGAAAATCCTTGGTTGAAGAAGAATTGGAGATGCTCGGTTGGCGTTTGAACATAGCATTCCAAGTGCTTCGAGAGACACTGATTTAAGCCCCAGTCAAAAAGTCTGGAGCCTACCTCATCGTGCCGATCGGGATCTTTGATGGCCAAAAAACGGAGTTCTGTTTATGGCTATTAGCAGATGAACTAACGTTTACGAATCTAAACAGTTGCACATACGGTAAAACGCCTTCGAACCCATGTGTCTCCTTGCTGCACTGTCCAGTATGGCACCATTGGTTATTCTATGATCAAAATTTAAGTATGGTGGCAAAGTCGTCCAAGAAATTGCCTCAAGCGCCGATATGGGGCTGATTCCTCGGCCATACTTCTCACATTCTGATTTGAGACTATCACCGAGCGATGAGCTCCACTCGGCGTTGATATCCGGATTTCTAGCTGGAAAGCGACCGTCTTCAACTGTGCTCTCTGCGAGCCAGTATTCCGCGTACCCGGCGAGCGAGCCGTCAACTTGGTCGAAAGCGCAGACGATGTGCCGGGTATCTCGTAGTCGGCTAATTTTGAATTGGAAAAGATCTTTGAGCATTGCTAGCGTTTCTTGAACTTGCTTGTTGGAAGAAGGATGTCGAGGCTGAAAACATTGAAAATGGCATTGAGCTAAGGAATCGGCGTCTTGGAGTCGAGCTAACACAAGGGAAACGTTTGAGTCGAGAGCGTGCGATCCTATGTGCCTCCTGCCGAGCCCAGCGAGAGTGAAGGAGAGCAGCCTCCTCGTGAGGGCAAGCATTTCGTTCGAGAGTTGCTCTCTCTTGTGGCTCGATAGATGCAAAAGAGGCTCTTCGCCTCTTCTGGGGTTTAAGATATCCGCATATCTAGTGCAAGCCGGACGAGGAATTGCATCACGGCGACAAAATGTGGTCGGGCGTCATCCACCGAAGATAATGGTGGCACAAGTGGCTACGAACTTGAGGTTAGATCGAGCCCTGGAGGTTGTTTCCTGACCAGTGACGGTGCAGCCTGAGCAGCGGCTGAGCCGAAGTCGAGCCTGGTGTTATCTGCTTACAAACCGGGGATACGGCGCTAACCAAAGGAGGAAGTGGGTGGAGGTCAATCGGTCAACAATAAACGCCATGATATAAAATGGTCTCTGTGGAGAGCATTTTAACAAGGGTGATAATGCCAAGAATTGCCCCCCTGGGTAACCTTCGTGTCTTGCCGATTGAGCTGCCATCGTCTTTGCTTTAGTCCACTAGCTTTAATAGAATATCCTAACTAGCTGTTTGATATATTGGGCCATATTTAGCGACCTAAATCTCCCAGAAGGTCGGGGATTGTTTTAAAACAGATCAATTGCGGATGAAGGGGATATAGCGAAGTGAACAATTTTTGGAATGACTTCGGAATACATCACGTGATCGTCTCCTGACCATCTCAAAGCCGCCGCGCGAATTGCCTTACCCCGCATCACCTGCATTGATGTTTCAGGATCAACGCAAATGAAATGAAGATGTATACTTTGTCTCGTCCAAGATACGGTCATCTGTCTTCATCAACTCCAAGCCTGAAAACAATCAAACTAAGGGAAGCAATTGCATCTCATCACTCCGCCGCCATAAAACCCCTACCCCGTCCTCCAAAATAATAAGCAGCCCCAGGATTTCAAATCTTATCTCAATTCACCCCCCAAAACCTCTTCCGCACCAGGAGTAGGCGTAGCAGCTGCCGGAGTCATAACATTATCCGGAGATTGAGTCTGCCAGGGCGCCGTCTGCCATGAAGCCGTCTGCCACGGATGTTTCTGCCACGAAGCCGTCTGCCATGGATGATCCTGCCACGACGCTGTCTGCCACGGATGCTTCTGCCACGGTGCCGTCTGCCATGGATGAGATTGGGTCCATATATTTGCTGAGCGCCAGGGCGAGTTGGCTAGGACTCCGGTGCTGATGGCGAGGAGGGAGACGATGGCGAAGATGCGGAGAATTGGGGATGCCATTTTGGGGTGGGTAGCGGCCTTAAAAGCTCTTTTTGTGGGGTGAGATGGGGTTATAGCGGGGGTTGTAAAGGTGGGTGATAGGAGCGATACTAGTTGGTTTGCGGAAAGGGACGATGCGGATATAGTGTAGTTAAAAGACGTACTTGACTTGATTTAAAAGGTTTTAGAATTGCTGCTGGGAATCTCAAATGGTCTAGGGGAAGTATTTATACTTAGTTATCGCGATGCGGGGAAGGACAGGGGAGGAGCGAAATTACGTCGCCCAGCGTCATCCTTTACCGATCTCCGTCCTTCTTATCTTCCACCTTCTCCATGGTTTCCTAAAAGGAGCGAGGTGCTATTTAAGTCCAGACCCAGTAGCAAGGTTTCCACTTATGGACTGGAGGTGGAGGGGTGGAGGAGTATTGAACCCTCGAGAACAACTTCCTGATGTCGGGGCGGAGTGGTGCGCGTGCAACATAGCGCAATTCTCCCTGCGATGGATTTGGCAGCAAAACGGCCACCTACCGAGAATTATGGAGAGTGGAGGCAATTGGACACACTGCTGACATCAAGATTTGACGATGACGAGTACCATTAACCCGTGCCGACAGTACATAAACTTGATTGCTGATTATAGACCGCAGCGCTGGTAGAGCGAGTGGTAGCTCGATTTCAATGAATGAATGCAATGATTATCTTTTGATGAAAGAGGCCGGAATCGACTTCTAGTCCACGTTGTCGGCCTCTTTCAGGTGTTTTGAAGCTCCCTAAACCTCCAACCATGACCCAACCAATTGCGGAGGTTTCTTGAACCTTTCGGCGCCGCCCAGGCTGAATTGCCGTTCATTGTTGCCGTCGTCAAAGTTTGAATAGGCCTAGAGTAAAGCTAGTCTCTTACGAAGCCTGACATTCAAAAGATGAAAGGATTGATATAGTCCCAGGAGCGTGGACGTTAGTAAGCGGCACATGAGCTGTTCCTACGCTACAAGACACGGAGGTGGTTCACGTGAAATCGAAAAGCTTTGGAGGTGTAATAAGCTTGCCGCGAGTGTCCTTTGAACTCCCTTTTCCTTGGAAGAGCAAGGTGGAGGGAGATAACGGCGATCAAAATTGATCACAGACAAGCTCATTAGTGATTATTCATCTCGAAGTTCGGGGTCGTAGTAGAATTTGGACAGCTTTGAGTCTATTTGCGATCAATACTCAGAGATAACTTCGTTTCATGGTGAAATCGGCGTTGGGTCAACCTTGGCCTGGAGGGGCGTCAGGTTCGCATCATGGCATCATGTGGATCATAAGCTGGGGTAGAATATGGCAATGATGGAAAAGTCAGAAAAACCCCTTGACTAATGGTGGATAACGTCGTAGGGGGATATATTGTGGATCTTCTCCATAGAAAGGGATAGTGATTTCTATTTTTGTCCATAGGAATCAGAATACATGAACGAAGATGATGAAGCTGACTCGGGAGATGCTAGGTAGCCGTGGGAAATGCTAAAGATGGAGTGCGTATGAGTTCGAGGAATGAAAGGGGTGGGAATTAAAGTCGTGCGGGTGTCGTCGAGCCAGCTGACTAATATCCAAAATAGAATAACGTAGTCGGCAAGCTAGTGGGCCATGCAAGCTAGTGGGCCACCCAATTATTGGTGCGATTTAGACCTTTTAGCACCCTAGCAATCTTAACAATCACAGAATATTCCAGGTTGTGACTTAGGATAATGATATCCGTGGTTATTTTAATATCATCTGTTAATTTTTTAGATCTCTTGATAGCCCTGTTTAGCCGCAGTAAAATGTTGCCTAGTTTTGGCCCCTAAAATCAAGTAATACCTACAATATAATAGGATTACGCTGCTATACTGCTCCAAACATTCTCTTAGCTATTAAAATGAGCTAGATAGTATATGCAATCTTAAAGCTATACTTTATATCTTGTAGTTGTTGAGATTTCTGGGGTGCTAAAAGGTCTAAATCGCACCAAAAATTGGGTGGCCCACTAGCTTGCATGGCCCACTAGCTTGCCGACTACGTTAACGTAATCCACAAGTTAGTGGCCCGCACAAGCTAGTGGCCCAC